ACGGATTCTCATGTCGTTGCTGGAATTATGCAACTCTTCGGAATCTTGTTTAACGAAAAATTAGTTTCATATTAAGATCCATAATTTTTTATCCATATTGTAATTAGAATGTCATTTGTAAGGAAGTTAAGCGGAAAATTCTGATTGATATGAAGAAGATAAATAATAACGAAATTTGCCATACTGGCAGTTGATATAAAATTTTTTCATTATTCCTTTATTAATAAAATATTGACTGGTAGACATCTACATGTTTAATATTTCATGTAGATAAATATATAAGACTTCAAAAATTTTATTTTATTTTAAATTCTATGGATAAAAAATTCCCATGAACTTCCACGCACCGATTTTTTCTGTCCTCTAATCTTTCCTTCTAGAACGGATTTCAAGCAAGCTCTCGTTGGTAGACCATAAGGTAAAAAAATTTCAGGAAATGAGAAGTCATGAATATAATAAAAGCCCTTTTAAAAGTGTTAAAATCTATCTTATTACTAATCATTAAAAAAATATTATAATTTCTCACTTTTTTTAAAGGTATGGACAGATTTTTTGTTGTCACCATTACATTTCGTATCATTTGTTCTGTGAAGGAATTTCCAAAAGCTCCTTTCAATAATTTTCCTAAATCAGCTGTCGTTCTAAAATATTCTCGTTTATATCTTTGATCTTGGTCATTTTCCGGAAAATTGATGCTGAATGTGAATCTTAGTTTACCAATATCGTAAAAATTGTCGAACGAGACGTTCAATGAAGTTGAATGGATGCCATCATTTTGAAGTGTATACGAAATATTTGTTATGTTTTTGTTGAATTTTAAATTTATGTTGTCGATCATTATTATTGAATGCTTAAAGTGAATTATATTGTAAATTAAATTGTAATTAATAAAATGTCATTAATTGTTACACAGTGCAACTTACACTATTGTATGTCAATAAAACAGCAACAATTAAAAGAAATTCACGGATTTTCATGTCGTTGCTTTATGCAACTCTTTGGAATGTTGTTTAACAAAAAATTATTTTCATATTAAGATCTAAAATTTTTTTATCCATTTTGTAATTAAAATGTCATTTGTTAGGAAGTTAAGCGGAAAATTGATTAAAATGAAGATAGATAATAACGAAATTTACCATAAAAATACTTCGCCTGTCTTTAAAACTTCAGTCAAAATTTTCTTCTTAAAGTATACAAACATTTCTTGTTAAATTAGAATTCTGCTTGTTTTCAGAAGTTTTCAGTCTCAATAAAAACTCCTTTCAGATGTTTAATTGTAATTGAACTACCTAGATATGTGAATGAAATGGGGGAAGAAAAACAAAACATAAAAGAAAAAGGATTGTACATATTTTTGTGCAATTAATTTTCATCCAGAAGGTTTTCATTTACTTTTACGAGTCATCCATTTATTTCATTTCCTTCTGCACTTCATTTTTATAATCATAATTTTTTATGGAAATTCATGGAAGCCGAGATGAGAATGTCATGTAAGTGAGATTACATATATTCGCAAACGTTATACATCTGTTATCTCTAGGGATTTCTTTTTAATGGGTTTAACGTTTGTTTTTCCTGAAAATGCGGTGACGATGAGGAGAATTTATTTTCATTCGTTTGATGTAAACCTTCTTCGACGATACAAAATACAAATTCTCTGTAACATGTAGAAGTAAATGGAAGATTTCGTTATTTATTATATTTATTTAATGCAAATGGTGTAATCAAGATGAATACTTAAAGTAGAACTGTGTTCATATTTCATTCCTTAATAAATTTATTTGATGCTTAATGTAACACATTCGTTTGTGTTACTTTTCACTTTGATGGAAACTGCTTTTCAAACTCGATAAAAGTTGAAATTATTCTATGCATAAATATTCAATATTCGACATACGAACTATGTCAAGTTTTAGTTGTAATCAAGTGCTAAGTTCACTTGAGATCTTCATGATGAATTATCAACTTAATGCATATCAAATTTCACATCAAGTTATGAATGAAAAATAATTGATTGCATCATTAATATTTATCGCAGCTTCTTAAACTGAATTGTTCAGCAGCTTGATTGGTCCCTTTTCATAATTGACCTGATTTCATATAAATGCGCTCATAATTTATAAATGAAAGCGCGAGAACATTAATGTGATGGCATTAAACTGTCATACAGACGGGACAAGAAGAAAAAAGAGAAGAATTAAAGGTAAATGCAATATTAAATTGTTTTCATGCATATTTCATTTCATATCTTCGAGTTAAATTACGATTGTTGAGAGCTGTGAAGATTAAGTGTTTCTGTTTTAATTCTATGAAAAAGACGCTTGCTTTAATATATTCTTTTTTTAAAATGTCCGAGGATTATTTATGATGATGGTTGGGACTAACTTTTTGTTTCAAAGCAGTTCAAAGATGATCAATACGACGTGGTGAATATAATTGATTGCACTCATGTGACATTAATTATCTTCTTTTAATCTCTTTCAATGTGGGAAACTGCATAGGGAATTAGCAAACTTCTTTCTCATAGTTTCAACTTTATTTCTTTATTAAGCATCCTTGGTGGCTCTTAAATCATTTACTTAAGAAAACTGGTGACGTGTTGAGACTTTGAGATTGAAGAAAGAAATAAAATGATTTACAATCGAAGCTGTTTGAAGAATTCTTTTTGTTTGTGAATGAGGCACGAAATGAGCAGATAAATAATTGGATCTCGTGACCACAACGAATCGAGAGAATGAAAATTTGCGATAAAGTGCTTTTAATGTCAGTACTTAAGAGGATTAAAAACCATCTACTCGATAGCAGGTAATGATGCGTTTTAAATTCGATTACGACCCACACTTGAACAAACGAAACTAGAAACGTTTGAACCCTCTAATCAATTCCCTTCGGAATAGTCTTACGTCTCAATTGAAGTTATGCAATAAGTATCATTAAACATCTGCCATGTGCGTTGGCTTGACTATCGTTTTACATGGAATCAATCATGTAATTGCGATGAAAAATATCCTTTGATACTGTGCACAATTTTTTATGAGATTCTGATCATTAATCTCTTTATGGACATGACCAGCAATTTGTGATGTTGATGTTAGAATAAAGAAAAAAAGAAAGAATTGAAGTAAAAAAGAATTACTTACTTATTTTGCCCTCTTGTGCCACATTAGCAAAAGGCAAGAGCACACAACAATTCCACCCCAAGGAAATATTTTGACGAATGGTTAATTCCCTCTACCATTGGACGGAATGAACGAGTCTTGAGGAAACTTTGAGTGAGTGGAACGATAACACAAAACTATTAAGCAGGATGAAAATATTATTAATTCTTTCTTGTTTGATATTCCATTTAATTCCTTACAGAGCATAAAAAAGAGTGAAACCCTCGTCGTATTCATGACATAATAACTTAATTGATTACTTTGGGATGGAATAAAAGCGGCACCGAATATCGTGCAGTTGGAGAGTTGACGAGGCCTCAACATTAACACAGTAATAAAAATATATAATCGGGAACATTATCTTGGAAAAACGCGAAAACGCATGTTGCATAGATAAATTAACAAGAACTGCTTTTGAAATTCTTTTAGAATTATTTGAATACATTTAAGGCCAACGCATTTATAGATTTATTTCATCTATGAAATCTCATCTGACTAAATCTATCGGATAAAGTTTAACAGAAAAAAGTCCGCTTTAATGGATTGCATGTTCTTTTATTCGAGCATGAAAAAAAATGTTGTAAGTTACAACAATCGGGAAAATCGCCATAATTATGAAGCACAACAACAAGTCACTTTTCCATGCTGCTATTTTATTAATCACCTTACAATCGTACAGAGAAATGTGAGCATGCGGCAATCGCTGTAGTTTTGTAGAGTAACAAAACAAAAAAGAGAAGAACAAAAAGTCGGATATTAATGAAGGAGCGAGTAATTAAACGGTTAAACCAACGAGAAGTAGTAAACTTTTCGAATAACGTATCCATCTCATAAAGCAATTTTATTACGTGTGCTTAGTTATATTGATCCACCTTGGGAAATTTATCGCGTAATTCCCTACGAGACTTCGTGTTGAAGTGGTTGTTCATCAAAACTTTTAACAACTCTATCCACCCCCATTACTTACTTTGTAGATTTATTTTGAGAGATAAAAACTGTTGAGGTGGAAATTTTATTATTTGACTACAGATCGATATTTCGTCACATAAACTTTGAAATTACTGAGATCTGATGCAACATGCATCGCAATCGTTTTCCTTTTTCTTTCATAGAATTTAATTAATTTCAAATCCAACATTATTCAATGAAAAGTTGTCCCAATTCTACTTACATACAAAGGGATGGAAAATGCTGAAAATTTCATTAAATGTTATCGCAAATTATTTAATTATAAATGCAGAACTAATTATGACATATTTCACAGTGGAATTATGAAAAAGAAAGATGATTAAAAATGTTTTTGAACAACGCGTGCTTATTGTAATTAAGCAGCTGTGGTAATTTCCGTCATATGCGTGCATTGTTGTGTGATAGTTTATCATATGCATGTTGTTAAATCTATGTATGCCTAAATAATCAACTTTTCAATCGTTTATATCAGTCGTCATGTCATGGTTCGCTTGGCTATTCTTTCGCTGTTAAATTCATGCGCCAAAAATGCTAAAACTGATAACAAATGCAAATTAAGTTGTATGGAACATTGAAATGCTTTCAGTTCTGTAAATTAATTTCATTACTTTGGAAAATACCAAATCGAATGTCCACCACAGAATTCCCAGCGTTTTCAAAATATCTAACAATAAATATCTAGATAAAGAATCCATTAAATGCATTTTGTCGAGGACTAAATTTTGCTGCGCGGTTTAAGGTTGATGAATATAATTAATTTGTAAGTTGATAATGTTCATGCATTTGGTTTCTACTTGAACATGAATTTGCAGTGACGCTTTTAAGGTTTCCTTTGCTTCACTGCGAAGTTTGATTTTATCATTTCCATGCCTTGATTTTTCCGCTTGAAAATGTTTAACAAGCAAAAAACATTTCATAAACTGAACAGTGAACATTTTACAAACAAATGTTTGTCGTTTACTTCCTTTTCCAACCCTCCGCTAAATTGCAAACAACATTTTGCATTTAATCTTCAATACACGGGCGTTAAAACTGATTGTAATTTGCTACATATAATGGAGAATGAAGTAAAACAATTTTTGTTGACGTAACTTTGGCGTTAGATGTTGTTGATGCAAAACTAATTTGAATTTGACATCATCAGGAATTTTTGTGACTAAATTTAAGCATCTACATGGTTTCCATTATCGTTGTGCTTATAATAAATATTTGATGTGACACAGAAAAACTTGCTATCAAACGCAAACGTTAAAAAAGAATGAAAAAGAAATTCTCGCGAGATCATAAATAATTTCACCTTAACATAAATCATTTCTGCGTCAACTTAGCTTAATGCTAACACCAAGCAGCTGATGAACATACCGAGTACTTGAATGCGACGAGAGTAAACCAATATGAACGAAGTGAAAAAAGCTTAACTTGGAAGCAGAGCGAGAAACGCGTCATGTACACAATGTGAGGTGGATTATGCTCTGTTAAATATTGAATTTATGTGCAGCCATGAAAGTAAGCTATCAAAGCTTTCAGTTTTTATTTTTGTATTCAGTGTTGCTCAGAGATTCACGTTTCGGGTGTGTATGATTAATTGATTGGATTTATTATTTATATACTCTTGGATGTGTGTTTGGTGTTCGGATAAACTCGTAACACAAACCGGATGTTATTGTTGCATCAGGTGTGCCATGATAGTGTCAGATTTTTATAGAAATTACTTTGAAATAATAAAACTTCATCGAATGCTTGACAAATTTCATTAATCTGTCAAATTTCACGAATAAATGTTTAGTAAAAAAAAAACTTCATGACTTTCCGCATGACTTCAGAACTTATATTTAAATTTTGATTTTCTACTTTTATTTATTTCCATTTCTAAAAGTAAAAAAATTAAAAACATTGAAAAAATGTTTCTCTGCATGACCACACGCCGTTGCTGTTGTAAAATTGACTCTGGGGGGTAAACTCGTACGGTCCTTGGTGCACATAAAAAGTGGGTTGTAAAAAAACATTATTTATAGTTAAACAAACTTTTCATTTTTATATCAGTTGGTAGATGGATTTTCCAGTGAAAAAGGGAATTTTTATTCATGACGTCACTAAAGGTATGTTAACATTCTCTTCGTCTTTAATGGTACAGTTGAATATCTTAGAAGTTTGCTTCGTTGCTATTTATTGTAAAATATTTTCATCATTTCATAAAGATTTTCCTGAAAAAAGTTTAACCAAGTAAAATAAAAAGAAATGTTTCATTCTACTGTATTTAATTTATTTATATAAAAGAAGACAATATTTTAGAACGATCACGAAACTTTGAAATAACGTCTTCCTGTTATTCACCCATAAAATTCCGTGAAACTATAAATAATGCATAAGATCCTTATTCAAAAGAAGAAAAACTTGAGAAGCGCCTTTAATGTATATTCATCTTGCACAGAATAATGGGATAAGACTCTTGTGTGTGCAACATTATTCAGATCCATTAACATTGAATTATTGATTGGGAAATTGATGCAGTACAGAATACGAAAGAGAAGAAGGGTGAGTCGTCGTCGTCGTTTCTCCCTCAACATGTTCGTTGATTGTAAATTTTCAATAGAAATCTTTCTATTTTCACGAAAGGGAAAAATTTCCTTCTTTTCATTTTTCAAAAAGAAATTTTCCCTAACATTCATAGTGAACACATTTTTCCATTAAATCCCGCTCATGTATAATTTATAACGATGTGGTGTCAGATAATTGAAACTGAAGTGGTGACTAAAGGTCTGTTCATAATTCCCATTAGGTGTTTCATTTTGTGATGTCGTTGGTTGTCGTTAGATGTTGAAATGTACCGTAGCGTTCGATTGAGTTTCGTAGTAGAAATGGGAATAAAAAAAAAGTTCAGAGACATGAAATGTTAAATAGCCATGAGCTTCAGAGATACCTTCAAGTTGGTCCATGGATGGACAGACAAACGATGGAATGGACAAAATTTGACTTTCTATCTCCAGAGAAAAGTCAGTAAAAGTGATGAAATAAAAGCACCATCAAGTTTTTGTTAAAACAAACACATCATCATTCACAATCTCTTTCCTATCTCAATGCTTCTCCACGTTATTCAATAACATGTGTTTCAACAACCTCGACATCGAAGATGAGTGCCTTAAAAAGCAGATAAGATGTGTTTTTCCAATATTTTCAATCTTCACAATGGATTATTATTTTTTTACAATTCCATTGGAAATATTTATATGAATATTTTCTTTTCCCTACGATGCTTTTGAACTCCTGCAATTGATATTTGTGTTCTATACGGGAGTGCTTAGACTACCATTTAAAATATCAATTTATCAAAATAAAAATGAAGGAAGAAGGAATATCTATTGCGAGAAGAATATTTATTCGTCTACATAAAATCTTTCCTAGTCAAACGTAAATAATATGTATGCTAATATTCAGAGAATTTATGCATTTGATTTTGAATATAAATATTGTCGATTTATGGAAGGAAATTTCATACCATTTTGCACTTTCATTTTATTACCGAGAGAAACATATGCGATGAATTAAGTATCTTCGACAAAAGCTGCACAAACGAGGAGACTCTCCTTTTATGTTCAAGCGGTAAGCTGATGAAGGGATACGGCATACGTTGAAAGTCATTAAAAGCAGCTAAGTGGTTTGTTGTTTATGCTCTATCTGTGGTAAGGTTCAATCTAAATATCCACTTAAACGATTCTCGCTCTTCACTTACTTGTGTTATTAAAGCTATTAAGAATAAGAAAAAAAAGGTTTTCTTTTTACACCCTCTTGGTCTTTGATATAATTTTTTTGGAGATTTTCTGTTGTCGCAAGGATTTCTCCTATTAATAGATATGATGAACATACAACTGCAGTGAAATGATATCAACGACAAGATGGCAAGACGCGTGGCACTCCAATATTAATATCGGAGAATTATTTGATATTTCTAATAATTCCATTCAAATACTTAAATAATATTTGAGCAACACTCTAAATGAGGGTGAAGTTCAATATTTTTATTTTAGCGCCGTTTACTTAAATCTCATCAATCCTCCCACCATTGCATCATTATTGAGTTTTCAATTATGGAAGTTGAGTTTGTTTACTTTCAGGATTTAATTAACTTTTTTCAGTGACTTATTGAAAACGAGAAGCAATTTTGAGTTGAGAATCTCTTTGGTTTATTATCTTTCACTCTTTTTTTTGCATACTTTTGAATACCATTCAAGTATCACTTTATGAAATATTCTCGGGATATTGAAAAACTCTTGACTGAGCTGAAGCTGATTTATTATTCAGAACAAAAACAGCTCGAAGAGTGAAGTGTATTAAAGATCATAAATAAGTTTTAGGTCGATTATAGAAAAGAAGGAAGAAAAGAAAATTTTCTCCATCATTCTGATAAATGTATCAACATCGGCGAGTAACATGAAAACTTTTCATGTTGTTTGATTTTGTTGCTTTCTAGAATAAAGAAAAAGTTTGGCAAAGTTAAAGCTTATAATAAATATTTAATTTACGATTAAACTTTGCCACACTGCTAAGTAGCAGGGGGCTGAATCTGATTTGGCTCTAATTTGGCGAAGTTACAAAGTTAAACACAACTTAACTTGTGTTTCTGTCTGTTTTAAGTTCTGTAAATATTGATTTAAGCGAACTTCAAATAATTGATTAGTTGAAGAGATCGTCGAAGCAGCTTGAATACTTTCTGCTCACTGCAAATCATTAAAAAAAAAATTCCAGGAAAATGAATAAATTTTACATTTTATTTCAATTTGTTGCACAATATCGAAAAGGAAACAAAAATTTTATTACTTTGATTTAGTTTCTGACAAATTGATTTTAATTTTACAAAGAAAGTTTCGTGCTCATCCAATTTCATGTTACGTTAATCTAACTAGGAAATAAACAATTTTTTTCATGGAATTCATGACTTGCAAATGAATGCATTTAGGCAACTATGGAGTATTGCTTGACAAGTATCCTTCCAATACCGTCATAACGCTTGCGATAGCTTCCTGAATATAAATGAAAATTTGAGAAAGGTTTTGTTCAGCCTCATTCGTTATATCTTCTATGACAACGTCAATTGAATCGAATCCTATCCTAACGTCTCCGCCATTCAAATAAGCATTCAGTGCTTTAATTGCATTTAAAACTGCCAAGGTTGGATTTAATACTTTTGTTTCATCAAGTAGTTGGTTGACCCTTTCTTCATTGCATATCAACAAAGAATCAAGAGCAGCCAAAAGTGGGGTTTGCAAGTCATTGAATTTCTTAACTGCATCCAGCAACTGTTCAACCATTTCAATCAAATTCAACAATCTACTGGCGGCTCCTTCATCTTCATCTACATTTGGAACTCCATCTAATTCATCGATGATATCTTCTGCTAATTTAAGAATATCCTCCATGAACTCCTCAATAATGTTCAACAATGCTTCAAAGCCATCGAAATTGATATCAGCACATGGATTGCTTGGGAAGTCGATGCTAGCTTTAATATCGTCAAGATTAATTATTACAAATAGTTATGAATTATCTAATTAGTTACTTACTGAAAATCATAGAATTTCCACCACATGTTATTCCACTCAAATTTATTGTAACTAACAATGTTATGCAAAGAATCTTCTTTTCAATCGACATCTTGAAATCACTTTTGAAATACAATCAAAGTAAATTGGATTTGAACTTGCCTTTTATACAACTTTTGGTCGTGCAATTTGAATTTTTTATTGACTATTAAAAGCTTGATAATTTTTTTTCCTGATATCCACAGAGTTGGGTGTTGGATTTGATTTTAATCGATCCAAAGTCTTCCAAATTCCGATCAAAATCGAATAATTTGAGACTTCCAATCTTAAACAATTTATTGCGTCTTTAAGAAGGAGAATTTCTTTTTAAACAAAGACATTTACTGTTATCGTATTATGTTCATCTTATTGAAGGAAAAAAAGGGTGAAATCAAGCAATACGAGATAATTCAGTAAATTGAACTGTCAAAAAGCGAAATGACTTTTCCTTCCCTCCAACAACTTCTCGTTGTCAAATCTTTTTGCTGAAGTCGTAGAAGTTCATTTTTCAATTGGACATTGTAATGTTCATGTCCTTGGAGAAAAAAACTTCCTTTTTTTATAAAAACTGTTTTATTTCTATAAAAGATTTGATTCAAATATCAAAGCAATAAAATATTTCTTACAATTAATTGAGATTTTCTTCTCACTTTTCTGACCTCTCACTGTAAATGAAGGCAGGCGAATGGTGATGGAAAATTTTCTGTCATGGATGAACAGACACCCTAATAAGTGTACATTACTTTACTTTCGATAAAAGAAAACGACATGAAAAATTTCCTTGTAATTGCTGTCGTATACATGTATAAAAAAGCATTGAAGATAAAGACAAGAATTGGTCAGAAATTCTGGAAGAACTCGTTGAAATTCTTTCTTTAACGATCATAAGAGAAGATTAAAAATCTCATGGCAGAAATCTTTTATTTATTGTTATTTTGAACTGGCGATAATAGAAAATTACTCGACATTGCGCTTTGCACCAGAGATAATCTCATCCTTCAACTAACAGAAGAAAAATTAGTTTTCTTTCATACCCTCTAGAGATAAAGAGTGAAGTGGAAAGTTTTCGTTTCCTCAACCCATAAGCACATTGCACATAATAAAAGTGCAGGAAAATTATGAAAAAATAATGATATCCTGTCCACACATTTTATAGCTTGAAGTCTTTAATTTAAAGTTTAGTTCATAGAAGCGGAAGATGATTCAATATCTGCTCTCGTTCGGTATTCTCTTTAGAAATCTTTTTCCTAAGTTTACGAAACATGAAAGAAATCTTTTACTTGAAGCACTTTTTTTTATCGTCAAATCTTGTAGAAATGAATTTAGTCAAGATGGTGCTTTTAAATAATCATCTCATGAAATCTTCCACCTGGATAACTACGATAATCACCATCTTTAAGACAATCTAGTTGGCGAAGGAACAACAAGTTGCATTACAATCTTACAATCATTGAGACGTGCAGCGGATTTTAAATGAATGTAAAACTCTACTAGATGACAACACTAAAAGGTTTAAGAAAATTTTTAATTAAAAACTTTGTACACTCTCGTTAGTGTCGGTATAAACATCAATGACAGGTGTTGGAAGTGTTTTAATAAAGCTGTTTAGTTTAATGTTCTTTTATCTGAATATAAGTTTGCGACAAGTCTCAAAGATTGCTTTCGAGAGTCCCTAAGAAGAACAACGACGCCGAAACCGCTTACTAAAGTAATGAATGCGAAGATGAATGACATAAAAGTTGGGACACTACCGAGATATGAAATCCAACTCAGTAAAAGAATAATGCACAGAATGTGAACAACTTCTTCGAAAATTATCGTTGTCGCTATCGAAACGGGCTTCTCCTTGAGTGGAAACAATTCACCCTTCAAAATATCACCAATCGGACTCAATCCAAATCCCACGAAGAACTCAAGTGGAATGAAGAATATCAAAGGCGTCCAGATGGACATTGATTGATAAATCGACAATAAAATAGAAAATATAAGAAGTAGAAGAAAGATGATGATTGCAGAGATGAAGAATTGCAATCGCTTTGTTAAATTGTCAAGAAAGAGAAAGCCAACAACACATCCAAGCATTCTCGACGCCATCATTATCAGTTGACTGAAGTTTGTGTCCGAAATAGTGAGAAATGCACTCATCAAAACAATTCTCTGAACATTGTGCAATGCATTAAATATCGACAAATAACCGATTTTGAAAAGGAGCACAATAGCAAGTGTATTGATATTATGTTGACTGAAGAACTCGTAGCGTCGCTTCTTCTCTTCAATGATGTAACTAAGCATAGCTTCACTTTCAAAATGTGGATTTTCTATGTTATCTTGTTGAAAGTACAGAAATCTTTCGAAAGCATCCTTCGAGTTATTTTGCATCATGTGGATATGTGACGACTTTAGTTTGAAGTATCCCAACCCGATAGAGACAAGTGTGAGAACAATGCAGAATGAGCCTTTCACTCTCATGATTACAATAAAGTTTGTTCCCAAGCAGAAAATGCTTAACATCAGCATTCCCATGGTAAGTGAAAGATGAAGAAGGAAAATTATTTGTGCTCTCACTTTGCCTGATGAAATTTCTGAAGCGTAGATTATAAAAGTGATATATGATGATCCAAAGCCCAAGCCAAAAATTGTTCTTGATATCACAACAGAAGTGTAAAGATCTGGTAGAATTGTTAGCACTATTGATCCAGTTAACATTAGTAATGAGTTGATAAGCTAGAATTAAAAAGAATATTTACATTCACTCGTATTACAGAACTTTGACAATTTGTATTTACATGAATTTGTTTAATTTCAACACAGTAATAGCTGAAACTTGTCGCAAGCGCACCAAGCATTAGTGAAATGTGAAAACTTGCAGGTAGAAAAAACATTTGAATTGTTGACATGTCAGCAGTGAATGATTGATATCCAAAGAAAATTTGAAATATTCCGTAAGAGAGAAACATTCCACCACTTATCATTGTTAAGTAAGCTAAAACAAAACTCAAACATCATTTTTGATTTAATTTTGCAAGTTAAATTCACCTGGGATCATTGCAATCAACTGTCTCCGATATAACTTAGAAAAAAGAAGATTTGACGTTAATTTAGCGAATGAAAACATTTTTATTCAATTTCCTTAGTTAATTTTTAAATCTTCACAAGTTAAATAAAAAACAAACACTGAAAACATTTATTTTGCTTGGAACTCGATAAACACTGATAACGTTATCACTTTTTCGTCGTCATAAACATTATTGGTGAATGACAAAAAAACGTTGATAAGATAATTGCATTGACTCTTTTCAAGGGTCTCCAGTTGCTTACACGTGAGTTGAATAAGATTTTTCCTTTCCTCGATTTGTCAATGAAAGAAGCCGCCATTCATTTTCCTCCCTTCATCGATTTTTCTTTTTCTGTTCTGCTTTTTATCGTAAAGTCATTATTTCTTATCATCTGCAGATAAACTGACAAAGCAGGTGAAATAAGCCCATTGAACCAGTGCAATAATAGAAAGTCATGAAGTGGGGGTTGAATTCAGAATTCTTTCGCAATGTTTACGACTTTCCAGATCCTTTCCGTAAATAAAATTCACTCGAGAAATCCATTCACATTCTCGATCGAAAGCGAAGGAGAAAAGCAATAAAATCCTTAGATTCTCCCTTAAAACTATATTTTTCCTCACTATCATCTTCAAATTATCGGTGGAAAAATAAATCGTGAAATACTTTTATTGTCTCATGGGAAGTCGAAGGTATTATGAGTGATTTGCGAGTAAAGATGAAGGAAGAATCTTAAGATCTGTTAAAGTCTCCTCTGAGTTTTGTTCTCATTATATTACATCTTTTTCCATCTTTCCGATAATCCTTTTCTTATAAAGGTTAACTCAAACAATGACATCATATTATACTTTGTAATAAAACCTAAGGATATTATGTCTGACGTGCGCTTGTCGAAGCGTAATGTAAACAAGTCGGGAGTTATTTATTGACTCATAATATTTAATTTTCCCTTTGTCGTATCGAAAGGATTTTGGTTTCCTTTCTTACTCTCTTTTATGATTTTACAAAAGACGAATGAACGTAAAAGGCAGATTTTGCAAGGCTCTTTCATTCATAAAATTTTAATAACGATACAAGAACTTTTCCCTTTCTTTGCTTTATTTTCTCTTTTTTCTTCTTCTTCCTTTTTTCTTACATTTAACAAATTATATGAAAATGTATACAAAGATATTTGCATGAAACGTCACTTTTGAGATTTTATGAAGATTGAAGATAAACATAATTAAAAAAAGCTTAAGGAGATTCTTTTTTTCATAAATAATCAGATTGAGAAAAGCTTTCATTCTTTCTTTTTATGTTTTAAATGCCATAATTTAATTCAAGATTTTTCTTCTTCATTTGTTTCTAAATTTCTTCATTTTGATTACACGAAGAGTTTTCAAGAATGTTGATCAGCAGTTTATAATGAAAGTTATTCTTAGATTTTAAGTACTTAAAGCTGCTTCAGTACTTGAAATATGACATCATTTTCAAAGTATTCCCTGAGCACATAAGAGATTTGGAAATTGTACATCGTAAGAAACTGTTTCGATTCCTGTTTACCCTGTTTACATTTTGTCGAGAGAAAATTGAAATCTATGTTCCGAATGAATAGTAAAGTTGAATTGAAGACGGATAAAGAGAGAATAGGCAGTTCGTATGAAAGATTTAGGGTGAATCTGGCGTCAATGGATTACATCCAGATCCAATCTGTATCAAAGAAGCACCTTTTGAATCTCTGCATGTTTCACTTGTTATTTTTAATGAAAATTTCATTTATATAATAAACAGACGATGTTCTAATAGAAGTAAAGTCATCCCAAGAAGGACATAATCGTTTCTAAGCAGGATTATGCCAAATGATTATTAAAAGTAGACGAAGACAAAAGAAGGGAAATTGTTATGGACGAAAGAAAAGGTATTTTCTCTTGTTTTTTTATTTCAATGCTTGTATTAATTTACAAAAAGCACTTACTGATGATAATAACTTTGGCAAGAGTTTTAGAAATTTGTAAAGGCGGATTATGCGGTCATATCAATTTACGGAATTAATTTTTCGGTAATACCGCCTAAACACTTCCTAACTCTTTTCTCTTCTCGTTTTTTTATTGTGCTTCAGGAGATTGACGTTGCTTTATAAGATTAACATCAAACCGGATATTTCCTTTCACTCTGAGCAAAATCTTCTTTGAGGATGAATGACTTTTAAGGCGATAAACTCTTATCCGGTGGATTGATGTCAGAGTTTCTTTTTTTATTTAAACAACAGCTTCTGGCAGCTCATTTCCGATACGCTATTCCCGCTTAAACTGGATTAAAATTGAAATTAATGTTGCATAAAATCACGATTGACTTTCAATGATAACAAACCTAATGACTTTTCCGAGCACAGAATTTTATGTTCGATACAATGACGAAATTAATTTATTGTTCTAATATCTACCAACGTTTTACTCATATTTATGTTGAACAAATGATTGAAGCTTCACCATAAAATCATTTATTACCAGTGTGCTGTTGTTGTGGGATTTACTTTTCTCTCTCCTTTTTTCTCTTCCGCCCCCTTTAAACAACAACAACATACCGCAGAAGAAAAATTTAACATGTAACATAAATTTTAACATCTCATGAACACGAATGATGATTGACGATTCTCTTGCTGCTATTTGGCATGTTGCCTCACATCCGAGCTTTATGATTTATGTTGTGAAATTATGATAAAGCTTTATTCTACACTCGTAATGTTGCAATAATTAATTTTTATTTGTGTGTCTCAATTTTGAAAAAGGATGAAATTTAAATTATTTAATTGGCAATTGTGCATGTTGCATTATCAGTCTATGACTTTTAGAGCGTTAAAATCGATGAAATTTCGGAGTGTGGAAAACGCCTGCAGTTATAAATAACAATTAAAAATTAATCACCGATGCTTTATGGCTTTTGAATTGTGTCCGCGTGGTAATTTTGCTGATAAGCATCTCTTTGGTATGTATGTATGAGAAATTATTTCTATAATACTGAAAAGCATTAAGCGCTTAAGCTTTAAAGCATCTTTTTTATGACATTAAAAATATGCTTCACAAGCATAAAATAAAAGAATACAACGCAGCAATATATTTTTCTTTTTCACTTTACGGACATTTTTGAAAGCATGTTCCGGATGCGAATCTTGCAGTCAAATGTGCATTGCTGGCAGCGGAAAACTGGTGCAATAAGCAATGACCGAGTGTGTGGAAAGTTCTGGGAAATAAATTTTTAACATAAAACAAGAAGGAAAAATTGCGAGCGATGGCCAAAAACTATCAGAAGCACAATTATGAGTTTGAAATGGTGACATTATGTCGCCTTGGCTCGCTTTAAGCTTCAAATATCTTTACAGCAAACTTTTAATTCCGGTGCAGTATTTAAAATTGGTTTCAAATGTTTATTGACAAACTTTGCTTTTGCTATTGACCATTCGAGATTCCATTCATGCGAATCCAATTAGAATTTGCTGTCAAATAGAATTTTGTATCTGAAGAGACATTCGCATCCCGTTTTAAACTAAGTTCACTGACTGTTAATTTCATTGGAATGTTTCAAAAGCTTCTCGTCGTTGATTGAAATTTTTTTTCTTTTACCTTTTATCCGAGAATCAATATAATCATAGCCTGCGTTCCATCGCATTCACCTCTGTCGTTGTCATGATCAAAATTGAACCAATTAGTAATGATAGGTAGAGTAGAATTAGAATTCTCTATTTGGATAGACAAAAAAAAAGAATTTTCCCTTTCACATCATAATCACGTTCGTCAAATTTGTTGTCGGTTACAATCATCTTGCAATGTCAAAAACCTGTTCTAACTACATGAAGCGAGAGAATCAGAACAAAAAATTATTTGATAGCACCGCAAAATTGTGTGAGTTCATTGTTATGATTTCAAACAGTTATCATGATCATATTCACGTTTATGTTGAATTATTTTCTTCGCACAGTGTGAGACTTTGAAATGATGTTACAATAAAATGAACATGTAAAATATTTCGACTGAATGTGAAGCAGCATCAACTACTGCATTCATGTTGAGTTTCATTCTACAACATCCAACAAATTCTTTTGATTGCTTTTCGTGAGAATGTCGTTTAACACCCTCATAGGAATGACGCTTATGGCGTCATTTGAATAAAAACCGAGAGAAGCGTTTACCACCCGAAGTAAATTTAAATCGCCAGCAAGATGAGTAACCAAGATAAACATTTTTATTACTGGAATCTCACCGTAACCATCCCAGTAGTACATTCTGAGTCCCGATTTCCAATCTGCTAATGTATTCTAAATCCTTTTCCCACTCTTTTTTGGTCGGCCATAAATTTTTGATTTCACAAATATTCTGACAGGTCAATAAAAATAAGCGAAAAGGCTGTGTAGGCAAAGTTGGTGGGCGATAAATGCTTTTTCTTTCCTTTTTTAAATAAAAAAGGGACTCGAAACGAAAGCCGTTTAGATCGTTTTCCGTTCTACAAACAACATCCACTTCTCGATTTTCGGCTGAGAGCTGCTTACACTCTCGACAAATCTCATTTTCACAATCTTTATGTCTTCTTTATCAACTAAAGTGGACAGTAACGCTTAAAGATTTATACGAGCGTGAATATGTAAGCAAAGCAAGCCAAGAAGATCTCAAGATCCGATTTGAAGACGGTTGTAAAAAAAAGCGAATAAAATAACTTCTACGTTTAAGGATTTATCTCTTAACTGTCAAGACAAGTTTAAAGTCTTTTTCAACTTACCCAAAGCATTTTTCCGGCATAAATATTTTCATTGCTTCAACTCCACAGCATTATCACGTGTAGCAGTTTTAGATTTATGCTTCTAAACTTTGCAATTTGCTTACAGCTTCGTGCATTTGAGTCGTGCTTAGATGCAACTTTATACATATTAAATGAACTGGAATTCAGACTTTTACTTATGCTACGTTCATAATTGATAAACATTTCTTGCTTTCTAAGACAAATATTACTCTCAATGCTTAACATCCTAAAGATTCTTGTTAGTTATCTTCACTAACAGTAGCAGCACGAGTAAATTTATGTGAGCAAACTTGAGTCGAAAGTTTACTCCAATGGAATAGCAAATGCTTCCTAATTGTAGCCTCTGCTTTGAGTTCTGTAATTAGTGTTTGAGTAAAACAAAAATCAACTTAAGATAAAAATTCTTTTCATCATAAAATTTAAAACTTTGAAAAGTATAAATCCTTTGTTGTGTAACCGACCAATATTTGGGAACAATAAAAAGCTGTTTATTTAAAACTAACATAACAGAACACAATATGTAAAGCGAGCAATTCTTTTATTTTCTCATCTTTTGTTTAAACTTTTCATAGTAAAATTTACCACAAAACTTCTCACATCCAAAAAGCTCTTAAATCAAGTACAACATTCAAGTTTCATTTGCGATAAGAAATAAGAAATTTGAATTTTTATAAACTCTGAAGAACATAAGCAGAAAATTCTCTTATATCGTTTGCTTGTTGTTCAAATAAATTCCTGAAGATACCTGCAGGTCTTTGACTCGTCTGGAAGATTTTTTGTAAATGTAAAAATGTTCACTTGACTTGCTTACAAATTTAAACATTTCAAGTTGAGTTAAATTGTGAGACGGATGGAATAAATTCAAGTCGAGTCGAGGGATTGTTTACCTGTAAAGCAAAAGAATAATTAATGAAAGGCTGTTAAAAAAGGGGGAGTTGGGATTATTTAAAGACATCTCTTGCTTCACGTGAAGCTTAAGATGGTTTTGCGGAGGAAAAATAGGTTTTTGTGTAAATTAAGGATTTACTTTCTATTAATCTAACTCGCTTTTGTTTCAACCCCGAGCATGTTAAAAGAGTTAAAAATGCTATTTAAAAAATTGAATCTCATTATTCAGCATGAAATTGTTAAATGAAAACTTTTTTTGTTGTATTTCGTATTTCGCTTTGGAAAATAATGCGCGAGCAATATGCTGGTGTGCCGAACATGGAAAGGATGAAATATGGCAAAGCAGTAATTTAACTTGTGTCAGACGGCATTTGTTCATTATTTTAATGACTGTCGTTTTTTTCCTTCTTCATCTCTCAACTCTCTGTTTCGAAGCAGTTTCTTGATGCTTTTAACAAGATAGCTTATTAATATTATTGTGCTTTTATTTGAATATTTATTTAAACCGCCTACACTTCTGAGTGGCATGAAATACGATCGCAATTACTCAATGTGTCAATATTAGTAAAAGTTGATGGTTGTTACAATTTACATGAAGCTTCAATGAGAAACCAGTAAAAGTCACGCCACTTACAAACAAATCGAAGACGAAAAATGCTTCAGCACTTTCCAACACATATCGCTGTAAGTGAAATGCGAAATGTTATTGTTGAATATCATCAATAAATAAAAAATTCGCGTCGAAAACTGTGCAGAGCATAAAATTTTATGTTTATTTCTTCGTCAACTCGTATCCTCGTTTTTGACGACTTTCTGACTTTCACGCAGTTTGTGTTTATGGCACATTCAATTCTCGCAACGAAAAATATTTCTTATTAAAAATTTGCATGATATCAAAGCGACAAAGACTTTTCATATCTCGCCTCGCGTATTATGAGATTATTATTTTCATGGAATTGAATTCATGACATGACGTGACAGTTAATATTCAATTTTTTAATGAAATGACAGCCAAAGGATTTCGCTTAAAATTTATGAATCATCATGATTCTTTGAAGTTTTAGAAATGCTCGAAATGAAATGAGAAAACCATTTCCAAATGGTGTTAACATATCAGCATCAAATAATTCGCTTAAATTGAGAGTTGCGCAAGAAGTAAAAAGAATTAACTTATCCCCATTTTTACTAAAGCATTAAAGTCAGATTAAATCTTTATCTCGAGAGAAAAGGCCGAAGTTACATAAATTCCTTGTTCATATTGCCAAGTGAAACCCTTGAAGGCACATTACATAGTTGCTTGGCTGATAAGAAAATGGAAATATCTTCTAAGATTTCTAGCAGACATTTCTTTTCGAGATTCGCTTAAATCAGAAGAAGAAGTTTTTTGTTGTATTCTAGCTGCTAATCCCAACATCTCGACGAATAACAAGAGAGAAAGGAAACAATAATAATTAGAAATAAACACATAATCACATTGAAAAGACTGAGTGTGAGCCCTTAAGCTGTAATGCTAAAGAAAATTTCATACGATTCAATTTTCGCTCGCTTCTATTGTTTCCAAAAGCGTGTTTATTCTTTAATTGACTTCACCCCGAAAACTACATTATCGTATTAAGTTTGGAAATGTTTTCTTCTTAAGTTTGTTTCTTCTTCTTCTCTTAATTGGGTCAAACAACCATAATCGATAATCGTGTTCGAGTGTCTTAATGGGGAAAGTTGTTGTGCAACACTTTGTCAGTGTAACAATAGATTATTGAGTTGAAGGGAATCTTAGTAAACTTCTCTATCTGTGCCATTCACTTTGAGTAGGTTCATAAAACTATGGAACATGCTCAAGTAGCTGAAGTGAGAAGTGTGCTTGAGAAAACAATCTTTCTGAAACTTGTGTTGAAACTCACCTGTAACAACAGATATGAAGATTATTTAAGTTTCAGTTGAGACAAGTTGTTGTCGATGTCTTTCATGTTCCATGAATTCACTTTAGCCTTAAGAGAAACATTTTTGTTTGGAATTTTAATTAAGAACAAAATCTGGTAAGATTTTCGAATAAACATCTTATAATTTTCAACAAGGAAAGGCTTTTCATTAAAGTTCCACCACATTTATTCAACGCTTGGAGCGATTTGGTAAAAAAGGATTTGTTGCTGTAGCGACTGTTGTTGAATGTAACAAAGCAACAAACATGTGAAAAGCGACTTAAAAATTCACAAAGAAAACATAAAATGTTCCATAAAGTTTCGTTGAATAACAAGAATGTTTGAATAGAAAGAAGCAAAATCATCTCATAACATGTGAATTAAAATTGTGAAATAATGTAAAGAGAAAAATCCTTTTCTGTTTATTTTTTAATTGCTCTCATGTAGCACAATATGATTCTCGTTGTTGTTTGTAGTAAAACATTAGCACATTAACTGACTTTTGTTTCGATATCTCTCCTTGAACGTTTGTTGGCTTGTTAGTTTCAGTATTTATCAAACATCTTTTTTATTCTCGTTAAAATTTCACAATCAGCATAACGATGTCATTTCGTGACAGTTTTGTTGCAGTTGTGAGTTTGTTTGTTGGATAATGTGATAAAAGTTTTTAATGATAATAAAAGAAGCTATTTAAAAAAGCATAATCTCATCGGTGGAAGTGAAATAATGGCCACATTGCTTCTCATGATATTCAATTATGCGAGATTGTCGCCGCGTTTTGCTTCTCTGATCATGATTACAACTTACTTGCAATGCAGTAGCATTTTGATGATGACGAACGAGCATTAAGAATGAGCATTATAACTTCACTGACGGAGAAAAGAAAAATGATTTTTATGATCTACTTTTACAACTTATTTTATGCAACATAAAGCTGTCGGTGAAAAGGGAGCGACGAGCGAGAGCGAAGTGATTTTGTGAGTTGAGTCGTCTGTTTTATGAGACATCGTAATGCAATAATTTTATTTTTAGCGGTGATATCATTGCATTCGGAGACAATGTTGAGGTGATTATGTGTTTCGACAAAAAAATTCTCTTCAGAATGACAAATTGTTTTGTAGCTGTAATAAAAATTCTTTATTTATTATTTTTAAAACTCTAATTTTAAAGTTTTCTGAGAATGTTTAGAAATTTTATACTTTAATGTTGAATATGAAATCAAGACACTGAAGGCTAAATATAATTAAACATTCTTAGTGAAACTCAATGCCGATGTAAAATATCATTTTAACAACCATAAAGTTGTACAACTGCTGTACAATATCAAAAGAGAATCTTCTCACAATTTTCCATCATCACTTTCTCGTGTTTCTAATTATGCGTCATGACTGCATCGTTGATGCAACTGACAGATGTAGCAAGCCCAGAAGCACATAATTCTTTCCCAAATTAAAAATCACTTAGATGAAGCGACAGAAAGTGAAATTACTTTCCGTCGTGACAACGAATGAGACGTTCCCGTCATGTCTTTTGTTTGATGCCAAGATGAACATTGCAAAGTTTCCTTTTTTTATCGTGAATTTCTAGGCGTACATTTCGTTACTTTACCATTCTTGACGTGAGGAGAAGCAAGCGAAGTGAAAGATAGATTTGTTGACTGACATGTCAACTTAGAGACAGAAGCACAAAAGAAAGATGCGACGACAAACAAAAGCACGAATGCCACTAAATGTAATTAAACGAGAATGAATATCAAAAAAAGGAATGAAAAATGTAGCACAAGCAATGTAAACATCACCAAGGCAACAATGAAAGATTGAGTTAGGAAGACTTTAGTTACGTCAAAGACCAGCATAAGAAATGAATTTCTATGTAAATAGCATAAGTAAAAAATAAGAAAGAAGAGATTGATAGACTTTTAGACTTACAAGGAAACGAGCTGGAAGCAAGATGGAAGAAACATCTCGAGAATTTTCACTCACTTGCTTAAGACGTAAGACAACAAACATCATGCAGAAGAAGTTGGAAACAAAACAAATGGCTTTTGATATTGAAAGTCTTGTTAATGGAATCGTAAATGTGAATTTATTTTCTTTACTTTCTCTCATGTCCAACTGCTTGAGTGTGCTGTTGATGTTGATGATGTAACATGTCGAGTGAATCAAATTTTATTGAAACAATTTCTTTGTGATTTCCTCGTGTCATTGTTTTTTAAATGAAAGAAGCAGAGTTGTTAATTGATTCATCAAATGGAGATGAACATATTGAAGAAGCTATAATAATAAATGAATTTTATTTTTCAAGCTGTCCAGAAATAAATTTCAATTGACATCCCTGTAAACAAAGTCAATTAAATCGGTGGGAAATAATGCAATTGCACTAAGCCTCATGCGATCATGTGCAGATAGAAAGCAGGCGTTGGGTGAAGTTTAAATAAGTTGGTGACCTTTTATTATTATTACATATGAAACGGGAAAGGAAAGCGAGAATTGCTTCGGATATTGAATAATGCATACAGCATGTGAAAACAATATTCACAAGATGTTTCTTATCGAAAAAATATTTCGGATTATGTGTTTTCTAGAAGTCTATATTGTGTTACATCAATCATTATAAAAACAATATTTATTCTGGTTCGAGAGAAATAAAACTTCTGAATCGGAGTTGTAATCGGGGGGAGAAAATTAGTCATGCATTTATAAAAATGGTTTAAGACAATATGTGAAATTCAATTGACGAGAAGTATGAATGAAGGAAGGGAGATAGCTACACGAAAGTCATGTGCTACTACTAGCTTCTGTCGTCATCCCTCACTCTACCAATGCCAATGCAATTCTTTTATTTCCGTGCACGCTGCTTCGATATTTTTCCATGTGTCAATCAAAATTGAAATTTCATTTCTTCCTTATTCTTTTGGTGGAGGGCGACATGAACATAAACTTGAAAATTCTTTCTTATTATTTTTAGAAAAAGGCAGCAAATCATGTCAAATCGTATTTGGGTTTTTGTGCATGAAGCGTTTTTCCTGCCATGTGTTGTTATGTGACTTGAATTCATAAAACGATAAAGATTGTCTCGTTAAGTTGTGAAAACATGATTTTATGTTTACTATTAAAGCTATAAAGTTTTAAAACGATTTATTTTATGCATTTGCGAGAACAATTAATTAATAAGGACAAACCTGATTTATCTTTCATGTCGCCGCGTTCTACATTGATTGCTACGTTATTATTATGTCGATTGTACACTGAAGATAGAAGGGCGCTGGCAAAAGCATTTAAAATATTTAAAGATATGATTGATAAATGACGGAAACAATTCATTCAAGTGCAAAACATTTTATTAAGCCCTCGAGACTGAATGATAGATTTCATGCAAATTTAGCCAATTCCAAATAAAAAAAAATTAAATCTCTTCGGACGAGACACAATATGATAAATGAGAGCGTTGAACGGTTGAAAGAAATAAGTAAAATAAATTAAATTACTTGTCGACCGACAAAAGAATGATGCGGAAAAGAAAACTGCGGTGTCTCATCAAACACCAAGCAAAGCAAGGCATAAATGAAATAATGAAATGGGGGATTTAATTTTAGCGTCGCTTTTTTTACGCTCTGTAAAGAATGAAAAAAAAAATGAAAAGCACTTTTATGGGTGCGTTAGCAGATAACGAATTTAATAGAATATTAGATAATGATCTGAGTGAATCAGAGAATGTTGAATTTCTCATTATTCAGCATTTTTAAGCTCAAGACGAAAACAAAATATGAGCTGATGATACTCATAGAATCATAAAAAATTTATGAAAGAAAAAATAAAGAAATGTTTTCTTGAGCATGAAACTTCCGGATTAAAATTTCGTTTCTGAGATGTTAAACATCAGAAGGGGAACAGCGCAAGAGTTCGTGTTGATTACGAAACGGCAACATGGAAATCAGAGCGAAATGAAAAGGTTTCCTTGTTTGTTTGTCTTATTGAACAAATAAAAGAAGATTATGAACTCCAACAATTCCGACTTTCCAAACCAAACAATTATTTTATGTTTGTTAATTTTGATTTTCGGGTGAAATGAATTAAATTTTCCGACATTTCTTCTCTTTTTTTTCTGTGCAACAATATCAAATATTTCTGAAATTTAAATTCGGTTGAGGAAGTTTTCCCTCAAAAAGTAAACAAAATGAAAATTCAGAAGTGCAAGTAAAATTTTTAATGATTCATTTCTTCAATCTGGGTCGAATGGAACTTTTTTTAATTTGAATTCTTATAAGTTTCAAAAGTTTTTGATGAAAAATAAATTTCAATTAATAAAGAAGTAAAGTTTTTGAAGAGTTGTTAGTGTCTAGTTGGTTGTTGTGAATGAAATTGAAAGAGTCTTCAATATTTCTATGATAATAAATCGATGTTATTGTCAGTAAGAATCTCTCCAACATTATCTCGAGTTTCCTTCTCAATTGATTTGAGTCTTGTAGTTCGTAACATGAATACTAATCCTATTATCTGTAACACTTGGCTTTCCATTGAATTGCAAAATTTTAATTTAAGTAGAGCACAAAAGTGCACTTACAGGTTTAATACAACTTGGTACTTATTTTAATTCCATGGATGCTTTATCTCTTGTATGGAAATCTTATATTTGCATAAAGGTGTGTTAAAATTCAACTTCATTAGTTTCAATTAAACATTCCCATTTAAAATTCAAGAAAAAGCTAATGTCTTGATTTATGTCACTTGTTAATTTACTTAAGACATGTTTTCTTATATTTTTAATATAAACTTGCTGCTGTTTTTCACTTAAGCAAGCTTTTAAGTGGCATAAAGTGGTCTGAAGTTTGTTTCTTTCTCCTAAGTCGTAAATGTTCTGCGTAATTGAAATTAATTTGAGAAAGTTCGCAGTGATTTTTAAGAAATGCTAAGTGAAGTTAATGAGAATGTGGAAATTAATTAATTTATTCAAATTAAACTTCGATCTGCTTGCCACAGATTGTAGCAATTTCACATCATGTTTATAAACTAATTAACGTTAATAACAGGAATTTCATCATCATAAAGATATTAATATGATAAAGTTATTAAAAAAAAGTGAATAATTATGAAATGTAAATTTGTTCCGTAATTAAAAAAGTTTTGTGGTCCACCATATTAATATATGCTGATTGCCCGAGCATTGAAATTAATGTTCAGTCATTGGAGAACTCGTTTCGTTTTCAAATCTTAGAGTTTTTTCACTTCTTTCTTTTTTTTCGTTTTCTAAGAACCTCCGATTATTAATAATCGCCAATGCGAATGAGATTAAAATCGCAGACACATTAAAAAATATATCATTGGATTTCTAAGAATTAGTTTTATATTCACGTTGCGATTCTGCACTGCGATCAGGGAGATGAAAAGAACAATAAATTATGAGTTCTTTGTGAAAGGAGAAGTCAGTTAATTATAGCGTATCGTTCGGATCTAAATATTTTTGTTGCGTTTTATGCATTCATTTAACCTTTTTTATTGATTTAAAATTAAAAACTTTTTGCTCAAAACTATCAATGCAAACTTTTATTACCGAATGCAGTTTTTTTTTCAAAGAAACTGTAAAAAGTTTACGAAGCAAGCGCTGCTGCAGGCGAATTAGTAATTGGAAGAAAATTGTTTCAATAAAAAATAAATATTTCAATCTTCTGAGGTTTCTTTTGTTTAATCTTTTCATGATTCACACTTTAGCTCAGAACATAAAAAATGTGAGTGCATTGAAGGCAAGTAAAATGAATGAAATCTTGATAACATTCGACTCATCACATGACGGTGACTTTGTAAATTTCTCCGGTCCAAGACATGTCGCATACATCATCGCGTGCGCAATGTAATGTTGTTCATAAACACCTGTGAAGAGGTGCGAATATGGTCCGATGGCATAAACACCGACGTCGTCCCCAGCATGTGTCGCTTCATTCAAGGGAACCGTTGTCGGATGCATGAAGAGTGGATCGTTGAAGTCCATGTCAAGTGGATTGTTTCTTCCACTTTCATTAAAGTGTTGCGAGAATCCCATTCCATTTGCATAAGAGAGAGTAAAGTACGGCATTTCATCTTCAGGTGAGAAGCCTCCAAGTGCGAGAATGTCATGCCTTCCTATGAAAAATGTTAATAATTTTACAAAAAAAAAAGAATTTCTATTTAAAAACACTTTGCTAACTCTTTGGATAACCGCTAACTGTCATCGTATGTGAATGATCTGCTGTGACAACAATTAAAGTTTCTCTTTCATCTACTTGTGATTTAACATAATTCACAACATTGTGGAACTGCACAGTCTCTTCAAGTGCTAATTTAGCTCGATTTTTATGATGACCGTGATCGATTCTTCCATTCTCAATCAACAGCACATAACCATTTGGATTCTTTGCCACCATTTGCAAGGCTTTTAACGTCATTTCAATCAATGTCGGTTCGACAGTTTTATCATTAAACAAATGATATTTCATGTGACTTTTGCTAAAAACACCAAAGAGTTTATCGATGAATTTGACGTTGGCTCTTTTCAGAGAATTCTGGCGATAACATGAAACGAATGAAGTTTTATAAACGGAACAAGAAAGTTACGAAACATTTACCCGATCGTAAACAAAGTCTGAGCGACGTGTTGTCAAAAGCATTTCTTTAATTAAATCTCTATTGTCGGTACGAACTCCAACTCTTCCATGCGGATCATATTTGTCGGCTGGAAGGAACTCTCGATAACCGCCACCTAAGACAACGTCAAGATTTCTTCCAATATTCCCGTGAATTAATTGCAATGCGATATCGTCGCAACCTGGAGGTGTTTGCGAATCATTCTCAAAATAACGTGAAGGAGAATTCGCATAAATTGCTGCTGTTGTTGCGTGGGTGACTCTTGTGTTTGTAACAAATCCAGTTGCTTTCTTGGCATCTTGAGCGTACTTAAAAATTGATTCAACATGATTTTTCTTGACAGATTTCGAACTGCAATTGTATCTTCTATTAGAAGCATCTAAAGAAACCACTCCAAAGTTTGTCTTAATTCCACTTAAGAAAGCTGTCGCTGAGCATGCTGAATCAGCCACTTGACTATCAACACAATATGTCTGAAAGAATAATTTGCACTTCACAACTTTAAGGAGGAAAAGTTTTCGGTTTCACCTTTGAAAGTCCAACGTACGGGAATTTCTCAAAAGACAAAACTTTCTCTTCACCTCCCATGTACATCCTTGTTGCCATCTGTGTAGGGATCGACATGCCATCTGCTACTAGAATAATCAAATTTTTTGCAACGTTTTCATTCATAGATTTCTTTATATTATCTTCAAGTGTTTTCTGGCCGGAAAGCTGCCAAAAATCCGGAGAATTTTCATTAGAATGACCCACAAAAGGTTTATCTTCATCAGCTAGAGAACATGCTTGCTCAAGATTATCAGCACTTTCTTGACATTTCTCGTTAATCTGTGGAGCTGAAAACGCAGAAGTAATCAAAAGAAACTGAAGAAAATATCTTTTTAACATCCTAATCCCTTCGTTGCTAAATCAAAACTAGCTTTTTGGTGGTTAAATCCATTGATATAATTAACTTCTCTGTTATTTATTATGTTATCTCATGTCAGCTGTCTTTGTCTTTAATCAAGATAATTAAAACATGAGCTTCACTCAATGCATTTCCTATGGCAATCGAATTCAAGTACTGTCATGTTTGTTTAAGTAAGAAAACATTGAAATAGTTTTGCTATAAATTTTCTTTTATTTTCCATTTTGAAGTTTAGAGATTTTCATTTTTGAATTTTAATTAAACTTAAAAGGAATTGAATTGAAGAAAAAATATGAGAATCATAAATATTTGATTTTGAAAAAGGTCAAGGCATGAAAATTATTGAATAGCATTAAGAGAAGAAGGAAATTCAGTGAGTACTTAAAGTGCAAAGTTTTTGATGATTTGTAAAAAGCAGAAAATTTTTATTCAAACGTTATGTCTTGAATACACTTTCGTTAATCAATAAATGGCTTACAATATTCAGTTTACAACCATTATCTTACAAAACTTACGGATAAACAACATAATTACAGCAAAAGTTTGAGATGTTTAATGATTTCTATAGTTAAGAGATACGAAAATTTAATTGTCAGAATCTTTTGGAATTTATGAATTTTTGTTATTTTTTTCAACTTAAAAAGTTTGGAAAATTAAAAATTCACTCGAGATTTGCAGACTTTTTAGTAATAAACACAAGAATTTTGTTTTTTGGTACAAACTAAAATAAATTTCTACAAAAACGAAATCTCTTTGGTATTCATTTTCACACATCAACATTGAGATTAAAAAAGAAAGAAAAAACAATAGAAATATTTTGTTCTACTAAAACTCCCACTCAACTTTTTTTCTAGCTGATTATTTTATGATATTTATCTCAATTAATGTTAATTCCTTATTATTTCATTTCTTTTATCACTTTCGAGAATATGATTTTGTTTTCTTGTTCATTCGTTCCTTTGATTTAGTTCACAAACAGCGATGGTCATTTTCCCTAAATAATTTTTTTTGTATTTTGCTTACAATGAAATTTATTTCGCTAAGTAGATAAGATGTGAGACTCTCACGACTTTATGGTAACTAACGCTCCTTGTTTCTAATTTTTCTCATTATTTTTATTTGGGAAATAAGTTGAAAAGTTATGGCAATTCAGAGATGATGATGATTTAATAAAACAAGATAAGATTATTCGTCAGCTTTGCTCTTGTCGGAAGTGTTGTCGTCAGTTCTAGCTGGCAGTGATGCGTCTTTCACTAGCTCCACGAGGGATATTCTTTTGGGTAATGGTTGGGGATTTGTGATAAGGCCATAAGGACGCAAATGATAAATGAGATATTCGAGCACGTACATTTGATTCGGTGACACATAATGGAATGAAATGGCGTTATCTGAACAGCAATCCATTCCCTCTTTCGAGTCATAATAAATGTACTTCCAGTACCAGAAGTTCTTATCAACGTGACCAGGAATGAGATGATGTTCCGGAACGAAAGGAAAAAATCTTCCACGTCCATTTGAATCACGTGAATCGCCCGCAATGACATTCACTTTCTCAAGACATCGTCCCAGCTCAACATCTTCAGCACCGTCGGCATCTTGACGACACTTTGACTTGTCAGGAATTCCTTCTTCCACAAATCGAATTACGGCTTGTCGACTCAGAACATACCCAGCTCCGCCCGACATATAACCCTGTGATTAAATCTCGCATTAAATTATTTAATAGCAAAATTGAACGTCAATTATCGTCAATCGATAAAGTAAGCTGTAATTCTCAACTTGTATGTTATGACCTTAATTAAGCAGAAGGTTTGTAACAAAAAATTTAATTATGCTTTACAATATGAAACAGAAAACGTTGAGAATCACTGGCTTGATTCCAGATTGAGCTGAATAATTAATGAACGAATCTACAGTGTGATTAGATAAGCTCACCTGCTTAACATATGGCTTAAATTTACAGCCAAAATATATTGGTTGACTAGGTGAGTATTGATACAACATGAATCGGAGATTCTCAACGACAACGTATCTATGAACAGTCAATGTCAATTAACAAATAAAAGGAAAACATTGAGAAAACTTACGTGTCATCATCAGCCTTCAAGATCCAATCAGCTTCATCAAGATGATGTTGATAAACATATTTGAAGGCTTCTTTTGTTTTAGCCCACAGATTATTTCTACCTTCACTTACTGGCAAAGCAACAGAATCTAACTCAGGGTCTTTAGTTGAACTCATAAAAAGAATTTTGTTGCATCGTTTGCCCCAAGTTTTTTTCACATGAATGGCTTTTTTCTTGTGATTTTTTGGGCTTGTCATCACCCAACAGAGTATTTTCACTTCATTGTAAAGCTGACGTGCAACGGTAGTGTTTTCATAAGCATGAGTATCATCGTGAATTTCATGAAATCCAACATCTCCCTCTGGTCCAAAGGCATTGGAGAGATCATGTCCAAAATGTGGGTCACCGTGCATAGGCGCGTAATCTGACTTTGAAAAGGAACGATTTGGTGAGAATTCCATGAGAATTGCAAGGAAAAATCCCAAAGCAACACCGAAGAAAAGCGTTACGACGTTGAACTTTCTTGCCGCTGGGCCATGCGATCGAAGCGTTGGAACTAATTGATTGGAAATTTATATTTGAAAGTTTACATTTCACTTAAGAATTCTTAATGATTTATGTAAATACCTTCACCGTTCATAAGCTTGTACTTCACATCGCTGAATTTCATTTTGTATTCTTCTTTTTTTCTTTTTTGGTTTTAAGCGTTTACTTCTTTTTACAACATGAGAATTCGCTTTTGAAAATTATCTGCAAACGATACTATAATCAAAAAACAAAACCCACACTTTGTAGCAACTTAGCACGTTAGCCAATCTAGAATCAACTGGAAAATTACGATGTTACAATTGATTTACAGAGCGTTCATTACCGTCTCGTTCATAAATAAAATAGTTTGTCACATTATCATGCTCAATTGCAAAGTATTGTTTATTCAACTGACCGGAAAATTACCGATTTCATATTATTAACTGATATGTTACACTGACAGAGAAAACAATGCACTTCTTTTGTTCTCTCATAAATCTAAATTGAAGCGTTGTGAAAGTCAAGTGGAATTTAAAAATAAAACTTTTACAGATAAGAAATTATTTCATTAAAATACAGAGAAACGTAGATAGATTATCCGACAATGTTTTTCGTTGCTCTGATCAAATAAACATATGAAAAAAGCGCTAAACTTCGCGGATGTTTGATGTTATCAGCGATTTGCTTTGATGCCTGCTTATTATAACACAAATTAACAATTCATCTATCAAATTTAATTAATTATGTATGAATTTGATACACAATGAAATAGAAACTGAGCCTACTGCCTAAATCTTTTGTCTGCCTCTAACTTTTGATTCTATTCTGTAATCTAATTCCACTTTTTGTTTGAGCTTCCGGTGTTTGTTTTTAATATAAAATCGCAGAATTCATAGAAAATTACACAAAACTAAAGAAGAAATTCCTAGGATTTTAATAACTTAGCTGATTACTTTCACTTTCTCTTTTTCATGAGGAGTATTTACTTTCCTATAAGATTCAGTTTATCAGACATTGTATAATCTTTTAATTACACAAATCTGGTCTTACACAATTTTAATTGTTTACATTTGTAATATTGAAGTTATGCCATATTTACCACTTAAACTATTAATATTTAGCGACATTTTACATTAATCTCTTAACTTTGGAACTTTTTAGTAACCATAGAATGTGAGAAAACTATTTAATTATATTATAAATGTATAATATCAATAAGAATTAAATTTAAGATTATCGAAAATATTTTTTCTCTCTTGTTATTGATATTTGAACGCACTCCAAGATGTTCAGAATAGAACATTTTCAAATTAATGGCGGGAAATGAATAAACGTTAGATTTTGCGAGAATAGAATAACTACGGAATTCTTTAATCATTTATTTTATTTATTTAAGCTTACCATCATCGTAATCGAATGTTTAAAATGATTAAAGAAAATATATAAAATTAAACCTTGCGTAACTTATTAAATGTGGCTTGGCTTTCCATATGGAAAAAAGACGCGTTGTACATAGTCAGATGATGATAATGAAAATTTCTTCTTAAATTACTTGGAAATTGAGTTTATCAAATTTCAATTGTCAACAAGAAATGTACGCAAATTAAGCTAAAGTATTTTTGTATATTTTTTGATAGTGAAATCTTAGGGTTATCAGAAAAGGTGGCAATTAATGTCTTATTTCTGAATAATCACAAAAAGTTTGTTCTTAAATCAAAGCCTTGACACAATGAATAAAAATATTTTACAAATGATATTGTTAAAAAATTTTATATTCTCTTTTTCGAATTGGATGACATTACAGATTGCTTACAAAACAATGAGAAAACTTAATTTAATGCAGTAAGATTTCATCATAAATTTGTTTAGCCATGGAATCCTCCGAATCCGCCACCACCTTGATTGAAGGTTTGAGATGAAGCACCGGCTTGAGCAGCTGAACCTGAAGCACCGAATCCACCACCACCACCATATGGGCTGAAACCGCCACCACCTTGGTTGAAGGATTGTGTGCTAGCAGCAGCATTGGAAGAAGCCCCTGAAGCTCCGAATCCACCACCACCGAATCCTGGGTGTCCACCAAATCCACCACCGCCTTGATTGAAAGTTTGCGATGAAGCACCAGCGTTAGCGGCTGTGAAAAGAATTTATTATTTTAATCGATTTGTCATTTAACTTTGGGATTATTCCCTAGAATATTTAAAGTTTATTGTCTCACCACTTCCACCGAAACCACCACCGAATTGTGGAGCTGCGCAAGCAGCAGCAATAATCACTGACAGAACAAGTAAAAATTTCATCGTTGTGGCTAGAAAACACGAAATAAGGTAAACTCTTAATTCTGCTTAGACTTTTATACCAAATTTCGCGACCGATGTCTCAAATTCATGGGAGAAACTTTCTTAAGTATTTACTTGAGTTTCGCTCAATTCTACTTTTGCCAAAAAAAAAGGAAGAAGATTAGGTTTTCAAACAGTATTAGTGACAAAAAGAAATTCATTATAAATGCATTTTAACCAGCCGTCAATCCCTTCTTTAATCCAGGTGCACATGAATATAATTGTTAAAGATTTTTTTAGTTTCTTGGGAATAAATAAAATGAAGCTGCAGGTGCAGAAGTGATTGGAAGAACATTCCTTTCGCTCGGTTCAAATTTTAATACAAAAGCAGGTGCATTTTTGTTCAGACCGACCAAATATTTTAGAATTAAAACTTTTTCTTTCTCCGAAACTCTACACTCATGTTCCAAAAGAATAATAAATAATGACGTACAGGAAAGAAGAAAATTTCACGAGCATAAAAAAGAAGAAACAGACAAGACAGAAGAAACAAAAAAAGACGAAATTGTTCAGACAGAAGAAGTTGGACCTCTTAAACTGACTTCTTGTTATCAGTTATGACGACTCGAATAAATCTGAGTTCTTCTTTGGATTGAAAACATAAATAAATGAAATATTTTATTAAGTAAAACTTTCATTCAACAGTGTTATAGATATTATGACAAAGAATTTGTTTATCCATACCTGCAAATTCTTAGATTCTATAAATATTCTTCTTTAAATAAGTTCAGTTTTCTGAAAAACTCCACACTAATATTCGAGAGTAATGACTTATAGGGAAGACGAATATTCCACGAGCATAAAAAGAAGGAACAATGTCGATAAGCAAGAAGCGAAAAAGACGAAAAATATTGTGAAAGACCAACGTTGGACCTTTTAAACTGACGTCTTCTTATCAGCAATGACGACTTTAATAAATTTGGCTTTTGCCATTACACTGAAAACAAAAGTTACGTATCGCAATTATTTCTTGGAATATTTTTATTTAAATTTTATTTATTCAGTAATTTATTTAACGGGAAATATTTTTTTAACCGTGGAATCCGCCACCACCGAAGCCTCCCTGGCCGTATCCTCCATGACCGCCATAACCGCCTGGGTATCCGCCACCATGGCCTCCGAATCCACCTCCCTATTTAAAAATAAATTATGAAGACTATTTCCATCATTTTAAATATTATTTTACTTGGTTGAAGCTTTGACTGCTTGCAGCAGCATTAGCTGATGAAGCTGAAAGTCCGCCACCACCGAAACCGCCATATGGGCTGTATCCACCACCCTGGTTGAATGTTTGCGATGAAGCACCAGCATTAGCAGCTGATCCTGATGCACCGAAACCACCACCAAATTGTGGAGCTGCAAAGGCTGAGCAGATGACAGCAAACAAAACAATAAAGAATTTCATGTTTTTAATAACTTCTGATTACAAAGGAAACAAATAACGAACTAAAGCTATTTAAGAATTGTTTCTATATTTTTATACAGAATTTTCCATAAGAATTTCAGAATATTTCGAGAGAAGAAGCACCTAAAGCTGGTTTCTACTCAATTTTTCTTAGACACTAACATAAGTCGCATTTAAATTATTAGTAATATTAGTGCTTGTTGTTGATTGCAATGTTGGTGGAGAGAGACAGCTAATCATTAAAATGCTTCGAAGAATTCTTCTTTTGTGTCAAGGTTACTCATGTCTAAGTCATTGACTTTTTCGGGGATCGCAAATATTTAAGAAATAAAGAAAACAGGAAAAGAAATTAATCTTTAATCTTTGACGTAATGCTGTTTAACAATAATATTTATTCGATTTAAAATCACTCAAGAATATTATTTTTGAGTGATTTTCTTTTAAAAAAAAAGTGAAAAGATGTGTAAGATTTAAGGAGGCTTGGCGGTAAAGAAAAAAAAGTTTCTCTTTTCTATAATTCTGGAAATAGAATAGCAATTTCTATTCACAATGGTTCGTAGGTAAAAACAGATTACAAATTCTTCCTTTTCTTTTTGACAACATTAACCACCTTTAGTCTGAAATGTTACCTTTTTTAACAACCTGAAATGAAGCAAAAAAAGTTTGAGGCATCTTTTCAAAACATAAACACATTGAAAAGAGCTAAACAATGCAACGGAATAAAAATTTGCAGGCACCATGTTGTGACCAGTAAGATGCCTGAAAATTCTAATCAATTTGTATTGAATTGAAATCGTATACTGGTCAATTGTTAATGCTTATTATAAGTTGATCTATGGCTACTAAATAAGCGGAATCTTTAAGACATTGTCGAGCGATTTTAAGACAAATGTTGCTAAATGTTAAACACAGAATAAGCTTGACTTTCATCCTCTAAGTAGCTTACAATCGCGAAAAAGAAAAAAAACCTTTAAAAATAAATTAATTTTTTATGACTTTCAAACTGACTCTGCGTACAGTTAAAAGAAAGATGAAAAAAGATTCTCAAATCGCCGAACGAAAGGTGCAACAAAACCTGAATTTTTTTTTATTCTGTAGGAGAAAAAGAAGATCGAAGTTTGTTATTTCTCACGGAAGATGCTTCTACATAATTCGATACCCATCTTTGTGTCTTCTTTCCCTAATCATTGTGATATTTTGGGATAATTTAAGAATGAGGATATCAATGAAACTTTCTATATATTATTTAGTGGTATGGATATGACTTTCGATACCGCAATTATTAACTTTTTAAAAAAATATTTAACTCCATTTAAAAGATTAAGAGAGTATCATTGTAAAATGTCGACGGAAGTTCCTTCCATCATTTTAACGACTCAACTTGTAAATTTATGAACTACGGAAACATTAAGTTTAAAAGTCATTCGATTATCTGCTATCGGTAAACGCGCATGTTTATTATTAATGAAAACATCAATGTAACGTTTGAACTCGAATTACGCAGAAAACAAATAGATATACAAACACAAAATAGATTTGTACATAATTTTATTGTTTTTTATCGATGGCTGAACTGCCAATGATTTTTTCACAGTTTAGTTTTAATTTAATATTCTTCTAAACGTAAGATTTAGTTATAAAGCTTAGCCATGGAATCCTCCGAATCCGCCTCCTTGGTTGAAGGTTTGTGATGAAGCAGCAGCATTAGCAGCTGAACCTGAAGCTCCGAATCCACCGCCATATGGGCTGAAGCCACCACCTTGGTTGAAGGATTGTGAGCTAGCAGCAGCATTCGAAGCAGATCCTCCGAATCCACCACCGAATCCACCAGGGTAACCGCCACCTGAGTTAAATGTTTGCGATGAAGCACCAGCGTTAGCGGCTGGGGGAGAAAAAAAAAAAAAGTTATTTAAGTTTAAGTAGTTTAAAACGTTAGACGATTAAACTTATTCAGATATTGCTGCATGACATTAGCATACTTATTTACAAACTACTGTTATAAAGTTTGTCGTGTTAATATTGTGAATACAAGAATAAAAACGACAACTTCGCAGAATGTTCGATATCTTTAACATTAAAGTACATTTCAGTTTGAAAGTCCCATTTGTTATTTTCTAATTTCATTCTCAAACTTTATATTGAAGTGTTTCCGTACATTTACAACTCCTAGATACAACTTTCTAATAAGTATTTAATTGGTCATAACTTTTTGATATTTTGCAATCGAATCTTATCACTCGTACTAACCTGATCCACCAAATGATGGTCCACCGCCGAAGAATTGTGGTGCTGCGGAAGCGGCTGCAATCATAGCGAAAAGTGCAATAAAGAATTTCATGGCGAAGCTTTGAATATTTTCAGGACTTTCACTGTGTAAATAGCAAATAGAAACTGATTCGATGCTAGCTCTGTGGCTTAACTTTTATACGTCGAAGAAGATGAAGTTCGAAAATCCGAGGCTCGAGCGAGAGAACAAACGATCGTGGAGTTCCGCTACTCTATCGCTCTTGCTCAAGCATGTTGATGATACTGACCGAAACGGGATCTTGGGAACAGTCAATATATTTATCAACCAGTTTATTGAGTTTTTAGTTCAATGCCGCCTATGAGGCTTGAGAAATTGAAAACAATTACAAAACTTATAAAAATTATTTTTATGGAAATCCCAGGCCATCAAATGTGACAATTGTGTTAATGAAAATATTAAGTTGGTGCATGGTGCTTACTTTTAACAGGTTAAACAAGTCATATACGCTTTCGTAGACCTGTTTGTGATGATGCTTTTCACTTCTCTCTGTTGAATTATTTCCCTTAATAAAAAAAACAAACTTTGAGTCTTGTAAATTTATTATTTATTTGTATTCGGAGAAACGACTGACGAAAAACGACAAAACTCATTTAGCTTATCATCATTTTCTCGGAGTCGCTATCTAAGTTGTTTCGAATATTATTAAGTTGTATTGAGTGTCTATTTATGGCAGTTCTTTTGAGGTGGGAAAAAAAATATTTGAAGAAGAATATTTAGAAACGAAAAAGAGAAGTTTTGTACAAATGACCGACGACAGTTCAACTTTCCATTTCCAAAGTTTTTTTTTCTATTATTAATAAATAAGTTGGATATTAAAATTTTAAAGATAAGTAATTTTTCCATTACTCGTTTATTAAAATGACAAAGTTTGCGTGACTAGAAAATGTTATCATTATGGCACTTAGAAATATATTTGCAAAAACATAATTGAATCATTAAATATCGCGTCGGTAATAAACCAACTTCATTCATTTAATAGCATTCTTCAGTCTATTATTTATCGTTGCTACATTGCAATCGATTATGGATCAAAAAACAATTTAAGCGCAATCGTAGCGCAATAAATTTTGAGGAAAGATTTCTTTCTTTGCTGTCTTCTCTGTCACGGTTCGTTGGCTGTGCCAAAAAGGGGAACATGTAAGACATTTATATGCAAGCAGTCCCTTTCTCACTGAATCATTTGCTCCATTCAATTCTTTTCTTCTTCGTATTTTTTTATGATTCAATTGATACATAAATAATATTTTTTTATTTCGCTATAAACGGGATGAAATATAAATTAAATATTGATTGCTTAAAGTCATAAAGCGACACAAGATCGTCTTGTTTTTTGTATTAATCATCTTTTTTTATGTTCGCATTTTTTTACCATTTCTTTGAGCTTCATTAGGGATCCCTTGTGGTGATGGTTTAGTGCAGGCAGCTTTTTTTAGGTTTGCATAATTTTGTAATAAAATATTATATTTCCTAGAAATCACTCCGTGTTTAAGCATATGAGATCACAAAAATTTTCTGCCTCGGCTCATTAACCGTTCGAGAAGCGAAAGTTGATGTGTTTATAAATTCTATGCTACGACGTCCCCGATTATAAAATATCAAATGTTTTATTATGATGTCAGGAGAGAAAAATCAAGATTTTTGTAATTGAAGTTACCCAGGCTTGTAGAAATAGAAATTTTTTAACACATGTGTGTTGTTAAATAGCAAAAGGTGCATTAAACCAGCCATTTACCCTTTTGTAGTTTATTCTATTGTGCCGGCATCGAGAGATTTCAATGATATTTTATTTATTTTTTCTCTCCTTTGAAAGCCACATGAACTTGAGAATAATCTGCTCGTGGTTACCCATTTATCATAAACAATTTTTACTCTTTGCAATAAAGTTTCTGCTGTATGAAATTTGATACTATTTATTTTTTTCTAGCATACCGTTAAACAATAAAGACTAACAAGCCAATACAGATTTGATTGGGGAAGAGATAAGCATTGGTTTTTGGCTAAGTATTATTTAGAAATAATATGGAAATCCTGATAAACAAATATATTCCAACTTCTTATGCTATCCACAAAGAAATATCCCAACATGATGTATAAATATTGCAGAAGAGGTTGGCTAATGTTTATTTATATCTCCTTGATTGATGTTTGGTCCGAAAACTCAGTTCATTAAGTTATCAAATATAGAAGAAAGAAAAAAGCAAGGAAAGCAAGCCAAGAGATTTTCCTTTTTCTGACATGCTTCGCAAATACAGCAAACTAATCAATGAAGGAACTGACCTATGGTGAAATTGCTTTAAACAAAAACTAAAAGTATGCACGCAAAGCATGATTCGCTTCCAAGAGAGTTTATGAAAAATCTAGTACTGCATTGAGAGAGTCGCCGACAATCTATGAAAATATTCAACATTGGAAGTTTTGTTTATGTTTTCATTCGTATTTGCTGCTCGAGACTTTCCTTAGATTTGAGAAATATGAGAGCGATTAAGTCAACACGGGAATATTCTTCTCTGTTGTGTCTCAGACAAAATATCCATCCAACATTCGTTTCTTTCAATCGCCGTTGAGGTTTCAGTTTAGAAGTTTCGGTCGGCAGTGATAGACGCTTTCTCTTGTGTCGTGCGTGTCACAGAAAAATAAATTCTTTGTTAAATCTGAAAAAAGAAAGAAAAAATATTAAAAAGAAAGAAAAGATATTCACACTCGAATGAAGCAAAAGGAATAAAATTCATTAGTGATTCGTGGGGAATAAATAATAAAAATATTAATATTAATATAAATTTGTCAGCCCGTGAAAAAAAAGGAAGGAGAAGAAAACGAGAAGTTATAGCCAAAAATATAAATTTGAATGTAAATTGGGAAAATAATATATATAAAATCGAAAATCAAGGAATTTTCTGGGTATGGTGTGTTCGATGGCTATTAAAACTTAAAGTACGACGTTTGTCATTGGCCCGATGTTAAATATTTTACTGTCGGAAAATTGGTTGAATATTCAAATATATCGACAGCAAAACAGGCTCAAAACAGGTGCAAATATTGACAAAAAATATTAAAATAACTGAATATTGATTTGTGCAAAACAGTGGAATCGATCGAAATTTATCAGGCAGTCGTATAAAAGAAGAGAAAAAATAAATAAATATAAAAAGTAAAACAAATTAAAGTGAAATTTCTTGAACGAAAAGAAAATTGCTCGATAATTTTACAGTGAAATAAAAACGAATTTAAAGTGATTTCAACTGCCATTGAGAATTAGAAATTCAAATTGATTGATTAAGCGAAACAATCGACTTGGAAAGAGAATTTCACGAATGATTAAAGAATTTAGGTGAAACATAATTTGACGAGCATTGAAAGTCTTGCCTAAACTGTTTGATTAGAAAACGAAGAAGATTCAACAATTTGAGGATATTTTTTTTATTTCTTTCGACGTAATTTCATTCAAGGTAAGTTGAACAAAAGATGAATTAAATGAAAAGAGAGTTTTAAATTTTTGCGACACCCGAAACTTTGCCCGAAACGAACCCGAGATGAGAATTGAAATGAAAGAATCGCCCACAATTCACGCCTAACAAAAGACCATAAATCAAAAGCAAATTGTGATGTCAAAAGACGTATAGAATCAAAAATGAAAAAAAGAAGCGACAATCGGAAGTTCAACTTTAGTCGCATCCCGTGAAATATGGGATTCCTCTTTACATCCTTTCGCTTCTTCTTCCATCATCTTCTTCATGCTCAAAAAATTATTATAAGAGGATGAATGTTGTAAAAATAAAATTGAAAATATTCAGCACAATGCTTTCGGAACAATATTGACCACTTGAAACGAAAAAATGCCGACTCGAGTGAAGCTGAAAAGAAGGCAAAGAAAAAAGTGGTTTTTTATTACAACCACTCTCGAGTCGAAGGCAACGGAAAGGTCAAAATAATGTAAAAAAATCCTTTTTATGTCGATACCGTTTCAAAAATAAATTCTTAGTCTTTTAATTTTACGCTGAAAGGAAGCGCGTTTACCGGGCGTAAGCATAAGAAAGGAGCCGGAAGAACCATTGGCATTTTATTAGAAGCCTTTTACTTTTTATTGTTATGATTTTTACGGTTGTGTATTAATTTCGGATCATAAAGTAGCAACAATCGCTTTCCATCTCAACATCGGCTTGAACAAACGATAAAAAATTATGTCATTAATTTAATTTCGAACAGCGAAACATGCTTCGATGATTTCATGAATCGAAATCAAAATGATTGAGATGCCTTCAACATAAATCTAATTCTCATCGCAAAAGTTCCAGCTGGAATTGGTGAAATTCAAATTCAAAGAGATTTCTTCTTCGTCAACGTCACGATGCGTACATTATTGCTGTTGTTGAACAAATATTGTATTTCTTTGATTCAAACATCAAACGCCAATTAAGTCGCTCAAGCTCAACTTAAATTTCAGAATAATGTTGAATTTAATTTTTCTATCATTTCGCCTTGGCCAATCAATCTTGAATCTCGCAACAAAGAAAAAGTGACCGACATTATTAATCTAATAACATTATTGTGTGATCTTAACCTTCGTTCCTTCTTTCCTCTTCTCTCGCTTTTATTTTTGGTAATAGTTCCAAAAAGACTTTTTTTTAATTCATTCTACGTTGATTCAAACGACACACCAAATGAGTTTTTCATGTTTCATTTCATTCACATTTTTTTTTATCTAATCGACAAAAACTCTGAAAAGAGAACATCAAACATCTCTTTACCTTTAAATGGATAAAAAAAAATAGAAAGAAACACGACGACCGAGGCGAGCTGAAAAATATATTTTAATAGTCATGATCGTTATCTCCTAGATTGGATCTACCCATTATAATTAATCCATTGGTCGCTCGAACTCAAACTACACGATTAATGTAAAAGTTTATTGAGCTTGGAATTCATTCTCGTTATTCTTCTCTTTCAGTTTCATAATTTTCCATGTAGATTCTCATGATTGATTCCGATATGCTCGCTATTTTCTTCATAATATTTTTAATGTACAACTCTATATTCATTATGGAAATGGACTCTTTCATCATGAACCAAATGAATTTTTTCTTTTGCCAATTATCGAATGAAACTGATAAAAGTTAATAAAAAAATGTTAACATGAACTCACTGGTAGTCGGTTAATAAAAGGAAAAAAAACGCAGAACAAATATTCAAACGTGAAAAGTACTTTTCTTATGCTTTCTGCCTTTTTTCTTTCTTTTTTCTTTTTCCCTCTCTGAATTATCTTATCTCAACCTTTCCCGTCTCATGTACTTATTTACTTCAACTCGACACACAATTTCTATAACGCGCGATTATTGAAGAAAGCCAAGCAAGTGAAGGAAAAAATGAGATTAAAAGGTTTATAACAAAGAAATGTAAGTACAACAGGTATGGTCGGGTTCGAGAGCAAAGTACAAGCTCAATTTTAAACATTACACAAAAAAAAGAGAACTCGAAGAATATGAAATTGATTTTGAGTTGAAGATAAATTATTATTCTACATTTAGGTATAATTTCGAATTTACAATTACCACGACCTTAGCTTGCCTTCAATAGAAATGAGAAAAAAATATAATTTTACTTACTTCGATATATTTGCGCTTGTTCTATTTCTTTTTACCTTCCTTCGTACTTTTTATTTTATTCTTTCTTCAACAAGTCTTTTCCATTCTTTTTTCGGAACAGCACGAAAACGAAAATCGTCTCTTAAAAAAGTGTTCATTGATTTATTGTAATTGTTTGGTATGAAAGTGTGAAGAACCTTGAGTTCGACTACTTTTTGTGAATCTCTACAGATGTTTAAAATTTTTAAACGCTCCTGTTTCGGTTACTTATGGAAATTTGATCTACCAGCGGAAGTTGGCTTTTTGTTGAAATGAAGTGAAAAGAAATCGAAATAAATACCAAAAATGTCCAATTATTTGTATGCTTTTTATGATTTGAGAAACATACCATAAATGGATAAACGAAATAAATTTATTAAACTGGAAAACTTTGATGATGAACTTTTCTTTAGTTTTCGAATCAACTTTTTCCATTAAATCGACTTATGAGATTCTTTTTCTTAACATGAAAAGTAAGATTTGTTATAGTCTAGATAAAGTGTTTGTAATATTTAAGCACACAAAAACAACAGCAAGAAGGAAAATAGACATAAAACTCTGAAAATATTTATGCGGTTAAAAAAGACAAGAGAGAGTAAATATTTGCTTTCTTGTTATTCTAAGCCAACCTTTTGGATGTAAAATGAGCACAGGAAGTGCTTTACTCTGCCACTCTACTTTGGTTGCAATTCTTATCGCTTTTGTATAGAGAAATTAGCAATATATTTCACTTTAACATTTTTGTTCCTGTGCTAAGCTCTTGAGCAGAGAATGGCAGCAACACCAAGCGCATTATTGCTAGTAATAATCAAGATAAAAATTCAATTTAAAAAAATATTCGATTGTTGGAATTTGCTTTCCCTCTTTTGATTATTATCAATTTCAAGCAATATCTGACAAAAAAAAAAAACAAATTCGAGGGCAAATAAAATTGCAATGAATTTGTTAACTCGCAGTTGCAACAACCGAATAAATCTACCATAAATTAGATCATGTCCCTTTCATGTCTTTTTGTGTCGTGTGAATGACAAAAATAATTGGAGGGACAGAAAAGAAATGAAAAGAGAAAAAATTGGGATTTTGTTGTTTGAAGTTAATCCCAAAAGGCATTTAATATCAAATCGTGTCTAGCGATGTTACAAATGTCGATCGTAAATGTATTCGCTTTTATAAATGTGATGATTCACGATGAAATATTCAGTATTGAATAGACGAGTAGCGTTACCGTCTTTCAAAGCGACTAATCCTTTCCGATAGGATTTTAATTCCACTGAAGCTGTTTGAGAAGACTTTAATGTTATTAAAGCAACGCGTGAGATGTGAAAATGATTTTCGTTCACTATACATTCGAATCAATCTTCGTCTCACTCGATGATGAAAATTAAATGGTTGATTAAGATTGGATTTTACGTTAATTTATTGACGGAATTATGAGCGACTTATACATAAGACGAGTGAGACAAATTGAAGATGTTTTAAAATGCAAATTGCGAAAGATGAAATCGATAAACAAAATTATTTTGAATGAAATTTCAAGAAATTTACATTGCAGGTTGCGATAAACTTTTAATTTTTATTAATTTAATTTTATTTGAAGACGTCTTTTATTACCTCAATTTCCTTATCATAATAATAATAATAATCATAAAAGTTTCAATGGAATTGTTTTGAAAATATTTAATTTAGTTATCTTTAAATCCACGAGTATCACATCAAAAAGTTTTACATTCCCGTCGCTCATAAAACATAAACTGACTTCACTTTGTTCATTGATTTCCCTCTTCAATATAAATTTAATTCATATTTCCGAGTTGGAATGTAAATATATCCATTGCAAACATGCACTGGATGGTTAAATGAAAATTGATTTCATGTGATTAAAAAGCGTTTTCCATTTAACTCTTTCATTCAACATTTATAATGAAAAAAATAAAAAGCATAATTTATCCAACTTCTCCATTCAATCGCCACTGAGAATATTGGAGCAGAAATGAGAACAGAAATCGATTACATGGCTTTAAATTTCAAACGTGCTCTGCTTCGTCTCCCCAAAAAAAATCACTTTGAAGAAGAAAGAAGAAAACAAAACCAGAAACAATCTCGCGTTGCACTATCACGATTTTTCGCCATTATTAATGCTGTCAAAAATTTTTTCTGTTTGCTCACAATTAATTTCATTTCGTTCCAGTTATTCTCTCATTTTTAGTTAGATATGAAAGTTTATCGTGCATTTTATGTTTAAATGTCTGTTCAATTGGCTTTAGCTGTGGTGATGTAATGTTCAAAGCCGCAAAAGCTTTAACTATTCCCACAATGTAAATTTCCATTTCTGCTGTTTAGCGTGTTTGGCTCCAACCTCCGACCTAGGAAAAAAGTTAAATCCGAAATATTCATCCCTTAATTACTGAACCCCTTGTTAATAAAATATATTTTCCTATCTTGACAATATCGCTCGACGATTGTACAAATTTAATTTCAAATGAAACCTCTCGGCTGCTAATTTCATAGAGCAAATATTTAGAAGGGAGAATTTCTAAAAAAAAGCCACAAACGAACGAATTAATGGTGCAGCATGATTCAGCACCGTCAAATGTCGGAGGCGTAGAAGATTCCATTTTATTCAAAAAATAATTTTGCATGAGCAACAGAGTTTACACTTTTTTTGAAAGCGGTTGATGGTTCCAAACACAAGTTTTATGCAAATGTTCTAGTTGACTGCATGATGGGATGAATCGTAAGCAAAAATATTGAATTAAAATTCTGTAAAGCTTGAATTCGGATGATTTTAAATCTTTAGCATTAGTTGGCAACGAAATGATGAGCTCGCTCATATGCCAACGGCAAACGACATGACCAAAAATTTATTCCTCTATTCACATGTAACAAAGTAATTTCTGGAACGATTTTGATATGAGAAAATAAACGTTTAAAGAAACTTAAACATGCACATGGCAGCGCACATGAGAGACATGAGCACAATAATGAAATTATAATAATTAATCATTTTCTTCTCTCTTGTTTTATGATTTTACGGGGCTTTTGTGCCATGTTTTGTAACAACCACAAGGAATTAATTTCCAGTCAACTCTCAGAGTGAGAGATTCAAGAGTCATGTTCGAAGAAAGAAAAGTTAAATTGAATGAAAAGATATTTTGGTTAGTCATTCGCATGCTCTGCCACATCATGATGATGCACCTGCGACACCTTTCATTATTCGTTCTTCCACTTCCAAGAAAAATTGCTGTAATTAAATTTTGTATTCAACGTTTCGTTGAAAAGCCATTTTATATCACCTCGGAAATTTTTAATGGAAACTGATAAGAACGAAAGAAGAAAATAACAAAAATTGTTTAATTTATACATTGTTGAATAAATTTCCTGAGTTTTGAACACAAAAGTTAAACGCATTACGCTATCGTAATTCTATTCTCATAATTTTCGACTCGTCTTTCGTCGTTCGGGGTAAATAATCTTTCTGTGACTTTATATCACACACAAGCAACGTGTTGCGGTCTACGTGGGAATGATAAAAGACGCTTTGAAAACACATAAGTTAGCTTTGGGTGATAGCAACGGATTGTAATGGCCTGGTAAACACATTAAACAGAACAATATTGATTGCTGAGTAACAAAATGAAATAAAAATATGTGAAAAGGCTTAGGGCGGGTGGGGAACAACATCGCTCGAGGTCGCAACTGAACAATTTCTTGGTTTTATTTTATTTTATGTCCAGAGAATAAAAGCCTAAAATATAAAAAGAGATAATTACACTTCACGATCGTCATTATAGGATAGTCCGTTGGTTCTTAAAATTATCCAACTTTTGACAGCGCAATTTGACGTTAATTACTCGACGTCTATGATACACCATTGTGCAGCACTTAATAAAAAAGTTTTTATATCTTTCATTCTACCAAAACGTGAATGACACAATTCATAGGAATCGCATGATCGTCATAAACATGCTCAATGGCACTCTACATACGAACATACAATGTGAAGTTGTTACGTGTCAGTGAATCAAATAAATAACAATAATCCAGCGGGGAAAGTCTGGAGTTGAACGTGAGATGTTTTATGCTAACGACTATACGCACTTAACATATTTTGCATATCAAAACAAGCATAATTTAATATGCAGCAATGTATATTTTAATAATTAATAACTTCTCCTGCCACAAACACCACGCCATTACTTTTTAACTAAATTTCGCAAACTTTATTTCATTTTTTCGCTCTCGTTTCAAGAGGAAACTTACAACCAGCACATTTTTTTTTAAACGAGTATATGAGATTTCATTATAATAATCCAAACTCGGTGCTTTCCGTTTTAAATATGGATTTTTGTTCTTCAAATCTTCTCGCGAAGAAATCACATTAAATGAAATTGAAATCATACGCACGTTTTAAACATTTTCTTCCATAACAAATTGCATAACACATTCCCGCGCTTACCCTCGAATGATGGTAAATGGGAATGTGCTATGCAGTAAAAAAAACTTTATGGATTTCTTTATCGTAAAGTCTTCGTATGAATACAACGTTCAGGATTATTTAAATAAGTAATTTAACATTTAAATATATTAAGTTTATTAAGTTTCTCTGTAATTATGTGAGAAACGAGTGGCTTTTCATCCGAATAATGTTCTAAAAGAAATATTAAGAATTATGTCATGCTATGCGCCATATTCTTCCAAATTCTTTGTTACAAAAAGTTTAACTCTTTCCCCCAGCCACCAAGCACGAAACGCAAATGAAGGGTTCAAAGTTCGCGTTTGTTACCTCGTTTTTCTGCCTGCTTGTAATAACGTAGAAAAATGCACGTTTTCTCAAGTGGTTTATGAATATTTTAGCAGAAATTTTCCCGAGGCCTAAAGTGTACGTTCGTCCTGGTTTCTGGATAGGGGGAAACATTCCTTTTCATGATACTTAATATAATTTCTTAAATTTGAATTCCTTTAAGATATTTAAAAACTCCCTTGACTAGTACTGAGCTGTTAATGTAAGGAGGGAATATATATTGTGAAGTAAGTAAACACAAATGACTTCTTTTAATTTTCTGTTAACAATGATACAGCCAGCCAGCCGTATGTTTTATTTTATTTTTGTGAAAGAACAGGATGAAGTTGAAAGAACAAATATTAGAAGGAGACAAAATTTACAGATTGCTAAAGATTTGTCTTCCATTATTCCATTATGTCAAAAGGAAGGAAGAACTATTAAGTTTCAATGAAATGAAGGCATTGAAAGCACTAACAAGCGAATAACAACGATTTAAAGATTTCATTTGATTTATGAAGTTAAAAGAAATTCTAAAATAAAATTACCAAGGGAATTTATTTGAAAGAATGTGACGCGCCTGGAGGGACGGAGGAAACAAAAAAATTAAACTTCTTTCTTTAATCATTACACGCATGAAAGGAAATTTATATTTCGTAGAAGAATGAGAAGAAATATTCTTCATAATGTTAAATATTTAACTTGTCCATTAGTCGTAGTTGATCCCGAGGATTTAAAAGATTTTTTATCTCTAGAGATCCGTGAGTTACGAGATAGAAGGGATATAGTAAAGTAGGAGAAGAATAATAGCCCAAATTGATGAAGGGACTACCGAGAAGAGTCAGGTTCGAGTCATCTTCAACTACCCGAAGCATATTCAATTACTCTTATTTCCCTTTTTCCTCACGGCATAGCACATTGAAAAATGTAGAAACATAATTTATGTACATAATCAGCATCCCAAAATTTCTTTTTCTGCCTTTATCACCATCCTTCTACTGTCGGACACTTTGAAAAATAACTTTAAGCATCAAACGAATTAAATTTTGCACTTAAAAAATGAATGAAATTAAAAATGTTCTCTCGTCTAAGCCTTTGCGAAAACATTTCCCGGAACTTCAAATGATTTGTCACAGGCTCTACATTTGACATAAATTCATCTGTGACGACAAACCCTCGCATAAATTTTCATAAATAAAAAAAAGAAGTAACAGCATGGAAAGTAAGGAATAAAAAAATTAAACCATCAGAAGAAGGTTTGCCATTATGGTTAATGTACGACACGTATATGGAAAAGCCTTTCTCTCTATACATAACTATCTATGAGCTTTTGTGTTCGTGCGTGTATGCGATTCAGAGGCTCTTTCTTTTTTGGGTGAAAATGTTTAATTAAATAGTTGTGTCAACATGAAAACCCTTTGTTATTTTCCCACTCGGTTGTAGTAAATTATGTCAACAATATAAATTGGATGGATTATCACATCACAAAAAAAAAAAGTATGTATGTGGATTTAGATGAAAAAGAAGTAAACTTTATCAGTTGATATCAACCCTTTCTAATTTACGTTATCAAGGAAACATTATTTGATCGGGTTAGAGGAGTGTTGTATCTGTAGAAGTCACTGAATATGCATGAGACTGAACCCCTTTCATCTCCACTCCAACTTCTATTTTCTCCCCTTACTAAACCGAACATCTTCAAGTCACAATATGTGAGCTGAAATTTTGATTTCATTTGTTTACTCTTTGGTTAAATTTTGTCAGGGATTCACAACTTTATCCTGAAACTTTTCTCTGATACAAAACATCAAAACATAGAGCAAGTGTCGTGAATGTTTAGCTTTCTTATCTGATTCCTCATTGTTTGTATGATGTTTCATGTTGTAATCTAATTCTCCAGGAGGATGAATATTATCGTGTCTATCTACATAATTTATGCCACTCCATGTCACTATTTCTCCCATGTTTGCTTATTTTCTTCTCTTTTTTTCTACATGTCAAGAAGCTAACGAGAAAGTAGTTCTGGCAACAATGAGTTTATTGAAATTCCTTACTTTTTGTCATCTTAGCTTTAATCTTGCACGTCTTTTCTTCCCTCCTTCAACCGGATACATTTCCTGGTGTGTCTGAAGTCATTTTTAAGGCTGGTGGAGGGGAAAGTTGTGAAAATTTTAATCTTTTGATATCTTTCTATAAGGTAAATTCCAATTTGTTACGTTTTGCAATCATTTCGTTCAATTTCCACCCCTTTTTCTTGTTACGTCTCAAAGAATTTAACAACCGATTTCTAATTCTGTTTAAGGCATAACCATAAAGAATCATAATTGAATTTCATCCATTAATGCACATTCCGAAATTCAATTTCACTTCCTTTCATAGGTTTTTGGTTATTGGTTTCTTTTTACTTCGATTTTAATTGAGTTCTGCTTTAAACTTAACCAGAAAAAATAAGAAATGCGATTATTATCAAATGTTCTCTACTCGAATTTAATCTCATTACGATATTTTTAATGGAGAAACTTGTTCTTCAAGTGCCACCAAACATTTCTTTTTCTTTCTACCCAAATTGTTGAGAATGTCTAAGTACTTGGAAACAAATGCCTTCGCAAAAACCATCTTCGGAAAATTGCTAGGGAAATAAGTGGAAGTACATTTAAGTTGATTTAACTTCATGAAAATATCTTGAAAAGTTATTAAAATTTAATATTTTGTCGGAATTTCACCCTCGTCTTAGTTTTTCATTTGGTTCCTTTTTTCTTGTTCCTTTCATTGGAGATGTTTGCACACTTTCAAAAGGACAACTCGTGCGACAGTGATTCAGTTTCTTGAAAATTCATTCGCTATTTCAGCTTTGAATCATCAAGTTTAGGCCAGCTCAGGCAACTCGTTATAATTTCATTTTTGGTCGTCTCTATCCCTTGTTCTTAAAATTTATTGTACGGTATTAAAAAGGGTGAACAATCTCCGCAACCCTTTAAATTTCGGTGTCATTATTTCACTACGTAACGCTATAAATTAAATATGAAAGGAGTTGTGTGCATTAGCAGCACCAGTGAAGCAAAAAAGAAATTAATCAACTAATTCGTGAGAATTGAGTCATCAAATATTTTTTTTCCCCGTGACATAAATTGCGTAGATAAACGTTCAGTGAAATAAAAATGTCTTAAAATGTTTTATAAACTTTCTCAACTGTCGAAATAACAAATCAAGTTTATAAAAATTTCAGTCAGTTCGAAAGAATTTTCACAACACCGAAAGGAATAACTGACGCGGTTTTAACATTTTTTTGAACGTGATCCAAATCATGGCGCGGTTGTTTATCGAGCTGTGTAGGAATCTGACGTGATTAAAAGCCGCGTAGAACATTAATTCTATATGGCACACCTCCGGAGACAAATAACCTGAACAAGGCATGTACATAATGAAATGATCTTAGGCAGAAGCCATCTTGGCTTTTATTGCTGATTTTCTTGAATTGTCAGGTTGGTCATGTGGAAAATTGCTGTTGCTAAGTTAACAACAAAGAACTTTTAATTAGGAGAATGGGCTTATTTCCTTACGCCTCGGAAACGAATGACACCCAAGAGTCGCATTAACGAGATTTCGCTTGAAACGTTTCAAGATTTTCAAGAAAGATATAAATCGTAATTAACTTTTTCCTGGTGCGAATGGGGCCCAACAGGGTTGAAAAGAAATATTGAAAGTTTATAAATAGCAGCAAAAGTAAAGGTGATGATGTAAGTGTAGTGAACAATTGAAGCAGATTTTATTAACCTTTTATGAATAGCTGGTTTGTTAGTGCTTCGTCTTTTAAAGGTTGCAGCCCAATGTATTACATCACCATTCAAACTCGATTGAATTACGTTCATCTTTTTTGTTCCGATAATTGTGAAGATTCCACTCGCTAACCAGAAACGGAAGTCAGTATTTAGTGAATGAGAAATTACAAAACGCTTTCATACTCTAATTGGAAAATTTCATTTAACACTTGAAGCATTAAAATTCCCAGATGAAAACATTTTTAAAATATTTCTTATCAATAATTTGTTCCCCTTGTTATTAAATGCATTGAATTTGACTCTCTAAACACTTCTAATTGAAGCGGAAGATAATTTCTCCGGTTACCAATAAATCACGAGATGATTTGATAATTTCAACTTCAGATGAATTGAATCTTTTTTTATTTTCTTGTGGATGAAACTGCAACTTGAGATGGGAATGTTTTAGGCAATTTAATTTCCTTTTTCTTTAAATTTAAATTGGACGCATTAAAAACCTTAAAAGCAAACAAATGTTGTTCAACACTGAGCTAGTCTCAACTCTTGAAAATTCTCGTTTATATTCAAATGTAAATTAATAAAACTTGATCATAACAATAAAGTCAAATTGTTCTTATTTCTTAGCTTTGCAATTTTCTTAAATTGAATTCATTGCTTTCTTCTCTCCCCACAAAAAATGAAGAAAAGAAATTGAAGATGATGCTTGTTGCCATGTTTCGGGGGAAGGCGCGACTATCAATGTGCGTAATAATGTTCATTGTGACGATAAACCATAAAAGAAAACATGTTTTTGTGAATGACATAAAAAAATCTGACAGAAGTGATGGGACAACTTTAAAGCATGTTGAACGTTCATTTGTTTGTTTGCTTTAAGAACTTTGACGGGGATTTGAAAGGAGTTCAGTTTGACAGAAACGTAAAACCTGATTCATGCGTCAGTTGACTTGACTCTTCTTCATTCCCCAGTAATTTCCTTTTTTTCTCGAGTGTTCAAATTAAAGCCAATAAAGCATTAAATTTATTTTGTTTTCATCGACAATGGAAAATGAAAATTGAAGTGGAAAATGCTGTCTAAATATAAATATGTACCTACATTCAAATGGCATTCTTCTTTCTCAATTTCTTTTTGTTTTTATATCAATCTCCCCACGAAAGTTAAAACAGCGAAAAAAAGAATATTGACGACTTTTGAATGAAAAACTTTCAGCTTTACTCTTGAGGAATTTTCCAAAAGTAGGAAAATGCCATTTGTCTTGTGATTTGTAAGGTTTTTGTCATCGTTTGTTTTATTATTTCCTCTACAGGGAGGCTTTCGCTTTCTCCTTCTGTGGCCTATATTTGCATAATTCTCTACATAACGAAGAGAAAAAAAATTGCCTATAATGAAAACAAACGATTTTTAACAACTAATCCACGAAATGGAATAAATTTATTGAGGATAAAAAGGTCGACGCAAAGACGTACCGACTTCAACTAGGGAGAGTAAATTTATTTTATGTTATTTTATTTTTAAATGGATTCCCGTTCAATTGATCCTAATGTGTTTTCTTGTTTCTTGTGCTGCGACAACTTGTGCTAACAGTTGACATTCAGGGATGTTAATTTTGTCCAAGGTTTTAGGAAATTTATAATTTAAATATTTAGCAAGTTGATGTTGTTCATAGAAAGTAACATAAAAAAATAATTAACTGAATAACCTTGTTCTATTATTTAGAAACATTTTAAAACTTCACAAACGATTGACAACCTTATAAAAGAATTAACAACTCTGTCAAACAGTCAAACAATTGTGAAATATTCTTTAAATATAAAATAGACAAGCGAGCGTAACAAATGAGACGAAATAATCACCAGAAGATTTGGTGGCAGGCTTAAGCATATTAATTTATCTTAAGCAGATGAAAATGTTGTTTTCCGAAGAACTAAAATCGAGAGAGAAATGGTTTGGTGTGTAACACATGTTTTTGAACGTCATTTATTTTAACATATTTATCGAAAGACTCACATTTATTTTCTCGGCCCTCGCCCGCCTCCTCCATCTAATTTAAACAGATTTGTCAAAAAATAAAGAGAAGAAATCCCAAATGATGTTTTGGCCTGACAAAAAAAAATTGTGCTAAAGAAATTTATATTCAAATGAGAAACTGAAGCTTTGAAAGCGAGCGTTATGGAGTGGAGAGAAGGAAACATTGTCGTCGTTTTAAAATATCTTTTATTTGGAGAGTCTTAGACTTCCACTTACATTTTTATGTGTAAAGATGAATGTGAATAATGTTATAAACATACAATAAAAAATCTCTTTATGCGATTCCCGGGATGAGCTAAGCTTCTGCCTTCTAAGTTGGGAAATATTCAATTTTTTATGTTCGTTCCATATTTTCTACACACACTCATAAGCGGTCAACAAATGCTTCTGTGATTGACTCATAAATGGACATTCCACAGGTCGAGATAAATCGGTGGCAATAATTCAGATGTCCTTAACATTTCAGCTTTCAATTTCTTTTTTTTCTTCTTCTTTTTTACATTCCAAACGTCGTTTGGCTTGAGCATGAAATTATCAATTTCTACTTAATTCAATATTAGCTCATCAAATGTTTACATGGCTTGTCATAGACCCCGTTTTTAATGATTTTGTTTTCTAGAACGATAAAACTGTACTTAACGATTCAAAAGGAACATCGACTTCACTCGTTTAAATCTGTGACAGTATGACATGTCAGTCAACGGATATCAGTCATGTGTCTTGCTTTCGTCCAAACAGACGACAGAAGAAGACAAATGAAAAAAAAATTCTCTTCGAGGCTGCCAAACATTCCCGAGAATTGTATGCTTCAAACACTGATCGTTTCGCAAGAACCACGAAAACATTATTTTTAATTAAGAATGAATTATAGACTGACGACTCATTCATCTGTCAGTACGATGAGCAAAGTAATTATGGAGCGAACTGAAATCACTTCCCAAACCATATTCACGGTCTCATAACTTTGAAAGCAAATTAAAATCAATGGCGCTTCAAACAAAAAGCGCACAATAAAGCGCTTCGATAATTTTTTCAATCCCCATCGCCATCAAATAACTTTTGATTAATTATTTCGTTGTTTCTCTACCGGCAGACAATATTCCATTATTTTTTATCATGAAATATGTATAAATATAATTTTAAAAACAAATTCAGTAATGAAGTGTTCAAAATTTGGCTTTGTTGCAAAACCCTACCATGATTCAATCCACATTTGGATGTTTATTGCGGCTTTTGATGTCAACTATTTAATTTATTTGGCAATTATGTCTTCTTCTTGTTCAACACTTTGTCCTCGAAAATAAATAATGGCCAAGCTTCTGCTTTTTTGTGAGAAGATTTTATAATAAAGAAGCTTTTACTTCCATTACAGTAGATTTTCGATGTTTTTCAAAATAAATTGGAAATAGTTTACTTGACATTATGCTAGAAGTCGCACTGTACAAAAAAATAAAACATGAAATCAACATTTCATGCATAATAAAGTCATGAAAGAATGTTAGATATTTCCATTCATCCTTTAGCTAGCACTCAGGTTCATCCGTTGACATTTCTCCACTCAAACAATATTAACACTATATTTTATTATGGTGAATGGTGCGATACATGGGTTGAAAGGGGCAAAAGCAAAAGTTATTGTCTACTTCAGAAAAAAAGGATTCATTCCACATTATTATTATTATTATGGCTTTCAAGCGAAAGAAGAGAAGGGAAAGCAACAATAACAACGAGAAAAAAAAAGCTGAAAAAGATTTTAGATTTATATTTTGATTTATTTTATTGTTTATTTAACTTTTTTTTCATCATTCCTCTTGCTCGACATCTCTCCACATTTCATCTCATGTGTGAGTGAGTGTGTGTTTGTGTTATTATCAAATGTTCATGCATGCGAAATATTTTATTATGCATAAATGAAATATTGAGGATTGAGCTCTTTACTTTTCAAATTCTCTTTCTCGCTTTTTTTGTTGTTGCTGGCTTGCTGTTTCCTTGAATAACAACAATCCTTGGTTCACTCGCTGTGAATGCAAATATGAAAAAAGGGTTGGCTTCAGCTCGTTTTTTTCCTTCACACGACAAAATAAATTCTAAAAATTTATCATGTGCTTTTTATGAATATATTTATGCACAGTTTTTTTTTTTTCGTTTTGCTAGTCGCTGATGATATGAGTTAAAAAATTTGACATCAAACAACAAACATTTCACATTTTTTATATTGTCTCCCATCATTTGAAAACGTTTCGTGCATGAAATATCCTCTCATGATGTACATTGTTGTAATTGTATTCGTCTCTTAATATTCCCAAAAAGCAATAACATCAAATAATGATTCGAATTGCGATGTATCCTCGAGTGGTGCTTGAAAGCTGTTGACAATTTTTTCCCCTCGCCGTTCTGCTTTGTCGCAACATTTCTCACTCTTTTTTTATATTTTTGGCAAAGATCTAAAAGTTTTAAATGAAACAAAAGTTTGTAATTTCATTTGATTGCAGAAATGCAAAAATATTTTTCTTCACTTATTAATAAAATAAATAAACAGCGTGAAGAGTAAAGATGTTTAACTGGCGATCGTTTAAGCACAAACATATGTTCTACCCATTAAACAAACCATTAAAATATCACAAAGTGAAAGGTATTTTATTCCCACTTGAACATCAGTGTCTTAAAGTCGTAACCATCTCTGCATCACCATAATTAGAAAATTCACAATTTTTTTTTGAATTCTCACTCAGTCGGAGTGTCTGGAAGACGCGAAAGTTAAAAATGTAATTAATTAAATCCTTGTAAAGAGACATTTGGCAAATTATGTTATGAGTTGTGTTCGAAAAAAAATGAAATAAAGAAGAAATTAAAACGGCGACAGCGACAAAAAAAGAAGGCTTTGGCACTAATTATAGTAACAGAAACATGTGAGAATCGTTTTGCTAATAATACAGCTTTAATGTCTTAAAAATATTTTGTTGCTTTCTTTGTTCCTCATTTTTCTTTTCTCTTCAAGTTGGCATATTTAATTAGTTACGAGTATGTTGCGGGGGAGCAATTTGAGTAAGTTTCTTTGAATACATTAAAGTATTTTGCAGTGGTTTTCAATGTTTCTAGCATCACGATAGTTCAAAGTGGCGTTCAAAATGAGTTTAATCCGACACGACCTCAACTATTCATAGAAAGTTTCAAACTGTTTCAATGATTTTAATTGCTAAGAAAATTAACTTTTTTACATTTTCATTTAATTTTCTACCTGCACGAAAAGCAATTTAAATTGAAGCAGAAAAGTTTTCAGTTTTCTAATTCAATCGATGATTTTTAAATTTTCATTAAACTGATACGACGAAATAGTTCAAATGATGATTGATTGAACTGGGGTATCAAAAAAGGAATGAGGGAGGACGAAGAAGAAAGCGTGAAGAAATAAAAGCGAACTAAGATGATCACAATTAATTAATTAAATTGAAAAATTGAAGATTTGGTTGTTCAATTTGGTCAAAACACCAATTATGAAGACAATCGACACTTGTTTATTTGGTGTTGCAATTTATTTTTCCTACACTTTGAATTTACAATTGAATTGGCGACGAATATGCTTTGATTGATATCTAAGTAACAAGGAAGTGTTCGAAGAATAGCATCTTAAAGAAATATATTTAATCCAATTAAGAAAAAATGTAAAAAAATGTACAAGTAGCAATAATGCTTCTCATCTCATCCGGGCATCGTTTCAAGCACGACTTCTATTGTTTGTCTAAAAAAATATCTAATTAAGTTTCATTTTGTATTGTTTATCTTTTTTGCAGAAGAAGGAGAATAGCAAAAAAAATGCTTTCATAAGACTGACGAGAAGAGCGGAAGACAGGCAACAATATAAAACAACACCATAAGTATTCTTTCTTCAACATATGTGGTTGGAAACCTGCATTAATGCTGCAGCCATTTCGAGAGGGAAAGAGAAATAATAGCACCAAGATTGTGTTAGATAGTGATGAAAATTAGTGAACTTCGGTCAACGTAATTCGGTTGAAAAGCGAGAAATAAAAAGTGGAGAAAAAAAAAGTAAGCGACGTTTACAACAATAAATAATTATGGGATCAGTAGCGCTAGAAATACAAAATTCAACAATAATCCGACAATCGTCGTCACATGGTAGGCAGTTGCTTGCACTGCTATTATTTGTGCTGTTGACAACACAAGCGAATGGCTTCTGTCCATCAAAATGCATTTGTGATGGCGACACAAACAATTTAAAAGCCAAATGTATAAATGCGGGATTGGACGTTGTGCCCATTCAACTAAATCCGAATGTTAAACATATAAATCTCACCGATAATAAAATTGCAACAGTTCATTTCACATTGTCATTCTACTACGAGCTAGAAACATTAGATATTTCGGGAAATACTTTAGAGTCGTTAGGTATGAAGAATTTCGTAGCGCAAGAGAAATTGCGGAAGTTATACTTGCAGAAAAATGTGATTAAAAAGCTTTCCAAAGACACGTTCCGCGGGATGCGTCAGTTGGAGGTGTTAGACTTAAGCTATAATCAAATCGCTGAAATGGATCCGCAGTGCTTCAGTGATTTGACTCGATTGTCATTTCTTGATCTTACCAACAACTCTGTGATCAGTGTCGACGGTGGCGTATTTCAAAATCTTTTAAGTCTCGAAACGCTTCTCTTCACCAGCAATCAATTGTTGAGTGTTCCATATAATGAGAACTTTGAGTACTTGAGGAAGCTTCGACGACTCGACTTATCTGGAAACTTAATTAAGCAAATCGAAAATAACAGTTTTCAACATATGAGCCAATTACAAACGCTTCATCTCAATGGCAATCTCATTAACGGCATCGACGTGCTCGCTTTCGATGGTTTGATGCAGCTTCAATACTTAGACTTATCCGATAATAATTTAACGGTGAGTGAACAATTATTTTTATTATTAAATTTAAACATTTGTTAAGTTTCGTAATGGGATGCGCAACAGTTACGTCGTTCGTCGAACGAATCATTAAGTTTTAATTAATTTAATGTTTCTATAGTTCCACGATTTCGGCTTCTAATGGTTCGTAGATCATTAAGCTTGTCTTTTTAACTGACAAAAGAAAGACAAAATGAAGAAGACTTTTTGTATTACATTAATTACATAAACTTGATTTATATTTATTTCAGAGTGTGCCAACGGATCAGTTATCAAAGTTATCCAATTTAACGCACCTTTCACTTAACGGAAACTTCATTCAAACACTGCCAGCCGTTTCATTTCTGAATTTGTTTCAATTGCGTGAACTTCACATGGATCGTCTCGTAAACCTTGTAAAAATCGATTCAAGGTGAGTTTCAAAGTTTTTTTTCTCATATTCCTTGATTAAATAGAAAAATATGTTTTGCGGGGGTAGAAGTATAATTATCAATTCGGTACTTTCCCTTCAATTTGATTTCTCATTTAAACATTTCGTTTCACATATTTGTTGAAAAAATATTTCGATTTTAATTACATAATTTCTTCAGATAGTTTTCGAGGGTGAACAAAACAAAATTCCTCAAATATTTTCCCTTTTCTACTTCATTTGTTGATAGCCAAACATTAAATGTTGGATATTAAAATGTAATAATCAAAGTGAGGCAATAAAAGCTGTCGTAATATCATTTCAAAGTCATTGAGTAATGAAAAAATATGTTTTATGCTTTTTGATGATTTTGATTCTATCGAAAGAAAAGGAAAAATTTGTAAATGATGGTTTTTCGGTTTTCAACCTTTTTGGACTATTTTTAAAGGCGTGGGAGTTGAGCATCGTTTTCACTCTAATTTCAATAATCATTTTACGATATTTTAACGTTTGGGAATCGAGAGAAAGAGAAAAAAAAAGGTTCGAAAAACAGTTTTATGCCATCGTTTCATTCTCCTTTTCTGATAATGAGTTTCCGATGCCTTTTATTGCCCTACCGTGAATGTTTATGCTGCAATAAGTGACATAGAGTGAAGCCATGGTGTTTTCGTCATGCCGTTTATCTACACGTGAATATAACGAGAAAGAGAGGAAAAATAATAATAAAAGCGAAGGGTCTGTCTGCCTTCGCTTTCTTCACTCATTCGTGTTCTCGCCTTTTACTCGTTTTCAAACTTTCCCTTGAGCTGACCATTCACTCGTTTCAAAATGTAATCGAAAACGAATTTATCTTTTAATTTTTAAAACTCAATTAAGAGGAATCATTTCGCGATAATCTCTTGAACTCAACCCGTATGTGTGCTTATGGCATTAGCCGTAGTTTTTCTTATTTCTTTAATAAAGTAATTTCTATGTTGATGGATTTTTAATTGATATTTTCTTCATCTCTTTTAATTCTCCATTTAGAGCTTTCATCGACAACGTTAATCTGCAAATACTCACCATGAACGACAATGAGCAGTTCTCTGATTTGCCCGTTCATCTGTTTCATGGCAATTTGAATTTAATTGAATTGTCGATAAAAAACAACAAACTTTATCAACTTGATGCGATACAACTGCCATTAGATCAACTGAAAAAATTGTCATTGGCTGATAATCCATTTGTTTGTAATTGCTCGTTGATCTGGTTATGGCAGTTAATTAAATCATCGTCAGTTACATCATCGCTTCGTAGTAGTCAACAACATTCGAATGATTTGGGGGGAAGCTCATTAGCTATGGATAAAGAGAATATTGGTTGTGATATTGTAATAAAAAATGACGATGACCAAGTAAAAGTCATTCGGAAAAAATTAACTGAGATGTCCGAAGCTGACATTAAATGTCCAACTCATATTGTCACAATTATAAGCGTCATTCTCACGGTTATTTTCATTGCAATCATCTGTATTAGCATTTTGATTGTCATAAAATGCTCGAGAACAGCGCATTTGAAGCGTCGACAACAGAAATACTTGTCAGGAGAGCGACAGAACATTGGCGAACTTATTATCCCACAAAAGATTGACAAGTACGAACTTGAACGTTATTTAGCTGATCAACAGTTGCAACATCAACAGAAGCAACAACAAATACAGCAACAATATCAAATGAATCATCACACAATCCAACCAATTCATTCAAACCAAAATCAATACTTTCAACATCCAAATCCCCTCATTAAGCCCAACGAGTATCGATCATTGAAGAAATGGGAAAATGGCGATATTACTCAACAATATCCGACACTTAATAGTCATCAAACTTTAAAAGCGTCGACAACACCCACAATCACTTCGTCATCCCCGCTGAAGAAACTTCAGAAAAATAACATTCACATTCTCAATAACTACAATCATACAAATTCATTGTCGCTATCACGCGATCAAGACGACGAACCATTAGGATTGTCACAAGAACAAATTTACAGCAAACATCCCGATGACGATGAAAGCAATTTCGAAGAAGATCATTACGAGAACTTTGATGATAATTACTTAAACAGTTTGAATCGTAAAATAAATATCCAATCAACATTACCGCTTACGAAAGCACCCACAACAACCACCACATTATTTAATACGAATGAAAGTAACAAAAAAAGTTTGCACAATAATATTAAACCACATATAGTCTACGTATGACTTAAACGTTATTTGGCCAATAACATTCAACGTTACGATTTTATATAAATAATGAATAAGAAGATGATGAAGGAGTAAAAAGAAAACTAGCAGCAAATAAAAACTTATTTATGTAATAAAAAAATAATATTATTAAATTCGAAATGGAAGTTACAACATAAACAAACAAAGACGTGTTAATTTTGTACAGAAGTTTCTTTTTCCATTCTTTTCAATTCTTTGCTAATTACTTATCTGTACAAATAGAATAAAAAGTAAAAAAGAAAAAAAAAACTTTTTTCAGTTATCAAACTTTGTTTTTTCGTTTTCACTTTAAACATAAAGTTTTTCCTCGGTTTCGAAGAGATATCTAAAAAAATTAACACCAAATAAAAAACTTGTAAAGGAAAAGAAATCTAAGTGTGAAGTACTAATGAGAGCGTGATGAAGCATTTTTCAAGCGAATGATGAGTTCATGACGTTCTCAAGAGAAAGTTCAACGTTCTCCTAAGCTAAAAAACATGAAATTGAAATTTAATGAAAATGCTTTTCTTTTCTATGGTAATGATGATAAAAAAAAGAGAAGGAAGATGGAAAATAATTTCATTTTCAAGATTTTCCGCAGATACCGTACTAATGGATCGTTATTCGTTCTTATCAAGCTACTGTTTTCGCATGAAATTTGAGCATGATGTTTAGAAGTCATTCGTGTAACTTATTCGTATGGAAACATTAGAAGAAAATTTTCACACACAAAAAGAAATCTTTGCCAATTTCCAACATCATTGAAATCGTATTTTTTTTTCTTTGGTTCAAGTCAGTTTTTCAAGTTAAACAGATATCTAATCAGTGTAAGAACACATAAATGTTTACTAGTAAGAAAAAGAAAGAACAAGAAAGAAGAGAAGCAAAATGTTGTAAAAAAGAAGTGTAAATTGAGGTGGTAGTGAGGGAAAGAAAGAAGGTCTTCAAATATATAAGCAATAATTAAAATGTAATTAATTTTCATCTCAAAGGACCCGAATCATGAGAAAAAAAACTTTTCCAATTATAATTTCCCTCCTTGAAATGTAAATAAGTATCGTGAAGGAAATTGCGCGCTAGCGCTGTCTCTCTCCCAACCACCCGTTTCATTTTAATTTTATTAAGTTTAATTAATTTCTCAGTGTAAATAATAATTTCCTTTGCTTATTTTTATTTTCATCTTTCGCCTTCAACTGGTGAGAAAGGAATTTCTATGTTCTCGTAAACAACGTGAATTGAGATTGAAATGGAAAACTGAAAACAGAAAACTTCATAAAGGAACAGAAAAAAAAGTTTTCCATCAAACTCATTTTCGAAGTTTGCGGCAACGAGAAGAAAGGAAGAAATTAATTAATTAACAATTAATATTTTTATATTTTATAACATGAAAATATGCTGAACAATTTGTAAATTTTATGATAAAACAAACAAAAACATATTTACATTCTTTTTGATAATATTTCGTGAAATTTAAAATAAAAAGAAATGAAATTAAAAAAGGGAAAAAAAGAAAAAAATAGTTTAAACATAAAAGGAAATGAAGAAACAATCTGTAAAGTATGAAAAACTTATTTTTATGTTTAAAGTCATTAATTGAGATTATAAACATGCAAAAACCAATTGAAACAATAAAACTTAAATGAGAAATCGATAAAAAAATGAGATTGGCTTGAATAACTTTATTTATTTTTCAGTTTTCAGAAGAGAAAGAGAGAAGGTGAATTATTGCAACAACGTTTCGAGAGTTAAAAGTTTAGCTTTATCTTTGAAAAGTCTTACGGTCCTATAAAGTATTCAACAAGCAATAACTTAACTCAAACTGCACTTTAAATTCTCGTAAAGACTCTAACATGTGTGCTTGAGAGCTCGAGTATGTATATTAAATTTCCATGTCTGAGCTTATTGTTTCTGCCGTATATCAGCTTACACCGTTTACATAATCCTATTAGCATGATGTATGAACTTTAAGGAAAAATGAAACATAAATTTATATTCTTTTTCTTTTACTCCGACATATTTGCAGAGCGATTTCTCATCGTCATTTTGAATTTTTCTTGTTCGAGTACGAATGAAATATTTGTTTTAATTTATCAGGTATTTAATTTCGGTTCAGTTGATGAAGGAACGAAACAAAGAATGTTGAATGAGTATGAAATTTATGAAGAATTATTTTGCAAAATGTACATATTGGAATTATAATATTTATCTATTGAAATTCCATGAACAATCTTTGTTTAGCTCTTGAATTTATCCGTGCTTCAGTCTGTAAAGTCAGACAGCTATGAACAATCTCATTTTGCTTTCAAATAATTCAAACTGATGTCTGCTTAAACACAGATCATGTCATTACGGTTTTTCAACAGTTGTTTTGAAATCATTTATTTCGTTGTTCATTCAGAGACAAATCTCTCGTATGATTAAACGCCCGAAATTAATAATAGCAGAAAATTTTATGAGAATTTTTATTTCTTTTTGCTTCTCTTGCTTGCCTATGATAAATTTGTTTCAATTATTTATATTTTTGAACTGTCAGCATTAAAAACAAGTTTAAGTTGAGAGATAAAATATGTTTTCGAGTTGGCGTGACGATTTCTGTTTTTAAACAAAACTTTTTCTAACTAAATCTGTAGCGGATTTAAACCATCAATGTTGTTTACAAAACTTTGTTTTAACATTTTATCACATACTTAGACTGTGGCATTCTACATTGAAGAAACTTTTATGAATTTATTCTTAGAATGGCAATGGAATAAAGAATTAAAATGATTTAAGTATTTAAGTATTTATGTCAATTGAATCAAACTGCAGACGAGGTAAGTTGAATTTAAAAAGTTCATTTGAATATCTGATTTCGAGAACGTTTTTGCATTTTCCTGGAGATGACAAAATATGAGTAAAAGAATGTTTTCCGAAGGTTTGAGAATCAGAGAAGTCAGAAAAAATAATAATAAGTTGTTTTAATATTCCAAGTGCATTTGTCAATTCGAAATCACACAGAAACGATGGAAGAACGAACACTTGAAGAAATTCAGTGGCAGGAAGAAGAAGTAAAGAAATCTGTGATTGTCTCGATGGTACACTTGAGTTGCTTCTTTATGTGGAATTTTAAATTAGTATGAAAGCGAAATGCAATTAAAATGTTTTTGGAAAGAATTTGAATAACTTCCGAATGGTCTTTTAATGGACTGAGATTCACTTCTCGTTGTGAAGGTTTTAATTGTTCCATTATTGAATTCCACATTCATTCATTCGATTAGATTTATTAACTCGTCTTGAATGTCTCTCTTCTGACTGTAGCTGCGACTGTGTTGATGACAAACATTTCACTTGAACGAAAGATTTCTCTCTCCTGTGCTGCTAACCAAATCTGAGTGAGTGAAAGAAGAAAGTTCACACATCTATCAAGATTAATTCGTCTCGTGTTGCTTAAACATTTCTATTATATCTTGAAGTTGATCATTGTGAACATCAAACGAGATGCAACTTTGCATTTATTTATAGTTGTTCATATTTCAAATCAAGCGACTTTACGCGTCTTTTGAAGTGAAGAAAAAAATCATTTCAGCGACTTTGTTCAAACTTTTGCTGAATTCTTCGTCTCGTTAATGTTTCGAAGAAGTTTTGAAATAAATTCATCCATGCGATTGAACATAAATTAAATTAAAGCGATTTGCAGGAATGTTGTGACATGTTCGCCATTAACTCGACTTCAAATGGAAGCTTAAAGGTTCACAGAGAGAGTTCAAGCTGCTTAGAAGTGAATGTTTTTCCCTTTGAACTCTAAGAAAATCGAAAACCGACATGGAACATGCTGACTGTCTTCATTAATTTCTTTGCTAACATTTTCCGACGGCGGGAAATGCGAAAGATGATTCGAGTAACGTTTGTGTGTGTTCTGAGCATTTGAAATCTGAAACAACAACAAAAACAAACTCTCGATGAAGGCTTGAGATGAATTCAAGAGAAATATTTGTCCCATTAAAGTGGAATGAATATTTTTGAGCAAATCATCTGGCATCATCACCATCAGTAACTTGATGCGATTAATGTTTGCTGTCTGCACGACAGAAAACATTTTTGATTTTTCTAATATTTCTGACTTTCTTCGTATCTGTTTTTGTGTCATTCTTTCTGTGAAAAAAGAACTCGATCGCCTGAAAATGTGCTAACAACATCGACACGAGCAGATGAAGTGCATCACATACTTAACTTAATTAAGGGATTTCGTCTTATTTTAACACATTTGGAGTTAAGAATCTGAAAGTGGGTTGAAGTAAAGAACAGAAAAAAGGTTGCGGCGTTGCATTTTATGAATTTACATAATTTATGTTGCTTCATTTACTCTCAAATGTTTGTAATGTGAGCACGTTATGATCTTAATTCCTAATAAAATTTAATCGAGAACCCTCTCGAGTTGAAATGCTTCTGTAAGTCATCACGACATTGTTAATGAACCTCACAATTTACAAGATTTCCATGAATTCGCTTTCAAAGCATTTCATACCAAGTTTGCTCGCTAAAAGCATCGATTAAGTAAATAAACTGGTTTTGAGAAATTAACTTAATTCATCTTTAAACCTCTCAATCGACTGATGTAAAACATGATCTGAACAACTCAATAATTGAGCTCAATTCGATGCAAAAAGCACGAGAAATTCACGACTAAGCCAGGAAAAAAACGATTGCATGCAAAATTATGCTGGATGTGCAGGTGGCAAACTCAAAATGATGTTGAGATTAAAATTCAATTAAACGAAGCAGATGAGGGACGAAGATTTAAAAGTTAATATCGCAGACCATAATTGTTAGATGAAAGTGAATTGATATGCCGGTAACGTTGCATTATGAATAACAATTATCCAGCAATACAAGCTCGTGTTTCCGGGAGATTTGAAGCGAGACAAATCATGAGAAAACAACATTTGAGAAGAACTTTTAGCTGTGAAAGCGTTTAACAAACACAACACTCGTTCATTTCATTAAAGTTACACTTCAATTAATTCTTTTCTCATTTCGGATTATAAAAAGCAAACTGCGAGGGTGCAAAAAAGTCAGAAATTTCTTTCCGCTTCTGTGAATCACAAAAATTGATAAATTGTGTCTCATAAAAATGTTCACAATGTGAATTAAAATTCAGTCGTTTTCTTATTTCTTCAACTATTTATCTGAAGATAGCAAGAGGACAACACCAAGAAAAACATAAAACGAAAGAAAGAAAACATTCAATTAGAGAACAATGGAATGATACATGGATGGCGATAGATCTGGGAAGAAGACGAAACGATTTGAACAGCAAAAGCCAGAGAATGGGATTGAAAATGGAAGAAATTGAGTTTATCTCGAATCAGTTTATGATAATCTTTGAAAGAGAACATTACACGAGTTAGCAATTAGATACATTCGAAATGATTGTGACGTCGAAGTTCGAGAGTGGCTGATGAGAAATGGAAAAGAATTTTTGATCAACTCAAGCTACGCACCACTGATCAAAATAAAGTTCCATTAATAAAAAATAAAAGAGAAATTAAACAGCGATCGATTTCACGTTGTTAACTGCTCGTTTGTTGTTGCTTTTGGAACCCAACAGTCGAACATAAATTATGTCAAAGTATTTAAAGCATCACAACAAAACATTCTTAAACACTTTTCTCTGCACGTCTTCGCGCAACTTATGTTTATGTTGCTAAACTTGGTCTCTTAATATTCACGATTATTTTAGTGATGTGATAATGTCTTTCATTGTCAGTTCAACAGATTATCTTTGTTTCGAAGCTCCATTCGCTGATCTTGAAGCAAAATTATCAGGAGATGATATAAAGAAAAATTAATGCGATAGATTGAATGTTATCTACGTTGAGTCATTTTAAAATTTGTTTATTATTTGGAACAATATCGTTTAATAATATTTTATGAGTTACAGATGATAAAACTAATTATGAATTAAAATTCTTATTTTCTCCAATAAACCAATTTAGGAATTTGATCACGAGATTGTTCTTGTCCTGTCTCTCTTCGTTGTAATTCTGCCACTTTAATGAATAAGTCGTAAAGAGAGTAAACACAAATGAATGCGTAGATGTTTAATACCAGAATAATTAAAGAAACAATCAATACAGCAATGTAAACGTTTCCAATTTTAATGATTCCAATGATAGCACCTGTCGATTGCAGTAGGCAAATTATCACACCAATAGCGAGCATCCAAATGAATAACTTCATAAACAAAGGCCTTTTTCTTCTGACTCCAATAGTCATTAAAAGGCTGGCAGTAACATTAACTGTCATGAAAGTGGTGTACAGTAGGGCTATGACCATCCCAATTATAAAAATCACAAGTAAATTATACTTTTCATCAGGATCAGTCAGTGAATTGTATTCGTTTTTGAATTTGATTGCCAGCACTATAACTAATCCTGGAATTCCAAATGCTAATGTTACACTGAAAATAGTGCTTAACCTGTGAAACAGAAGGTGAACTCAATTTCAACAAGAATAATTCATATTCTAACATATGTCAAACTAACAACCCGATAATAAATCCTCCACTTTCTAATGTTAAACAAAGCAAAAATCTGTCAACTCGAGGAATGCACATTTTTAATTTACACCTCACAAGATTCAGCGACTAATCGAAAATGTTTAAATGACTTCAATAATTTTTTTTATCTTATCAGACGATAAGAAATTTTCGCTGCTATTGGATTTGATATTGCTTACGAACGAGCTTTCAGTGACAACTTTCAAACTTTGATTATCATAACAAACATTTTTTAGATATTGTGTCTATGCTTATTTTCAAGGCAATGAAATTAATTTTGGTTGAATGTAGTAATTAACTTAAGTTGTATTTTAGATATTTGAGCGTAATGAGTTCCAACACATATCGAAATAATAAAACTTTAAAGTAGGTATTTCACTTTCGTGAATTCATTTAAATTATTTTACTAATAAAGTTCGACAAGAAGCCGAACTTTTCAGCTTGCTGTTCAGTTTTGACAAAAAATTATCTTAAAAGATCTTATATACCCGAATAATTATTTCTCAAAATTAACTATAAAAATGGAAACTTTCATTCAAAACTTTTATTCTCGTCTTCGTTTTAAAGAAAGTTAAAAAATGAAATTTGACAAGACTTTAATCGTTTTGTTTTTGTGTTTTCTTCTAGAAGTAAAACTGATCGATGCTAAGTAGGCGACGAGGTTTAACTGCTGGTTGTAAAGATCAGTGTAACGATCTTATAAGAGAGATAATATCATTTCATATTGAAGTGGGTCAAATTCTTGCAGAAAATGATAGAATTTTGGAAGGAATATTGACTGCTGAAGACTTTCAAAGTTACCAAAAGCTACGAGTAATGATAGAAGAAGGAGTAGCAACTGAAGAGGATTTTAACAAGTTGAATACAATTTTGGCGAAATATAAAATTAATTCCACAGATAGAAACTTCCTAACTTTGGAAAAAAATAGCGTTCGATTAAAAGAAATTGAAGCGAGATTCGAGGAAATCATGGAAGATACTTCAATAACAGATGAACACTGTGTCCGTTGTTTGGATCCAAATACACAACTAATTAACTTTGTAATTTTTGTATACATCTCTTCTCCTCCTTTAACTGCAGAAACATTCTTACTTCATCTTCTATACTAAATACTAATAAATAGAGCTCTTTTCTTTTTAATTGTCAAAATTCCTGAATTTTAATTGACCGAAGAACTTTTATCAGACAAAACTCTATCAAAAGTTAAAGCAATCTATTAATAAATTAGAATGAAAAACACAGAAACAACCTATTTGTTTAATTTCATCATATTCTTCAATGTCTTACGCGTTTCTTTTGCAGATGCAAATTTTATATAATATTTCATTGTGTTTATTTAGCGAGAAACACTTTTATTTCCATTTTTGAAACTTCTATTTAAAGTTCTCACATTTTGATCAAATGTTTTCTGCTATAGGTAATCACTATAAGATAACTCACTATATAAGGTAATCCTTATAAGTGTAAGTGAAATGAAAACTTTGCAGTAGTGAACTGGATCAAGTCAAAACTTATTCTTAACATCAAAATTAAAAGTGTTGTTTGTTTAGTTAAAGTGAAATAAAAATTGTATAAAATTGTTTGAGAACCAATTTCATTAATTTTTTCCTTCAAAAGGTTATTTTTAGTTAAAAGTTGTTTGTTGCGAACAAAACTTGTGTACGAATTCAACCATCTTTGTAAACATCTAAGATGTCATTTTGTCACGTACATGCATATCGATATAATCAAACTTTAAAGTTAATGTTCAGTTTTGTGGAAAAAGTATCAACGACATCAAGTTTCGTCTTTCTGATTGGATAAGAATATCTTCGGCTCTTTCGTAGGGATCCTCTTATATGCCTGATTATTTTTTTTTGTCAAAAGTAACTATTTTGTTAATCGTTTGTTGTTGCTATTGGAACCCAACAGTCGAACATAAATTATGTCAAAGTATTTAAAGCATCACAACAAAACATTCTTAAACACTTTTCTCTGCACGTCTTCGCGCAACATTTGTTTATGTTGCTGAACTTGGTCTCTTAATATTCATGTTCCCACTTATTGGATTTCTTTTGTTGTTTGTTGGTCCATTGAAAGTGGGAAGGGAACAAACAACAGAACGAAATCGAAATCGAAATCGAATGGGCAATGATGCCTGAATTGGAGTCGATAAAGTGCCGCCAGTCCGAGAATGACATTCAAATTAATTCAATGAATGGAAGGGAAGGTAAGAAATGGGCTTGAGTCGATTCACTTTTATGCAGAAGATCACAACAATAAAATCATAAATCTTGTCACCAATGAAGGCTGAAAAAGAAGCAACGGCGGTGGCGGCGTAAATTGCTTTCTCTTTTCAAAGCAAAATCTGAATTAAAAAAATCTGTAAACGACTTAACGAGTTAAATATTCATTGTTTAATGGTCAATTAATTGTGATTGCGGCTGAGATTGAGTTTGAAGCGCGAAATCGAAATGAAATTCAAATTTAACTTCTTCAGATTATCAAAGATTTTGTTGCGTCGTCTTCGATTGATGAATCATGCATGAAATGGATCGATGACTTTAATTGCCGTTTAAACGCTTTAATCCATTTAACTCTCAAATGGCGCGACTCTGAACTAGAATATCCAGTGACGAATCAAATCTTCCGTTTCAATTGGATTTGTTATAATTAACATCGTGAAGCGCATTCATTTCTTAGGTGGAACTTCATTAAACATTTTTAAGACTTTCAACTTCTCAGAACATTTAAAATGTTTCATCCATTGGGAAGTCATTCAATATGACATGAACGAAGATTTTGTAAGATGATTGCTGAGATCTTTACAACAGTATTTAGGTAATTATTTGCTTATCATTTCTTTTTAATTTTTATTAATTATTATTCATTTGTTTGAATTATCAACAGGATATTGATAACATTCATTCGAATTGATTAAATAAGTTTCATGTTATTGAAGTTCAATAGCTGAACACCTGGAATTGTCCACTTAAATCGACTTATTTAGATTTTTTAAATGCAAGAATGGTGAAATTTCCAAATACTTGTCAGAATATATTCGATATCGAGGTTTATTGATTGTCTATCTTTACTTGATAAATTTATTAACCGTATCGAAATGTCAGATAAAAAAATTATATAAAAGTTCAGCTTGATATTAAATCGACTCAATTATTAAGTAAAATTCAAAAAGTTACGAACAAATAAATATTTAGAATGAACAAAATTCATTTTGCTTTAATTGGAGTTCTTGTTGCTGTGAACTTTGTCTTTGTCACGGGAAATCCACTGAGAGATGCCGAAAATTCATTTGATGATGAATTAATGGATGATATGAGATTTACTGATGAACAACGAAACTTCATGTTTGGTTCTGAGAACAAAAATTCCAAAACAGGAACAACTTGGAGGCATTGGATAAAAAATGAAAGAGGTGAAGTTGTCATTCCCTACAACATCGACCCATCGCAAGGATTTGGTAAGTTTTTCTTTTTAAAATGATTACAGATGAATTAATGAACTTCAATTTTGTTAATCTTTCACACAAGAAAAACATCACATCGATTGGATGCTTCGACAGTTTACAGCCATTTCAAACTCAACTTGTGTGCGATTCGTAGAACGAACGGATGAAGAAGATTTCGTTGACATAATTAATGGTAGTGGTTGTTGGTCGTGGTTAGGTCGAATGGGAGGAAGACAAGAATTATCAATGAAGATCAATGGATGCTTCTTCAGTGGGACCGCAATGCACGAAATGATTCACGCAATTGGTTTTCACCATATGCAAATCAATTACGATCGCGATGATTATATAACAATCAATTGGGAAAATGTGAACGAAGATGATAAATCGGCATTCAACAAAGTAGATCCTCGGTACTATAGTAACTTTGACACTCCTTATGATTATTTGTCGGTAATGCATTACCTTAAAACGGCATATTCAAATAACGGCAAAGACGTCATCGTACCGAATGATAAAACTTTTCTTGACATCATAGGTAGAGTTGGGATGTTGTCAGCAGGTGACGCTTTAAGAATTAACAGAATGTATGAATGTTCTATTGTTGATGAAATCCCGGAAGAGACTACAACAGTCACTCAAGATACTTCCACTGTGTCTGAAGAAACTACGACAGTGTCTGAATAGACATCAAATAAAGTTCGCTTGATCAATTTGTCAACTTTGTTTCAAATGAAACTTGTAAAGATTCAATAAATTTACAAGCTTAAATGCGTAAATTTCATCAATTTAATAACCAAAAATTAATTAGAATTAAATAATGAAGAACACAATGTCAAAGAAAAAGTCGACACACCTCATGCTTACTTTGAGTTTCAATTTCATGGCTTTTAATGAATGACTTCAGGAACATCGTACACCTATCTTTTATCTAAATCTTTTCTTCTCTTTTCCNTAACTGTTCACCTGGAATTGTCCACTTAAATCGACTTATTTAGATTTTTTAAAAGGCAAGAATGGTGAAATTTCCAAATACTTGGCAGAATATATTCGATATCATATCGTTCATTGATTGTCTATCTTTAGTTGATAAATTTATTAACCGTATCGACATGTCAGATAAAAAAATTGTATAAAAGTTCAGCTTAATAGTAGATTGACTTAATTATTAAGTAAAATTCAAAGAGTTACGAACAAATAAATATTTAAAATGAACAAAATTCTTTTTACTTTAATTGGAGCTCTTGTTGCTGCGAACTTTGTCTTTGTCACGGGAAATCCACTGAGAGATGCCGAAAATTCAGTTGATGATGAATTGCTGGATGATATGAGATTAACTGATGAACAACGAACCTTCATGTTTGGTTCGGAAGGCAAAAATTCCAAAACAGGAACAACTTGGACACCTTGGCACTGGATAAAAAACGAAAGAGGTGAAGTTGTCATTCCCTACAATATCGACCCATCGCAAGGATTTGGTAAGTCTTTCTTTTTAAATGACTACAGAAGATTCAGTGGACTTCAATTTTGTCAACTTTTACACAAGAAAAACATCACATCGATTTTATGCTTCAACAGTTCACAGCCATTTCAAACTCAACTTGTGTGCGATTCGTAGAACGAACAGATGAAGAAGATTTCGTTGACATAATTAATGGTAGTGGTTGTTGGTCGTGGGTGGGTCGAATGAGAGGAAGACAAGAATTATCAATGAAGATCAATGGATGCTTCTACGGTGGAACTGCAATGCACGAAATGATTCACGCAATTGGTTTTGGTCATATGCATCTAAACTACAATCGTGATGATTACATAACAATCAATTTTGAAAATGCGAAGGAAGATTATAAATTCGAGAAAGTAGATCCTCGGTACTATAGTAACTTTGACACTCCTTATGATTATTTGTCGGTAATGCATTACCGTAAAACGGCATTTTCAAAGAACGGGAAAGACGTCATCGTACCGCATGATAAAAATTATCTTGACATCATAGGTAATGTGAGGATGTTGTCAGCAGGTGACGCTTTAAGAATTAACAGAATGTATGAATGCTCTATTGTTAAGGAAATCCCGGAAGAGACTACAACAGTCACTCAAGATACTTCCACTGTGTCTGAAGAAACTACGACAGTGTCTGAATAGACATCAAATAAAGTTCGCTTTATCAATTTGTCAACTTTGTTTTAAACAAAACTTGTAATGATTCAATAAATTTACAAGCTTAAATGCATAAAACTTCATTTTAGTAAACCAAAAATTAATTAGAATTAAAGAATGAAGAACACAATGTCAAAGAAAAAGTCGACACACCTCATGCTTACTTTGAGTTTCAATTTCATGGCTTTTAATGAATGACTTCAGGAACATCGTACACCTATAATAATCATTTCATAGAAATCTTTTCTTCTCTTTTCCACAACCAAGAATCGTTCTCATAAACCTTCGCCTTCAAGACACTAATTCTCATTATGATTATCTTCTAAATGCGCGTTTCATAAGTGCTTAAACCACAATTACTAGTTGATCGTAGAAGGATTGAATCCATTAAGTTCCAAGAGTTGGAATTTCTACGAACGTTAGTCGATCAAATGTTGCGCAAAGTGAGAAATAAAACATAAAAACCGTTCGAAGTTCATTACCGAGTTCAGGCACAGGCATGAAATGTTAGAACTTCTAAATCCACTCATCGGAATTAACAATCAACTGAATCGAAAAAAAGCGAAGAAACATTGTCAGTAAATTCCTTCAAGCTCTTCGAGACTGTTTGAGATGCACACAATCGACTTTCGCAGGTCGTATTTTATGGAGTAATTCGAGATCGCGAACAGAATGAAGAAACGAAAGCTTAGCAATTGGAATAAATACCAGCGAATGGAAATCAATAACGCAGCTCATACCGACGTGACTCGTTCAATGACGCCTTAAGTTCAGTTCATCTCTGGCAGCTGAAACCAAAAACAATGCGAGGTAATAAATTGTCTTTTTGTTCTTCTTTCAGAGACGTTTGTTCCGTTTTTCATCTTCTTCGTCTTCATTCTTCAAGCATTTGTGAGTGTATCAAGTTAAAGAAATCACTTTCGGGTTATTGCGAAACAATAAATATATTTTGCTTCACGCGCAAATTTTTTCTTCAGCTTGAATTTAAACGAAAACGATTAATGATGGCGAAGAAGGTGAAAGAAAAGAGAATTGGATTGGATCGCGAGTTAGTTTACATTTGAAATGGACTTAGATTATCACCAACAAAGACTCTTTCGCAAAGAACGAGAATTTCGTTGTAAAAATATAAATTTCAGAGCATTTTGCTTGCATGTCATTAAATTCACGTTCCGGGATACAATGACCGAATACAAACGTCGGTGGAACTGAAATCTGAGATCAGAGAAGCTTTAGAACAATAAAAGTTGTCGTAATTACATCGCAGCATGACTTCTGGGAGTCAGTTTAAAATCGCCCACATAAAACACCTTTTGGTAAGAAGGTGGAACCAGCAGAATCAAGGTTCTCAACCTCACCTTCGATTACATCTGCCAGTTTTGATCTTAGATTCGTTTTACGTTGTTGTACGAAGTGAAATAATAATGGCAATGAATCCTTCGACACGAGATGACACCTGCAAATGATTCACACGAAATGTTGCAATGCTCGAGATCGAGAGCGAACATAAAATTCCCGGAGGCTTCAGAAACAACACTGAAGCAGTGAAGCAACATAAGTTAAAGTAAAACGATTAATAATCAACCGCCAGTTAAATTTCGTATCATGTCATTACTCAGGAGAGAAGCGAAAACAAAAGAATTGAATAGAATCACAAGAAACAAATATCAGAGAAGATATTCACATGAACAATGGACGAATCGGGAAGAAATATTCAAATCATCCACTTTGGAATTGTGAGCGTCTTCGTCTTCATCTTCTCCTCGCCGCTTGACTCTTCAACGATTCTTTATTGTTCATAAATGATTTTTAAAAATTTCTTTCTTTCGCTGTCTCCTTCTTTGTTATGTTCTGTTCACCTTATTGAAATTCACTCTCGAGAGTGTTTGATTAAATGCCCAATAAAATAATAAGAAAATTATCAAAGTCAATCTTCGAGATGAGAATTTTCGTTTATTATCGATTTTGATTTGATTTCACAAAAAGAAATATTCAATGGAAGATCATCACGAATTGGGAGACTAGAAATTAAAAAATTTATGACTTTTACTGCTATGACTCTGAACGAAGACCATAAATCGATTTGTAAAGCAAGCAGGCAATGACTTCGGTCTCGTTTGTTTACCCACAATATCGAACATCATAATCTGAACAAGAGAATCTTTCAACTCAGTAATTTCAACAATTTCATTGGAAGAATCTCCTTGAAGGACGTCGCAATTGATGCGTGACGATAAAAATGTTTTGTGTCATCACTTTTGACAATTTTCTTCTCATACTCTTTGAGGTCTTGTCGTCGTTCGCGTTTCCATTTAATCAAACACCGACAATGCTTGACAATTTCCTGAGCAAATTTCTTCTATCGAAATTAAATTATAAATCAATTTTATATCTTTGATTCTCTTGAGGGTTGAAAATTATGGTTTTATTTTGTTTTCTATCCCATTCAATGTGTCGTTATTGAACGCGAGTTTTACTTTAACGTCACTTTAAGAAGCAAGAAGCAAGGGAAAATTCGTTCTTCCAAGTTTCCTCGATGATCTGCTTTGTTTCTGACTTCGTCAATCAAGTTTCAATGAAATATTTCCATGTTTGTAACTCAGAGTCTGAATTTACTCATTCGATGTTTTCAATTGATTTCCTTAAGAAAAAATCGTTCAACTTCAATTCACACACGTGATTTGTATCGCATTCATTGAGAGTTAATTGAATTATTATTTGCATTTTTAAGCCTTCCTTTTTTGTGTTGTCGATTCAATCGATTTATTGTTGGAAATTGAAACCATGAATGGTTCGAGAATTTGGAGGCTGAACTCTCGTATTCAGTTTGATGTGGGAGATGATGATGGAAATATTTGTGGCGATCATTTATGCTTTCTTATCTCACTTTTAAGAAAGTTTCGAGCAATAAAATTAACATAAAAAGATCGTCTTCAACAGCTCAGAATAATTATCGACGATGATGATTAATTGGCTTTTATTGGCGGCAGAAATTTTTGTAATTTACGACACGAACTCAGTGAGAATCATGATTTACTTGCACATTTCTCGGGATGATCCTCGACCCATGATGAGCTATTTGTTAATCTCACTTCTCAACTGATAAATTTAATACACGAACGTCCCTTTCACGACAAAAACAAATACCTGCGGTGTTAGATCGGAATGATGTTAGCTTCGTAACGTGCAGTATCTATTAGAGATGAAGTGGAATGAAGAAGGAGAAGAAGATCAAGACGCGAAGATATCCAATGGCTTTACTAATTGTGGTCATCAGTGAGATGATCCACTAATGGTCTTTAATTGAAGGAAATATTCTGTTGGGACTCAAAGAACGGCTTTAATGAGAATTGGAATAAAAATTTGTCGAAAACAACATTTTTATGGCAGATTAAGAGCGTCAATTCCAATGACATGTTTTCTGACGGCTGCCGAGAGAATTCAAGTTCAGTAACTTGATATCGAAGTGAAATGAGTCAGTAAAGTAGCAATTAGAGATCACTTAGCTAACTTTAAAGCGTGAAAACCACATGAGATCATCCGCAGAATGAGTTAAATCAACAAAAACTGAGATTTGAACATTAAACGTGTTTTTAACTTCTCGAGTATCATTTTTCATTTCGCTTAGATTTTAATTTCTTTTCTCATTATTTTCAAATATCTTTCAAAAATATTCTCAGGTTCAATAAAGTTTTGTTGGGTAGCTTCTGAGTGACTGATCAACATTCAGATTTATTTATTTAAAATACTTTTTAATATTTTGTCGTGGGAAAAATTAGAAACAAGCACAACCCTTTCTGATTTACCTTCAACTTCTGAAGCTTGCGGGTAAATTTCAGCTTCAATGTTGCACAACAATTTTCGTGACATAAAAGATTATAAGTTAAAGGAGAATTTCGTTTCACGGACAAACACTCCTGTCACTGTTTTCAACATTCCTTGAGGGCATTTCTGTTGCTTTTACCATTTTAATGGCTTGCTTCACTTCATGCAAACTATCTCCTTATTATTTGCATAACTTATTATGTACTCACAAAGTTTGTTAGCTTCAGTCTCTTTTGTATCCTTCTTTAGAGTTTGTTTAACATCCGTTACTAATTTCCCTTTGATGAAAAACTGCTCGAAGCGGAAAATAGCATTTTTACTTGTGTTTTGTTATTTTCATGTCATCATAAATAAAAGTAGTTTTTTATGAAGTAATATTAAAAATTGAGTAAAAATTATGCAAAAACTTTAACATTTTTGTAAGCATGTTCAACTTGAATCAGTTGAGTTTTATTGGGTCAGAGCAGCTGAGGCTAACGAAGAACTTTCGAGTCAGATGGTGTAAGTTTAAAAGCAAAGCAATGCCAAATAAGAAACGCAATAGTTGAACATAAAGTAAAAGGGAGAGAACAAAAGTATTAAGATAAAAACTCGAAAGCAATAAATTTACAGCGTCGAGAATAAATTTAAATTTTAATTTCTCAGCCAAACGTTGAATGTTCGTTCAATTAATTAAAAAGAAATTCACATTTTTTCTCTGTTTGCACAAACTTCTTTGACTTGGATTAGATAAAATGTTGAAGAAATAAAAGTAAACATTTGTTGGAAGAATCTAAGTCGTAAAGTTAAAGTTTTCTATTCAGATTTACCATCTCATGAACCTGAATCGTTTTTCTTATTAATCAGCGGAAGTGTTAAACTGCGAGTTCGCTTATCGCCTTGTAAGTTGTGCTTAGATTGAACATGAAACAATGGGCGAGCTGTGGAATGCAAAACGCATAAAAGCAGCAAATAAAGAAAATAAAAATAAATAAAAAACACACAAATGCGAAAGATCCCGCGGGAAATAAACGAGAGACTGTTGCATGTTGGAGATCAATAAAAGTTAATAGTTTTCCTCGCTACAATCCAAGGGCAGTTCCATGCTGTGTGCCTTAAATCATTTGATTAGAGTTCTTCTTTCATTCCGCTGCAATTTCGAAGAATCTTTCGACCATTAAATAATTATTATCTGCCCTCAACAAATCATTTCATCGACATTCAAGTTGAAAATTAAGTGAGTCTGCATGAAGTTTAATGAAATGCAAATTCAGTGCAATAAGCGAGGATTTTTGGCTAAGAAAATAATTTTATTTGCGCTTATTTGCATAAATGCGCAATCGTAGAGGGAAAAGTGGATCAGAAATTGTAATTGAATTTCTTTAGTCTGCCATTTATGCATCCATTCACGGTTGGCAAGACCTTAAGTCGAAGGAGATTTGAAGCTAATGAGATAGATAACGAGATTGAATTTAATTTTTCTGCTTTCTTCTCTCTCTTAATCAATCGTTAGCTTTTTAAATATTTACAAGAATTCAATGGAGTTTAATTGAGAGGAGAAGATTCAATGCACATCGATGTTCATGTTTTTCTCAGAGTTGTGATATCAAATTGATTACTTGGTGGCATTAATAATTGAATGTAATCACATAGTAAACATAAGTCAAAAATATTGATTAATGATTGAACTCTAAACAATATCAAAAGTTGAAGTAAATAAAAAACATTTCATACGAAACAAAAATCAAACATCATTGCATGTTGCAAGTAAATTGTTGGTAAACATTTGTTAAATAATAGAATTTAACATGCTCTTTATGCTGCAGAAGCTCGGCAGTGGTTCAATCAAAGGGAATCAGTTCACGCTCATGAAACAATAAATTTCCCTGATTAAGAAATCTTTTGTTTGTGTTTGCATTAATATTGTCGAAAGCGAAGCCTAATGCTTTTATTGAAATTTGATGGATTCTTTTACGGTTAATGATAATCAAAAATATTCTGCTTAGCTTTTACGAGACAAGACGTTTGCCTGCATCGAATAGAATCACAATAAAGCGGTCATAAAAAATTTAGCTGTTCATGAAAGAAAACAGCAAAAGCATAAATCACAATAAAGCATCAAATGATTCCATTAAATTTATGCTTAGCTTTGCTGTGCTCTTTATTTATGTTTTGGAACATTAAAGCAATTTTCTGCTTAAAAGCATTCAGTTTCTTACGTTGACATTTCGATTGAATATTCAATAATATTAAAATGTTATCGTCAGCATCGAATCTCTTTACGAAATTTGGAAAGCAAGGAACCAAAGCCAAAAAAATAACGACACACAGAGAATAACAGGTTTAAGCAGTCTGAGATTCATTCACATAGCTATTTAATGTCATGTAAAATGTTTGGTTGGACTTAATCAATTTACAAACTTACCTCGTTATAAAAGCTCGACCATGGAGACATCAGCAACACCCAATCTCAATTTAAAAAGTCAACATAACGAGTCATTGATATCTGATTGATTTTGTTGAACTTAACACAGGGAAGCACGTGTTTGTTTATATAAGGTAAGAGTTATTTAGTTTTTATATTTATGACCAAAGGGGAACCAACTGTCAATTTTAATCATTGGCCACTGATCGGCCCACCGCACAAAAAAGTATCCGAGAGAAAATTGTCATTGTGAATACGAGTTGCTGTTGTATGTTAGATAGTCTTGTAAAAAATGACATTGAATGATTGAAGAATTATTTAATTTGGCACCGTGCTTCCTACCTGCTCGTAAAACTAGTTTTAAACGATCATATCGGTGAGACATGATCATTTAAATATTAATTAGGTGCCCACAAGCAAAAGCATTCATCGTTAAATTTAATTTGGTAATTATTACCACAAACATTTTCAATGTTGATAACGAAATTCTGATGGTGGTAAATAATTTTGAAAGAGCTGATTAAATTAATTATTGTTGCATTGATGTTGCTGACGGTTATTTTGTTATCAGTTAAAATGTGGGTAATTAAACTTTATTTGGAATTCAATAAACTTGATAATCGGTGAACATTATTGGCATGTTGATGAAGGTTTAGTTTTCAAAAGCAACAATTAAAACCAATAAATTTTTCTTGGATTTTTCATTATGACATTACATTAGAAGCTTGGAAATCAAATCTAGTCGAAAATAGAAAATTCGCAATGTTATATTTTGTTTAAATATTACCGAATCATTGGCTTATAAATCACTCTATTGCTTGAATTAAATGAAGCCATGTTATGGTCTCTTCACTCGATTAAAAACCAATATCAAACTGCCACTGAAAAATTTACTGAGCTCGAAAAGATTGTCAAATTGGAGACAAGTTTGCATTTCCGCTTAACCACAAACTTTTTCACATTAATACTAAAGTTTCTTGTAAATCTTTTCCCTTTGCACCGTAAAATTGCAACAAACTTTTTCTTCATCGACATTTCTCTCTATTGGAAGGTAATTTGACAAAACATGAATCAAGATTGAACTGATAAGTTGTCGTGTAGCTACAGGAATTCCGAAAATAACTTCAATTTGTGCTTAATGTTCAATTATCTCATTCACTTGTTAGTTAGCGAATGCCAACGGCATTAATGGGACCTTTCACGACGTCTCGCTTAAGCAAATGTTTGCTAAACAAATAGGAATTAAATCGATATTTGCAAAATTGCTGTTTTAACGTGTACAAAAATATTTTCGCCATCGATTTTGGTCATTTCAGGATTCATTCAAGGGATGGTTATTCCTTCTATTGAAACGAACATTTTTCAATGATTCAGCTCTGCTTTTGTTAACTACCACAATGCTCTGATATTTTTTTTTCGCCTTCTATTCAAATCAAAGCACAATCAAAACTTCTCTCTCTCTCCTTCATTCTCCTTTCATTCACTAAAAAATATTCCAACGATGTGAAAGCGATAAAATTTTTATTTCTACACAGCTAATGGAATTTGGTTGCTATTATGATTTTTAATTTTTCATATAAAAACGTGGAAAATCGGACATGAAACAACAGAATGTATGCATGAGAAGGCAGCAGTGAGACCCCATGTAGATCGTTTGAAGACGACGTGGAGCAGCAAAAGGAACCATCAACAAAATGTGCTTAAATATTAACGGAATGGGTGAAAATTTGTGGAAATCAAAATAATGTTTCGACTGTGCTTTTGTTGTGGATATTTCCACAAAAGCGCTTCGATTTCCTGGTTCTTTAAAAAAATATCAAGAAGGGTGAAGGTTGGAAAAATCTGTTAATTCTCCACATTTCTCTCCGTTTTTTTTTTCGTGAAATTTATAAACTTCGTCCGTGTCGATTGTTGTGGGCGAAAGTGGTGAATAACAGGGCGGAATGAGCATCGCATGTGCCATAAATCAACCCTTCATATGCTACATTAACACGTATAATACGCGTATTCTAGCCATGTCACGTGTTGTGTTGAACGCTAAGCTCACAACTCGTTCTATCAACCCTCCTAGTAATTACTCAATTTCTTCCACAAAAATGATCTAATTTGTATCAACGCTTGTTCCTTTGCGAAAATGTTTTGCGTATAACAATAAAGTTATTTTGGTTTATTGACCATTAAAACTCTTTCGTCAAGGAAATTCAAGGTACGGAAACTTTCTTCATTGTGTGAGTTAATTTTGCTCCAAGCGAACAAAGTGACGAACAACATGCGAAATTCAGGGGCTATAATAAACTAAACTGTTGGCTAATATGATTAGATAAATTAAAGCTTTCAGCCCTGTGCTGAAAAATCAAATGAATAAATTTAACCGAAGCTTTGATGGCAACTCCACAAATGTTGATTGCAAGTAGAAGAGACAAGAGATTTACTTGCATCATGAATGAGGGAGTTCATTTCATGTGTAGTGTAAATCAACAGTGGTTTATGGATCATAAAGTTATAGTCATATATATCGATGTTGGTTAGTTTCTCTCATGTGCATTTACTTTTAATCCCCAACATATCAGAAAAATTTATTTTTCTTATTTTTTCTTTTCACGTTCCACCCTTTGGAGACGAAAGTTAACACACGCAAGAATAGAAGAGGGGAAATTTAATTTGAGTCCATAATAGTTATTATACTATGAACGGCTAGGAAAAAAAATTCTTTTATGCCACACTACATAAATATTAAAGGAATTACAACACGAGAGCAAATAAGAGAGAGAGAAAGACGAAATCATTCTGACACGCTATATTTTATCAACATTTTTCACGTAATTATTGTGGCCTTGGTTTGCTTTTCGTTTCCTTTCTTTTCGGTGGATTAATTTTGATGATGATTGGCATTGGATGTGTCGAAAATGTTTTACGTTTTGTTGCGTTTTTATTAGCAGAGTATAATACGAAGATGAGAATGCTTTTGGTGGTTGTTTTCGTTCCAAGACGATTATTTCTTGAAATAGATTTGTCAACAATATGTAAAAGAAAGTTTCAAGACATGAGATTGAGATTTGAGAAGCTCGTAAAATGTTGAGTTAGTAAAAGTTATCGTAAAATGAAATCTAATCGCATTGGAACAAAGTTTCGAAACTAAATACTCATGATGAATTTCTTTAGACTAAAAATACTTTTTTTCGTCCACGCAGCTAATAAATTTTCTTCACATTTAGCTTCACTTCATATCGTAAAAAATAAAAGTAAATTTTGATGTTGAATTTTATAAGTAGAAGGAAAGAATGTTGCAAAATAAACAAACTTGACTTTAATGCCATTTTCGCTTTCTCGTACGATTTCTTTTGTTTGCTACTGCTGATGTTTCTCTTGTTGTTGTTGTTTGCGCAATACCCAAAAGAAATAATTTATTTTGTGCTGACATCAGTTGAAAACGACAAAAACGGAGAGACGAAATCTGGGAAGCTATATTGTGACGGCTGATTTCATCAACGAACACAACATTTCATGCTTGACGTTCAAGATTCTGCTTTTCCTTTCCACTGTTCATGCTTTTCTTTGTCGTGTTCTTGGGTCGAATGATGAGAAACGAAAGGAAAAGAAAAATGATGCAGAAAATCTTCGAATCAAGTGAAATAAATACAATCGATGCCATTTCAATTTCGCTCTTTCAGCTTTTTTTCTTCTCTTTTCACTGAATCATTCAGAGAAGTTAGGAAAATTGGGGAATTATTTAATAGATTGAAGACAAAAAAGAAAGAAAATAGGATAATTGAAATATAGGACATCAGAACGAAAGTAAAGCAAGTAATTGGCTCAAATTTGTTGATTCATTGGCTGTCAGTTTTTGTCCGCTTTGATAGCGGAAGACAAGAAGAAAAAAACATTGGTGAAGTTTATTCGCTCATTACCACAGTCTTTAATCAAACTCAGTGACAACTGTTTGATTTCTTGATTTCCAATCCACATTTTATTTTTATTTCTTATTATCCCCCCATTCAACATGACACAATCAATGACATGTAATCACTGAATTGATTCATGAAACTATGAAAGGCGAGCTGAGAATGAGAAACACGTTAATAACTGGCTTAGCGTGTTGCTTGGCTGGATTGAAATCCCTGCCAATTCACTGCAATTGACTGTGACAGATTAATAATCAATTATATCAGAGTCTGAAGTCCAACGCACCTTCCTGACTTTGATATGAATGTAAATGATATCGTTTACTATTAAACACGGATACAACATAATTTAAAGTCCAAACAATCGCATCACATTAATAATTCATAGAATATTGTAACAGAAAATATGTTCTTCTGTTGAACCTCAGGAAAGTTAAACGTGTTTGCTCGCTCAAAAGCAGAAATGCAAACTGATATACGCAATAAATATATTTAAAATTTACCAGCAGCGGGAGCCATTAAAATCATGACGGGCACGTACGAAACATTATAAAGCTGGAATCTCTCAAAAACACTGCACTTTTCGCAATGTCTATGTAAATTTTGTATGATGACGAACATCGTCCATTGTGTACGCATTTGAATGAAAATTTAAAAACAGTTAAGCTACGTGACGAGATACAACATGAATTTTTTTAAACATTGGGGAGAAGACAACAAGGATTGTGGGTGTAAAGCGATATACAAACGCTTGTGTCATCCACTGTACTATCAAGTGTGTAGATTTAGTGATGGGACATGTTCATGAAAATTTGATAGCAGCTTGTTTCATTTGATGGACTTGCAAATAAAACGGGTTGGAATTAACCTACAATGAATAATGTTATCAGTTGTTTCGTTTTCATAATGAGTTGCACGTGCATGTACATGAATTTATTTGACTTTATTAAAATGCTTCCATAAATTTCACTCAATCCATCATTTTTATTTCTCCCCGACTCCGGCATGAAAGCAATTCCATGTATCAAATGAAACTCAATCAAAACTCATGAATGAAGACATTGTCAAAGACCTTTTGTGTTAATTAATCTTTAATAATAACACAAATTGAATGCTTTTATGATAAATAAGGGTTGAGAAAATTTGACAATCCATTAAAACTAGAAAAGCATCGAAAGATGATGAGAAAGCAAGCCTGCCTTTAGTCCCTTCAACATTTTGCCTTCTTTATAGTCTTCTTAATAAACTAATGTTTGATTCACCTATAAAAACTTCATGCAACATATTTCTGTAAACACTGAATAGTGATGAAGAAGCATTCATTATAACCCGCATTCAGTCGCTGTTCAGACGTCAACATAAATATTGATTCATTTTCCTTCTAAACTATAATTTTTCACAAGTGCAGTTGGAGTTTTTCTCACACAAAACTTTCCTTCTCCTTCGCTATTTGTGACGTTTTTCACTCAATGACAATACTGAAATAATAAATGACTCATAAAAGGCGGATCTTGGTGATGTTTTGATAAAAGATTTTCCATCTTTCTCTCTCTCTCTCTCTTTGTTTCGTTACATTTTTTTATTATTATTCATTTCAATGCACTTTTTTATTTGTTTTCATGACAACTGACAATAGTGAAATGGAAAAAGGCAAATAAAAAAATGTAAAAAAATCTGCCAATTTTCCAAATAGGATTACACGAGTTTAAAAATGGTGAAACTCTCGTGAGATGGTCAGCAACTAACGAACTTAAGCTTTGAATCTGTTTTTATAGCATTAAAATGAATGTCAACATGCAACTAGGTAGCCTTTCATCCAATTATAAATTCACCCTTAAGACTTGTCGCTCCCAGGGATTCTTGTACATTGAGTGAAAGATGTAAATGGACATGCAATTTACGTCTTTGAATGGACAACAATTTTATTTGTTTACTTAAGGATTTCTCTCTTTTTTCCATTACACATATCAAGTTTAGCCTATTTATGAGGGTTGCACATCAAGGATAAAGAAAATTCTATTTCATCCCCTTCACTTTCTCCTTCATTAAACTCTGAACCATCACTCAACGTCACTGAAGATGTCATAAAAAACTATTAATTCTGAAGTTGTTATTTAATAACGCTGGAAAAGTATCAAGCAGTTTATGCACTTTTCTCATCAACAACGAGATGAAATCATCAACTACTGTGGATTATTATTTCCAAGTCGTTGCGCTTAATATAATGAATCGTTGAAACATTTTTTTCTCAGCTTCATTTTAATAAAAAAACAAAACAGGAACTCAAGCATCAAGCTTTGACGGACGAAAGATTTATTTGATAAGGGAACTGACATCTCGTACATTTTGTTAACAGTTGACTTGGTCTCGTTTTGTTTTCTTCTGTAACTCACTTGAGTTACGCAAACAAAAATAGTCGACTATAAATAACATGAAGGAAAAGATCATCGACTCGTTAGTTGTGAAAAGTATCAACTTGTACAATGACAAAAGAGAAAATTTTTTATTTTCTTCGTTTTTATTTTTTATTTTTTGTCTTTGTTCCTTTCACTTTTTTTCCCTTCCCTGTGATGTTGACGTAAATGTCAATAACGTCTGTCAATCTTACCAGCATTTTTCATATCGTCTTCTCGTTTACTTTTTGACTTATTTTAACAACCAACATGCTTTATGGGAGAAAATTATTTTCCTTCTTTTTTAGTTTGAAGATATTGACTAAGTGTTGCTTACTTGAGCTTGTGACAGCATGACACGTTGAAGTACAAATGAAATTTCGCGTTAAAGATAACCATTTTCAAAATGTTTTGCAATGTAATGATCTACTTGCTTTTAAAATAAGCGATGTGTCTAAGTCAATATTTTGAGAAAACTTTTAAAGTGTTTGCTGTTTGAGAAATTACCCGCAGACTTCTCCTTTTAACTGCCATTCAATGATGTAAATTTCTATCATCAATATCTTAAATGACGTAGCTTAAAACCTCATCAATCGTTTGCAGAAGACATCAAACATGTAGAAGAATCCATCATATCATCATGTATGGAAATTATAATAATAACGTTCAACAACATCAATTCCCACAGAACATGGTGACTAGTAAATATATTCCATTTTCCTTTCCAATTTTCAAGGAAATTTCATGAAATATTCGACACTTTGTCACCTAACCGCGAACTTCAAAGACTGAATGTTGATACATCATCAAAGATTCCACATCAATAGATGAAAAAGATGTCGTGTAAAAATGATTACATCAGGTCGTTTCGTAGATATTTTCACAATTTCCTTTTATTATTTTTTTTCCATTCTTCCTTTCCAATTCATCTCAAGTGATTACATTTTCATGTCATAAAATCAACAAACCAAACGATTGAATATTTTCCCACCGTCACGATTCACAATTCACGAGACGAGAAAGTCGAGGAAATTATCATCGGTGTAAATAATGCGTGAAAATAAAAATATCAAACAATAAATAAGCTGAGAGAGAAATATGGATTTTTTGCTCGTTGCTTTGTTTTTCACCCTTCGAATTGGGTAAACAAAAATGTTTCCGGCTCAACATGATATCATGGCGTTCCATTAAAATCCCATAATTTTGATATTGCGTGACTACATAAGGTCGAAGATTATGCGTTTCGCATCTGAGCCCTGATAACTTCTGCCCGAAAGTCGTTCATTTTCATTATTTGTTTTCATTTCACTCATTGCAGTTGAGACAGCGGAAAATCCTTAAAATCCATAACGATGTTGATCCGTCTCGCGAAAGATAATTGAAATTTTCTTTTTGTCTCTTCAACGTCATTTCTATTAAAACAAGACAAATACATAAGCTGACAAGGTGAGTGCAGATGTCAGCTGAAAAATCCTTTTGATTGACTTTAAAAGTCTTTGCCAGAATTAAAATTATTCATTTGTTTTAAATACTTTTTCGCCTTATTTCCATTGAAAACGTGTGAGTCACTAAAAAATCAGAAATTCCAAAAAAAATGACTAAATCAGACCGCATATGCCAAGCTTCCGTGCAGAGCGTGAATATTTAAAGGATCAGGTGTATTGGCAACGAAATGTTCATAAATTCCTATCCGCTTTTTTGCCTTATGAAAATTAATTGCTTTTGTCTTCTTTTTTTTATGCGGGTGGTATCCGTACGAGGCACCTAGTCGACTAATGTGAAAAACAAAAGCTCTGCACCTGAAAAAGAAGTGAAATCGATGAGCATTTTTGACGGTGAGAAATTATTTCAACCCCATTGGTAGTAATGTGTGGTTTTCAATTAATATCAACTGCTTCATGCTTGCAAGAGTTCCAGTTTTTAGTAGAGATGTGCAGTGTGTGGTCGATGGAAACAGTTTAATTCAACCGAGAGTGTGCATCATAAATCTAAAGAGACACAGTGTGAGCATAAATTTCACGAATAACGTGAATAAATCAAAATTTACCATTTTGAAAATTCAAAAATATCTTCTATGCTCGTTTTTTTTTGTTGTTTGGATGTAAGCAATAAGAGAAATTTCCATAAAAATGTTCCGCTCCATTATATTGACAGTGTCGTTGTGAATCGTTGGCAATTTGTTTCGTCTTCGAAGAAAATCTCGTCTCAAGCAATTGGTTCTAGTATCAGCATTTGTCAAGATTTCTTGTACGCTATTCAAACGACTAGGAGGGAAATAAAAATTGAAATGTGTAACAAGCAAATTGCGAAAACGTGGCCGGGTTTAAAACTCTTTTTATGTGTGATTCATGGTAGAAGAGTCATAGAAGATTTAAAGCTGTAACACGACGAACTTTTCAAGGTCTAATTGTAGATTTGTTTTAATGTGCAACTAGGCAAGAATATTTTTGTGATGTTAAGACGTGACTAAAGTTTTAGTTCATTAATTTTCAACCATTCCAGTCGCCGCTGCTATTAATAACAAAACTCATCGCATTACAAGAGCAATCTAAAGTCAAATGTTACATTTTTTCAAGTCTATACTCATTTGTTTCACTCATTTGAATTAATTGCATGAAGTAAAAAATCGTCATTAACCGTAATTAATTTGTTGTTGAGAAATTTATATGGCAAATTGAAAGAACAGCGTGCATGAAAACTGGCGTCAAACAAAGACTATTTTCGTGCGACTCTCTAAGAATAATTGTGATGCAAAATGCAGAGCAGCTGTGGATGTTTTAAGCATCACATTTGCTAGGTTGTGAGGTTTGAAAGACGTGCTTCTTGCGAGACAAATGCTTTCCAAAAGTGAATGTCGTCGCAATGTGAAGAATGTCACGAAAACGTAGCGAAGAGATAACGTTTACTGCTCTACTTAAACGATTCAACTAAACATTTGAAGCGTTGAAAATTGGAGCGCACTTTTGAAGACATAAAATAAAGCTATAAAATGAAAATCGATTGATGGTTGTGAAATGTTATGATGCGTGGGTGGAAAAAAAGCAAACAAAAACATTTTGATTTTCTACCCGGAAGAAAAAATCTCGTTTCTAAACAAGATGAGCGAAGAAATGCGCGAATAAAATTTTATCATACCAGCTGTTACATCGACATTTAATGACTTTAAGAATAGAAAATTAAGTTTTATGGATGACGAGACGACAACGAAAGCAAAAATGTTTCCTAATGTTGTTTTCTTACTTATTTGACGAAATGAAACTTGCAACTCAAAATTCCTATAAACTCGTAAATAAAATTAAGAGACAAACGAAAGATTTCGTTGGTTTTTTTTGCTCACAGCGATATCGTATCAAGAATCATCAAGATAGCTGAATTGTATAAATTAGAAGAAACTTTGCTGATTCAAAGTCCATTAAAAATTTATTTTCCATTATCATCTGACGTCTGAAAATATTTGAAATATGATTTATGATGTTTCTCTTTGGTTTTTCAATAAAAAATACTTTTTTCATTAAAACGAATGATTTTTCAGAACAGCATAACGGCGAAAAAAAACAATATTTGCTTAGACATTGGGGCTTATGTGGGGGTGGGATGATTCATAAATGTTGTAATTTACAATTCTCAACTAGAGACGAACTGTCTAATACGAACTTATAAATCAAAACATGAAAAAAAATGTTTGGCAAATATGTTAATATCAATCATAAAATATTTTTATGTCATTGCGCAACTAAATCACAGAGGGTGACTAAGTTTGCAAATTGAGTCACAAATATTTCACAATTTTTTATTGTTTAAATTTGATTTTTGCTGCTTTCATCATTTTAAATACAAAAGCAAAATTTTATAACGAAGAGCAAACTTTGAGTTATAAAATTTCAAATAATAAAATTTTGTTATCGTCTTTCACGTACAAACCCCAACCCGCTTCAAATCTATTTTATCGTGCGAAACAAAACACTTTTTATCACTCTCATGAATTATAGATTTACTTTTGCACAAAAGCTTAAGTGCAGCAAATAAGTGCATGAAAAATTAACTCGTTAATGCGATGTCATTGTTTCCCTAAAGATCGAGTTTCGTTATTTATTAGTTTCACACCAGACTCACATAACCAATACCTCTAATGTTTAGCAGAAATTTCATGAGAAAAGGAAGAAAAACGATTAAGAAGAAAAAAGATCTCATTACAGGTTTAATAGCTTTGGTAATAAATAAACATTTTTTTATGATTCCATTGCTTATTGGTATTGAGTGGGAGGCATATTTACAATAATGCTTTACGCTGTAATGAGCCTTAAATTCATTTAATATTTATTTTCAGCTACTTTGTGCCGGACTGTGTACTCGGCTTATTAATTCCCATTTCTCATTATTTCCATATTTATATTTGCAGCTAATTTGTTGAAATATAAGAAAAGAGATTTTTAGCACGATCGAAATTGTGGCGATTGACTAATTACATGCAAAACAGAAAGGCGAACAATTGTTTGCAAACAACAAAAAGAAATATTTGAACAAGATTTTTTGATTCCATTCAATTGTTGTTAGTAAAATCAATATTGAAAAGCCAACAGAAAATATATTTATCATTCGTTTCGCTCAATTCAAAATACATAATTGAATTTTATATTCAAAGGAATAAAGTCGAGCTTTTCTCTTTTTTATGATTATTTGCCAGCCCGCGGTGGAGAGCTTGCTTGATGAATTTTTATAGGAGGGAATTAAAATAATTTATTCGGGCAACTCAAAAATATCTACCAACAGATGGTGACAGCATTTTTTCCTTCTTTGTTGAACTTTGATTTTTTTACGTCTTTTTCGTTCTCATTGCATTATTAGACTGTGAGAATATTTTTTAAAGTGCTCTACAACTTTACATAAACATAACAATCGACGAAATTCTTTGCTCGCCATGTGCAAATTAATTTTTTATGTCACTTTAAAATTCAAATTTGCGCTTTGGTCATGTCAGAAATTAAAGTTTTATTGGACAGATAATCCTTTTGATAATCCAATTAACTTTATGTCACTCATGTATGACCAGTCAAAGGAAATAGTTAAGCAGATTTACAACTTGTATTAAAATATTTAAGAATTCTCATTGTTATTTCAAAGTCATAACCAATTCGATTTGCTTTGTTTTAGTATTTTACTTGTCGTATCATCTTCAATTTTTTTATTTACGATCTTAGATCTTAATCCGAAGCTAATACGCATGAAGAGTCAATGATATATGTTGTCTCTGATGATATAATAAAATGAAAATTCTCATTCCACTCTCAATGATAAATGTTGTGTTAGTTCAAAAAAATATTAACTTTTTTTAGGGAAACGCTCATAAATCAGTTTCAAACCGATGCTTCTTAATTTATTTGCTTTTTTATGGGTCAGAAAACTATGAGTAAGTAAAAGTCCATCCGAACGACGATATATTTATAAAGTTAGAATATTTGTGAAAAAGAAATTTTCTGCTTTTAGGCACATCTCAAGACCTTTTGTGGAATTAGGAAAGAAGGAAATAAATAAAAAGTTTAGCATATTTCACTTTGTGTTACTTCCGCAAAGCTTCACTAACTTTAAGTTGAGATTCTTTGAAGTAACATAGTTCAAAAGCCATTAAAATCTTTCCTTGTTATAAAATAAATTGAACGGACCATTAAAATCCTTACTCAATCCTTACTCAGTCTTATTATGAAAGTTTCATCGATTTCTCAATTCGTTCTAGACGATTTCAACAATCGCTTTTGTTATCAAACGTTTAATGGTTTGCAACATTTGCATTGAAAGAATTTCTTTTATAGCAATCGAGGCGACTAACTTTTATTGTTCTTTCACTTCAATTTCTGAGCATGTTTGGCAAACAAGTCCACGGTGCATATTGCTTCACTATTCAGAATGAATTTTCAAAATTGCTTGCACATAGAATACAAAATAGATTGAATTTAAATATTTAAAGAATTATTTGAGAAAGATGAATTGAAAATCTCCTTTTTCAACTTCGGAATCTTTAATATGTTAGAATTACCTTCATGACGACATCTGTTCAAATTTCAATTGATAAACGATTTGTAGGGAAATAAAATTACTTTGTAGTTAAATAGATTTGATGTGGCAAGTTCGATTCCGCAACTTCTCCAATTTAAGCTTCTTGTTTTCTAATATTAAATCAAGCAATCAATTGTTCCCATAAACTCGTGTCAAATTCTTGATATTCACATTGCATTTTAAAGAAAATCACATGTTAATGCATTTTACGTCAAATCATTCAAACAACAATCACGAGAGAAATCAAAATCATAGAAAAAAGGGAGTTAACGGATTATTGCTTTGCATGCGTGCTGTGAATTTTTTATTCAATCATAAACTTAACCAGCAAGTTCTCGACAGCAATTCCAGAGTTTCGTTAAACGAATAAATCAAATAATGGTCGAGTCGCAGAAAATTCTTTCAATTTACTTCTCTTATGTTCAAATTTGCCCCTTTCTCCTCAAAAAAAGGAAGAAAATCAAGTTATATAAATCATTGAAAATTGAGTAGACCGGGGAGTAGACAGAATTTTCGATTTTGTTTTTCTTTAACTTCATGACAGTTCAATTTACCAAATTATAGTTTTTCAACTCGTTACTTAATCCGATATGTTCTTTCGATCGACAAGAAAGAAAGCAAAAAGGGTTGAAATATTATCCTAAAGAAAAGTTAAAACCAACAAGCTGAAAATATTTTCTTCGATTTATCTATTGAAATTGAATGCGTTTATTATAGTTTTTCATGGCATTGTATGTGGGGAGAAAACATAACATGACAACAACGAAGTTAAAACAAACAAAAAGCACATTTACATATCAATAAACTTTACTTCTTGTTTAAAACGAAGCATATAAATACATATGAGAAGAATTTAAACTGCTTTTGATAGGTTTAGTGCAGTACTTAGCCCTAAAGTAAACAAACAAGCCACTCAGAAAATTAAACTGTAAGTTTTCGTCTGCTGGTTATTTTTATGTCTCGATCAATACGTGTAATTGGTCTCTAACCGATGTTGTAAACACTGAAAACAGCATAAATACGTCCATCCCAGAAGTATTCTCGATCCACCATAAACTTTTACTGCAAATTCATTTAAACATAATTTTATTTTTACCGTGTGATGTCATGCAAGTGCAATAGGAATATTTAAGGATAGCCGGATAGGAAAGTCAATCCCTGAGTGTAATAAATTTTATGCAAACACAAGCAAACTCACTTTCATTCACTACTAGTCTAGTAAAGTAAGTAAGTTGAGTTGAGGATAATAGTGAAGTAAGAAGTAGAATATGTTTGGGATATTTATAATAGAATATTGAACAACCTCCATCGCATAAATATGTTTATATATATGTACTGTACACTTATTTAGCTTCGGATGTAGATCCATACACAAAACATAAATGTCATAACATAATATGATGTTTACAAATAATTTATTTTATGGACATTGGGTTTTGGGTCCACTGGTGGATGAAAGGAGATGAAACATCATCAGAGAACATAAAAAGGAAGAAGTGCCATTGGGAAGTTTGTTTACTTCTCATGTTCATTTCTCCTTTTCATCTCCTTCCAAGAAAAATAAAACAACGCTTTCAATAAATTACTAGATTCATGTACGTATCAGAAATTGAGCAGTAAAGAGGGGATGACTTGGAAGAATTCACTCAAGAGAAACGAGGAAATATCATTTTATGACATAAATATAAAGCATGCTTGAATGAATGCTTCCGAAGAAAAAAATCTATCATTAAAATGTCAAACAGTAAGCAAATAGTGCGAAACAAAACTTTTTTATTCTGTGGGGTAAATTGGCGAATGTTATGGTAAGACCGCATAATTACAAATATTTTTGCGGTGTTTTATGGATAATAACATGATTCACTGTGATAGTTCGAAACAGAAATATTTATCCGCATGGAGAGAATATTAAGAATGAATGTCTCCACTTGGTTATAATTGAGTTGTTTCCATTAGATTTGAGCATATGACATATGCAGAAACCATAATTGAATCATTCGGATTAAAGAATTGTTATGAGGCATGAAACTTTCCATGTCAAACATTATTCAAATATTAACAAATGCGCAAATTTTTGCTGATGTGTTTTCGACACATTTTTATAAAAATGAAAGCGAAAAAGTTTTATGAAAATGTTTCAATTTCAATAATGAAAATATAACTTTGAGAGTAGAATCAAGCAAGTGAAACAACATAGCTGGAAACATAAAATACATATTTTTGCTTCATAGTTTTATGGTTTTTATTATGGAAGAATGAAAACCGAACTTTCTGCGCATAAATTATTTCGAGCCCTCATTAGGCGAACATAAAAGTGAACAAATATTTCTGCGATGTTGCTTCGTTTTCATAAAAAAATAATATTTTTATAGAACTCTTTTTTTGAATGATTTTTAAGCATTATGTAAATAAGTTGAGATAGCTTGAAGCGTGTCTTCATTGATGTTGATGAAAAAAAATTATGGCAAACATTGCGAAGCATAATAAAAGTTTTCTCCAATTATGGTGTCTTTATTGACGTGATAATCAATTTTAGACAAGACGATAAAAGTTTCGTGTTCGAATTCGTCCTCAATAATGAAGACCACATTGTGGTCGTTTGTCAGCATTCGCACGAAATGAAGCCATAAATTGAAGCAGGAATAAAAATCGATTCCAATTCGAGGATAAAATTTAGTTGTTGTTCAATTAGAGACTCATAAATCACTTACGCTTCGAATAATTTCGAGTTCGTGATAAGTGTCAATGTCACGATTTCCTCGATAAGGTCACGTCTTATAATACGACTCGGGTCATATTGTTCAATCGATTTATGTAGAGATTTTTCTTTTAAAAATTCAAGATATGAAGAATGGAATCGATACTAGAATAAACTTTTTTGATTACATTTTTATACGTATTCTGATAAGTGTTTCGTTATCGTCACCAGAGAATCTTTTAACTGAGTTCATCTTGAAAAGTTTTTGAATTCAACAAGAAGCTTTATGTTGCTGGTTGACTGTTGCTGTTTGAGAACATTCATGAGCTTTCACAGTCGATAAAGTTTCGCTCAAAACATCTGGTGACTTAAATATATGTTAGATTGATTCGATAAGCGTATAAAGCACGAAACCGTAGCAGCTGCGATATTTATGAAGATGTTCTGTTAGGTAGACGGAGTGAATGTAATTTCTCGTGTTGATTTGATAGTAAAAATTCAAAGAATTCCATAATTCTGCTTTGACGATATCAGATGTTATTGGAAATTGCTTGAATGATCGCATGTACAAAGCTCGTGAATATTTTTAACGGCATCGGAGTTTCCATGTCATTTTTCTCATAAATTCCATCAAAGTTTGCATTTTGATAAATGTATAAATATTTTCCATCATAATTGAAACTTCATGTTCCACAACGCGCAATCAGATTTAAATTGAAATTGACAATTATAAGCGCAGTGAGTTCTAAAGCCTTTAACACCCCATATGATTGATTGTCATGGAAATTGATATCGTAAGTGAACAATTACAAAATAATAAAAAAAATAAAAGCTTTTAAATGTGACGAGAGCCATGAGAACTGACAATAACGACGTGCATGATATATGCCTCCATTGTTGCTCATACAATTTAATTGAAGTTGAGTTGAAAAGAGGAAAAATGTGGAACAAAGCGGAAGGCATTCTGGAAATTAAAATTGTGTATTCACCGGATAGAACAATAAACGAAAATCCAACAGATTTTTAATTTCATAAAGCTTTGAAGAACAAATACCGTATACCAAAAAGTATTTTATGGTCCGAAATGTGATGCACAAATGTTTCACATTAACCGGAAAATGATGAAAATTTTATCGTTTAAAAGAAGAATTTTTAGTCAAAGGTAATGAAAATAATTTCAGTTTTTCTTTTAATTCTTTTGTAGCTCTTTTTCCTAAGCTTCATACGCTACAGAAGATAATTCTTGTTCGGTATTGAAGAAGGAATAAGCCTACTTAAATTTACTCATCAGAGGGTGGAGGGCATAGACAGACATGAAAGGAAGCAGAAGAATTGCAAGCAGAGAAGAGTAATAATTTATTTTGTGAAACGAATAAAAGACGAGAATGAAGAAAGAACGAAAGAAGAGAAAAGGCTCAGGATAAGACGAGCGAGAAAAGGGAATTAATATGATTATTTATTTGTTAATGTAATTCAGTGTGTCAGAATGTCAGTCAGGAAAATTTATCTTTTATATGTTATTCTTCCAGTTTCGGTAATGGCGGAAAGAGAAATGAGAAAAGTGAAAGTCGCTACTTTTCTCTTTTCTCTCGAGATGAACGTGCCACAAAGCAGGCAAAGAAGCGCAAGGAGAATATTGAAGGATGGCACAAGAAATTTGATTAATGATGGTCAAAAAAAACTTTTTATCCTCGTTTTCTCCCTTCCAGCCTTCAATTAATTGTGAGTTAACAAGGAAATCTACTTAATTTAAATTTTTAATGAATTTTCCTCTGCTGCCTCTCCGTCTTTGGCCAAAAGTTGTTATGACAATGAAGATGAAATTAAAATTTCTTCCTTTTTTTCTGGGTCGTAAAAAGTTTTCCAGCCAGGAGAATTTTGATAATTTGACAACTTATCCAAAGCTTTTTGTTGTACTCAACTCTACGGCAAAGTTTAGCTTAACTCTCGTGGAAATTAACGGTATCATTTTAATGACATTAAATGTTTCTTTCTATCCACCACACCATCACAACCATCGTCATCGCAGTGATGGAGATAAGACACTGAAAATTATATATTAACTAGATTACAACGTTTCAAGTAAGTAGAAAGGTGCTCGCCTGAAATTTCGTCGTTTCCAAAACAATTTTCATCCTCTTGGGATTAATATGAGAATGACGTGGATAAATGCTTCTAATTATTTTCCTCGACAATAATTACATTTTAAGCTTTAATGGTTTTTTATACATCTAAATTTGATTTAAATACTGAAAGTCTTCTTAATAGACATGATTTTGCTTTAAGTCCCAATCAAATGGAAAGAGAAAATCATTACACCCACGCCCACATAAAAAAAAGAAGAATTAAAAAGAAATAAGGTAATTAAGGCTTTAATTTGTCGATAGAAGAAGTGAAAGTAAGAAGTGCCTGCATGATTACAATGAAGAAGTCTCACCGGTCCCTTTTTAATTAATTCAATTATTAAATATTTCTAAGGTAGAAAATTTCTTTTATGAAAATCAAACATGATTACCACACCGTACCGCAAAAGGAACCCGAGAATCTGATAGAACCTCACCCATTTAAAAGGCGAGAGAAGCTGTTTGTCGAAGCTGTTTCCTATCACATTCCCCTTCGTCATATCTTGGATTTTTTCTACTTTCATCTCCAACCCCCAAGATGATTACAACAAACAATGTACAAAAGAAAATGATGATGAAAAAAATAATATAAAGTGCTCCCCGGAGGGCCTTGTGCCACGAAGGATCGGATGGAACATGGAAGGCAAAAAAATATTACATGAAGTGAAAAGAAAATCGTTGTAATGTAAAATATACGCACAAGTGGAACTCAAAAAATTGAGATGATGAAGAGAGAGAAACTCCTTGAGGAGTCGATGGTGAAGTAAGAGGAAAACTTTGCTTTCAAACATCATTATCCTTGTTCCCTCATCTCATCATCCTATACGAGACTCTTTCTTTCTTTTTATTTCTGACTTTCTTCAGTAGCAAAAGGAAATTCAGCATCTCTTACAATTGAATGAGAATTGATAGCGATGTGTAACGAGTTATGAAATGAAATTGGAGATGACATAGGGACGTTTGAAAAGCAAACGAGCCTACCAACAAGCTTTGATTTTCAAAACGAGTTCAGTTTGTTGGTTTGAACAGCACAGGAAGTAATCAGACTGCGAGCGTGCAGACATTTTCCATTGAATTTATGATTATTGGAGTATAATTGCGAAGCTTTGAATGGAGGAAGGGTTGTTAAATGAAGCACATGATCGTTTTTTGAATGTAAATTGACAGCAAAATAAGCTCGAATCTTAATTTCTACGTGGAATCGTTTTGAAGCTATTCCCTTCCATGACAACCGCATTTAAATTGTTTTATTTCAGAAAATTAAGTATTTCTTGTTAACAACACTGTCAGTTGGGATTTTAGAAGCGAGAATTTTCATATTCTGCCCTGAAGCATTTCAAAAAGTCAGAATTAAAGATGTTAAAATACTCAGAAGACTTTCACCCTCTGTGCCTCGAAATGATTTTGTGCCAGAGATTTTCTTTCCATCCCAATTACCTCCTGCTGGAATATTTTCTCTCTCTCTCTCTCTCTCTCTCTTTTAGCCACACGCGTTTCAATTCATCACGCTAAATTGATATAGTTTTTTCCGCCTTTCTACAAGGATTTTCTTTTTTTTATTAATCTTCCCATCATTATGCAGACATCAACAATACTCAGTAATTTTCTACCCCAATCATTTCTCGTTTTGGTGTTGCATCTGTTCACATCTTGACTTCCCTACTTGTCTGTGAAGGAACGTAAACTATGAAATAATATATCAGCATGTTTTTAAGAACCGCCTTAGCGGGTATCATCATTTACGCAGATCTCAAGAGCGAACAAAATTTTTTAAGGGGTGAAATTTGGGCTTTAACAAAGAGTGAAGTTTGTGTATGTTGTTATTCAATTAAACCTTATGGACGCTTGAATTCACTTACAAGATTACTCAACAACAGAACATCATCGAAATAAAACGCACAAATATTTTTTTTGTTATTGCGGGAAACTTTTATTTTATGTTATTGATTTCTTATTGCATTCATACTACGGACGTACATATTGAGTGACGAAATATTGAACATGTGTTCAATTGGTTGTTAAAGATTGTTAATGTTGATGACGAGTGATTTACCGAACGAGATATCATAAAGTTTTCAATTAAAAAACCATTTTTTCAGATGAAGTTTCCGATAAATTTCTAATTGAATAATTCAATTTTTACTCTCTTTGTTGCTGTACGGCGGAAATGGTTGTAAAAGGGCTCAAAGGCTTGTATGTCGTTGTGTCATATGCACAACAAACAAGAATTGAGTTAATTCATGTGAAAAACTGCTTCATATTTAGATGCCATTGAGAACATTCTGTTCCTTGTTTTCCCAACATGAAAATTGAGAAAGAGAATTTCTGTCGTCGCACAACTTTTCCTTTACATCCTTGAACAAGAGACGATGTTTAACATGTAAAATTTTACAATTACAAAAATCACTTAGCTGGAAAAGTTGTGCACATGTGCTCGGCGAGAAGTGAAAAGTTTTTTTCTCGTTTTTATTTTTTGTGATTGTTGCTGAGTTCTCAGGTTAAAAATGTTGCAAGTTCAGTTGTTTATAAACTTTTGTGAATATATGTGAAGCGATGTTCATCATTGAAATGTTTAGAGATTCATCTGTTCTCTCTTCCTACGTAGTTGAATTTATAAAATAAAAGTTTATCTTGTTTTGAAAGACTTCTAAACTGTATCAAAACTCTCGAATTTAAATTTACATATTTGAAAGATGATTTTATAAAGTTTATGAGAATTTAGGTTTCTCGAATTATCTTGAATCATATAAGATATCAAATAATTAATTATGACATTGATTAGCATAATTCTAATGAGTTTCGTAAGTCAGAATACTTGAAATGTTGAAAGAAAACATTTGACGTTTACAAGACATTTTATGCTTAACGTTTGCCGCTCATAAAACTTCTCTTTTTTTGTAATGTGTTCTAGCAAACATGAAGAGATAACGTTCTTAATGTGTTCATACATTATTTACACGCATTTTGTCGTACGACATCATTTAGAAAGCAAAAGAAAATAAGGAAAAGTCTTCTCATAGTCAGTTAAAGAAGCTCAGAAACTTTTACCGTGACATTTGACGTAAGTAAGCGAAAATATTTCCTCCATAATTTTCATACATATTTAGAAAAGTTTTGCTTAACAGCTCGCAAATCCTAACACAAACACAAACAAAGACCCAACATAATCCTCCTCGACTTTAATGCTTCTGGTTTCAACATTTAACATCAATTGTATATATTTGATCCGTTAAGCGTTTTTCGATTAATGTTTCACAATGTATCAAATGTTATTTCAGCTTTTTTGCGCTGCCATTTACACACATTTGAACAGGAAAAGCAATCTAGAGTAAAACAGAACAAAACAGTTTCTGTCTGATCCGAAAAATACAATTTCTCGTCAAAATGAAATTTTCCAACAAAACGCAAATATTTGTACAAGGAAAATTTATATTTTGTGGAAAATATTTTTCTTGCTGATATGTAACACCATAAAATAACAGATACCCGAGAAGGAAGTGACTTCAGTGAGAAATCATCGATATTCCAGAATGAATTTTCTCCTTCTCCAATCCTACAAATGCTCACATTTCTTTTGAAAAAAAGTTAACATGAAAATCCATTAAAGGTGCGTGTGTTGTGTGAAGATTGAAGACGTTTTGTAAGTGAAAGAAAAAGACGTGTAAATTGAAAAATGTGTAATTTAGAGGAGGTGTTTGTAGACATATTTTTCAACCCCTCTGTTAAGCAGTGAATAAACAAGCAAAAGGTGAGATAGCAAATTCACTAAGAAATATTCTTGTTAAAGTTTAAAGCGTCACAATTTTTTTTATGAGTCGCTTCATGAGCTTTAAATTTGCATTAAGCAACTGATTTTCATTCTCTAGCATTATTTTCCTACTGAAGTTGAAAGCATTGCTGTAATGACATTTCGCAATGATTTAAATTTGTTGTGAGGGCGGAGAAAATTGTATTTATTTATTTGATAAACAAGATTGTGCAGCGAGATATTACAGCACATTAATTTCCTTCCACAACAGAGAAAAGAAATCATTTTTTCGTTTTCTTTATTCATCTTAATTACATTTGTGCGAATACATTAAATTCTTCAGGAAAACGCAAAATATGTTACTTGCTTTAATACGAGAATAGGAACGAGAGCGCTGCTTTTACAATGGCGGGTTGTGAAAAGATGCTATTAAAAGTGTAAATGTTTCGAAGCATAGAAAAATATGTTGTAAAAATGGATATAAATTGTTGAGCGCTCCTAAAAATACAGCAACTGAATGTGCCATTAATAAGTGTACGTTGGAAAGGGAGAACGAACTCCCAGAAGACATCAAACAACAAAATAACTGAACGAGAAATAAAAACAAAAGTTAGTTTGTTTCGTTCCAAGCCCGTGTTTCAACTAAACTTTGTCGAGAATTTAATAATTTCTACAGATGTAATAACACGTTGAAATGAATTTTATTTCCTTAATATCGCTGATCTCAAACTGTTATTTTGAACATTAAATGAACATTCCTGAAACTTTTTTATTTCTTTCATTTAGAATATTGTCAAGAATCTTGGAAGATGTTAAAATCAACACAATGAACATTCAAATTTTAAAGTCGTTTCAAGTGTCGAGAGAATTTAATTACCGAATGGTTATAACCATTAATAATCTCCTTAGTTGGCCTTTTAAAGTCATCAATTTTTCAATCAATAACCCTGACCCAAAACTCGCTTCTTGCTTGTACAAGAATCGTAATTAAATCATCTACCAACTCTCGCAGTAAATTTAATAACAAAAAAATTGGCGTTGAAAGCATTGCGCAATTTTCTCTCCCATCTCACCGCAGTAGAACGATTCAAGCTTGTTATTGAACAGTTTAATTTGGATCAATTAAAATTGCGATGACAAATAAGGCGATTGGAAACACGCTGAAGCTTAATTGATGTATAGTCATCATTAATTACTCTTATAAATAAGTTTATGAGCTATTTTGCTTGTACATGAATGGAAAATTCAAAGATCGTAATTTTTGAAAATAAATTTAATTAAATGTCGAATTAAATTAAAAACAGTTTTCAGAGCAACAGCAGTGGTTGTCAGTTAACATAAAATTTGGTAAGTGATAAAGTTTGTTGACTTCTCTCGCAACTACAGCGTTAAAGTCATTAGAGAGTCAATCATTTATGAATAATTTATTTTGTTTAGTTGGGTGAAAAATGAGTGGCGAAGAGAGAACAATAATCAAAGGTACAATATGCGAGTTAAGTAGAAATGTTTGTATGGAAATCTATCCAATGTCATACGTCAGTGCTCGTCTATGAAAAATATCATGCAATAAAGGAATTTATAAAAAGTGGTTTCCATAATCTCATGAATAAACATAACAATAATTCTTGTGATCTACCGCGTATTGTTAGTCGACTTCCCATTAATACCAAGAGATTAGTGCTCATTTTAGTTTTATTAATGAGATCATTATTCATCAAAAGAACGAAATGGAATTTCCTTTATTCTCATCTCAAGTCGTTTGCAGTTAAAATCGCATTAAAGACGTTCTTTCGTTCTTTAAATTTCTCGACGAGACCATCTGCGGACGTTCTGAATACAATCGTCTTCTAATGATTAAACAATGTTCAACCACTCTTTGTTAGCATGAATCTTGATGGAGAAGAGAAATTCACCCAACAAACTATCGAAATTCTTAAGACGTTTGCCTTTAAGATTACTTTTCTCGTTTGTGTGAAATATTTCATTTTGTTTAAAGAAATCGCAAGAAGGTTTTTCGTTACACAGTTGGCTGTTTCTGTTCAAGGCAGACGTAGACAAGAAAAAAGAAAATATCATGAAATTGTAATGAAAATTAATCATTTTTAATTAAATATAATTTCTTTATAATTGACGAATTAATCGTATAATCGTAATTAATTAATTTAACTTTCACTTTAGATTGCTTTTTCTTACACTTTTGATGATCATCCTCATGTGCTTTCGAAATAATTTTATTGCCTTCGTTCGTCTTTTCTTCTTTACCCTCTGCACCATCACAAGAATCACCAAACTTCTTCATTTAAATTCCGTAGCATCATTGTATCGTAAAGCATTACATATGTTTAGTTCCCATTCTCGTTCACTGAAGGTTTCATTTCTTTGCGTTATTTTTTTTTGTTGTTGCCTTCTTATTGTTATTCCATTGTTATTCAAATGCAGCCAGCAGAAATTTTAAAGACTTTTTTTTTGTATTATTATTTATACTCGATGGTAAGAAAAAAAACTCAAGATTTGAGACTTCAGCCTATGAACATTTTATTTGTCTGTTTGGTCTACTGGTGTCATTCTTCAACAGCAAGATGTGTAGGCTATTCGACAAAATTAAAAGAATTAACAATTGAAATAGATATTTTTAAGCTGACATGCTTCTTACATTAATATTCAAGTTTCACAGGAAAAAAAAATTAAATTAAAACAGTGACTAGAAACCGTGGAAAAGGATTAAAATTGACAACGATACGCTGAGCGAATTACGAGTGGACGCAAACAAAAAAAAACAATGAAATAACTTTTTAAAGACAAATTGTTTTAAGACCATTTTGGCCAGAGACCCTTGGAAGCTTTGGTTCACTTTTTTTCCACCAAATTATCATGTCATTGTGAAATAAATTAAGAATTCAAACAACCGTATCGAAAATGTTTCACCGGCACATGATGTGCGCCCCACGAGGAATTAAAAAGTAGTTTATTTTTATTAAATTTCACATCATTCGTCGATTCTCTCACTTCACTTTTCAAATGTCTAATTTTTTTCCACTTTTCTTCACTTCTCTATTGAGGCGAGAGACCCCGAAAGGGGATTGGAAGCAATACACGAGTGTGATACAAACATAAAATATGCCCAGCAAAAGGCAGTGAAATGTTAAATGACTCATTAGCATTCATGAAACTAGCTCATACATTTTCCGGCTCTTTTACATTATCCATTACAAGGGAGTGTCTGAAGCGATAATTATGCGAGATGCGAACGATATCAAATGATAATTAAATAATGTGTACTCCAAAGTCGCATTCATCCGGAAACTTAACCATAAGACGAATTAAAATTTTCCTTCCATTTGACTCTTTTCCTCGATCTATCACAAGCAAGATTGTAAATTTGTATATAGGTCACTGATAACAAAAGGAAAAGGGCATTTAAGGGCGGTCAAATCGAGCATTCGAAAATTCGTCAAAAGAATTAAAGTCATGAAGAATGAAAAATAAATTTCCGTGCGAAAGGAAAGAAGAATTGACAACGGAAAAAAGGGCAATCAAAAGTGGCTGACTAGCTAACTGGACAAAGAAATAAAAGAAAGAAAGAAGAAAAAAAAGTTGGAAATTAAAACGGAACGGAGATTTATTTATTTATTTATTTATTTATTTGAGTTTGAGCTACAATAACAGGTAATAAAACCCCTATGCTGCAGCAAATCTATGCTTTTAAATGTAATTTTGGTCTACTTTGCTTTTAACAATATTTTCATCAATTTGATTAAAAATAGTCAATTTTAATATTTACATATATGTAGCGATTGCGTTAAATGTTGTCATAAAAATTGAATGAATTAATGATAGAATTATCTTGTGTTATTCGAGGTTTTAAAAGAAATTTAAAATTAAACTGTTAATTAGCTTATCAAAGTGTGATTAAGAAAAAAGTGCTGACGGAAGGAGCCTCTGGAATTGCTTGAATCTGTTATTGCACCACTGACTGGGAAAAATTGAAGATACTTCAACAAATAAAAATTTCCTTTCCAAGCCATTTGATTAAAATGTTTAATGTGATCATCGAGTTAAGCAGTTGATGAGTGTGAGGCTTTATGTCTATCGTCGTAACCCATTCTACTCGCAAATCCAAAAATAAAAATATTTAAATGTCTACAGCTTGACTCTTCTGTGCGTTAATAGTGCGATGAATAATTTAATTAAGAATTGAAGAAAAACATTTTGTAAATTTTGTAAGGTTTAAACTATGGCACGTTGCTATGGAAGCTGAAAGAATCTTTCTCTGCTCATGTCATCACATGTTCTTTGTTCAAAAAACATTCAAGGAAAATAAATAAAGAATGTTTTTCCATTATTTTCTATAAATACCTGACAATCATTTCCTATGGTAGAAGATTCATTTGAGAAATTATTTACTTTTGTCTCTTTAAGGTTCTTAACATGATCATGAATGAATATCCCTTGTGTTTCCAATTCTGTTGGGAATTGTAGCACATCTAAAAATAAACTAAGGTTGATTGATAACATATTCTGAATGCGGTTGATGACAAATTTTTCTGTGGCTTTCTAAAACCGAAATTCGCTGTATGTATGTGAAGAAGATAATTGAAGGATTTGGACATAAATCTAACATGCTTCGAGAATTCATAACAATGAGCTTAGAGAAAGTTTCTTCATATTTCCAGTTAGTTTAATAGATGAAATGAAAAACAAACTCGATTCATGTAAACAACTCGTGTTGTGGAAGAAAGAAATTGTGTACATGTTTACTAGTCTCACATTTCAGGATTCATAGAAATGTTTCGAATATTTTAAAATATTTGATTTCATTCCACTTAAGATATTGAAATATTTTAGATTATCAAATTTAGTTTTGTTTGTGGAATAAATTTTAAATTATTTAAATTCCCTGTCAAGATTCAGTGAAATCGAATTAATGAAAATTATAAAAAATTTCAACGATGTCCAAAGGGAAATTCAAAACGTTGACTTTGAATGAAGTTGATGAAAACTCTAAAAGGAATAAACACAAACGAGTTGAGTATGTAAAAATCCGACAGAAAAAGGCTTGTTGGTTACATAAACATTTACCCTTGTTTGGGTTATCTTTTCAAAAATAGGTAAAATTTCAAAGACATGTACGACATATTTGGTTTGCAACTTGATATTTTTGTCAGTCTAAACCAATAATTGTTGTCAGTAGAAATGAATGATTTTATTTTTAACGTCTGTTTTGTTGATAATATATGAAGAACTTTTTTAAGTGGCTTGATCAGACTAATAAATGAAAAACAAAGCGATTTTTTGCTGTTTCTTCCGACCGGTTTCGAATTTGTTTTAATTCATCCTCAGGGTTTCTAAAATGTATTACAACTTCATCAGCAAAATACTTATAAACTAACATTTTAAAATCAGCAAACAGATGTGCATTAAAAACTTACAAGAGGATGAATTAAAACAAATTCGAAACCGGTCGGAAGAAACAGCAAAAAATCGCTTTGTTTTTCATTTATTAGTCTGATCAAGCCACTTAAAAAAGTTCTTCATATAGTAGAAATGAAGTTCTCCGAAATTTGATTACAAATTTAAGTGAATTGACGTTTAAAGTTTAAAGGAATATCGAATTAACTTTTGTTCCAAGGTTTATCTTGCTCAAAGTTGAGATACCTTTAGAGATAAGTAAAGCAATAAAAGCTGACCTTAAAATGTTTTGCTTTTAAAGAAAATCTTCTCGAAGGTTAACCTCTCAACTTGAGAGTTGTTTTATCTTATAAGAAAGGATATTTGCGGTAAACTTCTTAGAATAAGCTCAACTCCCTTGAAAATAACTTTTTTATAAATATCTAAATGCTATAAGATGACATTAATGTCTCATAAATATTAACTACACAAAATTCCCATTGCAATATTAATAAAAGGAAAGTTTTAAGCCAGAAATAAAAATAAAATTTTTGCACTTTATCGAAAGCAGCGTGGGAGGAAATCATTTAAAATTTATNTCAAGTTTCACAGGAAAAAAAATTAAATTAAAACAGTGACTAGAAACCGTGGAAAAGGATTAAAATTGACAACGATACGCTGAGCGAATTACGAGTGGACGCAAACAAAAAAAAACAATGAAATAACTTTTTAAAGACAAATTGTTTTAAGACCATTTTGGCCAGAGACCCTTGGAAGCTTTGGTTCACTTTTTTTCCACCAAATTATCATGTCATTGTGAAATAAATTAAGAATTCAAACAACCGTATCGAAAATGTTTCACCGGCACATGATGTGCGCCCCACGAGGAATTAAAAAGTAGTTTATTTTTATTAAATTTCACATCATTCGTCGATTCTCTCACTTCACTTTTCAAATGTCTAATTTTTTTCCACTTTTCTTCACTTCTCTATTGAGGCGAGAGACCCCGAAAGGGGATTGGAAGCAATACACGAGTGTGATACAAACATAAAATATGCCCAGCAAAAGGCAGTGAAATGTTAAATGACTCATTAGCATTCATGAAACTAGCTCATACATTTTCCGGCTCTTTTACATTATCCATTACAAGGGAGTGTCTGAAGCGATAATTATGCGAGATGCGAACGATATCAAATGATAATTAAATAATGTGTACTCCATAGTCGCATTCATCCGGAAACTTAACCATAAGACGAATTAAAATTTTCCTTCCATTTGACTCTTTTCCTCGATCTATCACAAGCAAGATTGTAAATTTGTATATAGGTCACTGATAACAAAAGGAAAAGGGCATTTAAGGGCGGTCAAATCGAGCATTCGAAAATTCGTCAAAAGAATTAAAGTCATGAAGAATGAAAAATAAATTTCCGTGCGAAAGGAAAGAAGAATTGACAACGGAAAAAAGGGCAATCAAAAGTGGCTGACTAGCTAACTGGACAAAGAAATAAAAGAAAGAAAGAAGAAAAAAAAGTTGGAAATTAAAACGGAACGGAGATAACGAAGAAGGTAATAAAAGGAGACCCTAGCAGCAACTTTCAAATGGTATTTTCATGCTGGAATTTAATTTAATGACTTCTTTTATTTAATACCGAAACCTGAAGTCGCTTCTGCCATCGCTCTTCGTATCTCCTCGAGCCCGAACATTAAACATCAAATGAAAACGTTCCTTGCTTCGCATACATATTTTAGTCGTCGGATGAAAAGGAAAAGAGGAAAGTTTTATTGTTACAAATTGATGTTATATTTTGTTCGAGAAACATGGGATAATCGAATTAATTATTCATTGAGATAGAGAATGAATGTATGTTTGGTCAAGTTATCGTAATTATAGATACACTTGTCTAAGTAGTAAGTTTCTTGTAGACTTTTAAAGCTTTCATAAGTTTAAGTTAAGATTAAGAATCTTAAACATCGACATTAAATATTTGTATGACATTGTCAGCATCTTTACTCTTCACCTCGAAAGACTTTTTTGTGTAAGAGGGAAATAAATTGTATAGAAAATGAGATCAGAACAATACACAATACATAACCAACCAATAAATTGTGGTTCAATGTTGGAATCTATGTTTCTGCTGATTTCATCGAAAGAGAATGTAAACCAACATTACTTATTTCACTTTATATTGAGATATCTATGATCCCCATTCTTCTCCGACAATAGCGAGCTCGAGTTTAAATTGAGTCGTTTTCATTTTTCACATCGATGCTTTAACTCAAGATGGAAAAAACGAGAAGAAGAAGAGGATGATGAAGATGAAGAGAAAAAGGAGATTTTCTCGTGTAAGAAAATATTATGAGATAAAGAAATCGAAAATTCTATTAAAGCATCAAAAATCCATTGTGTTGTGCGATACAAAGGCGATAGAAAATCCATTCAAGAAATCACTTGTCAAAACACGATGTGGCTCCATTGAAAAGTAGAGCGCGGGAAGAAGGAATGAAAAAAAGAAATTTTGGTATGAGAGACGACAAGAAGAAAATTGAAAGAAGATCCCGAAAAGAATTTCATGAAATTCAAATTTTCTTATTTTTTCTGCTCAGTAAGAATAACATTTTTTTTTATTTTTAGCGCGCTCGCAGGGATTCAATTTGAAGTGAAAACTTAAAGCCAGTCGACGAAAAGCATGTTCGTCAGGGAATAGCAAAGCGAAAGAAAAAAAAAGTTTCATCATGTCGTCTTCCAAGGCAAGAGGATAAAAAAATGTTGTTCACTAATCCGCTCAGGAACTACATAGCTTGTGGGATATTAAACGATGTTTTATGAAAGCTATTAAATTCAACATACACTGCGACGGATAAGAATATTAAAAATCATTTGTAACAGGAGTGGAATTACATCACATTTCGACAGAGTTGTGAAGTGATAATTAAATAAGTAAAAGACTTGGTAAATTCAATTTCCTTAATAAGATTCATTCATTTCCTTAATATTATTACTTTCATTTAGCTATGGAAAGACCAAACTATGCCAAGCAATCAACCCTGAAAATATCATCCACTTTAAAATGAATTGAGAAAGGGAACGAAATAAATTGCAGGAAAATATAACAATTGAATTTAACCTGCAAAGACTGACTTGCTCTCGATCAATCTGTTGAAAAGGAAACTTACGAATTCTGTCATTCACAAAATTGAGTTTTTCTCTATCCATCAACTGACATTAAAAATCGATTTTAAGCAGAGAAAAAAAAGTGTAAAAAATTTATCATAAATTTTCCGTCATGTCAAAATGAATTTTCTAGAAGAAACGTGAAGCTAATATTAAGCTATAAAAATCAGCAATGATGATTGATAGCGGGTATCCCTCTTTCCAAATGATTGATTATTGAGGTGGAATGAGGGAATGAAAACTTGCATAATTTTTCACTCTCATAAAGATTGTCAGCTTCTGCAGTAATTTTGAGCTTGAATTCTCATTAAGAGACAGAATGCAATATGAGATAAAGCAGAAAGTGTCACTTGACTCTTCCATGTAGGTCGAGAATCTTATTTTTAACATTCTTTATTCATATAGCTTTACTCGAGAGATTCTGAAAGTGTCACAGATTTTTTCTTTTTAATTCTTCTATTCCAATTTATGTTACTTAAAGCATTGCTGATGGTACTTTCATATTCTTTCCTTTATTCAAATGTCTCTGCAAACTACATGTTTGCTTAATTATGATTTGTACCTCGGCAATGTTAATCTACATGGAATAAGAAAAAAAAAGGTTTCGTGTTTCTCAACGTTGATGTATAATTAAAATTACATGTGCAATTAAACTCCTACGTTTAAAAACTTTAGCAAATTATCAGTAGGCATTACGAAGCACAGAAGTAAAATATTTGTCAGCTTGAGGTATAGCAAACATTAAATATTGATTGTAGAAATTAGTGGAGAAGAGAAACGAAAGAAAAACTGAAACGAAATTAAACAAACAAGTGATTATTCAATTCTCCCTTTACTTTTATTTGCTTTTTTCTTTCACTCCTGGAGTGGTCACGATTTTGTTGTTTAATGACTTTTAATATTATTCATTCGTCTGACGATCGTAAACAAAAATCTTTCTCAAGTAGCCACTTCAGACGACGTCACGTGAAAAGCAGTCGAAAGTCAGTCATGGTGCAAAAGAAAAATATTTTTCCAACTTTATTATGTCATTTCAAGAGTCGCGCAATCAAAAACAATGAAATGAAATTCTGTAGAAATTTAGAAAAGTCAACAATTATTAATCTTTTTCACTGTTGTTCCTTTTTGAGCTATGAATAACATGGAACAAGAAAGAGAGAATTGTTTTGATAGAAAACGGAGTGAGACAAATCGATGGGTGGTCAACGATTGTGTGTAAACTTCTGGAGTTTCTCGAAAGGAGCTCTTAAATAATGGCTTTTGAATATTTATATATTTCTTTCTTTTCTTCCTACGCTTTTCAGATCATAAATCAACCTCATTAGCATTAACTGCTCTCACTCTTGCCACAAGCCGTGTGGTTAAAAGAGCAATGGCATGGAAAATTATATTGAAATGATCCTTTTCAATAACTTTCTTTATCTTGGCTTACTTAGATTTTAACAAACTTTATTCACTTTTAATCACTTAAATATTTTTATTGGGTTTTCAGTGATTAGTCGGCTCATTTCAATTTTAATTAATTGATTGAATGAACGTATTTTCAATTGGGTGTTTTTGGTTTTAATTCTTTTACTTTTTAATTTCCTTTTGGTAATTAAAGCAATTTAATTAATCTACTTTCGAATAACTTTTTTACTAAATTCTTGGCAAGATTCTTTCAAGTTATTTAATGAAATGACCGCCAATGAAGTATCCAAAGTTTTGGAATAAATGTTAACATTTAAATATTTCCCTTTTTTCCTTCTTAGACTTTTGAAATCATAAATCAAACTCATTAGCATTAACTTACCAAAAGTCGTGCGGTTGAAGAGAGCAATGGCATGGAAAATGGAAATGAAATGATCCTTTCCTTTTACAATTTTCCATAACTCCATCTAAGTATTTAACCGCTCCAGTTCTAAAGAAGTTTATTTGCTTTTAATCACCTACGGTTTTTGTCTGCTCTTTTTTCACATCAAACTGTTAGTCATTTAAAACAATTGAAAGGGTAAATAACATTGGGATGAATAATGAAGGTAATTTGGTTACGAAATTTACTCGGACATTCCTTCATGACTGAATGTTTCAACAAACGTTTCTAAATTCGTGTAAAACTTGTAACTACAGCAATTCATCAAAATTAAGGGACGAGATGGAGAGGTGAACAACCACAACTTTCCTGCTCTAAAATATATTCAAGCATTTCTATTTTCTTAATTTCCATCATTGATTTTTCGTACGATTGCGATTGTGGTGAATATTTACTTTTGAAATATTATCACATGTAGTCTGCAGTCTAGTTAGACGAATAGTTTGAAAAATAGAAACGAAAAATGCAATTACGGTTATTTGCCAAATGAACTCTTGACCACGGGATGTTCAGCATGGAAAGTTAGAATACAATCGAGGGCATAGCAGAATATAGGAAATCCTCAGGAACAAGTTTAATTACCGAATGGGGAAAGTGGGCAAATACGAATATTTACAACTACAAGGTGGAAATTACTAACAAGAGAAAGACGTTTGTTCAAGGGTCAAATAAATGTGAGAGAACAATTAGAAGTAATTTATTTCGTTTTCTCATGGAATCGTTTTACTTTAGTTGCTTTTGTTTTGGGGAAAAACAAACTTAAATATTCCCGTTGTGTGCTCGGGAAAGTATTAAGAAAGTAAATATTTTCATGCGTCATACGTTGAGGATAAAAAAATAAACTTTGACTTGCTACATTTCAAGTTTTTATCAGTTAGTGATGAAAGTTATTCAAAAAGTTCAATCAACGTTGTTGATGGTGTAAAAGTACGCAAGAAAAACTGTTTTAAGTTCATTGATTCAATTACCCACTCACCAAGATTTCTCGATGGTTGAATAAAGAAGAAAACTTAATAGCGGAAATTTTCTTGAAAATTCATAAATTACTCGAGTTGGGGTTTTCCAACGAACGATGTTTGGCGTTTTTCACCATCTCGAATTCGTTCAAGGCATAAAGTAACTTCCATATAATTTTCTTATCAAATTATATTAAATTGCATTCATTATGAAGTTTCTACCCGAAAATAAGAAGAAAAAGTATCAAACACTGTAATCTGCACTCGAATAAATTCAAACCTGGAGATGATTCGAGACAGTGAACAGGGCAATTTGTATTCGGTAAAAAATGTTGGTGGTGAAACTTAAATAACAGAGGGCGAAAATTTTTTCCTTGCTTTGAAGCGTTTGAATTATCGATTTTTCACTTCTTAGTTTCGAAAGCAATGTTTTGGAAAATTTGTTGTGGTTGAAAATGATAAAAATTAATGACCGGTGTCCCCCCTTTTCATTGTATAGCAATGAGAAGTCGAGTAAAAGAATGTCGTTGATCATTTCACAGGATTTTGGTTTGTTGAGTTATAATATTGTTTCTCTTTCTGGCAATCTATGCTCGAAAGCATCGTAAAAGGTCAAAATAAAAACATATTTGAATAGAAAATGAACAACTTGTTTAATATGACGAAGAAATGTAGCAACTGACTAATGGAATCTTTTATATTGAAATGAAATACAAACAAGACCCGGACAACTCAAGTATTGTAACCGAGGCATCTTGTTTGTGCAAAAATCATTCCTTTTAATTCATTGCATATTCATGTTTTCCTTCTAGAAATGGGTCGAATATGGGAAAATATTTTTCTTTTATTTGACATTTATGAAAGCATAATTTTCAATTAGAAGTGGTGAATGGTCAAGAGGAAAGTTTAATTTTAGGAAACACAAAACTTAAAGCTTATTGACGAAACTTTAATTGATTGTTGATATCAGGAAACATCGAATGTGTTTCTCGATAAACATAATTTAATTATTTAATATTTTTCGAAACTTCGTATGTATAAAAACATTGCCGGAAAATGCATTTAAAAACTTTATGTCTGGTAAGAAAATAAGCTTGAAAGCAAGCAATTTCATTTGGAGCATGCAAACCCACATAACTTATTAATTGTTTCTAGTTGAAAACTTTGTGACATGCCATAAGTTTGTTTCTAGTTTCCATATTCATGAATTGGCTTGAAAATTTCACATATGAACATAAATTGTTAAAAGCAAACCCTCAAGTCCATCAATGTTATTTAAATATTAAAGTGAAAAACAATCTCGTTTGTCGCTTATTTCGAGGAGAATGTTTAATGGAATCCATCGAAGTGGACTCAAATGATTTTTTTCTTAATGCTGACGAATGTTTTACAACTTAAGTTAAGAAAGCTTGTGATCGTAAATGAAATGGCAAAGCATGAATGATTCCACTTTCAAACTTGAATGAATCATTTTAGCAAACAAAACTATAAAGAAATCTTTGAAATCAAATTAAATATTTAATGAGAAGTTTAAAGTATTCCTTAAGTGGTTGTTTGCGATAACTTAAAATCAGGAGTGTTTGATGACTGCTTCTAATATAAATCTTAATGAAATGTTTTGAAAATCTCAAACTCTCAACTCATCTTCATAATCTTCATTCAACATAAACAAAAAACTTCTTAAAATTAAAACATTTATTAAAATTTATTCATTGATTTGAAGTTTAAAACTTAACAACACTGAATCTTCTTGAAACTTTAACCGAAAATAATTTTTCTTTCTCTTCTTATTTCTCGTTCCATAACACACTTTAGCGTTGTCATGTCATTCAGCTTGACGTTCATGAGATAATCGTTATTCATTTAATTGCTGTTTAATGTGTCATAAGAAGACAAATAATCTCTTCACCGACGCTTCTCTCTCTACATTTCGTTTATATTTATCAATTTTGAGATTTAATAACTGAGATATTTTTACATAAGCTGTCAAATCTTATTGAGCATTAAGAAGTTGTTAATTGTTTCTTTGACTACTCAATGCCACGATTTTAGTTGATTACAATCTACTTTTATGGTAGTTCTTGAACTTTAGCTTAGGACCGTGTCATTGAATTTTAAATGGAAACATGAAATCTCTTTTCAACATCACCGCAAATTCAACAGACAAGATTAAAGTACTTTAACTTAACGCCAAGTCAGTGAATTTTTTCACCGTAAATTCCCTACGCAAACATCTCAAGCGGCATTTCAATTAGCAAAAGATGTTAGAAAGACATGTTTCCATCTGGTTTTAAATCGTGCACAATCTAAATATGGCGGTTGCTGTGGGGGTTTTGTGTGGAGAAAAGCGGAAAAACGGAAAAAGAAAAGCGATCTCGAGCCACGAGTTAATTTCCACTGAATAATCATGTTTTTAATTAAATATTCTTCTATGGAACATTGAAAGCGAAATAGCAAGCCGTTTGTAGTTGACGAGAACGTAGCAAAGCATGTTGTTGAATATAAATTTACGCTGTGAATTCGGATTGTACCTGATTAGCAATGAACTACCGTTTTTCGCTTCTCTTTGTTGTTAATGAAGACGTACAAATGTTGAATTTAAAAGCTTGTATCGTAATAGTAATGAAAACAAAACAAAAATCGACTCGACAACTTTATGACATTCATCGAGTATTTTATAGCATTTTAATTTGCTTTTTGATGACTCGTTAAAATTTATTTGATATTAAACATCAAGAATTGTTATGAATAATGCTAAGTTGTAAATGTTTTTGAAACCATAAATTTCCTTCTTTTGACTGATAATTGCGTGATATTAGCTTGTCAAAAAGTTTACGCTAAAACAAATTTTCCAACTTTTTAAAGGATTGAAATGAAAACAACCTTCGTAAGCGTTTCATGAATTAAAATTTTAATCTCATGGAAATATTTTCAGATTCAGATACTTTTGAAACCCCACAAAATCATTCGCCAAACCCATGTGTAGCATTAATAGGAATTAACTTCAGATAAATGATATTTTTTACTCAGCTTTTCAGTATAAAGAATCTTCTGCAAACAATTAAAAGGATTAAGTTCATGAGTTGAAATAGGAGAAAAAATCCATGCCCGGATGAGGGAAACACAAACAAACGCAATTTCAAATTTGAAAACAAAACACATGCTCCCATTGAAAGCTTTTCCCATGAGCAAATCAAATAAATTTCTGCTTCATTCCCTAAATATGAAGAAATGAAAAAATAAAAAAGTTCGCCAATATTTGCCAGAAAACTCGAGCTTAGGAAAACAAATATGGGTTTGTGAAGATTCATTAAAAAGTTTTTCATTTTTTTTTCGCTATCTTTGTTATTTAATTTTTTCCATTATCAGGCTAAACACAACGAGTCGCAATGACCTAAATAGAAGGTGATAAATCTCCATGAAAGACGGTGAAGAGAAATCTTTGTCATCTTCCATCCCTTCGCTTTTCACATGATGTCAGGGATCGCACAAACAAGATTAAGTCGTCCGCAAATGAATCTACGATTAGATACACACACACCCACACACACAAAGTAAGTGGAAAAATGAAAAGTGCGGATTCATAAAGCTCCAAGCAACAGTGACAAAAGAAAAGGTGCGAAGAATGAAACAGCAGAATAACTTCTGAGATTGTTTAAAAGGAACTCAATCGAAAATTGAAGTGAGAAGATATTTAAGATGGAAGATTTATTTATTTAAATATTCTTCCGGGTGAGTGTCGAAGTACATTTATTTGTTGTCTTTCATAAGAACAAACAGAAATGAACACTTTCACACAATAAGCTCTGATGGGAAATGGAAAAGTGCTTTACAATTTATTATTTATGTGAAAAATCTTTCGTTCGCTCGCTAAATCGACAATTCATAAATCAGCTTCACACCATTAAGCATTGTTTGCAAGCCACTAAAGCTAAAAAAAAGAACAAACAAGAAAGCTAAAGGAAATTTATGAGGTATCAACCAGTTTCCTTATTATGTATCATTGCCTTTTGCAATCATTGCTTCGATACCCAATTTCCGATATCTGTCAACAGGAAGTCTTTGTTTCCAATAAATCCCAATAGAACGACTTTTGTTCATGTCTCGACTGAAAGGGAAAAAAGGGAAAACTTTTTTTCTTCTACAAAGTTCCGACTTTCCTTTAGTTATGAAGCCTTTTCTGTTTACCAAAAGCGGAAGTTTACAACCAAACACAAGGAAGAAAGTTTTAGTTCGTTGTCTGCAAGTCAATGAAATTAAATCGGAAGTTTGACTTGAACTTTCCCTTAAGCTTCATGTCTCTCATTATCAACAAGTCTTTTGTTCTGCGAATAACTCGCAGAAGATATTTAAAAAGTGTTAACGACATCGTTAAGATTTCGTGTTTTGAAAACAAAGCAACGAACGTTTTGATGAATGTTATGATACCTGGAGATTTAATTATTGGATTATATTTGACAGTATCTGATGACCTCTTTATAGTTGTTGACAAGGAAATTCAAATTAATGAACATAATTAAAAATATCTACTAACAATAGCAAATAACTGCTAAAGATTGTAAATTCCATAATTGAAGATTATCATTGTTGGGAACATGAAAACTATTAATTAGGTGACAAATAACAGCAGTTACGTTGAAACTCCGTCTAATTATAACTATATTGGATTTTAATGAATTCACAGGAAGCTTACTAGAGTAAAGATTGTGATCGGTTGTTCCGTATTTGATAAGTTGACTTTTCAATTATCAGAAAATTGACAATTTTTCAGTATAAATTCTCGATGCAATTCAATGCAAACTCAACAGTCTCTCTGAAGTATTCTTTGAGTGAAAAACTATTAAACATAAATCTTCATTAAATCATTATGAATAAATTGACGTTGATAATTGTAATCGGTACTTTGACGGTTACTTTACAAGCAGTCACTGGAGAATTGGTAAATATTTTTTATTATTTGAAGAAAGAAATTTTATAAACTTTTTAATCATTTTCATGAAAGTCAAAGAGATCACCTCAAGCGCCTCCACCTCCACCAGATGTGCCAAAGCCGCCAGGATTTAACAGGTTAGTGAGATCGCCTCAAATGCCACCCAAACCTGATGGGATGCCTGAACCTCCACCAATACCTGCAGTTAACAGATTGGCGAGATCTCCACAAATGCCTCCGTCTGATGTTCCAAAACCACCAACATTTAACAGGATGGCAAGATCTCCACAAATCTCTCCACCAGATGCTCCAAAACCACCAACATTGAACAGGTTTGAAAGATCTCCTCAAATTCCACCAGTGCCTGAACCTCCAATGCCAGGAGTAAACAGAATGGCGAGATCTGCGTATATCCCTCAACAGGAACTTCCATTCACAATGCCACCAGCTCCGTTCAGATTCGTACGCAGCATTAATTCTCCAAATGCCCCAACTGAACAGGAATCTTCGATTAGAAACGTTCGTGACGCTTCTAAGAATGATAAACATCATGGAAATTTAGTCGTGAGACAACAAGCAGTTTATTCCAGCTTTACATCTATTGGGAATGAAGCACATGATGCATCTGAACAAGCAGAGGAATAAAACTTAAAATCTTTCAAACTGCAATGGATTTATTTTTAAAGGAAAATGACTTTCAATTGCAAATTTAATATTTTATTATATTTACACATATTTGAACATCTCTACATTATTTTAATATTAAATAAAAAGAGCGAACCCAAAACTGAAATTGCTTTTAATTTTTCAAAATATTTTGTAATAGACATTAGAATATTAACTCGAAATAGACAATTTCTTTTTCTCCTATTTTTTCATAATTTGGCTTTCACATTCAGATTTCTATAAAAAGAAATTCAAGGAACTTCAACTGATCCAAAGGAAAACGTTAACGAAATCATGATTCTTATTTTATTACAGTCGACGCGCTATAAGCGGAAGCTCTATGAGGGCAAAAGCTTCAAACATGACCACCCCCTTCAACTTCATTCATATTGAAAAGCCATTCTAAAAGCGGAAAATCTCCTTACACGACCACCCCCTTCAGTTTCCGCTTATAGAGCTTCTACTGTAATTCATTTAAACTGATTAGTCCGTAACTCGTCTTTTACAATTCGACACCTTCGCAATATTGAGAGTTTTGGCCGTTTTGGTGACTGGAATAAATTAAGTTATTTGAAATGCTTTTTCATTTTCCTAAAATAGTTTTAAGTTGAACAAAATTTCTGTACCGATTTTTGATCATTCATTTTTATTAAAGACTTTTTTAGCTGTCAATAAATTGTAAAAAAATATTTACTTATTATTATTATGTATTATTTAATAAATTAATTCATATCTATTTTGCTACCAAATTATTTATTTGTTTCTGAAATCGAGTAAATTATGAATAATGAATAGAAAATCATCCAAATTAAATTCGTGGAAATATTTGATTATCAAATACAAACATGCCACAATTTAACTAGATAAAGCAAATAACATTATTTTAATTTATGTTTTCTCGCAATGCAATTAGCAATTGTAGAAATATTTATTTCATTTTAATTGATGTACAGGAAATTCTCTGATTGATGACAGAATTGAAGATTGTGATCGGTTTCTCTGTTTCTCACAAATAAATTTGTATAAAATCGCAACACACTTCGTCCAAAATTCAACAGTTTCTTGTGAATGTTAATGAATAGAGACGTTTATTAATTTAAATAGTTTTTCATTATGAATAGATTAATTTTGGTGTTTCTGATCGCTACTTTTGCAGTTACTCTGAATGCAGCACCTGGTGAAATGGTAAATTAAATTTGATCATAACAACAAAGAATTTCATTGCTTCTCTGTTCTTTTAGATTAAAAGATCGCCTCATATGCCTTCCATGCCGGAACGTCCAAATTTTCCTCAACCTGGGGAAATGCCGCCACCTCCACCAGGACTTCCTCCTCCTCCGGAGGGAATGCCTAGACCACCAATGCCAGGATTAAGCAGATTTGTGAGATCTCCTCGAATGCCAGAGATACCTCAGCCGAGCGATATTCCGATACCAGTTAAAAGATTTGTGAGATCTCTAGAAGAGGCGCCCATTTCCAATCTTAATGGAATGGTTGAACCATTGCCAGAAGCTACTCGAAATGTAAGATCAACATTCTTACCAATCCCATTGCCAGAGTTTCCAGACATTCCTTTTCCAATGCCATTTAGATTCGTTCGCAGTATTGAATCACCAAGCACTCCAACTAGAGACGTTCGTGACACCCCTAAGAATAAACACCAAGAAAAAATAACTATCAAGCAACAAGCAATTTACACAAGCTTTACATCTATCGAAAATGAAGCACATGAACCAGCAGAAGAATAAAACTAAAAATATTGCACCGAACACAACAATTATCCGCAGTTAAAATGACACATTTGGCTGATTTCTTAACAAAATAATATTTTAACCACTTAGAAAATAAAAAGCGAACCACAAAAATATCAAAATCTTGTTCTTTCAACTTAATTGAAAAAGTTCGACAAACTAACAAGCCAAGACTCGTTTCATATCTCACCTTCAAACTCAATTAAAATGCTTCCAAAGCTTTTCTAGACAACCACAAATGTTTGCTTGCATTTTATTTATTTTTGTCTTTCAAATAGAAATCTGAATGGAAGTTTATATTTGCAGCGAATCTCAAATCAAATGAGAAATTTTATTTCTTTCTAGGAATTTTCCTTTGTCAGCTTTGATTCTGTTATTTGATGACATTTCTATTTTATATTTATGTAATCAGGGACATGTTGAAATGAAGGATAAAGAAGAGTAATGAAACTTTGTTATGGAGCTTTGAAAGCAAATTGTTTACTTACCTGCTTGCTTGTTTGTAAATATTCCCAACGTAGTTAGAACGTGGAATGAAAATATTTCAGTAACTTCAAATGAATTTTAATACTGCATTAAAATGTTTTGTCTATTTGACAGCAACATAATAAACTAAATAGTAAAATAAATCATGCAAGTGACATTGTTATTTGCTTTATATATTAGAGTTAATAATCTTCTTCATTTTATAGATTTTATGATAAGTTTTATCATGGAATCTTATTTGGATCTTAGACGTGTCAAAAATATTGTTATGTAAATAAAACTATCAAATATCTGATTAATTGCAAGCAATTATAATGAAGGTCAACCACTTTACAAAATGTATTCATGAAAGTTTCACATTTATCCTTCATTTCACATTTCGTTATCTTGCTGCTAACAACTTACGCCTACTCAATATTAATTAGTGTACAGGAAGCTTAATAAACGATAAAATCTCTTGTTCCGCATCTGACTGTTTATTATTGTTATTTTTTTAAGTTTTTCATATAAAATAGTTGGGTATGAATCTGACTCTCAGAAGTTTTGTGAATTAATTAAGTTGTGAAGAATAAAATAAGCTCTTAGATATGTTAAAATGGTCATTGATTTTAATGTTGGTATTTATTGTAACAAGAATCGCAGGCTCTGATGATTCACAACAAACTCTTGAGTCTGATGAAGAATCTCCAAAGCCACAACTTAACAAAAATGTGACTGATCGAGCTCCAAACAAGGTTCCAACTAATGCAGATCCCTCAGCAACACCGCCAAGCTTCTTTTCAAATCTAAAAGAGAAGTTTAAAGAGTTCTTTAAGAAACTTTTCCAAGATTCATTGAAATCTTTTGAAAATGAAGAGAATCAACAGCGACCACAGTGAATTATTTTATCGATTTTTATTTTAAGATTCTATGCAAGGAATGTCGCTATTTTAAAAGCAAAACTTTAATAAAACGAAGCAGATTTCTATAATTTGAATGCTCGATTCTCGTAAAGATGGAATAGCAAGAAATGTCATTTATTTTATGTTGCAATATTATTCAAATTAATAAAAGTTTCTGATTCATGACAAATTTAGATATTCAAAATACAAGGAAACTATTTCTATGAGACCACAAAACTTTATCTTATGAATTAAAAGCAAGAAATCAAAATGAAAACTTGAGTTGAGTTTTATAACAAAATCATATTCTTCCCACATAAATAAAAATTAAATTAAATAGCAAATCCCAAACCAAAATCTTTGCTTTCATTCAACTTTTATGAAGTTTCTTTGTCAGCTTCGTTTTCTTTGCTTGATTGCATTTCACTTTCAAATTAAGTTGACATGACGAGACAAATAACGGGTGAATGTGTTTAATGTTTCAACGAGTCGTATCTCAGTTTAATGAGAATTTTATTTGTTCTTTGTCAACCTCAAATCTTATCATGAATGAACCTTTTATTTATTTGCTTGTCATCTCATCGCAAAACAAAGCCAGCACACAATCATTTCGAGAGTTTGAAACGCCTCAGGACTTGTATGCTTCGTCTTCTTCCTTCAAAAGTAAACATTTCATTTCATTTGCTCATTTCACTTCGACGGGGGAAAGCAAGAAAAAAGCTTCATGAAAAATATTTCAACTTTTTATCGGTAAGAATGTTCGCCTTTTTCCATCTCTTTTTGCTGTTTGCATTGGAAAAGAAAACAGCATGAAACAACTTTCTTCACAATTTTATCATCTTTAACAATTTCTCATGAATTTGTAATCAAACGAATTGAGAAATTCAAGCTTTCAAAAAAGAAGAAAGTAAAGTTTGGAAATGTATTTATTTGCTCAGACACGATATGCATCAATTTGGCTCGCAGCATAAAACTTTGATAATATTTTACTTCCTTTCAGTCCGCTTTGCATCTTCTACAGTATTGTAATCTAATGTGCATTCTGTTTGCTGTCTCACAGAGCCAAAGAAGAAGGAAAATGCTGTTTAAAAAGATATATTTTTTTGTTGAATTACATTGCAATATTTACGATCTCTGCAAATGCATAATTTTTTCATATTTTTCTTTTCAATTGTTCTTTTTTTTCAAGCATGAAATGGAATAAAAAATGGAGAAAGAAAGTGCAAGAAAAAAGAAAAAAGAATTGTCTTTGTCATTGTGTTTATTTAGTGAGAAAGAATTTTATGCTCCTGGTTGTTTCGTGTCAGCCTAAACGAAGATATTTCTGTCTGCTAGACAATGCAAACATACCTTGGAAAGCTTTTAAAGCTCAAAACTTGTTTTTAAGTTTTAAAATTTAAAATTTTCTAAAACTGAATTATTAATGCACATTTTTCTTTGCGAAAACTTTAATAAATGATTCAATTTATTGAAAGAGAAAAGCAAAGTATGATAAATGGGAAGTGGATTGAAAATAAATCCTACAATGAGTTATCGAAAGATTTGGCCTCAACCACTCGATAACCAATTCATACGTCATCAATAAAATATTAAACTGAACATAAGAGCTACCGATAGAAGGAAGTGAAATGATATTTATGACTTATCATTGAGTAATGATATCCTTTTCATTCTTTTCTCTTTTATGTTGAGTCGATGTGGAGCTTTATTTAGAGATGATATTGCCTTTTCAATGCCTCATAAACCTTTCTTCCGTTCTTCTTTCATTCAACAAAGACGTATAAATTCACGATCTGATTAATGACCTCCAATCGAAAATGGCACGTTTTCCGCTTCTCCTTCTCCACCTTAAAATGAAATGAATTCATATATTTAATGTGCAGATTTATGTACCCGAGTTGAATCCATTTCTATGTCTAATTTGATTTCTCAAACATTAAAATTAAAATTCCCCAAATAATCCTCCACATTGCGCAAATGATTGCATGTGGAATCGGAAATGACGTAAAGTTATTTATTAGAAAGGCGGATGAGCTTCCTTGAAGCTTTACAGACGGATTGCTTATGAAACGAAACCAATTTGCCTTTCTATTGAAGCAATGGGAGTTTAATGGGAAGAGTAAGGAAGAAACAATGAAATACTAACGACATCGAAATAAATTCTTTTTGTTTCAGAAAGCTGTCACTCACTCCATTCCTTCTTAGCAATATTGAAATAATGATTTCAGTTCAAAAAGTCCCCTTTCTCTAATAATAATTTATGTTTCTTCGACAATTTTTTTTTCTCGTTGCCTTCTTCGTCTTCTTTTATTAAAAAAGGATTAGATATCCTTGATTCGTTTAAATAAACAATCTCAATGGAATTTCGCCATGAATTTGAGATTCCTTTCTCGGGTATCATTTTATTAATGGAAAATGTATCTCTCTTCCTATGCTTGAATTTATTTGGGAACAATGAAGAAATTTTAATGATTATTTGCTTCATAGATAAAACATTTCAATTGTGTGACTTTAAATTCGATCGGATCAATAATTTCGAGAGATTTCATATATCTTGTCATTTTAGGAACATCAATTTACTTAATAACGTCAATTTAAATATTTCCAATTTATATTTCTGACTTTAACAGATATCTATTTCACGTCGAACGTCGTAACAAGTGATAGAGCCCCATTTCAATCTTCATTCTCGCTTTCACTATATTTGAATTTACAATCTTACTGCGATATCTTTTTATCTTTGCACTTTGCTGTACGATATGCGAGAAGAGCATTGGCAAAAACATATGAACAGATATTTTACAGTGAGAATTCTTCAATCTTTTACATCTCGAAAGTTCTAATAAAAGAGATTTTGAAAAGATATTTTGTTAATCAAACAACTACTTAGAATTGGAACTGTAACATCCATTACGTGAGTTTTTATATGTACTTCCATCTACCATTCCACGTCTACCTAATGGCAGTAAGTAAGAGGGAATTTTTAATGCATACACCTTCGACAAGACTGTTTTTCCTACTGAACGCAAGAAGTAAGAACCATCTGAAATGTTATATATGAATGCTTTTAATAGAACTCTCATGAGTAGAGCTCTTATGATATATTTGCTGCTGTTTAAAAAGGTTTTTTTCCTCTTGGTGTACATCGAGAAAAGAAATCAAATCCAGTGAGGATGTGAAGAGAAAGAAATGCTTGAAAGCGTAAAGCGGAATGCGCTCAAGAGTTTGTGTTTTAAAACTTTTATTTAAAAGAAGATATTTGTTCGAATACCTTCCATTTCCTGTCACAACTCTTGGATTCAATGTGAACAAAGTCGTCAAAGACATTGCACGTCTCTTGCTCAACTCATCACTGCAAGTACATCATTATTTTGATATCTTTTTCTTCTAATGAACAATTTAAAGTACGACTTTAATCCTTTCATTATATTTACATACGTCAACAATTAATCCTTTTCCCAAAAGCTTTTTTCCTGTAAATCCTTTGTCTTAAACATCATCATTATCTTGATGAACACGCGCTCGAAGTAAAATGAAATGTATAAAGATAAATTGTTGATGTTTCAAAAGAAAATAATAAAATGAAGAATATAAAAAGTCTTTGTTACGCAAACATTTTATGAACATTGAGTAGGTAATGTTTCTAAACATGTGTATGCAAAAAGAATTTCCATTGTTTGAGTCTTCAGATGTAAAATTATCCTTGCAATGAACAAAGTTTGATATCACAACAGTCAACAAAAAGAGAGATACTAAATTTAAAATTCTAAATAAAAATTAAATATCCTTGTAAAAGCATCAAAAGTGCCTCTGGCAATGTTTTGAAAGTACTTAGAGCATTCCTCGATTTCATGCTGCACTTGAATTGCTTTAAAAATAATAAAACTTTGCATTCTCAATGATATAAAATAAATTTATTCAGCTCCAAAACGAGACATAGCAAGCAAAAAAAAAAGGAATGAATTCTCCCTCGACGATGATACAAAGCTTGCATCATAAACTTTCTCTTGTTTTTCTTTGTGTTATGGTCGAGAGTGAGGAAGAGATAAGCAGAAAACGAACGAGGGAAGATTGTCAAGCGAGTTAGAAGGGGGAGCAGTGAAAAGGGCGCATTTTATTATCATTTCCATAATTAAATTTATGAAGGCTAGGCCATCATAACGTCACTATAACGAAGACCCCATAAAGATTTGTCTCTCGTTTTAAATCACAACTTTCTCTGTTTTAAAAGACTCGAACGGGGAAAAAGGGGCGGAAGAGAAGGAGAAAAAGATTACGCAAAAACCCTCTAATCATATCAACTTCAATTTTAGAAACTCGAGACACTCTGATAAAAAAATGAAGCAACATGGAAACGTCCAATTGTGTTTTTTGATATCTCAATTTGAGTGGAAATGGATAAAATTTCCAGTACGTTGTGGATGGGAAGAAAAACGATTCTCTCTTGTCTTTAAACGGAATCCAACTTCTGACCACTTTGGTGGGTGAGGGAATAACACCATAAATGACAATGTCAATGGTTTTGAGCGAGTCTGAAAATTTTGCTTTGGGGAGAAACTGATATCAAATAGATACAAACTATGTGCAGATAAGAGTCCAAAGAGACGATACAGCAAATTGCAATACTATTGTTCTCATCTTCTACTTCCAAATTGATCTTAAAAGCATAGAAAAAATTTTTTGAATCCCACTTCGTGTTGATGTTGCTTTCGTTAAAAGATTGTGAATGAAACATTTGAAATTCATTGAAAGTAGCAGGAAGGAAAGAAAACTACTCGATTTTATGCAGTGTTGTTAATTGATGTTGCACAGAAATCCCAGAACTTTTAAATAACCAGTAAAGATAAATTGCCGCTTGAATACTTGATCCCCAAGCCACAATTCTCCAATGTTGTTTGCCAAGCGTGCGATTGCGGAATGAAATGCACACAGTGAAGTGATTAAAAGTTTGAGACAACAACCACAAACATAATTTCACCATACGAATTCCGAGATTGAATTTAATAAAAAAATTCTCATTGCTTGTTCTGGGATGAAGTTTAAGTTGAATGCGACGAAACATAAATTTAATATTCACCCCTTTTTTCAAGCACCATCAACAGTCAACTGTTAAGGCATATGAAAACAATTTCTATACAATGAAATTAATTAAAAATTATAATTGATAACATTTGCATAAATATTATTCTGTGCTGCTTGAATTGTGCTTCTAGAATTGAAAAAAGTTTGCATAGCGACGTTTTTTGTGAAGGAGAAAGAAATGACAGACGAGAAATACAAAAAATACGTAAAACAGACAAACACAGAAGAGCGGGAAATTGTTTCGAGCATTGGTTTATTTCTATTTGAAAGTGAAATTAAAATTCCGGTAATGGTAAAAGCCTCGCAACGACAGCTACAATGATTCATTTTCCGCTCAATAAAAATTTCATAAAACAAAAAAGTATCTCGACTTCATTGCTGATTGTATGTTTTAATTACTTTTTTTGTTTGTTTTGAAAAATTTTCTAATTAAACAAGATCTTTTGATTTATAATTTCTACCCCGCAATTTACTGGTCGTCACATAAGTTGCTGACAAAACTCTGAGAAAACTATTTATTGCTGTGGATTTATAAATTGCTTTTCCCTACATCTCCCCAACCACCACTCATGATAAAACTTTCCGCCATAAAACATTTCAACAGAAACATAAAATTTAATTTCCTATTTTAATTCACATGTGCTGAGAAGTGTATCGCATTCAACCGAAAGACGAGGAAGTTTCTTGTTTGTATCGCATATCTTTTTCCGGGTATTCTCATATTTTCAGCGCACGTAAAACTTATCACTTTTCGCTGCAAGCTCTCCGTGAAATAATGACTTGAACAATGATAAAGTTTTTTTCCGCCCTTTTTCTAAAGAAATTCATTTTGCTGATGTTGAAGTTGAATAATATAAGTTTAGTCGAACGATGTTAATTTCAAAATCATTCGACAAATTTAAGACGAGAAAGCGAAAAATTCTTTCCGTCATTTAAGATGGGAAAAGAACGAGCGCAAGAACTTTTCCCTGATCCAATCAGATATTCAAAATTCAAATATTAAAAGAAACTTCAAGTTGTTTGAAGATATCTCATGCAACTTAAGTGGAAAGAAATAATAGCGAAGAGATTGGAAATGAAATGAAAAGCTGTTTTTACATTAACGAGCCAAACGTCAATTTCCCGTCAAGTTTGTGAGTTTGAATGCCAAGTCAATCAATCCTCTCGAGAACTGAGAGAATTCCCAAAGAAAAACAAACTTTTTAACTCGTTAAGCAGTTGCATCGAAATGCGAACGGATGATGATGGTAGAAAGGAAAGTTAAAAGTTTTCTAAATTTGAAAAGCTTTCAATTTGTGGTGGTGAAAGAAAAATAAATTAAGGAAGTTTAAGTTTAAAAGTGTCTTGTATACATCAAGTTTAAGTTTAAATGTGTCTTGTATACATCATCGAAGGAATTCATTTATGTACTTTCGAAATGTTTTAAAATTCAGAGAAGTTTTTATATTTAAAATGATGATGTCAACTAAATTTAATGAGATTTACATCAATAATTAATGAAAGCAAAAAAATGAAGATGCTAAATCTAATTTCTTCATCTTTGAAGCGACTAACAAGGTTTACACAGCGATGATCTTTAAACATGCTCCTTGCTCTGCGTTTAATTTCCTCATTAAGATCATCTTCTTCGAAGAACGAGGAGAGGAAATTCAAAACAACATTTTACCTTTCTAAGCTTACAACATAACGCTGTGTAATTAAAGACAGAGAATATAATGATGTTGCCTTAAATGATATATGCAAACATCCATTAATGAGCAAGAAAAACATGAACAGAAAATAAAGCAAAATTTAAGTAATTTTTACTCACAGTGAATTTTCCTTGTGGACAATAATTTTCCGGCTTTTTCATTGAGGGAAGGAAGAGCATCTCATTATATAAACTGATAATACATATTTTTGTTCATTCAAAAGATGAGAAAAGGAATCCTTCCATGAGATTGTAAAAGCTGAAATGGAATGTTTTGTTCACAAAGAAATTTTCACGCTGTTAATGATGAGCGCGCGATTTCAGCGCGATGAATGTCAGAGAAATTTAATTATGCTCAACACGAAATATTTAATATCACATCTCATAAAATAGCGACCGACTTAATTACTCTTAATTATGCATAAAAGCAGCAGATCAAAATCATCGTGCTGATGAGCGTTATATGAGTGTGTATAAAGCTCATAATCACTGAGATTTGCCTTAGATTTCTCCAAGCTTTACAACTGAAAAATTCAGAGAATCATTAAAATATTTAAACAAAGTTAATTCGATTTCATGCATGAGATAACTATCAAAATTAAAATCATTTCTCTTTCCCTCCACCTTACCCCCATTGTGGGTTTGAGGATGTAACAGTCGTGGAGGAAAGTTGCCTTCAGGTTAGAGACTGTGAAATTAATTTGAGAACATACAACATCTTGCTATTTACTTTGCTTTCTTTGCTTTTTCCTGCCGCTCTATTCAGCTTCTTCCACCCTCGCATTATTATAATTGCGATCATGAAATGCTGATGAGAAGCGTAAGTTATTAATGCTTAATTGTAGAAAAGTTTTCTTTTCCACTTAACCATCTTCAACTTTATTCAAATGTTTCTATCTTGGGAAAAAATGGTTACGTTCTCGACACACTACTTTGATATATGAGAAGACGTCAATTGAAAAGTAAAGAAATATTCTTTACACTTAATTAAATTTCCTTTGAGATTCTTGTTTTCAAAGTTTTCAATTTATTTCTAAACTTTACTTTACTTTTAATAATTTCTGATGAAGCTGACGCTTGATGACATTTCAAGAAATTTCAAGAACAACCACGAAGCATTAAATATCAAGTTAAACTTCTTTTTGCACTCTTTAAGATTATGCAGATTTTAAAAACAGTTTATGATCTTTTATTGTTTCCTACCGAAGGTTTTCTGTAAGTAGAAAAAGTTAAAAATGAACAGGAGTTGGAAAAATTATGAATAATTCGCATTAAAACAAAGACAAGCTTAATTAACGCTTTGAAACTTGTCGTCTGTGAAGTTTTAATTTTTTTTTCAACTTGGTGCATTATTTTGCTCCCTCCCGTTCAAACACTAATCTTAATATTCCCTCTTTGCTGGAATAATGGCAATTTCAATTAATTAACAAGAAACTTTCCAACGCTCCTTGCTGCCATTCTCGTCGCTTTTTTTTTTGTGAGTTAAACTGATGTTGTGAGTATCAACATTTGTGCTGCGAATTTTCTTATGGAAAAAAATATTGACAAACATTTCGGATGAAAGTTGAGAATCACTGCACAAAACTCTTTATAAAGCAAAGCAAAACTTTCAACTTTTTCTTGTTTTCCACATTACTTGCATGAAAACGAAGGAAAGAAACTTCATCATCATCATCATCATCAGAGTAGGGAGTGTACTAACCAGTACACTAAAGCGATTAAGAATATGGGGTGTTAACCCCTTCTTGTTTCGCTCCCCATATCTCGTCCTTTGATGACTGATGTTAAGCTGCTTGATGTGAAGCATAGAGATTGAGAATTGTTTTTAATGCTTAAAACAGACTAATTCCATCGGAGATCCCGCAACGCGAAGAACAGGAAGATGGGGGATTTTTGGGAATTATTCTACAAATCTTCAGAGATAAAGTTCTCTGAAAATGAGAACCCTCACCAGCCATCTCCCTGGTCTCACTGTCAGCTGAAGAAGTCGAAGAAGGTGGACCGGACACCCGTTCTCCTCATGAAGAGGAGAAGATCCTCCAGATCCACCTCCGCGAGCCCCTCGGCATTGATGACAGTGTGGTTGAAGATCCTTAGCCTTACTCTAGAGTGTGCATCGCAAGAGGCTATGACGTGTTGCATGGTTTCTTCTATCATGCCTTTGCAATATCTGCAATTAATAAGTTGTGATCTTTTTATTGTGTTCAGATGTTTATGTAGACAGCAATGTCCTGTTAGGACCCCCATCATAACTCTTAAATCGTTTCTACTTAGATTTAAAAGAAAATTGGCCCTATGAATATTTGGTTCTCTCATCATCATTTTGGAGTGTCTTAGACCTGGAGCCTTGTTCCATCTTGCGTTTATTTCATTTTTCAGCCATTTTTCAATTTTCATATTTGCTATAGCAACTGAATCAAGAGTTTGAATCTCTATGAACTCTTTATCAATTCCTTTATTTGCAAGTCTGTCTGCTTTTTCGTTTTCCTTTATACCTTTGTGCCCAGGGACCCACCAGAGTCTCACCTTGTTATTCTTGGCCAGCGTATTAAGACTGTGTTTACAATTTGATAAGGTGTTAGTAGTTGATTTTGCTTTTGCTAAGCCTTTGAGAGCCGCTTGACTGTCCGAGGCAATATTAAAAGTTTTATTTTTTGCACCGCTCAATATGCCTTCAATGGCTGCGAGCTGGATACCTAATACTTCGGCTTGCATGACCGTAGCAGAGTCGCCTAGTCTGACAATTATTTCTTTTCCTAGAGAAGGGCTAAAGGCGCCTGTGGCGGTCTTGTTGTCCCGTTTGGACCCATCAGTGAACCATGATATGCTTTTACCTAAATGATTTGACCAGGGTATTCCATTTTCCCATGAGGCTCTGCTGCCGATATTAACTTCATAGTTGATTTCAACAGTATCTATTATATACTTTTTGTCTGTTTCAATGTTCAGATCCAAAATTCTAGCAAGATCTTCAATCGTTCCGTGCCCTCTTGCGTTATAACTAGACCAACAATTTGTGTTAAGCAGTCTTACGTAAGTTTTCAGAGCACATTCGTAAATTTTCAGGTTTAAAGGGGTCAAATTCAAAGCCACATTTATTGCTTCCGTGGGTGTGGTTCTGATAGCTCCAGTTATCATGATTCCTGCCATTCTTTGCAGGGAATTTAATTTCTTCTGTATTGAAATTTGCTGAGCTTTTTTCCACCATATAATGCTTGCGTATGTTACTCTGGGTACAATAACCTGATTGTAAACCCAGAACATCATTTTTGGTTTCAAACCCCAGTTTCTTCCGACCAGTGATCTGGTCGCCCAAAGAGATCTAATGCTTCTACTTATGACTTGCTCAGCGTGATGTTCCATATTGAGCTTTTTGTCCAACCATACTCCTAAGTATTTAACCCTACTCTCTAATTTTAAAGTAACGTCATTTAGTTTTACCGTAGTTATATCGATTTCTTTCCTTCTTTGAGTAACTCTTAAGAGTTGCGTTTTTAAAGGATTGACCGATAATCCAGTATCTAAGCACCACTTTTCTACAATGCTCAAAGCTTTGTTCATACGCTCGCAAATTGTATTTACAAAAGCCCCTCTTACGAGGATTGCTATATCATCGGCGTAGCCCACTACAGTGAAGTTTTCTTTTTCTAGTTTATTTAGTAAATCATCCACAACAATGCACCAGAGAAGCGGAGACAAGCACCCCCCTTGTGGGCAACCTTTTGTAGGAGTTATATTTCTAACTTCAGATCCTATTACTGCTTTGGTTTTCCTGTTTTTAAGCATAAAAACAATCCAATTTAATATTATACTTCTCATTTCTATTCTTCTGCAGGCATGTTCAATGACTTCGATTGAAGTGTTATCGAAGGCACCTTCAATGTCTAAGAAACACACTAAAGCGACTTGTTTAAATTCCAGAGCTTTTTCCAATTTGTGACAAAGGAAATGTAGCGCCGACTCCGTACTTTTCCCTTGCTGATAAGCGAATTGTCTTTTGTTAAGCGGATTAACCCTCAATTCGTTGTTTCTGATATCTTTGTCTATAATTTTTTCCAAAGTTTTCAGATTAAAGGAAGATAAACTTATCGGTCTGAAAGATTTCGCTGCCTCATATGTATCTTTTCCCATTTTTGGGATGAACACAACCTTGGATTTCATCCAGCACCTAGGGATGTAGCTATGACGAAGGCTTTCAATGAACAAAATTTTTATTGCATTTAGGACATGATCAATTCCTTTCTGGAGCAAGGCAGGGAAGATTTCATCGTCACCGGGTGATTTGAAAGCTTTGAAGCTATTTATTGCTTCTTTAACTTTCCAATCACTGATAATCGCGTTCGCTTCTTCAATGGAATAGAGAGGTGGGCTCTCAATGATCGACATTTGAGAGGAAGTGGATTCTTCTATACAGCCAGGGAAGTGAGTTGACAGTAGTAATTCCAAACTTTCCCCAATATTTTTGGTATAAGAGCCGTCTGAATGTTTTAGGGAGCCTAACTTAAATTGCTTTTCACCCTCAAGTAGTTTTTGCAATCTGGTGGCGTCCTCCAGAGCGTCAATTTCCAAAGTAGTCTTTCTCCAAGATTCCTTTTTGGCCTTGCGACATATTTTTACATAGTTCCTATTTGCCTCCTTATAATTTGACCAGTCAGTTGCCTTCACGGACTTAAAAGCCTTTCGGAAGAGTTTCCTTACTTTCTTTCTTTCATCCATTAAATTTTTATTCATCCATTTTGTTTTGAAATTTATCTTGCTCTTAAATGTTTTGGTATTTTCGTTAAGCGATTCGATAAGCGATTTTGAGAGCTTTTGAGCGCTCTCCTCGAGGTGTTCTTTACTACTGATGATATAGGATACGCTTTCAGACTTTTCTAGTAGAGAACTCTTGTACCCTTCCCAGTTTGTTCTTCTTTTAACTTTCCCTACGTTATCAAATGAATCAGTTTTCAGTTTGAAAATTATTAGATTGTGGTCTGAACCCGATCTATTTGTATCAACATGCCAGTCCACTAACCTATCTGATAACCCTTTACTGATAGCCGTGATGTCTATGAAAGTCCTTGAGTTCCCTCTCACAAAAGTTGGATGGTCTCCTTTGTTTAATAAAATGAGATTTTCATTCATAATAAAGTCTAACACTTTAATACCTCTGTTACATGTTTGGTTACCGCCCCAAATGTGATGATGCGCGTTTGCATCTGCTGATAAAATATAGTCAAGATTTTGTAATTTACAGTACCTTACTAGAGAAACTAAATTTTTGCTTATCGGCTGAGTCGAAACTGGTATGCCTGGCGAGTAAAAGGATATCAGTGCTATAGTTTTGATTGATCCGCTATCCATCTTAACTTTAACTGTAATAGCAGTCAGAATATCGTCAGAAAACTCGGTCAGAAGGAAAGGATCTAAAAATCTATTCGAATTTTTCCTTATCCAAATACATGACATTACCCTGTTTTGGGCTTTCTTCGTGTAAAACATATCGCCATTCATTAAATTAATTACCTTGCCTTTGTGCAATGCTGGTTCTTGAAGCAAAATAATATCAATTAAATTATTTCCACATTTTTTTTGTAGTTCGTCGAAAGCGGAATTCCGCTTACCGGCGTTCAACTGTAGAATATGAGCGAAACTTTCTATGATTGAATGAGTGTGTTTTTATGTGGAAATAGTGTATCTCCGAAAGGCTTAGTACATAGAAATTTTTGAAATTGGATTGCTTTGTCATTTTTAGTGAAATTGAGACATCATTTATGATATACTCAAATTTTTGGAAAACTGCAACGTCATTTATGATGTGTTCGTTCTGAATGCACTCATGTCCATATGGGTAAACTATGTAATTTTTGGCGCAAAATTTGAAAATATTTCCCTTATGAAAAAATTTCAAGGTCACTACAACAACAACAACAACTAAATTGCATTGAATCACATTTAGTCCTTCTTTACTTTCTTTACGATGTCGATTTATGAAACCATGCATAAACCGAGAAGTGAAACCATCACTAGAGTTGCCACTGAAACCATCAGCAGCGTTTTTGAAACCATCAACAAAATTTTTGAAACCATCTTCAAAGAATTCTTTGTTTATGATGCGGGAAGTCTTAAGACCGCATTTTTTATACTTACCTAAGTAACACCTGAAAAGAACACTGAAAAAAGCACTGAGGATAGTGTTCTTCACGCTGCCCTTAATTGTTGGGTGCTTAGCTAAAAGAACACTTGTTGATTTAAGTGATAGCGTACTTAATATCACTTAAATTAAATAATTAAATTTCCTTTAATTTTTATCGAACCGGTCAATTGGACAGTCCGACAAAACAATTGGGAAAGAAACTTTTCCTATCAATTAGATAACATTTAATGGTTTAAAGATTCATTAAATAGAAGCATAATGAATGTGTCGGAATGATGTGAGTTTCGATGTGGTTTCAAAGACCACACACTCGTTACAATCATGAGTGGATATTGCTTAAGGAGAATTTTATCATTGATTGAAATTTAGTTCATCGTTCATTTTGTTTTTGCTTCTGCAATCGTTATCTGATGAATGTGATTTTGGGTCGTTCTTTTTTTCTGTTTTTTGTTGCGCAAAAAGAAAATCAAAATGAACTTATTTCCATATTTTTTCTCGTATTTCTTTGCTGCGATCTCGCCCCATTCTAGACTCAATCAAATAATCTTTTTCGTCGTAACCCTGATTTTACTTCTACATATTTATAAGCTTTTTTCCTAACATCACAAACAACTGGTGGTGATGAAAGAAAGGAAAAGAAAAAAAAAGTTTAATTAAATTTCGATTTTGGATCTCTGATTTCTTTGTTTTTGCTTCGTTCACTTTTATCAATGGATCATAGAAAATTCTCATTATCGTCATCTGATTCATTCTTATTTTAAAAGAGAATGTAAAAGTTTCTTGTTATTTAATTGACCCTTTCTTCATCTCATTCTTTCCATTAAATCCTTCGGAACATCCTGCACAAAATGACTTGACTCATTTCATTCTTTTGGCATGTTAATCTCGATTGAAGTTTTTATCCTTTTGACTTTACACAGCGAACTTCCCTTTTTTCTGTTTCGTGAAGATTGTTCACCCCAAAAGAGTCATGTTGAAATGTGTTTTATGCGTGAGAGCTTTACGTAGCTTGTTCTTGTTCTTGTTTTGTATTTCATCCCCACGTTTAGATACTCAGCGTTCTTCACAGCGTTATGTTATTCAGCCCATGTTTTCCAGCCTTTAACATAGCGACGAAAAATGTCAAAGGCAATAATACATATGATTTTATATCAGAAGAGATAATGTCGTGTTGGGCGAAATAGGAGAACAAGCTTCTTAAAAAGCGACAGCAAAAAACGGAGACTGTCAAGCAGAGAAGAATTTTTTTTAAATTGTCTAGAGAAATAATAAAATATATGATCTGATAATATACGCCTTGCGAATGTTTAACAGAAGAAAAGAGTGAGAGAGAGAGAGAGAGTGTTGCCGACCGAAGACATTTCATTTGATATTTGAAGGGGGAAAACCAAAAAAAAAGGAACAAGAAAACTTTTTCTAGATTGTCGATTTTTCGTCTTTATCTTCTTTTACAATTCGACAATAAATTTCTCAATATAAAGAATAGAATTAAATTTTTTTTTATGTGATGAAGAAATCGAAACGCAACGCACAATCGAAAAGAAGTTTTGATTATACTCATGACTCGACTGGGAGCAGCGGCAGCAGCAAAAGGCAAAAAGAAGGCTTAACTTTCGGCGCCAACATTGAACAAGATGAGAACAATCGCATATGAGCAAAAGACGATCCCGACGCTCATAAATCACTTCGCTATCCTATTGTGAAAAAGCTAAGAAGATTCAACTTCCTCTTCTTGTGGAGTTCCACGAGTTATTATCAAGAAATTCATTCGACAAAATAGTTTTTAATCATTTGCTTTAAAATGTTTGCAGCCAAAAACTTTTGGAAATTGAAATTAATTAAAAATTTCTTATCATTGTTGATTCTCTCGCCAGGCGTTTGATGCTGAAAAGAACGATAAATCCGAATGTGAATTTTATTTTAGCATCATATCGAGTTCAACAATGAGAAGGGATTTGATGGGACTTAGGTCACAGTGGGAAAGTGATTCGGAATTTTTGATGCTGTCAAGAAAGGTAAACTTGCGAACAAACTTCTAATTTATTTTGAAAATCTTCATTAAAATTTTAGTTTTTAATTTTGTGAAACTCCTAAGAGGTTGAAACTTTTCTTATTTATCGTAACTCTAAGCTTTAATTAAATTTCATCAAGAATCGAGAGTAGGTCAAACTTGTCTTTATTGCATTACGTCACTTGTCATCGACCCTTTATAATCTTTTCCGAAAATCCCTAATTTTCTAGAAAAATAAAAACTTTCTTAATTGAAAAATAATTTTCAGTGGAAAAGGGAAGATTTAAAGGAACGTAATCGTTATCTTGGAATGAAAATTTACAAAGATGTGGATTTAGTTTGTGCTAAATTCATTTTTTGTCTTTCACTAATGGAAAGTTTCAATTTTCTTAGACATGTGCATCGTTGGGTAAACTACAAGAAGCAACAAAGGTTTTCGTTTTCTGAAAGAAAATTGCATTTCTATTTATTCCTCCATTTAATTCAAACTTAAACAATGGATATCTTCTAAATGGGGTAAACTTGAAAGGAAATAGCAAAATGTACTTTTCATTGCATTCAGAAGAAAATCAGTGAAAACGATGAACGAAAAGTTTTTTTTTTTGAAATGTGTTTGCGTTGCTTTTGAAACTGGTCGGATTTTCAGCTTTTGCTTGCAGTAAAATTTCTGCTTACATGCACATTCAAAATTGCACAAATCGAAAGACGGCAGAATTAAGCGAAAAAGTTCTTTGTTAATGTTCAGCTGAAATCTCGTGTAGTTAAACGTTTATTGTTAATTCAAATATCAGGCTGTGATTTCAATCACAATTTTGTTGAAATGTTTGAATTTTTGTGATTTAAAAAGGAGTTTTTCATGACTCCACGTTTTTCCTCATGTCGATTAAAGTTTCTTAAAGCATTTTCTTTTTCTATTTCTTCAATAAGAATAAATTGAAAACAGTTTCGAATCAACATGAATCGCAGCATTAAACTGATCACAGCTTTTAATGAGATTCCTTTTATTTCTTCATTTCCATTCATTCAAAAGAAAATGAAAAGATTCTCATTTACTGCCCAGAAGATAAAAGAAAATCTCAAGATCATCAACTGAGCTCGTTTCTTTTCTTCACTGTTTGCAAATTCAACAGTTTTATTCATGTTATCGGATAAACGACATCGAATTATCCTAACTCAATGCTTCACCTGGAAGAAAGGAAAAGAGAAAAGTTAGTAAATCGAAATGATGATAAAAGATTACCAACAAGAAATGACATAAAAGAATTGTGAACGGTTAATGAAACATATTTAAGCGGAAACGTTGCATCGTTAAGTCGTTGATGAAGGCATAAAACAAAACTGCTTCAAAGTGTTTTCATTTCCTTTATCTGAACATTGAGAAAACAAACGAAGTGAGGAAAAAAGAAAATTTAAACCGGAAAAGCTTTTTTTTTCTCAAACCGATTATGTTGAGTGAGTGAAAACGAAAATTCGGACAACGACAACGAGTTGAAAGCTTCGGAAAAAGGAAAAATATGGAAACCGTAAGTAGAAACGTTGAAATTGCTTCTCAATACTTTGGTTACGATGAAAGTGTTGATAAAAAAGGGTCATGGATTAAGAATTTGTTTTCCCAGCTGTGGGACTTGCATTCAATTACCCAACACACGATACTAACGACGAGCAATTGACTAGTTTTTGTTTCCATTTGCCATCAGCAGCCATTAAGGTTGAAAGAGATAAAGTTGCATGCGATAGACGAGAATTGGAAGCGACATCATTTTCGTTCGTTTAGCTTTTTATACGCACAACCAAAAGTGGATTCATTTTGCTTATTAATCCCAAACCCCCGTGTGATTCCAACTGCCTATGTTGAAATGACTTTTTTTTACTTCTTTATATCTTCGTTTCATTTATGGATGCTCCATGTGATAATGCTATGAGTAATCATTTAGAAAAATGAGATACAATTTGGAGGAAATGACATTAGGGATGAATGAAGGTGTTGGGCGTTTTTCGTTTTGTATAAGCTTCTTCGTTTTATTATGTCATTAGTATCAATTTATTCACTTTGCCTTTTGACTCAGTGTCGAGGCCCAGTGTGTCGGGTTTGCTTATTTGATGAAGAGCTTCAATCAGTGATTTTGCAAAATTTATTTAAATGGCAAACATTACGAAAGCTTGATAAAAGCAATTTTTATTTATAGAAACTCTCCACAGAATTAAAACATTTTTGCCAAACATTCATAAACAAATTAAGAACTTTTCATGCATGAGCTAATGAAGTTGGCTCAACAATTCACTCGAAATAATTATCAGCGAAAACTTATCAACGCGTTAAATTCTTTGACATGAGTTATGTGAATTAACAAGAATTCCTCTGACGCTCAAATGTCATAGAGTGAAGTTGGAATTTCCTCTAATTAAAAAACCAAAAGCACTTTGAAAGTAGTTTTATTAAATTTACCTCATGATGCGAGAAAAACATTTTCTTTTGATTCCTGCTATGTCAATGAATATTTCAAAGCTTTCAAAGTGCTTTTTGTTTGACACTAAAAAAGTTTTTTATTTCAATTAAAACCAACGCAATTAGATTCAAAACTTCAATTGACATTTCTTTTGCTTTGAGCTTACAACTATTTACATTGAGTTTGAAAGAGCTTTAAATTAAGATGATTGCAATGGAAATGAGGAAATTGCTTTCATTTCTAAGTGTCTTATGTTATCAATAACATTTCCCCTTTTTTATTTGTAAAAGGAACCTCGAATGGAGAAATGAAAAGCTTTCTGTTTGATCAGTGAATTAACTCAATTACTTTTCTAACTGAATGATATTTTCATTTATAATTTCCTTCTTCTACATCTCGATTTGGTTCGAGTTTTGGAACATCGAAAGATTTGAATTAAATCAATCAATTCGACATTGAATAATTCACCTTCAATTCAGATCTTCTTTTAAAAATTCACAACATAAAACTTTGATAAAGATGAATTGGAAAAGATAGGAAGATGGGAAGATGAAAAACGAGCTTAATGCATCTTACCAAAAAAGAAAAAAAAATAAGTAGAAAATCGTATAAATTAAAGTAGATTATCGCAATCTATGCCTCGAGTTTCTTCTCGCTTTTCTTTGCCAGTTAATATAAGTTATTAGCCCATGAAACGCTTCCATTATCTGCATGGAATATGCTGCTGCTTTTCCTTTCAATTCACTTCTTTTTTCTTTTTCTTTTGCTACTTTCTTATCTGCCACGTTTTTCTCTCCATCACATAAAATTGTAAAAAAGTGATCTTGAATTTTAATGAATTTTGAATGAAGAATATAAAAGCGTCTGTCGGAAAAGAACGAGCTTTCAACATCAACGACAAATTGATTTGCATCGACGATATTATCATTGAAAAAATAATTTCAAGATAAAGCAGAATCTTGAGGAGAAACATAAAAAGCTTGTTTTATAAGTAGATGGATGTATGATAGCAAGGATGAAGCTAATATTCAAATTATATCCATGCCGTCATGTGAAGGCATAAACCAACTTTCATATTTTTACTACGTTTCTAGTTATCAAGCAAAGCTTTTCCAAACGATAAAAAAGCAAGAGAATCATGATGAAAATTTAAAGAATCGTTTCACTCAAATGACTAAAAGGTAAATCACAAAAGTAAGAGAAAAATTCAAGTCATAAACGTTAACAAAATCTGTGGATCTTTAGCAAGATTTGCTTTCCTTCCAGTAAAATTAAGTTTTTCAGGAGAAGGTCAAAGATTATTATAAGCAGAAGGTTTCATGAAAAATATTCAGTTTTAAGGTAAAGTTTTAAAAAATCTTAAATTTCCACAAGCTTAAAAGTTCTCATCCTGATTTTCACAGTCTGTGCATTTGTTTTGGAATTCTTTTCCATGTCATAAATAGAGATTTCCCATCTGACTGAGATCTACTCCCACAATGTTAGCAAATAAAGCAGCGAAATGATAAATATTATATAAAGCTCTATGATATTCATCTTTATAAGTTTCGAGACAAGAATCTTTTGCATTTTTCAGTTAAGTTGTCTTTGTATAAATATGTTGACCTTTTTCCTTGCTTCGTGCTTTTTTCTTTGACGTTGTTGCTTCGTTTTGCTTCTCAATCTCACTCACTTACCTTCTTTCAGCTATCTTTGAGGAAAAAACACTCAAAGCATGAGAAATTTAAATTAAATCTCAAACCAAAACAGGTGCTTTAAACGATGCTGTGTTGAACAATGGAAAAGCATTTTAGACAAAGTAATAGATTAAAACTTTGAGGTTTGAGATCATCTACGAGGCGATTTAATAATAGAATTACTTTGTGGCATTAGATTTTCAAAATCCACTTTCATTCTTGTAACGTTGAAGGTAATTAATATCCAAAATTATCTGACTTAAAACCATAAATTCTCATCAACCACCATCCGCATATTAAAGCCGTGTCTTCGTGATCTACAAAACTCCCCTTCGCTCTATCTTTCTTTCCGCATTTCTGTCTGGAACGTTAAGATGAATAAATATGAACAAAAGTTCTTTTCTTCCTTCCGTTTTCGAAACGAAAAATTCCTTCAAGCTAAAAAAGCTTTTCTGGAAGATATTTTTCCTCTCGTTTAGGATCATTTAAAAAATCTCAATCTCTTAATATGGTTGTCTCGAGTAAAAAAAGGCAGTTTCCATTTCAATTGTGTCGGCTTTTAACCCCTGAGGCGCTTTAGCGAAAGTTAAGATAAGACACTCTAAGAAAAGGCAATAAAAATGTTCCATCATTGTCTGATAACGCGTGTAAAGACTTTCTTCTCACACCATCACGTTTTCTATACATTTCAATTGAATCACAATTTATTTCATTCAATGTTCAATCGTATTTACTTTTTTACGCTTTCTGAACAACAAACGATATGCGAGAAATCACATGGAGAGGTAAATGGTAGCCTTGCTGCCTTAATAAAGATGAAACTTTCCTTCTTTCCTAAACTCTTGAAAGCTTCGAAAGCGATCCAGGACGTAATGAATTTATTTTTTTAGGTCCACACGCATTTGTCTGTTCGAAGAACAATCTTTTGCCCCGGTTATCAAGCAAAATTGTGTGGGCGGATAAATGGGCCTAAGACGAATGTTTATCGACACAACGTTTTCATAATAAATAATTCTCAAGATTTTCACTTTTTTCTCTCAAGTTTCCTTTCAGCTGACGCCTGTGTTCGATAATTTATTAGAATTTTTATTATGATCATCAATTTAATTTCCACGCCCAAGCCCATTCTACTGACTCTTGCCCTTGCTCAATATTAGAATAATTTTTTAACAAAAGTAAATTACATGGCTCGCTTGCATAGCATACTTTTCACCTTCCATCTAATTTATGGTTCAATTTTAAATATATTTATATTTTTCTTCTGTTACCAACCACCACCATGATTATGGAAAATGAATAAACAGGTTTTTCCACCCTCGCAATTTTCTCGCGACACCACCTGAAGAAATTATAAATGGTGGATGATAATAAAGATCAAAACAAGTAGACCATCATCATTTATCAAACAGATTCTTGTGCACCTTAGCGAGGGTTTCAGCTTGATGCCTGCTTCCAAAATGCTTAGTCATGAATAAATTTAAATGGGAAATTTAAGTGGTGTGAGCTGGAAGATTCTATTGAAATGGAAAATTAAAGTTCCGCGGGAGGTAATTAAAGAGAAATCTTCCATTATTGACCGATTTGTCACCATCATTCTGTTTATTCGTTGCTTTGGATATACAAATCTCTCTTTTAACAGTTGAGTTGCTTTGTCAGTATTTCTAGTAAGTTTCCCAAGAAGAGATTTAGATGAACATACAAAATAAATCACTGGTGAAAATTAAGCAAGTATCAGATAAAATTATGAACAATTACATAAAGAATATCAATCAGAAATAAGATTTTCCTTCTGATTCAAATGTTGATTAATATCATTTAATTAGTTCACCATCATGAACATTTCTAATTTATCTCTTGTTGTTTGGAGTTAAATATATATCTAAGGAAACAACTCTTTGCTGAATGATTTTCTATTATTTCAGTTCAAAATGTAATCGATTTTCAATTTAATCGAGCAAATGTCGACGTTGAAGGAAATTTGCATAAATCACAACCCTCTTTCACTATAATGGAACATGAAGACGAGCAACAATTGTTCTAATCTCTTCTCCATCGCATCCATTCGTTATTTCAATTGAAACGATAGCATGACATAGAGAAATCAACTAGAAATTGAAAATCGATACGAGAATTGATTTTATTACATTCATTGGATATTGAACAGAGATGTTAAATCTTTTACTTTACTGTTTCATGCTTGTTTGTGAATAAAAGCTTTTAATAAATCACTTGACAGGAAAAATTTATCCAATCTACTAAAAACATAAAAATTGTCACTTTATCATCTCTGAAACTTCAACATATCGCAAGTATTTTTATCTCTTTAGGTCATTGTGCTATGAGAAGGAATCAAAGGGTCGATACGAGGCGACCCTTTCCTTTGTTCTATTCTATTCATGGAAACAATCATATAGCAATATCCTCGAAGAACAATAAATTGATTGCAATTTAACCTTTTTAATTGTATTCACATGAACGTAGCCTGTTTGCCTTAGGCGGAATAGCAAACTATAAATTTACTCTCATATATCCGGAATTTTATTGGATTCAAGGTAGGAAAAGAGGAAAAAGAGGTGGAAATGAGAAATTCAATTTATTTGTTGCCTCAAACGATGAGCTTTCATTTGTTGTCGTAAGATTGTAAGTAAGTAAGTGAATTCTCAACTCATCTCATCCACTTTTGTTTCGATTATGTTTCGAAGGCAAAACTTTACAACTTTAAACTGAAAATTGTCTCATGAAGAAATCTCAGAATCGAACTATGCTATGTTCTGCTTTCAATCAAGCTCTTGGATGTTTCTAACAGCTGAAATGTGTACATAAAAGCTTTTCATGAAATTTTGTCACGCAAATAAAGCTTAAGGCGGGTTGAAAGTTTTTCCGCATACATCAGTGAACATGGTAAATGCTTTAAGCCGAGCAAGTCATCGCTTACGTAACTGCTGATGTCAAATTATGTGAATTGTGAATGTGTATGCTCGGTTACGTAGATATTTATGTGATTTTATCCGATATTTACATTTTTCCACATTGCTTCACTACGAGAATTAATCTTTCATAAGTTTTAAAGTTGAACCAGTATCGTAGCTATAAATCGACATTCGTCTGGCATTCATTCGTATTCTGATTAAATTTTTTATATCCTTTTAACTTGTTATTTTCTGATCAAAATTACATGCTCAATATATCTTTAATGATATCATGAATAAGTTGATTGGGGTTGAAACTGTTGGAAGCTTGTTTGACACAGCTCTGAATTTCAAGTTTAATCATCATGTCTACATATTCGACATTTTGAGAATCTTTTGACTTTTACATACTTAAAGTAATTTAATATAAATGCCAACATGTTTCTTTCGCTTCGAGTGCCTGATAAGGCAGGGAAGAAGAAAAATGTTTCAAGAAAGAGATACAAATCGAGTACGAATCTTTGTTTACGCTTGTTAATTAAATTTTAATTAACAATTCTGCTATGTGTACACATTCTCAAATATTTATCGTTCTCGTTTCTATTATACAAATAGAGGATATGAAAATTGCATGACTGAATTTTATTTGATCTGAAACTTGTGTGATTGGAAATTGTTTCCCAGAAATTCTTCTACTTTTCATAACAAAGTAAATAATTTTCAGATTTTCTTTATAGATTTCAAGAAATTTCCAGGTCAAGTAATTTTTGGCGCAATATTTTCTACATTCTCTCGTCTCAACCATTAGCAATTTTCTTCCATTTTCTGTTCTGTTTGATTTACAACCATTTCACATGTGCTTTCTATTACCGGAGATTCTTTCTCTCTCTATTCTGTTTTTCTTTTGAAAAATATCTTGGGGCAGAGGAAGAAAAAGAAACTTTGAAAGTGCTTTTATTACGCGTTCCTTTTTTTTCTTCCCTTGTTCTAAAACGTCTTATTATGCTCAGGAGCATTTGAATGGAAAGCTTTTTAGAGTCACTCAACGGCAAAGTTTCATTAGATTTTAATGTTTTACTTTTTTTTCTTTACGTTGCCTTGCCAAAAGCAACCTCGCAAGCAGCGATGGAAGAAATTTAAACACATAGATGTATAGAATAAGATACAGAACATGATGAAAGTAGAAAGTTTAAGCGCCCGTATCTTTTTACTTTCCGCTCACGAAAGAAAGTTTAATGAAAATTCATTTGTTTCCAAGACATGAAATGTTTTTCACTAAACACTTTGAGAAAAGAATTTATTTGGGAACAAAGAATTGGTCGAAAGAAGGAAAGTTAGAATTGATGAAACAACAAGTTGAGCAGAGCGAAAAGTTTTAGAAAATTTCATTTGAGAATATTTTATTTGGGATGGATTGCTACAAGTTCTTCAAAGGCTTTAAGAGTTGTAAAGCTTGTTGAAGTTTGAAGCCTCGCAAGATGTCTTAAAATGTTTTATTCTTCTACGGTTTCATTTCCTCTCACATTAAAATTTCTTGAACATCAAATTGTCTTGGGAATAAATTTAATAAAATCAAAAACAATTAAATGAAAATGCTTTTTCTTAATTCTTCAAATTAAACTTATCACTTGTCTCTTGCAATAAAAACGAAACTTTTTTGCTTGTTTCTTTGAATAAACTAATTTAACGTCCATTGAATTGAAGAAGCGTTGCATCTGGCTTCTGTTTCTTTCCTTAAATTCTTCCTTTTTTCTTGTCTTCTCAGATGAAAAATTCAAGCAAGAAATAAAGCAAGAAAACTCTTATCGATGCAATGAGAAATTGCCATTTTACTAAGCAGATTTTTCTTGCTTCTCTCGTTGATTCTTTAATTTATTTTTCAATGTTTCACTGTTCGATTCCAGCTCTTGAAGGAATTTCTTTTATCTCGGACGTTTAGCTCCTTCAAAGTTCAACAATTGAGTTGCTGGAAGCTTTCAGAATCAACTTTTCTTGCTTTTTCAACCTTGACGTAATATGGAATCAAACAGTTGCAATTTGAAACTGTCGCTTAGTGATGCTTTTTGTCATTCTGTTTAATCCGATGGAAGCATGAGTAGCAAAAGAAAGAAAAAACTGTTTAACAAGCACAAAAGAATCGAAAAATGAGAATCTTGGAAATCTTTTTTTGTTACTGATAACTTCTTCTTAGACATACACAGCCCAGCTATAAGTTTTATGACTTGACTTTCATCATGATAAAGCAAATACTGAGATTGTAAAGAAGAAAATGTGAAAGCTTTCCGACTGGGTTACAAATGTCGAACATTCACAAATCGAAAATATGTAATAAAGGAAAGCTCTACATTCTCCTTCGAAGTATAACTTTATTGTCAAGTATTTCTATCTGAAACATCAATCTCATACTTACTTTCGCAATGCTTCTTTCCTATTTCCAGAGAAGTCAAATTGACGATGTTAAAGTCTGCTGATATTTCTGAATGGGTTGTGATGTAGACCATCAACATTAGTTCCTTTTAAAAAGAAGCGTAAAAATTGTAAAGAATTTTAAACGATCACTTTTCATTATGTTTTTAACAACCCTGCTCAACTATCTTCTTTTGATATCGAAATAAAGAAAAGAAAAAAAAGAAAAACTCTTTGAAAAATGACGTTGAATGACTGGAAAATGAGATCATAAAATTAAAAGCTCCTTAGCCTTCCCCGCCCACGCTTCTAAATGATAAGCTTAAAAGCTTAATTGTGTATGTCAAATAAAAAATATCTTCTTAAATCTTTTTGCTTTTGTTTGTTGTCATTTTTCACAGTTTTTGGCAAGAGCTCCTTATTTTTCAAGAAGGAGAAAACACTCTCACATACACATCAATTTCCATCCAGACATTCACTGAAGATGGTAAACGTAAAACCGAAGGTTGCAGCTTTAAAAAGAGTAAGAAATATTTTGTAAACCTTTAATCTTCTTAACTTGAAAGCTTCAAAAATAAAATAAAAGAGAAAAAAAAATGCTTGATAGCAGATGTTAACAGATTTTGACGATCTTCCAATTGCTACCGCGTTTAAAAATGATTCAAGAATTGCTCCATAAATTATTCATGAATGGATTACAACAGAACCCGTCAATTTTAGAGAGAAAACTTTGTACTGCTGTTATGAAAGTTGAGTTTTCAGCTGACCTAAATAATAAGGCTTTACTATGAAACTTTTAATTAAAGTCGAATTCTGTTTTTAGAACTTTCCATCATGACAGTTTCGTGTTTAATAGTCAATCAATAAAGCACGGGAAAATTTAAAGTGGAAAACAAGTTACACCTGCGGGGCCGTTGAGGTTTAATAAGCTTCCAGATGACAAAATGAAAGGTGAGATTAACTTCTTATCTTTTGTACCTTTTCTCCTTCCATTTTGTGTTCTTATTTACATTATTTACACGAAGACTTGACATTGAGAGCTTCGCAGAAGCCTCTTTATCATCAACAGTTATGATGCCTCGTGCTTCTCATCTGCAAAACAAAAGTTTAAAGAAAATATGGTGAAAATATGTTTTTCCACCCTCCACCACGCTTCGTTGTCATAAATTATTCATTAAAAGTAATTTTCTCGAGAGCTTCTAAAGTTTGATTGATACTTTTATTATTTGCTTTCTCTCGTCGGTGCCTTCTTGCAAAGCAATGTCACGGTGATGAATCCATCATATTTTAAAGGGCCGCCAGTCTTATCATTGAAAGTGAAAAAATTTTATTTTTATCTTTTTCAATACCGTCTTCGATTTTTAACGATAACTTCACATCATGTGAATTTTCCTAGAATTTCCACTGGAAAATTCGCTCTCACTTTAAAATTTTCCCTCTCTTTTCCTTTATTTACGAACAGATAAGAAGATTTAATATTTTGATATCAATTACTGATGAAATTGATGAAAATATGTTTTTCTTAAAATCAATTTTCCAGAAAATATTTACTTTCTAAACTTCTAAGAAGAATTTTAATTGAATTCAAACTTTGCACATCTTTTTTAAAAGCGTCTAATTTCCTTCCTAAAGTATTTCCTTCTTTTTATCCGCCTTCGGCTCTTAAGTAAAGAAACGAATGAATGCATGTGACTAAGCGAAAGAAATACCGGAAAATGAATTTTCACGTGGAAAATTTTTATCTTCAATACTGTCAAAAAAATAAAGAACCGCATCGAATCTTTTGTCTTATGTTTAAAAGGCTGAAAGCTGAATAGAAAAAATATTGCAAACCTCATTGCACGTTCCAAATAATTCCTGATGACGCTTTTATTTTTTCTACCCAATTCCATTTTTTCAAACTAAATTTTCCGGTTGTCCAATTTTTCTGCGACACGAAAGGGAAGAAAAACTAACATTGAGAGAGGGAAATTTATGCTTTTCCCTTTCAATCTATAATGCTATCCACTATCGATACCTGATTCGGTTTTAAAATGCCATTCTCATACATATTTGACTTTATTTGAAAGAAAAAAAGAAAAACGTGGAGAAGTTTGTTTGAGACATCATCACAAGGGTGAGAGTTGGGGGAGTAAAAGGGATAAAGATTTTCATAACATAAAAATAAGAAGATTCTTCAGAGAGTTTAAACTAAATGGAACATTGATGAAGAATCCCTCGCTTAAACTTTCTTACTCACCTTTGTGGATATGATGAAAATTGAGTTTATCGAACAAATTTGATCGAATATTGAACCTGGTGCAAGTTGTGGGTGGTGTTTATAACTTATTATACACAAAACCCGTTGCGTGGATATTTCTAATTCATAACCAAAACGTAATCTATGCATGATCTCTCCCCTTTAACCAACTAATGTCTTTCTTATTCCCATTGTTGTTCAATTTGAAATGCTGAAGAATTTTTTTGTTTTATGAAATCGATAAGAATCTTCGTCATGACATCAAAATCTGACCTAAATTTTATTGTGATGTTGTAAGAGGAGTTTCCCCCTTTTTCTAACAACATTTATTTCTATTTTCGAAATATCATGATCACTGTTTGATTTAGGTAAATGAAAATTATTTATAGACAACGCGGCACTTATTCAACCGATTGATAATCGTTTTCTACAATTCATGATGCAACAAACACCTGTAAACAATAAATTCATAAATAATTAATAAAGAAAAGTTGTAAATTCTTTTTCAGCTCTTTATTTCTTTCCTTTTAGTTCCAGACGCTTAACAAAGTTTTTCATTCCCTGAATCTTAATCCAACAATTCTCAAAAATACATTCAGAGCTTAGCAGCGCTTACAAAAGTTTATATTTTTCAGTTTTTTATTGATTTTTTCTCTTTTTTGCTTAATTTTTTTTCTTTGTTCCTTGCTTTCGATTCGTAAAAAAATTGTTTATCATTCTTATTTAATGTGGGGGAGGCGCGTTATAAAGTTCATAAAGAAAATTTCTAAGTTTTCTTCTTCTTCTTTTTTAAATAAGTTTCATCAAATGCACGACTTTCTTCCCTTCCTACTGACATTAAAATTATCGAACTTAAAGTAAATATCAGAAAACTTCGTGATCGTCGTGGTTTATTTGAAGAACAGCAAACATGGAAAAAAAAGATTCGCGCTAAAATTTTTTTCTTTCTCATTTTTCATTTTTTCCCGAAAACAAAAACTTGAATTATAAATTTTAACAGAAAATTCATAGTGAAAACAAAAAAAAAAGATTCCTCTGTTAAATGAAAACAAAAGAAACTTCGAGGTTGTTCCTATTTTTTGAGATTTTTTTCAGTTAAGGATTTTTCTCATTTGTTTTTCGATTTTTTTGTATATTTTTGCAAATTTTTTGTTTTTTTCATGTATTTTTGGATTTTTCATTATTTTTTTTTCTTGCTAAAAAGTTGTTATTTAGTCGCGTGATCCGTTGCATATTGTTTTGTCGTCTTTTTTTTCATAACGATTTTTATTATTTTTAATATTTTCTTTTCATGTTTTTTATGTTTTGCAATTTTTTTGGATTTTATGTTTTTAATTTTTTTTTCTTTTCATTTTTATGATTATTTCAAAGATTAATTCAATATTCTTCTCGCTGAATGAATGCTGGTTTCTTTATTTTATTATTTTATTTTTTCTTCATGATGGAAAACTTTCGAAAATTTATTCGCCAATCTTCGGGTTGGTGGATTTCTGTTGATGAACATGTAAGACAGCAACAGCTTCTTCAACTTTCGATTTCAATGATTCATTATGTTCCAACATGTGCAACAATTCCGAATTATCAATCTCCAACAACATTCCAGTGATCTTCCCAGCTAAAGCAGGATACATTGATTCAATCAATGGGAACAAACGTTCTCCAAGCATTTGTTTTTGTTCAGCTGGTTGAGCAGCAGCCAACATGCTTGCTGTCAACGGTTCTTGCCCTTTAACGACCACAGCTTGTTGTGCTGTTGGTTGAACCGGCATTGGGACACTTTGTGGTGGATTGCGCATGTTTTGAGTGTACTTATAGTTTGGCGCACCACGCTGTGTGACTGGAGCATTCAATCCACGTCCTGGTTGGATTTGACCAGCAGCTTGTTGTCCAGTGATTGGACGTGCTGAGTTACGCAAAGCAGCTGATGGATTTTGAGCGCCAGCAGGAACTTGTTGACCACGAGCAACGCCTGGACGGTACTGAGTACCACTTGCAACCATGTTTGGATATCCAGCAGCATTTTGAGCGACATTTTGACGCACTTGAGGTTGATTTGCCCATCTTGGAGTCGTGCGAATTGGAGTGATTGCTGGCCCGTAGAAACGTTGTGGCTGTGGAATTGTTGGAACAAAGTACCCTCCAGCACTTCCAGGCTGGAAGATTTGCCCCATTTGTTGCATTCGCATGTTATTCATACGCTGAGTGTATTGTGAAGCCAAATGAGCTTTGCGATCTTCTTTCTTTTGTGCTAAAGCAACATACAATGGTTTTGACCCAACAATACGCCCGTTCATCTCTGTGACTGCTTTGGTAGCTTCTTCAGCAGCTGAAAAGCAAACGAATCCAAACCCTTTCGAGCGCCCATCTTCCAACATAACTTTAGCACTTGTTATGGTTCCGAAAGGTGTAAATTCCTTTCTCAAACGCTCATCATCAATAGAATCATCGAGATTCTTTACGTATAAGTTGACACCTTGATAACGAGACATTCTTTCGATTTTAATTTGTTCAAATTTGCGTTTGAGCTCCAATTGACGTTCATATTTCTTTTGTGCACGTCCTACGTACAAAGTTTTATCATCGCCCAATTTCTTTCCATTCAATGCTTTAACAGCTTCTTCAGCGGCATCAGCTGATTCAAATGCGACAAATCCAAAGCCACGAGATTTTGCATCCTTGGTCATGACACTATGACTTGTGATTTCACCGAAAACTTTGAACATTTCATAAAGTGACTCATCGTTGAGTTCATCTCCAAAGTTCTTAACATAAACATTTGTATATAATCTTGCCTTTTCGCCTAATTCCTTCTCGCGTTCCTTACGTGGAATGAATCTTCCAACGAAGACTTTCTTTTCATTCAACAACATTCCTAAAATAAAGCAGAAAACAGAAATTAGTTATCGTGGTTTGTAAATGTAAAGTGCTCATTGAATATTTACCGTTTACTTTATCAATGGATAAGTTTGCTGCTTCTTCAGTTTCGAAATGGACAAAACCGTAACCTTTTGAAGCTCCAGTTTCATCTTGAGCGACCTTGCAGCTCAAAATATTACCAAATGCTGAAAATGTGTCGTACATAGCCTTGTTGTCAATCGATTTGTCCAAGTTTTTGATGAATACATTTCCAACCCCAGATTTACGAAGAGATGGATCACGTTGGGACCACATAATACGAATCGGACGGCCTTTAATCAAATCAAAGTTCATACTATCCAGGACACGTTCAGCTGTTTTACATAACAAGAAATTAAAGAAACAAAGAAAAATATTAAAAGTTATTTCCTAGTTCATATTTCAGACTTTCACTTCCAACAGAAAAAAAAAGAAAAAAAAATTGATTGCAAATCGAGTCATGAAAAAATTCCGCTTGAAATGCACTAACACTAAAGCATTATGCAGTCGCATATATAAATATCTAGAATTATGAATGTGTTGGTAAACAAAAAAAAGTGGAAAAAAATTATGAAATTCCATTCAACGAAGGAGGCCTTGAACTGGATTTAAATCCGCTAACAATCTTTTTAAAAGACTGTACCTAATCCTTAGGATATGAATATGAAAGATAAGCCTTAAATATACCATTTTCCAGGTAGAAAATTTAGGTTTCTTTTTGAAGAAGCACATGGCCTTAATAGCGTCGAAAAGATTGATAAGAAATGAGACTCACCATCAGCAGGTTGCTGGAAGTTGACGTAGGCGTAACCTAATGAGCGACGAGATATAACGTCACGGCAGACGCGAATCGAGAGAACTGGTCCAATTGCCGAGAACTTCTCAAATAACATCGCCTCGGTGATGTCAGCATGTAAGTCACCAACATAAAGAGAAGCCATTGTTTGCTAGATGAAAGGGATTACACGAAAAATCTATTAAATGTTATCAGGAATTATCGGCAAGGCGTTGCCAACTCACTTTATGCTCTTTTTTTCACTTCTGACACGTTTCAAACTGAATCGGAACAAAATTAGAAAGCGAAGATCAGCACGCGAGATTTTTCAGCTTTTTGAGGATATTACTCTAGCTTTTATATCTTTTTTTAATATTTTTAAGTTTTTTTATATTTTTTTGAATTTTTTTTTATATTTTTACGCACAAAAATTAAATTAAAATGTGCTTTTTTTGTAGAAGAAATTTTCTACGACGTTTCAAGTATGCTCTAAATCGCGACTGAGATGCAATATGGCTACGAACTTCAGCACTTGTAAAAAGTACTGTAAAACTTCGACTTTATTTAAATTTTCTAGGAACGTTGAAACATGCTGTCAGTTTTACATTACCCCTTATGCGTAACATTCTGTAAAATTACATACAAAACCCCTTGTGCGTTATATTCAAAAATCGTTTCCCTCTTCTTATTCATTTCGACAGCATTCGCATTAACAGTCGTTAGCTCAAAGAAAATAGACGTAAAAGTCAGAAGTGATTCTTTAGTGAAAAGAAAAAAGCGGTAAGTTGTCAATTTTCTTAATTACATTAAGTATTTTTGCTATACTGATAAATAAGACTCGATTTAAATAGTTTTTATTAAAAATGTGAAGAAAGTGAATACTTCCTTAAGAAGGTTTGAAAGAAAATAAATATTTTTTTTTATTTTCTCATACATACAATTTGATGCTCAAGCCATTTTGTATGAAGAAAAGAACGCTTCGCTTTGAAATTTTTTCTTTCATTCACGTACACATATCGCTTGTTTACATTCTTCTCTTCTGTTCATAGCAAAGCAAACGTAACCGATTCTTGTTCATCATTTAATGCTTTTTTTCGTTGGTACTTGAAAATTAATTTATTTTTATCAATTTTTTTTTCCTATAGTATTAACAATAAACAATGGCAGAAAAACCAAAGCGTCCCCTTTCAGCATATATGTTGTGGCTCAACGAAGCTCGCGACAAGATTAAGCGCGAAAATCCTGACTTCAAAGTAACGGAAATCGCAAAGAAGGGAGGTGAATTATGGCGTAACATGAAGGATAAGAGCGAATGGGAGGCCAAAGCAGCTACAGCCAAACAAAACTATATCAAAGCACTCCAGGAATATGAGCGCAATGGTGGCGGTGGAGAAGAGAAAGGAAGCAAGAAGCGCAAGGGAAAAGCATCAGCAAAAACTACAAAGAAAAGCAAAAAAGGAGCATCAGAAGATGACGAAGACGAATCAGATTAAATCAATTGACCTCAGGCCATTATTGGGATCCTAAGATCCGGAAAATTTTGGATCTCAATATTTAAAATAATTATCAAGCGACCCACAGCTCCACAGAACCTCATTAACTCTCATTGAAATGCTTGTCGTTTTTTCATAATTTTAGTGCATAAACATAATTTCAATCTACCTTTCATTATATTTAAGAAAAATAATTCTCGTTGTTTCAGTGAGAATTAACAAAAAAAAATTAAATGAATAATTAATATAATTCTTATTAATCTTAGAAAAGGTAAAACAAAAACTTTAACAATAATACAAAATACTTTTTTTTGTAGGAATTAATATTTGACGCTTTATTTTTTGTGTAGTAGGAAAAATTTGAATAAACAAAATGTACAAATTACATTTAAGAAAATTGTCTTTAAATTTTTTATAATAACAGGAAAAATTACTTACAAATTAAAAATGGTCGAGCGACGTCACAAAGTGTTTACATACAACATAAAACGTAACATTTATTTTCTTAAAACAAAATAAAAATTACCAAAAATATTCTTCAGATCCCTTAAAACATTTCCTTGCAGCGACATATGCTATATGAAAAACCGTTATGAATTGTTCCATTGCAACCAGCAATCTAATGTAATGACAACCAACCAACTTTTATCGATTTCTGACTTCATTTTGTTTTTCGCCCTCTCGTGATGTACGTAAAAAATCTGAGACAATATTAATGCGTCGTAAGCAAATGATTAACCAGCTGCCAATTGAGTTTTCCAGCTCCACTAAAAACCTTTCTGATATTAAGTACTCAGAAGTTCATTCAAACCCCATACATACATGCACCACACAGTTTGTTCTCAATGAAAAAATTTCTATAAGGCGAGCTAAGCGCTTCCATATTTATGAAAAATCGCAAAAATTTCAATTAAAATGGAAACGTCGGCCATTGAATACTACGGCAAAGTTTCAGCATTCAAGGCAAGCCACCACTTTCGCGAAGGAATCTGGTGCTGACATTCCCATTTTCTGAACAAACTATACGAAAAATCTGAAAGCGCTAAAGGAAAATTTCTACCAAAGCCATTTGTCGAACAAAAATTTCATTTAGTTCATTTTATATGGAAGCCTTTTGCTTTGAAGCATCATTCAGACCGTAGTACAGTCGCACAAAATAGAAGAAAATACACGAGAAGTATGTGTTGAAGCGTGTATCTACATATGTAAGGAAATGTTAGTGCGCGTGTAAGACACAATTTTTTTTCTGAGGCGGATAATGCTAACGGATTCTGAACCATTTCGCAGCTTTAATTGCAATTAATGACTCGGATGGCTCACCAAGGTATAGCAAAGGGATGTGGGATTTTTCTTAGACATGGCAGAAATGTTTCCACATCATTAGATTGCCAAGCATCGGTTGAAAGTTTATATGCTTTTTTAGAAAATCGATTTATATGGAAATGAGAGGTATTCGTAGAGACACCAGTGGGGAGAATCTAAAATTAGGGACATTTTTTGAGTTGCCTAAATAATTGAAGAAAATAAGATTTTCAAAAATTGTTCCCCTGTATCTGAAACGCATAAATAGGTAATTTATGAAAATCACAGCAAAACTTCGATGTGACGTTACTAAAGGAATAACTCACAGCATATTTACTGACAGCATCAAAACTGCTTTCGACTTTGCCGCCGAGACATTTCGTTCCTCGATTTTAAGTGAATATAAATAAATTCTAAATAGAAAAAATACGCAGAAGTGAATTAAAACGCATTCCAAGACAACGTGCATCAATAGTTCAATCAATTTCGAACAAAATATTATCAAAAACCCTTAAAAAGTTCAATTGGCACATTTTTCTCTACGAAAACTAAAAGGTAAGCAAATACTATTAAACATTTCACCAACACATTCAAAGCCCCTTCAGTCAAGCTAACTTTTTCGTTCATTCCTCGAAGCATTTTGTTCAGTTCAGAAGAACATCGACTTCACAGTTGTTTGAGTGATATAAAGTACTGAAAAGGCACATTGTATGTGAAGAGGATTTTTCTTAAATAAGATCAAGTTGGAAAGTTTAATTAAGTTTTTAATCATTTTTTCTCTCGTTTTTTCCGAAATTAGAAAAAAGAAAGAAAAAAAATCAAAGATGGCAGACAAACCAAAGCGTCCCCTCTCAGCATATATGATTTGGCTCAACAGCGCTCGCGAACAGATCAAGAAGGAAAATCCTGACTTCAAAGTAACAGACATCGCAAAGAAGGGAGGTGAATTATGGCGTAACATGAAGGATAAGACCGAATGGGAGGCCAAGGCTGCTACAGCTAAGAAACAATACGAGTCGGACATGAAGGACTTTGAGCGTAACGGCGGTGACAAAAATGCAAGCACCGGGAAGAAGCGTGGAAAGGCTGTTGCCAAAAAAGCACCAGCAAAGAAAAGCAAGAAGGCTGCCGATTCAGAGGAAGGTTCTGAAGAGGAAGAGTCTGATTAAGCTGGATCTCATTTTCGCCCCATTTCGGAGCCCCCTCCCTCTGCCCCTCCTCATATTCAAAACTTCATTCACACAAAATCTTTTTCTTTATTTTTTACAAAAGTTAAACTTTTGTCTCTTTTAGCAGCAACATTCATTATCACAAATCGTTTAAAAGTTAATTTTTTTGCGCTTTATCACCTTAAATGTTGTCGTAAAGAACTTTAAGGTGATTTTCTTTTAGTTTTTCGAGTTGAATGACAAAAATATTATAAATAATAAAAACAATAAAATAGAACTTGGATGAACATTTAAATGAAAGATGGAATGGAAAGGAAAAGAAAATCTTACAATTATAAACTAAAGATAAAAAAATTACAAAAAAAAATTAAATAAAATAATTTTTAATAAAACCATAAAAAGGAAATTGAAATTTTATTATTTTTCCTCATAATTTTGATTTTTCAGGTTTAAAACATCTGAGAACAAATGATTTGTTTTCATTTGAAAATTGAGTTAAGAATTTAATACATATTCTGATCATTTTATTCCAAACAATACAAATGCGAATTTGAAATCGCACGTGTAGATTTTTTAGATGAATCTCGAATAGTTTGTTTGAAGCATTGGTAAATTATAATTTACAACATATATGAGAGAATATTAGCAACGTTTATAAAACTCAGGTTTATAAAATTATAATAATAAAGAAGACATTCTGAAGTTTTGTTTTTCTGGAAAAATTTACATTTTGTGGAAAATAATCTGATCTGACCACTTAAATTATATAAAATTGAAAATATCTCAAAAATTCTGTAATTGAGCAGTTCCATAATGAAGTTTAAGTAAGGATTCTTCATTTGCATCTTTTCTTTCGCATAATTTCTTACTTTTTATACTTTCCACTGATTCAACTCTTTACTTCAGATTGATCTAAAGAAATAATCTCGTAAATTCCTACAAAGATAACCAGAATCAACATAAAAATTAGTAATAAAAAGTAACAGAACTCTTTGATGTTAAATGAAAATGATAAAGACTTGAAAACATTTCAACATAATGAAATCCTTTCAAATTTCTTTTCCTCATTCATTGCCTGCAAATAAAACATTTAAATAATTTTCATGATTTTCGCCTTCGCATCTTTATTTTTATATACCAAATGTCCATTTTATTCATCAAATACATGTCGCTAAACTTATCAATCATCGTTTTGTTTGAGTTTAAAATAAATTATAAACCTTTTCGAATGAAGAATTTTATCAAACTTCTTTTACAATTACGTTGGTTGATTTTATAAGAATATGTGGGGGATGGAAAAGAAGACAACGAGAAGGTCGATTGATGTTTATTTAACTTGAAAATTCACTAAGCACGTGAGAATCGCTTTGTCGTCTTTTTAGCGATTCAAAGTTTCTTTTTTCTTTCACTTTTTCCACTTGCTTTTAATTTCAATTAAAAAATTGTTCTTTGTTTCCTTTTTTTTTCAATAAAAATTGTCTCATTAATTATTTTACTTAAATAGAGAGAAAAAACAAACACTTTATGATGAAATTATTCCAACAAGATTGTTTCTTCCTTTACTAAGCATTCAACAGTTTCTTCTTCAAGGTTGTTTTGATCGGCTTCCAGATTGTCGGTGTCAATTTCTGAAAGAATTAAAATTGAATTAGAATAATTATAAAGCAAAATTAATAAAGACAAACTTACGATTTCTTAATTCCAATCGTTTAATCTTCATTTTCTCGTAATCTTGCATTCTCTTCTGACGATATTCCATAAACTCTTCACGAAGTTTCGCACGCTTCTCAAGTAGTTCTTTGCTGGCACGGGTTTGACGTAATCGATCTTTTGCTTCGAATTGCGGGTAATATTTCTTAAGATTCTTTTTAATCTCCGATTGTTTAGTTTCAGAGAGTAAAGTTGGTGGACGTGGACGCCAAAATAGTTGTAAGAAGTTCTTAATATTCACACGCCGAAGGATTCTACCTTGGAAAGTCCAAATGTAGTAACTGTTGTCATCCTTGACTTTATAAGCGCTCACGCCAGTGGCAACGTAACGACCAGTCGGGTCCCATTCGCATTGGAATGCTCCATGATGATCGCCCATTCCCATAACTGTAAAGTCGTGTGTGTCAACGAACTCAAACACTCCTTGACTGATGTTAGCGAGCACAATGAATCCACCTTGTGGTGACCAGAACAAACAATTCGCTGCTTTTCTTTCCATTTTCTTCACCAATGACACTTTCTGCCCTTTCTTCGTTTCATAAAAGCTGACATTGGATCCACCAGCACCTTCACCATGAATTATCGCAAACTTATCGCCTACCGGCTCCCAAGCAAACGCTCCAATCGGCTCCTTGATCTCCACTGAATCCACAGGGATGTCTTTCTCACGCATATGGAAAATCTCAAAGTTGTAAAACATTCCAAGAAATTTAACATCTTGATCGCCTTGTCCACCTTTCTTCGACTTACTGAAACGATCAACTTTCACGCATAAATAATCGCCGCATTTCTGCCAATGAATCTTACAATCAGCGACATTAAAAAGATTTTTCGTTCGAATTTCACGCTTTCTTGGGATATCCATGAGAGTGACTTTCGCTGGCACGTCGGTTTGTTCAGCGACCCAATATGCGATGATGTTGTCAGTCGGTGACCATGCAAAGCCACGAATACCGGGAATCTTAAGTGATTTCTTATCCAGTAAGAAGAATGTGTCGGTTTCGTAGATGTGAATAGCGCCGTCACCCATCGAAGCGATGTACTTGTCGTCATGCGACCAACGGAACACCGAAGGCGGTAAATGCGGATCAGTGACGAATCCTCGCTTCTCTTGTCCAGTGCGAATATCCCAGATTATCACTTTATTACCACCATTTGGACCAGCAAATCCGTAAGTGACGATAAAGTTTTCTTTCGGCGAGAAATCGACGTACGACGTTCCAAGATGTGCAAATTTGTTGATTCGTTGGAATTCAGGACCACCCCAAATAGCAACACCTTGCTTGTGGAAAGCAACAATGTAAGTTCCTAGAGGTGACCATTTGACAGTCTTCTCAGTGAATCCATCTTTCCTGTGGAATTCTGATGGATCTGGAAGTGAGTTCTCCCAAAATTGAACCGTTGACGGGATTCCTCCATTATCAATCACAACACAATATTGATCGTAAGCATCGGGTTCTGTGAGGAAGCTGTAAAGGTTGACAGTTGGATTGTAAGGCTGGGGTGTTGGTGGTGTCCATTCAATTGGGATGTCGCTGTACTTTTGGAAGTCAGTGAAGACGTTAACTAAAAGTGTGTGCGTTTTATCAAGCCGATAATTGCTGTGAACTTTCACAGCTTCTTCAGCTTGAGCAGGTGTCTTATATTCGATAAAGCAATAGCCTTTCGTATATCCATTCTCCTCTTTTGGATAGTAGACGTTAACAATCTCACCAGCGGCTGAGAAAAGCTTCTTGATGACAGTTTCAAGTTTTTCTTGACGTGCTGGTTCAACTTTGGGGATTTCGTCAACAACGACGACATTTTCCATGCCATCAGTCTCACAAGGTTTCTTCTTCAAGAAATCTCCAAGTAATTCTGTAGTGAAAAAAGTAGATTCGAGGTTAGAAAGAATTTTTTAAAATTTTCATCAGTTGTAGATTATTTACTGATGTAAATAACAAGTTAGAAAATAGATCAATTAACAATGTTTCAATTGACATTGAAAACAACTCCAGTAAAGCTTTACTACATGGTTTAAATTTCACTCCACATTTTTGAATTCGTGGCCTCTTACCTTCATCCGTAATATCATCTACAAAATCTGGCGGATCCTCGTACGTCTCAAATGGTTCCTCCTCGAATTCTTCATCACCATCTTCACCAATATACTCTTCGTTTCGTTTTCTAGCCATTTTCTTTATTTGAAAACTTATTAAAATTAAATTTATAACTTTTTTCGTGCTAATGCACGGGCCAAGAAGATATTTATTAGGGTCAATGTATCAATGTTGGAAACTTTGAGGCGGTGATAATGAAATGTTTAGAAAAAGTGTAATTGATAATTTTTAATAAAAGTTCTCTAATAATGTGAATCTTCTGAACAAATATTGATGATATAATCAGAAAAGATGGAAGTAAACTGACTCATTCTTGTGATATGTTTATTATTTGATAGGATAATAACATCTAAATATGCCCTAAGTGAAATTCCTCACTAACACTTTCTTACACTTTCATTTATAGATTTGAATTTTTTTTTCCGTTAAATTTAGAATCATCTTTTACCTGTTATTATTAAGCTGAGAAATATTTTACCTGATTTACTGATTTACCTGAAATCTACCTAAGTAGTTTAAGTCTATGGTTTATAGATTTATCAGGATCCTTTTCATAAATATCTAGCTTTATTCTTTTCTTTTCTTAAATTAAATTTCAGTTTTAGTTCCATTTTAGTTTCTCAGAATCAGAAAACAGAAAATATTCTCTTTTTCATTTCTTTCCAGTTCTTTTAACATTTTAAACTTTGAAAACAGTTCAATTGTTTTTTTTTTTTGAAAATAAATTTTACTTGAGTTAAAATTGAAGTTAATTTTATATTTCTCTATTATTAGATACGAATTGTTTGTTTGTTTGAAGGGCGAAGGGCGAAACGACTTCATTAATACTTTTACTTTCTCGATTCTAGGTGTCTATTGCAGACTCAATTTCCTTTTCTTCTTGTGTATTAAATTATCACAATTTATGGTTGTCGTTCCGCTGAAGATCTTTGAGTTGAGCGGCGAGGCATTAGACGATGTTGGAAGGGTTTGCAAGCTCACAATCGCGAGTGGAAGCGGATCAATTTTCTTAAGTTGTTTAATTGGATTTTGCTCGATTGCATGATCAGGAGATTGTGGCAAGCTTACTGGCTCAGGGCAAAAGTTTTGCTTCTTCTCTCTCAACAACATTAAATGATCAAGTTTATCAACAGTCGCATTCAGTTCCGATTCCCAACTTTCCTGTTCATCTTGTTTCCCATCACCACCTTCAATTGGACGAACTGCAAGACTTTTCACTTTCTTTCTCAGTGCTTCAAGATCATTCTCGTTCACTTCAGATGGTCTCGACTGGCTTGCAGATCTCGAATGAGATCTCGATTCAAGTTCAACGTCATCCAAATTAAAGTCCAAGTTTTGTTGTTCGGCTGCAATTTCATGCGATTCAGCCCCAACTCCTGGTTCACGAATTCCTGCTGGTGGCGCTTCAAAGTCCCCACGAGCCTTATGAATCGACTCACTAATAAGTTCAAGATTCTTCAAAGATGACGCATAATTAGACTTTGCCGATTGAAGAAGTGATTGAAGTTGTTGAATTCGCTCTTTCTGAGTGTTTAATTGATCTTGACAAATTTGCTTCTCTTCGAAATAAGGACGAGACTTGCCAATGCTCGACTTGAACTTTTGCTCTAGTAATTGTACCTAAAGAAATGATAAGATAAATTAAAAAGTAATTAAAAAAGAAGAAAAACTTACTTTCGACTCAGCTGCATGAAAAATTTGAGTTTTCTCTTGATGATCAGCACCGGAATCTGCTTTTTGTTTCTCGGCATCCATCACCTGTTAAGAAAAGGGAACATGTTCATGTTACTATAACTAAACTGTAAAAAGTTTTCGCATTTTGCGTGTAAAGCAGCAACAGATGAGCGTTGATGTGTAACCAACCGTGTCATGGAAATTTTACATTTCTCAAGCCCTTCAACTTTAAAGAATAGAAAATTTGACATACCTTTAAAGTTGCATGATTTAACATCTCCTGCCATGCGTTATCAAACTGCCATTCATGTGAATTTGACATAAATCGCTCTTCAGCAAGTGCAACAGTTTCTTTAGCTGCCGCATGTATTTCTGAAATTAGCATAAAAATTTAAATTCCATTGTTCATTTAAAAATCTAATTTAGCTTACCGTTTGCCCTTTGGAACTTTACAGCTGCTTTCTGGCATTCAATTTGTGCAACACGAGCTTTTTCTAATGCTTCATAGTAAGGACGGGATTTCTCAATAGAGTTGCCGAGTTTCTTCGCTGATAGTTTTAATCGTCGTGTTGACTCATTTAATAGGATTCGAAAGGTAGCGTTGGCTTCCTGTGATAGAAATTACAGGAAAATGAGAATGAAAAACAAGCATTTAGGTCAGATATCGATTTTGGGGCTCATTTCTGATACGAAATGTTGATATGAAAGTTTCTTGAGTTTGGCGTGTGGATTATTGTAATTTATTTACTTTCCAAGTTTGGAAAACTTTCATTGACGTATTTCAAATAAAGTTTTGCAAACACATAACAAACAAAATTTATTATTCTTACCTCAAGTTCGATTTCCAACTTATTGATGTCGTCAGTGCAGCTGTTTAAATTTTCCAGCTCGATCTGAAACACACATAAAAGTTACTGAATAAATGACGTTCATTGTTATTTTGTTTTTTTGGGAAAAATTGCCAAGAAAGTTTTCTTCAGACGAACGCAACGCAATCATCCGATTTTATAGTTTTGTTTGTGTTGGCGCGCGGTATTTTTTCACAATAATTATTGTCACAGTCTCGTCATTCATTAATGTTCAACGTGACTCATATTACGCTTTTGTTAGTTGTTACCAATTAAAAATAAAATAAAAAATGTTTATCAACGCGACTCGTTTTTCGACATGAGCACATAACACGATTAATTGTTTATTTTTATCTGATTTTATTTTTGCAGTTCGTTATGATTCGCTTCGTGTGTGATGAAGAAATTTAATCTTTTATTTCCTTTCCGGGGGTTTTTCCGCTGTTTAAATTGTATAATAAATTTACCTGAATTCTTGGATCTAAAGGTTCTTCGATATCCATAACGATGGCTTTACTTTATCTTTTGCGAAATTTATTACAAATACACCATACTTGTTTAAAAACACCAAGAAGAGAAATGGGAAATAAACGAAGTGAAATTTTTTTTATTGTACAGGAAAAAATATTTTTTAACACACGCGAAAGGCAACAACAACAAATATAATATTCAAATTTTCTCTTCCTCTATTGCGTTTAAATTGAAATTTCAATATTTCAGTATTAAATCGATAAATAAATTAAACTTTAAAGTATTGAAAGAAACTTAAAAGTATTTTGCAATTGTTTTCTTATCTGAGGAGTTAATAGAACTGAAGAAATTTTTGTTGATACGCGACGACAAGAAAATAATGGAATTTCGAGTGCGTTCACTTGGTCGAATAAGAATCGAAGGTTTGCCAGCTTCCTGAAGTTTGCTGCAATCAATTATTATATCAGTTTCAAATAATTTTTGTTCGTTGATTTCATTGCCTATGTGAATAAGTCGATCATGTCCAAGTAAACAAATTCCTATTTTTAATCTTAAGGTATTAATAAAGAAAGATATTGTAAAGTCTTCAAAACAAGTAGATTATTAAGATTTATTGTCTATATTAACAAGTTAATATAAAATTGATTAATGAATGAATGAACAAATGTCAGCTGTTGATAAGATTACAAAGTCAAAGAGTTCTTTACTTAAATGTCAAGTTAGTCCAACAAGTAATAAATTTTCTTAATTAATCAGTTAAGCGATAAAGAAAACTATTACGATACTCCTAGAAGTCATTTGACTGTATTTCCTTTGTATTGCCAAGCCCTCGGCTTAACAATTTTGATAACAAAATTGCTTTTATCAACTTAATAATAGAAAAACAAAAAGTCCAATAATTTTACAATTTATTTAGCAAAGGTTTGCATGTTTTATTGAAAAAATTATTTCAGAAATTTCGAAAATTTTAGGTAAAATTTAACCGCGAGCGAATGGAGAGTTGGCATTGGTTTCAAGGAAGAAGACACCATTCAAGTTCTTGCTGCCATTTCCACCCATAGTTCCAGTTCCTTGACCAGTTGGGCAGTTTCTGCTTGTGATTTGCCCATGGTTTGCGCAACGTCTTGCAACAAATCTATTCGATGTTACTGATTCAGAGTAAAAATTGTTAACACGACCATGAGCGCAGTTTCCAGAAATATCTGTTCCACATCCTGGTTGTGATGTTCCCCAATTAGCTGTTGATATTTAATATTGAATTAATAAGATATTTAAACAAAACTTTAATTAAATCTTACGATAGAATGTGGCTTGCCCAAGTGGTTCGGCAAATCCTAACACACCAGCATTAGTTGCAATCATTTCTGTGTAAACTCCGTCACCTGATGCAAATCTTCCATTGGCATCTCCCACTGAGAAGAGTGGACCAGCTGGGTCAAGTGCAAAGATTGCTTGGATACGTCCACGAGTGACACGTTTTCCAGTAATACCAGCAATATGACCTCCCAAGCTATGACCAGCAATGACTAAACGGTTGAAGTTAACAAGGAAACCGTTTTGGTGCAACCAATCAATGAAACTTGCTGTGACTCTTGCTACATCAGGAACACGATTTCTTGAAGTGGGATAGCTGAGAGAATTGGCACCTGCACCCCAATCAACACGTACAACGTTGTGATCAGCTGCAGCTAAGTAAGCTTGAGTAATCATGGTATTGACTGGAGAAAGGGGGTTGTTGTTCCATCCATGGATAATGAATCTTGTACCACCAGCTGTGCTTCTCCATTGAGAACCGTTAATTGAAGCAGTTGTTCGGGCAAGTCTTTGACCAGCTGTGGGGTTTCTTCGAGTGAATAAAACAAAGAAAACATCATTGTCGGCGTTGAAAGAAGGTTCAACAGGTTCAATAGGTTCAATTGGATTTAAATCCATTAAATGCATGCGACCATCACCATCAGGAATCAAAGTCCATCGATGCTTAGGTTCAGCATATTCAGCTGGGAGAGCGTATGAGCCTATTTAGAAAAAAATGATTAAGTCATTTTATTTAAAAATAGTAATCTTAAAAATTACCTCCAATGAATAACAAAACACTCAAAAAAACGACTGCTTGCATTTTGATCGATGTCAAGAAACGACTTGAAAAAATCTTCTGACAGCTTCATCCTTTATACAAAAATTGTTATCACACATGTTATTCATATACTTAAATACATTCAATTCTTAAGATAAAAAGCTTTACACTATCAAAAAGTTGCACTGAAATAAAGAAAATTGATAATATAAAAGCTTTCATGAAAGCTTTTTAAATGAGTGGATAAAATTTAACGTTCCTTTTGATTGTTATAATGAGAATCTTCGAATTCCGAATTGATATAATCATAAGAAACTCCCAACTGTTATAAATTTTCTCATCATTTAGACAAATTGCGATATAAATTTTCTTCTCGTGTTTTCAAAGTAATTTCAGATCACATTGAGCTTTAAATATAAAACCGGCAACATAGGTTTATCCGACACAGCACACATGGATATCTTTGCCAACAATTTGCAGCAGCAAAGGTAAGAAACATTTTCCAGTAATTTCTTTTTGTTTTTCAAGATCCCAGGATAAATTTTTTCCAATTTTATATTTGTTTATTGATTTTTCTAAGAATTTTCTATAATTTATGCTTAGAAACAAGTTGAATAGAAAAAAAAACCTTGGAAAACCTTTTAGATAGTATGAGAAATAAACAAAATTTACATTTTTTTAAGGGTGGTGACGGAACAATTGCGTCGCGAAGCTGCAATCCAAAGAATGCCAGTCACACAAGCTGTTTCGGATATAATCAAGTATGTCACCGAACATGAGCAAGAAGATTGCTTGTTGGTCGGCTTTTCAAGCCAAAAAGTTAATCCATTCAGAGAAAAGAGCAGCTGTTCAATCTTGTAAAGACAAGAGAGAGCGCGATGTGGAATTAATCATCATTTATTCATTATATTAGCCGAGATCGATGTAGTGACATCAATATGTGTTTCTACTTTCCTTCTATGCTTCATTCTTTGCATTAATCTTTCTTCAATCACATTCAAATAAGTTTCTTTCAGCAAATTTCACATTCAGTCTGATCAGTGTCATGAAATTTGTTTAATAATCTCGGGACAGATAGAAATAAATCGTTTTTCTGCACTTCCTCACCTTCATCAAACAATGTTGCAACTGAGAGTATAACTTTTATGAAAACTTTTTGAATAACTCTGTTAGAATTCATACACTGATTTACCTAATAAAGAATCTATTGATTATTTAATGTAAAATGTTTTGTTGTCAAGTTTTCTTACAGATTTCATCTTGCTCAAATGCTGGAAAAGTTGTTCCTGTAAATTATCAGAATAACTTTATTCAAATATGATTTCTTCAAAAATGGAATAATTTTTTTCTTTTATTGAAACATTTCATTTGTTATGACGAGTTGTGCTGTTGTAATTTTATGTCATTTTATCGGAATGATTCATTTTAAAAATGGGGCTCTTCAAGGTTTCAAAAGAGTAACAAATTTATCTTTTCATTCCATAACATTCAGCACATATTGTAGTTTTATTCTTTTATTAACGAAAAGCTTATTCGACTTTCTCCCCATTGTTGAGAATGTTTGAAAGTTTTGAACGAAAATTTTAATTAATGTGAACTTGAATATTCATGATTACATTAATACTTAATCGTTTAACCGTGCTAGAATTATTAAAAATGTAATTAAAAGATTATATTTACTCTCACCATCGCTTCAGTACCTTTTTATGTTATAATCTCATCTATGTAAATAATTACTTCACAAACATACCGAGCTTATTAATAACTTCGTCACTTATTTAACGCCTTTTTAAAAATGTTTCTTTTGTTTCATAAAATTTAATGACTTTCGAGGGAAACGAGACACTTTGGGGAATAAGTTTTTCATATTAAATTACGTTCATTAAAGTTTTCGTTTTCTTTCCCTTCCATTAACCACAAAACATTATTTCTACTACATTTTTAATTTTTTGACATTTACTGTGAGGATTTATCTAATGCGTGAGTAAATATCTTAATATTTTATTATATTTTGGTGTTGTCATTTTCTTTCTCGGTAATGCTGTTCAGAGGAAATGTAAGAAAAAAGGGAAATTTGAATTTGGCTACTCATCCAGTGAAAGAAAGAGAAACATTAAAGTTTGATGACAAGTTTGGCAAATCAGTTTTGTTTAATAATTCAAAATGTCACTTGTGGTGCTCTCTCAGATATAAGTGTTGAAAAAGTATCTCAACGTGTCATCTCATCTCATGTTTAAGCAATTTTTCTGCTCTCTCTTCACTGGTTGTGTTTGTCATTTGCTATTTACGAACTTTTTCAATTCCTAAACTAACTTTCACTAACTTTTGATCGTTTGTTCTGCAGGAAGAAAAGTTTTTTTTTAAAAAACGGTCTAAACATTTTTATGCTACTTTTGAAGTTTTACAAAATTATTCTAATTATTGGCAGCTTTTGATGTTTGATAAGGTAAGTGTTATGGCAATTTAACTAATTTAATGTTGATGAGGGAGAAGAATCGTCGTTTTCTTAATTTGATTAATTTTGTTAACATTTAAGGGTTTCGTTCACGTTCTCAGTCTGATGACATTTAATATTTCAGATGGGGAAGCTTCAATCAATGTTCATATTATAAAATAAATATTTCTTCTCGATTCATCATAAATATGTTGATGGCACAATTTTGGGTTTCAATGTCAATGTTTAAATGTCTACAAATTATAACTTTCGTCTCGTGCGTAAATTTTATTCATAATTTAGCTAAATTAGTTTTTCTTTTTCCCTTCAATTTAATTTTGCCACATTAATTGATTGATGTGAATTACGATGAAATATGTTTTTGAACGTCTAAGAAATAACAAATGAGATAATTAATTATATTATATTGAGATTCATATGAATTATAATTAGTCACATGCACTTTGGTGAGACTTTGTTTGTTTGTGGAATTTACTGCGTTAGAAAAACATAAAAAATTATCTTTGACTACGTGAAAATGTTGAATAAACAACATTCATCATATCAACTTTAAATTCATGATAAACCACATTTACACATCTAGATTAAAATTTTTGAATTGAATTATCTGCTTCCACACTTTTTTTCAATTTAAAATGTCGCTCAAACGATGTTGCATCAGTGATGAAATTTATTGTTGATTATTACTGGAGAAACTGCTCATAGTCGAGAGTGAGGTGGTCGATGATGAAGGTGAGAAAGGTCGAGGCTCCACAATGTTCTGCTTACTGAAATTCTGATGGCGACCAATTAATTTCAACAGCTCAACTGCGTCATAAGCATCTCGCTTTTCAGTAAGGATTCTGCTGAATGAGAGAACGAAACAAGCCAAAAAGTAATAAAAAATTATTCTTGAGTTGTAAGAAAATTAATTTTGAGGTGGAAGAACTAAGATAAATCACTAAACTTGGGAATTTGAAGTTGAACTGGATACAAATGCGATTTGTAAATTGTGAGAAAATGTGAAGAAGCAAAACATATTCGAAAGAAAAACGAATTTGATCCCATCAAAAACTCTTGAGGAAAAAACTGAAATGAAATCAAAACTTTTCTCGTCTGAAAGAAAACAAAAATTAAGCTTAAGCTTTAATCTTTCACCACAAAGGATTTCACAAGCAATTCGTCAACAATGTCTGAGGAAATTTCCATAAAGTTTCAGACGGGAAAGTTTACGGATTACAACTTTTTTCTCTCGAACAAAGAAATTAATAATCAAATTAAGGTTTATGCTGTCAATGTCTGATCCCTTTGAAGTTCTTTTTTCATTGATGCAATTTGAAGGACGTTCAAAGAAGCTCAAACTAAATTTAAAAAAAGTTTAAAATTGAATTTCATTTCACTATTTCATCTCCTTTGGCTTCTCGAATTTGCTTCTTCAAAAGACACAAAGCAAGAAGTTTTTAAATTGATTTAATTTAAAGTTTTCTTTTCTTTGGATAAAATTTCTTAAAGCTTCGCTACCTCTTCAGATACCTTTACATAAAGACATCAATATCATAAAATTTTTCGACCAATTTTGCAAGAATGTTTCAGAATCGTTGCTTATAATAATAAAATTTTTCTTCATCTTATAAAGAAGAGAAAAAAATGAAACACGTTGCCACGTTTTGCGACTTAACTCTAAGCATTTTAAGAAAATTGAAAAAGAATTTTCAATTAGAATATTAAATTGACGAGAGAGCACGTGGCGGATTTTCCATGAATTTGAATATGTAAATATTTTACAGTAGCTTCATGAAATGATCCACATTTAACCGACTTCAAAACAATAAATGTAATGCGAAGGTTACGGTCGTGATTGAACGAGAAAAGAAAAGACGAACAAGAAGAAGCGTTCGCAGCCATTAAAATTTAATTTTTCTAAAGCGCATGAGATTATCGAGTCAACAAAAAGAAGCTTTGGGGTTTCTTTCATGGCGATGCTACAACTTTAACATCCATTAATGCGTTGGGGATATAAAAAAAACCATTTCGAACCATTTCCATAACCATAACTTGACAGTGAAAATTTTTCATTTGTAAGTTCAGCCGAGCTTTAAATTATTTCTCTTAAAGAGGAAAACTTGATAGATTTTTTTTAATTTCCCCACGTTCTTTTACCTGCCTGATGTTTCCTTAAGCTGCTCGACAAAATCCCGTCCCGTGATGTCTGCGACAGAGTTTGGATCCATGTTTGACAAAAGTTCCAAGTCGGGTTCGCTGAGAATTGAAATGTTGCAAAGGTTCGATTTCATCTGACCGACAAGCTTCTTCAAGTGAACTTTCTCGACATCACCACAATCAATCGTATCGCCTGAGTGAGATGAAATGGTCAGGTAATGCGTTGGCTATGAAAAGGAAAGAGAAAAAGGTTCGATAAGATTAATTTGTTTTGATATCCGAAGGATTCCAAAGGGCTTCAATATAATATCAAAAATCAATTCAATCATTGGAAAGGAAAACCGTCTCATCATGTAAATCACATAATGCTTTCAAATATATTCACAGACGAACGAACACAGAGAGCAATGAAACTGTTGATCATATTTTAGTCTATTTAATCATGACGTATAGAAATTCTTCTTCTTTTCCTTCACGTAACTGTCAATAAAGGAAAAACAATTTTTTTGTTTTGTTTTGCAACTTCTCATTAATTCTGTAATGGCGCGAGTTTTATTTATAACTTGGAAAATATCAGGGAAAGGAAGTAACTATGGAAGTAAACGTTGTTAGTAAGTCAATCATGATTTAAAAGCTTTAATTAATATTAAAGTGAAATAACATCTCGAAATAATTCCAAAACAAATAAAAATCTTTCTAATCATGATTTAATTAACACAACCAACTTCTTCATAAATATCATTCGAAAGTTGTTTTTGACACTTCACCAAGAAGAACGTTTTAATGATGAAAGCTTTCATATCTAAGAAGAGCGAAATTAAAAGCTTCTGACGCAAGTTTGTAATTTATTAATTCTCATGAAAGTGAAATTCCGCACACCCCCAGCAATTTGTGGTTCATTATTAACATTTGTCTGACAACATTTCGAAAGAAAACGTCGAGACATTCACGTCACACTCGCCAAACAAAAAAAATAAACAAACTAAAGACGTCTCTCGATAACTTATTACGGTTTTCATAATAAATCAAATGAATTCACAGCACGATTGAGAGGAGAGATTACAAAGAATTTGTTTTCGTTTACTAAAAGATTAAAACGTCTTGAGCAAAAAAAAAATGAACGAAAACTTAAAGGAATTTGGTGACCTCTTAATGGAATTAATTTATTCTTTGTAAGTAAGATAGATTTGCTTGTTCTCCGAATGATAAATTGCTTTCACACTTCGTTTAAAACTTAATCGATGTTAATTTAAATTTATTAATGTTTCCATCGTGGAAAGCCACAAGTAAAGCTGTGAAAGTTTTCGAAACTATCGTGGGAATAAATAAATTTAATTTCTTTAGAATTGCTTCTATACACCATCAAACTTTATCTTATTTTAATAATTAAACTTTATGAAGAAATGAAGAAAATATTCGAAATGAGTTTGAATGAAATTCAAGAGACTTGAGTTAAAGTATCGATCCAAATGTTTCATTATTAAAATGTGGATCAGTAAATTTTTAGCACATTTGCAATCACTCAAAAACCTTTTCAATTGAATAATTCATGCTGAATTTCAAATTTCCAGCACGTGTCGGCATCGATTTCAAAATGATGAACGAGACATTAATCGTTTTATAAACACAAAGATGATGGTATTTAGCTTTAAAAACGAGAAATTTTCCTTTTTGGTGAAACGCCCAAAGCTGCGGATGGTCTTGAAACGAGAAAATGTCTTGGGGATAATTTAAACGTTGCCATATCAAAAGATGTTCTTGTTGTTGTTCTCAAGTTTCTTCAATTCACCCAACCCTCATAAAACAACACAAACTTTACAACATCCTCAAGTTCATCAATATTTAATTCATTGTGAATGTTCAAGGTCATGTCATCGACGTAGTCTTTTTACCTTTACTTTGGATTTCGACAAAAATTTACGAACATTTTTGTTATATCCGAATGGAATGGAAATCATTTTCACCTTTGTAAACATTTCCTTGTTACCAACATCGATCAAGAAGAAGATTTTAACGAGACAGACAACGGTGAAGGAAGGAAGCGATGAAACGAATTGAGAAAGGTTCAAAAGATACAAAAGGCTTTGAAGTCAATGAAAAGCTCCTCTCATCATTCAATTACAGATTTATGCAGTTGATTTAAAGAAATAGAAGAGAAATTATTGACGAGACTGATGAGTTGCAAATTGAGAAAGCTTGAAGTGTAAAAAATCGTTTAAGTCTGGCAGATAATTTTGAAAGCAACAACCAATTGCGATGGCTACCTTTATAGATTATCTTTATTCATGAAATAATTTAATATATAAAGTTTCTTCTTCCATCTTTTATGAAAAGAAAATGCTGGAACATGAAACCAAGATAATATTTTATCCGAATGTGAACCGCCTACAGAATTACTGCGATGATCATTTTATCAATAAAAGCTTTTACTGTTTTCTCATGGGCTGAATGATGGCATAACTTTAACGTCTAGAAACGTGAAAATTTTACCATCTCCTTTAATTGGTAATATGAAGCCTGATAATGTCTAAACAAACGGCAAGGAGATTCGTGTTTAATTGAAGAAAGGCATGAACTTGCGTCTTAATTTGCTTTTATTTCGGTTCTGATGCCAGTTCGTTGTGTTTACTTTTTGTTTACATCTTCCCAAATACAACATCTTGTTGTAGGGTGAGTTATTTTTCTTTTTCTTGGTCTTCGACATTTTATAAGCTTGTAAGTTTCATGAGAAGCAAGTCATCTTCTCAGTTTATATTTACTGAGACCATGAACGCAAGCAATGTTAGATTTTTATGAAAAAACGTTCGTTAGCAACGCAATAACAAGCACGAAAGTTAATTAATTATTGAATATATACAAAAAGACAAACATTAAACTCACATCAACCCATTGCTCCCCGCTGAAAACGGCAATCAATTCAGTGTTAGGCTCAAGGGTTTGAAAGTAATCTTCATCATCGATTTCCGTTCCATCTGAGTCCAAATGAATTTGGGGCACTTCTGTTTTTCCGAACTTCTCAGCTGACTTTTTCTGAAGCTCTTCAAGGTTTGAAGCGACAACTGCTTTCTTAATTTGTCGTGTGACGTCTTTGATCTGAAAGTAAACAGATTTGAAAATGTAAGAAAGCTTCTTATGGTTTTTAATAAAAATGCGATTGTTTAATACGTTTTATGTTGTCATCTAAACAAACATGTAAGCTTTTATACTTTAACATCTGACCTTAAAAAATTCAATTACACCGTTAACATCTAGCAGGCAATTTAAACATAAAAACATTGTACAACATAGAAAAAGTTTTCCTTTTTTCCTGAACAGTTTGTCTAAAGCAAATTTTTCTTTTCGTGTCTCTGAAAAAAGCTGAAAAGCTTCAGGCAAACGAGACAAATTTTATAAACTCTTTTTTCTCGTGCTTTTCGAATTACTTTTTGACAAGGACCAACACGCAAAATGTTGAGAAAAATTTTGCTTTCAAAATGAAGCGAAGCGAAAACGAAGCCAATGAAAAAACAAAAAACTGTCTGAGGGATTTCATTAACAGCGTAAAAAAGTCGGAAAGTTGATAAATGAGTTTTTGGTAGTCGTGAACTTATATGAACTTTCCATCATTTCTCAAACATAAATCGTTGATTTATTTATTGACATTGAAATTGCAGACTTAAATATTTACATAAGAGAGGATTAAACTGAAGGAGATTGAATTACAAACATGAACTTCTCATCCTTTAGTGGTTCATGCTTACGAAAACTGAACATACGAAGACTTTTTAATTTCATGTCGTTTTGATCTTTGGCAAAAGTACTTTGAGTTTTGAATTTCAAAAGCAGATGTGAAAGCAAAGCCTTTCCCTTGACATGTTGTCTCGTCAATTGAAATTGAAGCTTACAGAACATATCGGATGAATGAATCAAGTTAGGTATAAGTTTAAATAAGTCTGACATGATTCCACCAATCGTTTTGAACTTCTTTTCCGCTTCTAACATCAAAGAAGCGTTGAAGTAATCACCTTAGCAAATACTAAGAAGTGAATAATTTAAAAACATTCACGTCAGAGCAACTTATCGAACATCCTATGCGGCATTCAATTTGATTTCTCAAAGTAATGTAGAGCAGAAAATAATGCTGATGAAATCAGGTAGTCATCGCATAGTAACAAGATTAAAATTAAAACGTAAATGCAATAAGAATAGAAAAACTTTCATCCGAAGTTGTTTTGTTCAACATCCCACTACTAAATTATTCAATCATCAGTCATGAAATATTCGGACCTATCTTCATGTTAAATGACACTTAAACAGGCTTTTGGTGTCTCTTAAGGAAACAAAGGACAAGAAAATCTTTTTCAATAGAATCTCAAGGAATTAACAGAAAATCTATCCCTAAATTTACTGAGAAAAGAAAATATTACGAAATGTTTAACCATTGACGTTATCTCCTTGTGACCTACATTTTGCTTCCCGAAAATGCAAATACAAAATTGTCATAATCTGTGCTTCATGGTATTAAAGTCAAAGTCGCAAAAATTGTTTGAAGGAAGAATTAGAAAAATTGTTCATTATATTTAATTCATTATTTAAATTTGTTTCTGGAGATATTTCTACGATTGACATTTCTTTATATAAATAAAGAAAAACATGAGAAATTTTTCTTTTTCTGAATGGAAGGATTGATGAATTAAACTAACAACAAAATTCTCTTGTACTGTCACATTTTACGTACCTTGTAAGGCTTGTTAATGTCATCATCTTCAATTGGCTCCATCCTCACTTAGATTTTTTAAAAATATCTTCAGTCACTTTAAATGAAACACGACTAATGCACTTGATTGTTAATTTGGTAATAGCAAAATCTCCTTTGAAATCTTCCTTTATACACAATTTTAGAGAATGCAAATGCGCATGTTCACCTTTCCTGGGAGGAAATTCATGAAAATCTCTCGAATAAATTTTCTTTTTCTTATAAACTTTTATGCTGTCTCAGCAGCGCAGATGTTTGATAGATTGTTTGATGCTTTATTATTATTGTTAACTAGTTGTAAACAAAATGATCAACGTTCAAATTGATCTGATAGTCAGCAGTTTTAGGCAAGTTCAGCATAGAAGAGGGAAATGTCAAAGAACTCGATTTAAGATTTATTTACGATAACTTTAAATCAATTTATTTGTATGAAATTTAAATTACTGATCATGTTTTTGTATTATTCTGTAGCACTGACAAAAATTGTTTTTATTCTCATTTGTTTCAAAAGAAATTCATTAGGTTAGCAAAGTAAATCATTTTTGTTTGTATCAGAAATGTCCGTCTGGCTACGAATCACGTTGCTAAAACGCGCTTACAGACTATGCAGTATATTCTAACTTTCTGAACCGCTCATACTCGCTTTTCCTTTTCTCTTGTTTTTCCTTTGATTTTCCTTTGTTAAACCCAAAAAAAAAAAGAGATGGATGAAAAAAGAAAAACGTGCGAATGCGAGAGGAAAATCGCTGAGAATAAAAAATGTGCGTCACAAATTTCACCACTTCACATTTATTTCGCAAAACAAGTTAACTGAATTGTCTGAAGTGGAATCACCAAAGTTTTAATTGAATTCTTATGAAATTGCAATTAAAGAATAATTAATTCTGAAAATATATTCCCATCCCTTCTAAACAGTAAAATGTTCTCCAAAAAGTTGAAAATTCTGCCGAAATTTTGCAATTTTATATTGTCATAGGTCAGAGTTCGTTGTTTTCTTCTTTTAGCGCTAATTCTTTAGATTTTTCGATCCTTTTCTTCTACCTAGCAAGACAATAAAAATCTCACTGAGACAGCAATTTGGAAACTTTTTCAGTCTGTTGAGTTTTAAAAATAATGACTCAGCCGAGCATACTTAATCGAGCAATTAATTTTCATTTACTGACAATTTTCTTTAGTCTGCTTCATTTCCATTTCGATTATTTTCTCATCCCCTGTATAATAACCGCAGAAACTATAAATAGATTTTCGTGAATTCCCTTTCGCAGTAAAGTTCATTGAACTAATGACCGAGTTTTCTTGTCCTACATACTTATATAGTTTCTAGATTGAAGTTCTTCTTCTTTTTATATTTCGGTTGCATCTATGACTACAGACAAGGCATTGGAATGATTATGTTGTCTGGTGAACTTGCGTACAACTTTAAATTCCTCAGAGGTGAAGTTTATTGAGTTCACGAAGCAAAACTTTTTTCTTGTTTGGGAAATGCATAACAATGGTAAATTTGATTTAATGGCATGATAACAATTGGTTGTCCTAGGTCAAAAAGCTCTTCTAAATTCAATATGAGAAACAATAAAAAATGTACAGGAATATTTTTATGTTATAACTCAAATAAAAGAAGACGTCTTTCTATATATTTCCACATCAACGTCAGTCAATTCTGTTAGCACTTGACTTGTCATCTTCAATTGCAAACTCTCAACTGTCTGTTGTGAAAATATAAAAGATGACCCACTTCTATCATAACTTTATTTAATATTTCAAATATTCTTTAATTAACAATACTTTTATGTAATAGATAATAATTTTGAAACATCTGAGATAAAATCTTTTGAAATTACTGTTGATTATTGCTTGAGAAACTGCTCATAGTGGAGAGTGACGTCGTTGATGACGACGGAGAGAACGGTCGATGTTCGGTACTGTTCTGTTTACCGATTCCCTGATGCTTTCCAATCAATTTCAATAATTCAAGTGTATCGAACGCTTCTCGTTTCTCATCCAATACTCTGATTTAATGAAGAATAATGTCGTAATCCTTTTTTAATACGTATCTTTAAATCAATTTTACCTGCCAGAAGCTTCTTTCAACTGTTCAACGTAATCTTTTGTGATGACGTCAGCAACAGAATTTGGATCAAGATTTGATAAAAGCTCGAGGTCAGGCTCGCTAAGAATTGACACGTTGCAAAGATTTGTCTTCAAGAGACTTATCAACTTCTTGAGATGAACTTTTTCCACGTCGCCACTTTCAATTCCCTCATCATCAGAATTGTGTGTTGTGATTGTCAAATATTGCGTTGGCTGTCAAATAAAGAAAAATTTTGACATTTTCTTAAAACATTTTCTTTGTTAAAATGAAGATTGTCTCACATCAACCCATTGTTCACCAATGAATACTGCAATCAATTCGGTGTTTGGTTCGAGAGTCTGAAAATAATCTTCATCATCAATTTCTGTTCCATCCGAATCCAAATGTATCCTGGGCAATGACGCTTTGCCAAATTTCTCCATCGATTTCTTTTGCAGTTCTCTAAGATTACCGGCGACAACCGCTTTCTTTATTTGCCTCGTTATATCCTTGATCTGCTTGAAATTACAATTCAAAAGAGAATAATTTCGTTTCATTAGCCATGAAATAATCTCATGTAAGTATTCCCAATGAAATATTACGCTTGATTGTATCACGATTTTCTTTGTCTGGTTATAAATTATATATCATTCCATTTGAGTGAGATTCCTGAACAAACATGAAATTGTATTCACGTTATCTCAACGTTTAAACGAAAGCTTGCATGAGTGAAATTTTTCTTCTCTTTTCTCATTCAAACAAACCTGAATTTTTACTGACAGCTTCCATACACTGAACTTACTTATTATGTAATCTGACACGAGACAAAAGTGTCACGGTGATTGATAAATCACTCTCATGATTTCATCACATTAATTGAACAAGTTTCACTTCATTTTATAACAACAAAGTGCTTTAATTTAGAAGCTTTAAAACTTTGTCTTTTAAAGTTTTCCATCCACCCAATTCCCACGGTTTGACATACTAACTTTGTAAGGGCGTTTCTTCGATTCATCTTCATGTTTATCCATTTTCAAACGTTCAAAATCACACTCTTTTAATATAAAAGCTTACAAACTTTTCAAGTAGATACAATTAAAATATATTTTTAAGATTTTCCGCCTGAATTTTTGTTATCAAGAAAAGTGAAAATCTTTCTGCGACTGTGCAGAAAAAAAGCGCCTTTCTTATGATTCTGAGAGTTTGTTTGTTTCACCAAAGATGAGAATTTAGAGATTTACATTGCTTAATGCTCTGAAAAATAAAACATCAAGATTTCTATCTACTTAAAAAAAATAAAAATATAATTTTGGCGCAATCTTTTTACTCTCATGTGTCACTCACGATATATTGCAGCAGTTCAACATTTTAAATCATCTACTTTCATTCTCTTTATTCTGTTCATGCTTTGATTTACAGATACAATAAATTTTGAAACGTTTTATTTTAACTCAGATTAACAGATTGCTATCATTAATGAAAACATTTCTCCCGTGAACTTGAATTAAGTTTTTCTTTGTTTGTTGGAATTTTCCTAAAATTTTCTTTGTGTTTTTATAATTTAATATTTCATGAAAGATTTTCAATTCCACAATTGAATGAGTAGAAAAAGATTCTTGTTTCAGTGGTTCAACAACAATGTAATTTACAGCATCTCAAATCCCACCGTTTTCATTAAAACAGTTGTGATGGAAAAACCAAACAATTTTTCGTAAATTTTGCCACTCAAATCTCTTAATCCAATGATAGAAATACGAAGCTCAACATTTTCACTGTCATCTTAAGTTGTGATTGTCTTCTTTATGATAATTTTATATTTTTTGATCAAGGAAAAGGAAAGGGAAAGGAAAATTGGAGTCGGGAAATTAAAGGAAGGGAAAAGTTTAAAAAGAACATTAATTATCTATCTAATTGTAGATAACATCGTAAATGGCCCAAGGCAAATATTCAGCGATGAGTGTCTTGACTTTTTCTTCTCGTGTAATTGGCGTGTAGCGAGGCAATGGGAAAGCTCTATGAATAGCATCGATGAGTGTATGAATGGCGGGTGTCAAATCAACAGTAACCTTTGTGTAACGTTCCAATTGTCGAATTGTGAACTCGAAATACTTTTCATCGTAAACCTCGAAACGTTTTGAATCACTCATGTTTTTCCACATAACTTTGGCTTGCTCCAATAAATCTTCGTTGTCCAACCAAGCAGTTCCGGAAGCGAATTCCCCAGCAGCAACGACAATAACATTAACTTTATGTTTCCGCATTTCTGATCTCAAACAAAGTGCGAAACTCTCGAGAGCGTTATGAACAGCTGTCTGAATACCGCGAACTGGATTGTAGATTTTCGCTAAAGCTGATGTCAAGAAGATAAGACGACCTCCACCGCGACGAATGAGTGGCATCATAACTTGTGTTAAACGAACAGTATTAATGATGTTTACTTCCAAAGCCTTTTTCAAAATATCTTGTGGAATCCATTCGAGTTCACCGACTGCAGTCCATTGATCACATGGTACGAATGCCCAAAGTCCAATAGCCCCGTCTGGCAAGTGAGTTTCAATGAACTTTACAGCTTCTTGCATCTATTGACAAATGAGATCTAAAGATAGATAAACGTTGTATCGAATTTTTGTTTATTTATGTACCTGCGATTCCGATGAGGCGTCAAGTTGAAGAACACGAACGCGTGCGGAACATTCATCCTTCATCAGTTCAGCTTGAGCGTTGTCAGCGACTTCTTTAAAACCTGCGAACACTGTAAATCCCATGTCATCGAGTTTCTTGCATAAATACCACGCCAATGGAAAGTCACAGCCAGTGATTAAAATTGCTTTTCCTTGTGACGATACCTGACAATATTTAAATAAGATTTAAATGAGAAATCTTCCTTACTAAATAAATCATGAAAGCAAATGCTTTTCATTTCAGGTTGAGTATCTTTAAGTATTATTAAAAATTAATTTTGCTTAAAATGAGCAAGCTTTCTGCTATTTATCATAGTTTCTGAAATAAAATGAATCTAAAGTTCATCCAAAATACATTTGTGGGAGTGCAGCATGGCGCTTATGTTTCCATTAATTATGCAACAAATATTTTCGAATCATAAACTTCAGAAAGCTATGAACGATTCAAGATCATTTCAATAAATATTTATTTCAAGATATTTTTAAAGGGCTTTGCACCTGCTTTTAAGCACGCCTAGAAAAACTAAAATGAGTACATAAATTACTAATAAACATAAATAATTAATCTTTAAGTGTTTGTTTTGAAATTCATTTAATTGAGTTAGACTCAGCAGTGGTATTAAACATCATAACAATGAATACTTAAAGCGATTTTATGTCTTTTTCTTCTTTGAAAATGAAAAATTAATTTGAAATCTTCATAACAAGAGAGGCTGTCAAAATCGGCACGATTAGAATATTTTCTTTAAACGTTCACGCGCTTAAAGTAAGCACGGAAATTTTAATATCTTGAAAAGAAAAGTAATTTCAAAATTTCTCGAAGATATTAAAAACTCGTTGGCGAATAAAATGTTGCAAAAATATTTATAGCAACACGATCATATGCGAACTTCTTCTTTAAATCTATAATTAAAAATTTCTTTCAATTTTTTCTACTTTTATATATTTTCCTTTCGGTTTGCTTCTTTTTATGTCATATATGAAACAGCAGTGGCAAATGCGGTGAATTTTGAGGCTTTTTAGTATTGTCCGGGAAGAGTTTTCTTTCAGCTTTCTGAATGTGAGTGTTGCTAAAAATAAATTTCTCGCTTTGCCAGTTGCTGGTTGGGAAGTTGCCCGGCGTCTGTTGGAATTTATCCAGACGACGAAATATCTTACTTTCCGATCGTCTTTTGCATATATACGACGCTACTGACCTTAAAAATCTCTTGATGAAATGTTTGAATATTTCAACATATCTATGATATATATGCAAATAAAAATATATGTGTGAATGTCGTGTGAATGAAAACATCACGTCCTCTTAGTGAGGATGGGAGCGAGACGAAAATATCCGAGATGAGTAAGGGAATTTCACTATTGTTGTTTGTCGAAGTCAACAATAAACAGCTTAAAAATGGCATTTTGTTTGTAATAATTTTCCTTCGTCTTTAATAATAATCACAACACAAAAGAGGTGAAGGAGTTTCATAGAACAGAAATGTTTGATGAATTTGCTGATTTCTAATATAGTTTGTATAATTCATGTCTCTTCCCACTCATCTGGTCGCTAACACGATTCATCAAATGCTTAGTTTTTGATGAAATGAAGACAAGGTTATTAAAAATTCAAAGTTTCGTGTCATTATTAACAACATAAATTCATCTTTTTTCGAATTGATGTAAAGAATATACACGCAAACTTCAAAGAGATTAATAGACTGTGGTTGATTGTATAAACAAAATAGAATTGCATAAATAAATATTCGCTTCAACTCATTCATTTCATTATTTAATGGAAATTCACCAGAAGCCTCAATATCGCGTTAAAAGAAAATAAAGGCTTGAAATATACAAAGATCGTGTTGATCTGCAGTTTTTAAAGAAAAAATAGAATTTATAGATAGAAAACTCACCTTAAGATTATGATAGAAAAGCGTCAAGACAATTGTAGCGAATGAGAATAAGAAGAAGATTCCAAACGTTGAGAAGGCGAATTTAATTTCAAAAATTTCCATCAAGGCTGTAAAAAGGATCGCCAGAGCATGACAGTAAAGAATTGGCAGGAATAATCTGTCGAAAATATCCCATGGGACTTCTTTTGAAATCGATTGTACAATACTACCGCGACGGATAGATTCATGTCGTAACGACATTCGACGTCTTTCAAAGTTTTGAGCCTTTGACGATAAAAATAAAAGATATTTATATTTTAATGATTTGTTGAATCATACAAATAGCTCATGTCAACTGCAGCTGCTGCAACTAATCAAGCTAATTAAATTAAATAATTTCTACTCTCTTCACCTGCATTTTGCCGGTAAATTGTCTTCACCAAAAACACCTCTAATTGCTATGTTATATTTTTAATAACAAGTTCCAAAAATTTCTTTTTCCCCGTCCACAAAAGTGCTTAAGTGAACTTCGTTCTAAAATTAAATCAGGGAGAAAGATTATGAAATATTTTTCTCTTCACAAAATTACATAAGTATCGCGATCGGAGCTATAAAAATATCAGCTCCGGTGGAAAGATTTCCATAAATATATCATGAATATTTTCCCGTTTTATTAAAAAAAAATTTAATTTGATTTAGGTAATTATTTTAGAATCATGAATAAATTTTCAATGATTTGATATTCGTTTTCCTTCTTTTAATTGGAAAAATCGATAAATTATTTTTTCCGCTTAGATAACTTTCATAAGACTTTTCTTTTATTTACATTATATCCCGTTTCAATTTAATTTTTCCTCCGTTGAACCACTCGTCACGAATTTTCAGAATATACTAATTTCTCAATCTTGGCGGTTCGTCGAGAAAAAAGATTATTGAGATGATATTTTTTTTTGAAAATGATCTTAACGAGCCGAAAAGTCTTAATAAATTAAAACAGCCGAAGATTCTTCTTCTGTCTGACTTTATGCCGGTGCTTATTTTTGAGATCAGTTCATTATTCTCTCAAGAGTCTTGAATGTTTGCTTGACCACAGATGAATATGAAAAGAAAAACAACATTTTCTTGTTTTTACAATTCACGTGTAGAAAAAAAACTGAGATTTTTCAATTTTTCTCATTGTGAAATTTTCACTTCGTTTGACATGAATAAATGAAGAGTCAGGAAAGAATATAAATAACTCATCGCTTGAAAAAAGTTTATTGATCTTGAGTCTGTTTACAAAGAAAGTTAAAGCTCAGGACGTTTTCTTGAGATTACAAGTATCTGCTAATGGAAAATATTTATCACAGAATGTAATAAAAAATTGTTTTCAAATTGCATGGCATTTTCAATTTATTTCGAGAACAAGAGCTCATTAACTTAATTGTTTTCTTTATTCAGTTAAAACCGTGCATCAACAGAAAACTTTTATTAATTATATTTCTATCATAAATCTACGTTCAAAGTTTGATTAATAAAAGTTGCGACGTTAAGCATATTTTAAGATGAAATGCTTAAACAAGGAAATTTATTTCGTTGTAAAATGACGATCTGAAGGGTTTTTGTTGATTTTAATTTTTCTTAAATTCAAAACAAGAGTAACTCAAAGATGATTGAAAATAATTTTAACATTTCAAAAATCGTTGGCACTTCATTTGGTGAGGTTCTCTCGAAGCATTTGGTGAGTTTCTCTCTCATATGTTTGAACCGGTTCGATAATTGTGAATCAGCCTTTACAATTTCAGAGTCTTCAGCAGTATGATTAGAAAAAAGTTAAACATTTGTTTGTTCCGACTGAAATCAAAATAAATAGCTTCAGGAAGTCAGTTAGCCCATAAAAAATATGTAAACCGCAAGAACTACCTACATAGCTTGCAACGAAGACTGCGGAAATATTATCGATTAAGTTAGTTATAAGGTATGAAAAGTTTGCATATAGATGAATTGGAAAAATTTTCATCTCGATGAAGATTCACAAGATTAGAAATTTTTATTTGTTTGTCAGTGACGATAAGAAAATTATATTTAGAAATGAAATAGATACTTGTAAACCTACGTAATTCGAATGATGTATCACACTATCTATTTGAATTATTCATTCTCGTATCAAGTGTTTGTGCAAAATAAGAAGAATTGGCAAAAATATTGCAGAAAAATCTTAAACTATCGATTTTATTTCTTTCTTTTAATTCCTGTGAATTATTTCCTTTTCAAGAAGATAATATTTCTTGGAATGCATTTACACATCCATTACGTAAACATTAAATCAAAGAGTAGTATTATTCCTCCCCTTTTAATGAAGTGGTGCATGAATTAATGAGCAACTTTCTATTCATAAAAAATCTGCATAATTACGAATGTTAAACAATTTCTACAGCAGCATAAAAAGTAAAATAAACATTGCGTGCAGTTAGTTCACATTTTCGGCAAATGCTTGCCATAAATTCCTTTACTTAATAATCAAATTGCTGCTATAAAATTTGCAAATTAATGTCAATTTTGATTACAATTTCTCATGTTTCCTACTTTCCTTCCTGTTTATGTAAATATTACAATTGAAGTTAAAGTAATTTGTGTGTAAGGTGATGAAAAGTAATTCTATTCGTCCTTAAACACGAACAACATTTAATACTGCAGTGAATATGTTCCTGTAATTTATCTGACTTCCTTTATTTCAATTAGGTTTCCATGACTAAGTGGTTTGAGTGAATTCCTTCTACTATTTTCATTTGTCTCGTGTATAAAATATTCAAAGCATAGATAATTCTGAACAGCTTAAAAAACAAGAATATTTTCAAACATATCTTGTTCAACTGAAAATGAACACACGAAAAGCATTTATTGTCCCAATTTATTGTGTTAGTTTTATGACGAAGATAACAACATACATATGCTTGATTTACATATCGATTGTGAGTAGTTTGCTGTCAGCTTCAATAAAATTCAAGTAGCATTTGATTGTTATGTTGATAGTAATTTATTTACTCGAATTGATAAACGAGGGCGCAGTGAATTTTAACTGAAAAAAATGGAATCGCGTCACAAAAAGAAATTAATTTTGGTTAGGAGGTAACTAAGTTCGTGACGATTTTCATTAATCCTTTCGTCAAAAAAAAAATTCTTTTAGAAATTGAAGACATTAAGTATAATGACAACACTCAAAGTACTGTATTAATTATTAATATTCGCGTAACATGATGTTGTACCACCCGAAACAAAAAACTGATAACCTTGTTGATAATAAACAAATCATTTTCTTCTTTTTTAGAATAAAAGTTGGTTCGTCTAATGAAGCGACATTAATGTTAATGGATTACCAGTTATGGCGTTTCATTTAAGCCGAACGCTAGCAATAAAAGCAGCGTTAGTGGCTGGACTGTTACTTATCTTCTTCAATTTGATTGGTTTGCGATTAGAAATTAAATTCGATAAGTCGCCTATCAATTCAGCACATACAAGGTAAGAATTCTCGAATATGTGCCCGATGTGAGCGTTTTTAAAGCTTAAACTTTAATGAACTCATAAGTGCCATTCACGATTGTTTGTTTAAAAAGTTGCTACTTGTTAATTGGCTACTAAACAACAAACAAGTTCAAATCATTTCAATCTTCATCATTTAAATATGCAGCTTACTTCAATTCCTTCTTATTTCAGTTCAAGTGACTACGTAAATTGAATAATCACAAAGTATTAAGAATAATTGAAAGTCTCAGAAAATAAACAAGAAGCGATTCTCAAATTTCAAAACATCAAAGTTCTAAATTCTTTCTTACTTTCTCAAGTAAAAAAGTTTTTCCTAAACTTTTCTTTGATTTAATTACCTTTCTTCAAAGAATTAAAATTCAATTTAACTTTTTCTTTACTTTTAAGCAGCGTACCTCTCCAATGGCCAAAACGAACGCACACAAACTTCCATCATGCACATGTAACTTCACCAACAACCAAACAAACTCCAATTGAAACACTTGATGGAAATCAAAATTTAACAACAGCAACAAATCTTACAACAGACAACAATGTTGCCTCAAACAACTTGAATAAATCAACAACAAATGTGGAAAGCGCAAAAGATATTCTTTATAGTGAAAATGGTGATATTAAGTTTAATATTCTCAATAGACATATTGATGAAGCAGTAGATTTAGTAAATAATAATAACAGTAGAAGTAACATTAGCAGAGTTGCAACGACGACAACAAATGTCGCTCTTGAAATGCACCACAAAGTCAAACATAAAAAACCGATAGTTAAAAAGACAAAATATCAAGACTTTGATGCCAGTTTAGTGAAAGATGAAGGAATCCTCAACAGTATAATGAAAGTTTTCGGTTTAAATCAATGTCCAGTAACACCACCCGACTTAGTTGGTCCAATTGATGTTGACACGTCACCAGAATATATCGAACATGTTGAACAAAGATTAACGGGTAAAATCTCTCCAGGAGGACGATACAAACCTTCAGAGTGTCGTGCAAGAGACCGCGTTGCAATTGTTGTTCCCTATCGTGATAGAAAGCAACACCTACCGATTCTGTTTAAAAATCTTCATCCATTTTTAATGAAACAGCAAATCGATTATGGGATATTTTTAATCGAGCAGTCAATCGATGGTTCATTTAACCGAGCGAAATTAATGAATGTAGGATTTGTTGAAGCTTTGAAGTTATATGAGTGGGATTGTTTTGTGTTTCATGATGTCGATTTGCTGCCAATGGATGATAGAAATTTGTATACTTGTCCTGATCAGCCTCGCCACATGAGCGTCGCCGTTGATACTTTTGGATTCAAGTAAGAATTTTTATGACGATAGTAGTTGGGTTGGATGATTGTCTATCCAAACCACCATCAGTTTAGTTAATAATTAAACGAATAACATTGAAATCTTTAGATTGCCGTACTCATCAATATTCGGTGGTGTTTCATCAATGACCACGAAACAGTTTAAAGCTGTCAATGGTTTTTCGAATTCGTTTTGGGGCTGGTGAGTCAACTTACTTAACACGATGAGTGTTAATAAAATATTTGATTGATGATTATTTCGTTACTTACGTTTATTTAACACAGGGGCGGTGAAGACGATGATTTATCGAGACGGTGAGTTATGCAATTTAAGTTAAATGTTTATTTATTTTTTATTAACTCAAAACTGCTAATTTTTAACTCATTTCAATTAAATTTCTCAACCTTTGGAGAAAAAAGAAAAAAAATATTTTGACAGCAGTAAATCACAAAAGCATAAATTTCTGCAAATATCTTACGTTGATCTCTTTTTCTTGTCTCGATTTCAATTCAAAGATTAAAGCATGTTGGTTACCACATAGCACGATATCCGGTCAACATCGCTCGTTACACCATGCTGACACATAAGAAAGAAAAGGCAAATCCAAAACGGTAAATTAAAAACCATCAACGCTGTTTCCACCAAAGTGTTAATGAGACATTGTCTTAACTTTATTCTTTATTTCTCTTTTCAACGTTTCATCTTTGCCAGCTATGAAAAATTGGTGACAGGCGCCAATCGCTTCAACACGGACGGTTTGAACTCGCTGAAGTACAAACTGCTTTCAGTTGAGCTACGTCCACTTTATACATGGATATATGTTGAAATCACACCGGAAACAGTAAGTTCATGATCAATTGCGTAGTGAATATGTAGATCGTCATGTCATCAAACGTACATTGATCAGAATATTCAATCCCGTTTACAATTTGCAGAGCTGATGAACGAAATCGACAGAAGAAAATTTGTTTTGGTTTTTCGTGCAATTGTTAAAAGTTTTATTCTTATTTATTCTATAAGTAAGTAACATTCCAGTTGGTATGCTAAACAGTTATTAAAAGCTGCCGAAATGTAAAAAGAATGACAAACAAAAGATCTCAAATCGTTTTATGTTTTCAATCGCTTTTGATTGATTAAAAATATTTTTGTTGTGTTTCAAATTTTTTAAAGATCAAAAAATTAATTTTTTATTTCATGTTGTTTGTTTATCTTTATGAAATTTATGTTGGAAATCAGATTAACTTCAAAGCTATGTAAGAATAGATATGGAACGCTTTTGCTTCCGTCCAGGAACCTCGAATAAAATGCTTTTAAACAAACAAATAATTATTATAAATGCAAAAGACAGAAATGACAAAAGAATCAATTTAGCTACTTAATTTCTACAATAATTAAACAGTTTTGGAATATTTCCTACTTCATTAACACGAAAAAAATCTTAGCAAAGACCAAAAATCAAACAAATTTTGATTAAATGAATAATCTCGAATTAAAAATGAGACTCAACAGTAGATTCTTGAATATTCATGCTTAAGATCCAACAATTTATTAAAATTTGTAACAAAACTTCAATCTACTTACCAATTTTCTTCAAACTACAATTTTTTAAGATATTTTCCTTGACTCAACTTTGTAAAATTTCCATAAAAATCTCAGAATTAAATGATCTGATTCAAGTTTTGGACTATTTAACTTGACATGTTCAATGGAATTAAATTCTGATATATCGACATAAATTTGATTAAGTTTAGATGATAAATTATTCTTTAGTTGTATTAAATTAAAACCAACTCAATTAATTAATTTATAAATTTTTGTATCGCGTAACATTCCAGTAAACTTTAATAAATTCCCAAGAATCTGAAGTTTTTGATCTTTCAATTGAAAGAAGATCTAAATAAATATTAAAATGTTAAGAGAATTAGTTAACAATTGTTGCTTAGTGTTTATTAAAATTGTTTGAAAGTTCATTATGGATTAGTAAACATTTAACTTGATCGCCAATGTTTAATGAGTTTAATTTATAAAAGAATTTATTTGTTAAAAGATTTCGTTCAGTCATTCGTGTTTACGATGACTACAAATGCAACATTCCTTCAAAAGGGGCGGTCAACGAGGGAGGTTTTTATTGCAGTATTATGGCATTATCTCTTTCATCTCCACGATTCTTGCTTACCTTCTTATTTCCTCCGTCGAAGCAATCATACACTCGGAGCAAGAGTTGAACGCACATTGCATCACAAGAACGAACGCTGATTTATCAGCATCTTGACTCTCGAGAAAACAAATAAAGACAAATGAGTTGAACGAAGTAAATGAAAGAAATCTTCCAATAGATGAACTAATAAGAAAATATGCCACAAGACAAAGAACAAAACAAAACTCTCAAATTAAAATATATTTTTCATTGAATACTTATAAATAATAAAAAGAAAATCAGATTAAATAGAAGAAGCTTTTGATCTGATTCAAAATATAAACGAAGAAGAAAGAAACTTTTTGTGCAAAAGACTTGATGTTTGTGAAATGTGTAGAGAGAGAGTCTCGTGTAAGATTCGCACTCATTTGATAATTGAGAAATGATAAGACACGCCTGTTGTGAAATGTTTAAGGATCTTATTTTCCTTCTCACTCTCTTGATCTTCCCCCAATTTTCCAAAAAGATTTTTACTATAATAAATATGACTTTTAATAAATCGCAATAATCTTAAGCCAAAGCTGAAATTATTAGCAGACTTAAAATCATAAGTCGTATGAATCTCTTTTCCTTCCTCAAGTACATTCAATGTCTGGTTGATGTTTATTTAGTTAAGTCTTAAGGAACATATTTCGAGATAAAAGTTTTATTTCTTTCGTTTTTAAGAAAGGCATTTAATAAAAGTCTAAATAAATATTCTCGCGGTGCTTGAGGGTCGCTAATCAATTGTTTGTGATCAGAAGAGGAAAAAAAGAGGAGCGGAGAGGTGGAATATTGAATATTGAGTATCGTATTTGTGCATCTCAAAGCGTAAAATGATATTAAAAGTGCAAATGATACAAGAGCCGCGGAAATAAATCATTTTAGCGCGAGGCTTGAAATATGTTTGAGACTTGCGAAGCCGAAAAAAAAATTTTTCTCTTTGCGGTAAAAACTTTGAGAGCCTTGCTTTTAATAAGATTGGCATCTATTTGCGAGTTGTTATTAATAAAGACAACAAGATATTTCTCCTCGTCTGTAGGCTGTTCGTAAGATATTTTTTCGTTTCTAAAGAGGCAAGTGCATGCACGCATTGAAGATTCTTTCAAAGTAAAGTTCGAGATCCTTTATAAATTAAAAGCGAGATGAAAGTTTCAAGAATTTCATTTCGAAATTTTAAACCAAACATTGACAAATTTGTAATCTCATGCAGGGTTGTAAAAGTTAAGACAAATTATTTGAGCTTTTGAAAGTAAAATGAAAAATTTGGGAGCAATTTCGAAATATTCCAAAATTTATCTGTTAATTTGCACAGTTCAAAACAACAGATAATTACGGAATGAGATTTGCGGTATGGTTTTTGATCTCCAATCTCGCGCTTTCCTACTTTGATTAGTTTTCAATGGCGTTGAATGAAATCATAAATAAACAAAATTATTATAATCTCTCCGGACATTTTCTTTCTCCCGTTTGCTGTAAAACAAATTAATAAACTAAGATAAGGAAAAGAAACATTTTTTTCTTCTTGAATTATGCGAATGAGATAGCGAAAAGTAACAACATGAGAAATGAACATTTTTGACTCTGATATGATGTAGAAGATTTTTGGAAACAATATAAAAACGTAGAAATTCTTTTTAGAGAATTCTTGTAAGCATCTAATAGATAACTAAGATGATTGAACAAAGATTTGTTATCAACAAAGAAGAAACACTTTCATTAATCATGATTGTAAATCAATCCATGAAATTTAACAATGATGGATAATTGAAATGCTGATCTATAAAAGAATGACGAAATAATAAAACAAAATCTTTGAAATTAATAGTTTATTGTGTTTGAACTTTACAGAAAATATTGAAGAGATTTAGATATGTCTGATCAAAAACAACTTTATTAGGATTTGTTTTGTAATTGCTTCATGAAAAATATTTATTTGCGTGGGTGTTTTGATATTTAGTGACGCTAGTTAATTCAGTCATGTTTAAGATGTTGGTTAACGCTTTGTATAAATAATAAAAAGTATTGCGAATCTTGTTTACTTACAACTTTTATAAAAGCAAACAATCTCGTGCAAGTAAAAATAACGCTAAGAATCTTACGTGAGGTCGATATAAGCTCGTTTATCTATTTAAACTAATCAGAGGTGAGTTTTAACATGCTTTGTCGAATGAAAAGAAGAAGAATGAGCCAACGGAACGTATGTATATAATTACAATCGATTTCGCCGCAAAGTCAAGAAAATATACCGCAGAATGAGAAAAATTATTATTGTGGGCAGAAAATGTTTCTGATAAGGACTCTTCCTGATCGAGGTAGGTTTATTGGGTAATGATGTAAAGTCAGAAAGAATTATAAAAGCAGTAACGTAGATTTTTCCTTGTTTGGATAATTTCCACAAGAAATTGTTTCGCAAGGAATCTTTTAATTAAAGTCACAGACTACGCTATTGAACGCAGCAATGTTTGTTTTACGATTGATGCCGTAGGTTTATTAAAGAAAATTAATAAATGGATTATGGTTTATTATCACGAAATTGTGATCGTAATTTAATTAAAACCTTCCAATTTCAGAAACATTTCCCAGAACTCTTTTATTCACAACAAAGTTCAATCATTTTAATGGTCAGTGAGAAGAAGTTATTGCGCCGAATATTTTAGCAACATTAATCCTTGTCTAATTTACTTTCGTACTCGAGAGAGAATTGTGCTAAATAACTTTTTCGTAACATTAATCTTACGATTCGCGCATAATCCATTTATCGCTGCTTCTGCTGATTGCGCAGATTTTTCGAATGGTTGCTTAGCTTCACCTCATACATCAACCTCAATTAGGGCGCGGGAATATTCGATACTTAAATATTTATTTCTTGTAGCATTTCCGAAAATATGAATTACAAAACAGCAAAGAATAACTTTCGGGTTATGCTCGCATTTTCATTGTATTGTTGTTGCGGCACGCGCTTGACATCATCTTCATTATGATCATTAATGATAATTTACAGTCTGTCGCAAGATATGTAAGTGTGCAATATGAATCTTCGAAGCGAATAATGCGAGCGCATAAAAGAAAGAAAATTACGGCAATGACAGCTCGCTGTCTCCAAAATGATAATAATACAAAATTATCGTCGTAGATTGCGCAGTCTGATCTTGAGCTTTTGAATTTTACTGACATGACATCGAAAACACCGAAAATCTTTTAACTTATGTGGGCTTGATTTCAGTGATTCCCTTTTATTCGCTGTTGTCACATGCAATTAATTGGAGAAGAAAAGATTTCAATGCCGCAACTCAAGAGCAACTCCAAATTGAAAAAAAATTATTTGGATTTATCTAACTAATAATAATAAAATTTTACTGCTTCACTCGTATTTTTATTTTACATAAAGAGAAGAAATTTTAATTTGATTTAAAATTTCTTATTTTCGCACAGAGCGAAACTAATAATTGATTGTTTTTGACCTTCCTTGATCATGTCGTGTCATTGGCAGAAATTATAAGTTAAGTAACATCAACTCTGATTAAATCACAAGAAATTCTTATAAATATGTGCCTTGACGTGACTTTCATGCAATCCCCATTAGACAAAACAAAGTAAAAGTCCCAAGACAACCAACTATCATCTGTGACTTATGATGATTTTCAGATTCAAACATGAATTTTGATGGCAAACATTGAATAATTTCTGTCATGGGTTTGTTTGTGGGCTGATGTTAAATTTCTTCTTTTTCCTTCCTTCGCTTTTGAGGACAGGAAATCATCAAAATATTAATCTCCAAAATATATTTAAAAAAAGAAAAATTATTGAGTAAAGAACATGCTCATGTAATATTTGTGTACACATCACATCGAGAGGTAAAAAAGCGAAGAATTATTATAATTCACCAGTCACACCCTGATTTGTGTCTCGATAGTCGCTCGATCAGAGTGAAATCTCTTTTTTAGTTCCTTTCCCTGTGCACAGATTGACTTTGGCAATGAGTTTTAAAGAATTTGCTTTCAATATGAGTGAACTTTAATTACATTGCATTATGTTAATCATTATGTATCACTCACAACATTCATATTTTGTACTTTGTTTGGGGTGGAAAGAATGGTTGTCATTAATCAATAAACTGGGTGTTTAAATTTAAATTTCATGTCAACTTTTTACCGAAATTAAATGTTAATTAACCTCCGTGAGTTATTTGTCATTTTGATTAACAATTTTTCAATATCATCGCATCGAAGCGGCTTAATCTTTACGAGTAAGTTCAAGCATGTTTGAATGAAATTCATTGCGTTTATTTCGTGAATATTTCAATGATCATTTATAAAGTTTTTTTTTATTTATATTTGAACAGAGCGAGAGACACATCAAACAGAGTGACGACCTCCCGCTGCTTCATATGTGATTGATATAATAAGAATCTTAACGTAGCTCTACCATAGATACGAGTAGATTCACTACATCCGACTTGAGATGTCAAGTAAGAGATTCAACAACAACTAATTCAAGGGTACACGCATCGAAGTTGAAATCGAAGAAAACAAAAATAAAAACAACGATTGATGGAAAGCGAAGACGAAATATCGTAGAATGGATCTCTGGGATTTTTGTGAACGAAACTATTAATCATTTTGAGCTTTATGAATTATTTCTTTTCTCTTGTGCCACTTGCGTAACATTCATTGAGAATTTCTTTCTATAATTCTTTATGCTAGACATCAAGTCAACGCTCTTCTGTCAAACACTCTTAATGCGATTCTCTTGTTCAACTTGTTACGATCTTTCTTACTTCGTCGAATTCACTATTATAAATTTAATAGTTTCGAGTGTGAAAATTAATCACAACAAGGGCTACCTACAATGACTTTGAGTGAATATTAGATAAAGATTTATTTACTTCAAACGGCTACTTCAAAAATAAATATTTCTCCTTTTGGTGACAGCTTTCTAATGAATGGTCAAGTTTTATGAGATTAAGCAAATGAATTTATATTCAACAGGTTTTTGCCTTACTTTATGTTCTTCGCTGTTACAATGTCCAAGAGAAAAACAATTTCGTGCAAGTTTATAAAGTTAGTCGACTGAATCAGCGATCAGAAATTAGCAAAGCAATTTTTCTTATTATCACTTCTCCGTTTAATTACTTTACATGAAAAAGTAAAAATCTAGAGTACAGTTAATTTAATGCTAATTAAATTCATACGAAATATCCGGTGGTGTTTTTTATGAGTGAATATTTTCAGTGTCGCAAGGGAATGTGGACAGAAATGGGAATGAAGTTGTAGATATTTACTAAGTAGTTGAATTGAATCTATTAGCTATGAAATAATAATAATAACTTCATTTATTGGCAAATATCTTCACATGGATCTTTATGATTCAATCTTATGATTGCAAACAATGAATGGAAAATTATAATTAGCTAACTGTAGCCCTATCCAAAGTGCCTTCTTTACTTCATTATTTTTTCTTGTCAGATACTTTCAAAAACTTTTACCCTTCTCTAATTTTTCTTGCATTATTGCTAGTTTCATAGTTAGCAAAAAACGAAATAAGAGCAAAAAGAATATAAAAATTGTAAAATATTCTTAAGAAAATTTATGCATGCATACTAAAGTGTTTGAAATTGTAAAACAGATACAACAAAAAAAACTTAAGGCTGAAAAGAAACACTAAAAGAAATCATTGCGTTTTGCTCTGTTAACGTGAGAATTTTCTAATCTGTGAGAAAAAACCTTTTCTTTGACTTCAAGTTGACTTAATGTCTTTAAGATTTTTTTTTGTGTTTTGCTTTTACGAGGCTTGCGTTTTAATAACGAATGGTTTTTACTGAAATATTTACCGCTGTGCATGTTAGAGTAATTAAAAAGATTATAATTAGTATATTGCGTTCTATGAGTAGAAATGAGCGCTCAGGGTTTAACTTTAATTTAAAGTTTAACTTTTTTAATTACTCTCCATTTATTATCCACATACATGTGAATGCTTATTATACAAATTCAAAGAAGTTTATTTATTGTTGATAAACTTTTTGTTGTGAAAAACAATTTGATTAAAAAAAGTTCATTTGATCATTTTTCTAATTGAAATTTATTTTTAAATAAAGATCAATTGCTGACCCAATTCAATTCAAAACTTCAGCTTTTTAAAAACATTCTAGAGAATTAAATATGAAATAAAACCTCATTACAATTCAACGCTTGACTGATTTTAAGTCTAGGGCTCGTCATCGTAACCTTGTCTTCCCTTTGTAAACTGAGGTTGATCAGATGGTTCTGACGAATTCTCATTAATAACAAATAAAAAAGTTCTCTCAACTTGTTTTATTCACAAAAGAAATAAATTTGAAATTTATGTGAAGCATTTGAAATGTTTGACAAAATTGCAACATTTCATTTGACGAGTATCGTTAATTGTTTCATTTCATACCGCACATGGTTACATGGAAATCTTTGAACCAATAGCATGTATCTCACTGATTCGAGGGTGGGGTCTACTCAACATTATTGAGTAAAATAGCCATGTACAGACGATATCGACAGAACAACACATTCACACTCATACATTAAAAGCAAAACTGGCAACAGACGAACGAGATTTGAGAAAGAGATGAATCTATGTGTAGTGAAAGATCAGCAATTTATGAATTGTGTTACGAACTAAGTTGACAGTATTTCATTTATTTTCAATCTCAATTTCAAAACATTCCTCATATAAAATTCAAAATTCAACTTGCTGCTGTCATCAGGAGCTTTGAAGACTCTTCAAGTCCGATGGTTGAGTTTCTGAAGGATTTACGAACGGTCTACGTTTCAAGACAACTTTTTTTTTCGGTACAAATGCGAATAAAATTTGAATTCATTAGCATTTTAAAAAATTTATATGTATTTTATTTATTGATTATTTAAATTTATTGAGGCATCAGCAGTGAACATTTTACTCGAATTTTTCGAAATGGAAGTCGAGCTGAGAAAACGTTTAAAATGGAAATTCTTTCTTCGTTTCTTATAATTCTCGACGAGGCTAAAGAGAAAAGATACAAAAATACAAGAAACAGATACAAACTGTTGCAATGTCAGCGACGAGAGATGGATTTGAAATTCCGTTTGTTTCACTTAATTTATTCAATGCAAATTTAAGTGGAATTTTAGTGCAATTCAAAATATGAACTGTTTCATCAGCACTTGAGAGATTCTGCAATTGGCTGTAACATGAAATGAGGTTGATTTTTAAGAGATTCATTTTCCCTTGGATCATAAATTCATCACTCGTCCGACTAAGATTCAGTCGATCATGAATAAATTCTGCTAATGTTTCAGCATGCAGGTAAATCACCTATAAAGGTGTCAATCATTTTTGGAGGATTTTTTCAACAATGGACTTTAAATTAAAAATGATGATGATGAGAAAGTTTGATGTTTTAATGTCGAACTGTTTTGAAATTAATTTTGGTTAGATTTTGTTTTGTTTTGAGTAGTTCAACGACATCCGCTTTTGATTGAGAACAAAGACAATGTGCATCGTTTTTGCATTATCAAATGTGGTAATCTGAAGTCCTTTTTTGACGATTTAAAGACTGAAATGCAAAAAGATAATTAAGTGAGCATTGTTAAGTGACATCGATAATTAAAATAAATATTTTTATGACGCGAAATCTTCATTTGATTGTCCAAGGAAGGCCGAAGGACTTTGTATGATAATTTTTCAATCCTATTTCAGTCTATAAATGTCTTTTGTTTTGTAAACCGGTTTCGGTGAAATTTAAAAGTACTTTAAAAGAACAATAATTACTTTTTCATATAACACCGTAAAGCGCAAGCGTTCGCCTCAAGAATTTGAGGACGATGAATGCCTTTCCACGATGTCATATATGATTTCCTTTTTAACGTCGACGCCTTTGGAATTTTAAAAGCGGTTAAATGAAATATTCTTCAGCAATTATGTTCTCGAGCATAAAACCAAACATCGATAGAGAAAATAAATAAAAATGCCGTCGTTCGAACACCAATTCATTCATTATCGAACAAGATGTAACATGACGAAACTCTTAAAACGATCATCACAGCAAATAAAAATTCACATCACAATCAGATCGACCGCAAAAAAATGATGAAGATTTTTTGAAGGTAGGGAATGTGTAAAATTTCAAGTATGACAAGAAACAGCAATATTAATGCTGTGATGCAACATCAGCCAACATACTTTTTATTGCCGCAGTTAATGAAAGACAAAAAAAGGAGCTCGAAGCTGTTTTTTCTTGAATTTAAATTGAAATATTTTGTCATTTATCTGAATTGAAGCACTTTCAAGTCTCATAAAGGTGATGAATCAACAAGTGAATGGTACAAATTTTGACAACGCTGGCGTTTTAATGAGAAAGAAATCAAACAATTCACAAAAAGTGAAGGAAAATATCGTAGCTAATAATTCATGCAAAGCTTGTGTTAACGTTAAGTAAGAAAAGGCGTCTGTCGGTGGACAGTGAAAGAGGCCAAAGAATCGATTGAGCGTCGAACAATTTATTAAGTATGTTTGATACGTCTTGTAATCGTTTTGATCATATCTCACTTTATTTCAGTTGCGTGTTGCGTTTTAGGAAACGTTCACAAAGCCCTATATGGCAACTCCTTTTTGATTTTTCTTTGTGAATCGTCGTTGAATCTTTTGTTCTTCTCTCCCATCATCACCATCACATTTCTTTCATAAATGTAACTCAACAATTTATTTGATTTTGGCGAAGAAATATTAAATTTTTCACGCGCTTTTTATTGTTCCTTCGCTTATTGTTCATTGCAGAAATTATTAATTAATTTAATTATTTCATAAATATTTATGAAGTGTTACTTAGCCATGCACAAGAGGACAGTCATTAACAGATTGTTCCTCGTTCCACATTGTTTTCTTTAGTGTCACTTAAATGCAAAGCTATGCGATGACTTTTTATGAATGTTTCGTTGTTTACAATGAAATAAAATTAATCAAACTACATTAGATATTTGCTACTAATATGATGACAACTTTCAAATCGTTGAAACATTTTAATCGTTTCTTTGGAAATAAGTAGGTAAATCTAATCTAATAAAAGACAAAAGAAACTTGATACGACACTAGATTTCTTTTCATGTTTGTTCTTTTACAACGCATTTGTTAATGTCGTCATTGACACGGGATAATAATCGCAAAAGCAAAATCTTTAACGTAGCTTATGCTTTGTCAAACAATGAAAAGGAAAATTCTAACGGATTAGTAGCATCGTCTTCTTCCCCTTTTCTCTCTGTCTCTCGTACACTAGTCATAGCTAAGCTGGTAGAGAACAATGGGACAAAAAGTTTAATTTTAGTCAATCGAAAGTGAGAATGAAACGTAACAAAAACTTGTATTGTTCGAGCTTAGGGAGTTTCGGAGTTTTTTTAAAAATTGCACACTCAACTTCAATAGACAAGATGTAGACGAGACACTCCATTTATAAAGAAAAGAAATAATAATAATAATTTTATTTGCTCGACTGTATGTAGATAAACAACAACGATGGAGAAGTCATTGTCTATTATTTGAATTTATGAATGGACATTACTCCGTTGCCGAATGAGAAGCAGCGGTTTAAGCGTGTAAATATGAATTAAAATACTGAAACCTGTTTGCGATTGTCTTTTGAGATACTATAATCGATTTAGTGTTTGAACTTGAACTTGTATTTAAGATCTTTGCCACTGCTTAAATTTACAAAATTTACGTTACAATAGGAAATGAAAAAGAATTTCAAATCTTTGCTTAAGTTGGAAGTTCTTGCAACAGATATTTGACCTCATTGAACTTTTCTCGTGATGCAATCAATCTCTTTAACAACATTAATGAATAAATAGAAGAAGTCTTATCATTGTCGTAAGGCGCTCATGCATAAAGTTTATAAACTTTTCGCCGTGGTGGCTCGCCATGGTTTCTGATTTATGTCTTCGCTCTACGCTCTATTATTAAAAGCAAGTGTGTAGAATAAGACACATGAAATGTACAACATATTAAATAATAATTAAAGTAGTTTGATAAAATTTTATTAATTACTTTCTGTACATTATGCTATGCTTTTGTTGAAGAAAATTTAAAAATGTTTTATAGCTGGTTGTGAATATGAAAAATGAAACGATTATTTGCTCAGTGAGTGGAAAAACTCTCTTGTACATTATGGCACTTCTTCATAAACGGACCAACAGGGGCAAAATAACACAATGGATTTATCATGTTTTATTAATGAGCTGAACAATTAGTGCGAGATCAGATACGATCAGATTCTCTACTTGATCTTTCATAGGTGATAATAATGAATTAAGATGATTAACAGTCGAAACATAGACTTGGCATTTTCGGTAGAAAAAATTAAATTAAAATTCAAGTTGCATGAAAACTTAATCACTTTTATGTGTAGCTTGTGTCAAAGCAATGAAACACGCTTGACAATTTTTTCTAATTCTGAATATTCTCAACTTAGATCGTTCGGCCGTTCGTTCGTCTAAACTGAACGTGACTGAAATAAGTTTTAATTGTCAACTAGTTTGAAGAAATAAATAGAGAAAGAAGAAAAGTTCACCGTTGAACATGATTTTCGGAACATAAAATGAATCACTGGAAAGAAAACATTTAACAAGTCGAAGAAGTTTTGTCGCATGAAATCAATGAGCTTTATTTTATAATTAAATTTTTTTACTTTGTTAAATGAAAATTTCAATCAACTCGTTGTAATTGAGTAAGTTTCAAGGTTTCATTAAACTGAAAAACTTTGCTGTAGGAGAGTCACCCATAAGTTAATGATAAAAGACTTTGATGTTCGTTTATTCATTCAATGTTCATCCAATTTCCGAGTACACTAAAAATATCCGTTCTAGTTTTTGAGCGCTTCAACAGTGATGACTTGTCAATCTCGTATGTTAAGTTTCGTGCGATGAACGATGACATAAATGCTTGATCGTGAATACCAAATTGCTTTTGATGTGGGCTTCACAACCGATAAATAAGCTTCGACATCCAAATCAACAACTTAAATACGCTATTGCTTTCGAAATGGCGGATCTGTCGATAGTTTTACGATCTGCGATTAAGAATTAATGAATTTCCTTGCTCAATTAATTTCATTCACATGAATATGCATTTAATCTCAATGAGTTGAAAGGAAAATATCTTAAATATTTTGCGCTAAAATCTTAACAATTTCAATGGCAAATGATTGTTGAAAATCGATAGCGAATGTAGCGAAAGCTATCATAAAATAACTTCAAGTGCTTGTATGGTCAAAAGCAGCATCGTCAACCCCAACCACAACATAAAAAATGCAGATATCACTCGTCGCTGGGGCTTAAGAAATGTTGTGAATATAAAAAGACAATTTTGAAATTTTCCAATGTGCATAACTTCTGAAATGAGAGAAAATATTGCTAAGATGTGCACATGCAAGACATTGGAGAAGAACATTGGAAGTGGATAAAAAGACACAAACGAGAAGACGACAATCGCAAAGATACCAAAAAAAATATATAAGCAGCATACGACGCGATTCGACTCAGGGAGCATAAATCAATGCTTTTCTGCAACCGCGATTGCAAATATAAGAAAAAAAAATATAATAAAAATCTTTCTTTTTTCTTATTTTATAGACCGACTTGCATAAACATCTTTAGGATACATTGAATGAAGGAAAATGTAGGAAAATCTGCTTAAACTTAAAGAATATTATGCTTCTTTGAAAGCGAAAGGCATTTAATAAAATGCAGCCAGAGAAGTCTTTTAATATCGCCGAAACTCAAATTATTCACCAAATACGCGCAGCGTTTCATGGAAATATCTTTTATGCATTATTTTACATTTTATTTTTTTCCCTCCTTCTCCCCAACCTCGACAATGTTAAATTGCGGCATTGAACGAAGAAAGATTATCAAAATTAATCCACTAAAGCAGATTAAAACTGAAAGTTTTGTGATTTTGTGTAATCGCGATTTAGAAACTGAAAGCGCACGCAGAAGTTGCGAAAATGACTTTTATTTTACTTTTTGCGATTTGCATCGTAAATTACCCTGAATAATTTGCCTCCGCTAGTCTAAGTGCTCGCTTTTCTTCGCTTAAACTCTTTCATCATGTGCATTAAAAAGAGCTTCAATGTCGTTACAATTTCACTTTTTTATATTTCATTCATCTTTCGTGTGTATGACGAAGAAAAGTGGTTTAAGTTTTCCACCGATAATGTGTTTGCATAACGCTCTATAAGGTTCTTTAACTGGGGCTGCCTTGGCGATACGGGTGCTCCAACTGATTACAACGATCGTCGAGTAGTACAAAAATTACCACAGAACAGCAATTACTCGTATGTGACTTTCAAAATCCGAACCCCAAAAAAAAGTTACGAAAACATCGCCGCGAAAGACGAAACACTTGTGAGAGTCAACGATGCATAAAAATTAAAGAAAAATACCTTCCTAACAGGTAATTTTTATGTTGATCATCATTAAATTTTTTTCTTTCCTTTTTTTTCGTTATTATCTTCAAATAGTGGAACTAAAAAGTTTTATTCTGACTTCTACGCTTCTTACTTTACATATCAAGTTGAAATGATTCCACAAGCTGAAGTTAGTGTTTGAAGGTCTAAATTCTTATATCAGAAGAAACCTTTAAACGTCATGTTGCACTTGTAATAATGTTGACACTTTCAAAGCAGCAACATAAGTAATTCATATTATTATTATGGCGTTTCTGTTTCTTACAATATATTTACGCGACAAATTATTAATGGCCTTTAAATTATCTATGCGTGTGAAAATATAGTTTAAATGGTTATGTGACGATTCGAAAGTGCAAGGAAGCATGAATGAATATCAATGCTTTTATGTAGTTTCGTCTTTCTGTCGTCAATTTCTTCATCGAACCGCAAAAAAGTTTGCAATTTCATTTAAATTTCCATGGCTAAAAAATTACATTAACATACTTATCAACACACAAAGTATTAAAATGCTTATCTTACGTCATTTTTAATTATTTTCAAATGGGTTAAAGACTCCACACTTTGATATGAAGATGGTCATAAACATATCCGCATGTAAGCGATGTTTATGTCAATCCCAATGCTATGTAAGAAGGAACGAACAGTGACTAACTCAACACCAAAAACTCATTACAATATTGCTGAAGTATAAAAAAAAGACGAAACATTCAAACCAAAACAGATGGGGAATTTAAATAAAGCGATATATTTCCAACGCTTTACTAACCGAAGAAACCACCAAACCAGCAAGAAAAGCTGGAAACCAAAACTTACTCAAGCACTCTTCGAAGATTTAACTTTTAATTGCACTTATTTTATGATGACGGGACTGAAACTTTAATCATAAACATTGCGGTGCGAATTAACTTTCTGAAAACATAAACTTTTATGTTGCATATTTTTAAAAATAATTGTCTTGCTGTTGATATGTTACATAATTTGTGAAGTAACCCTCCGTCCAAAAACATATCAAGGTGAAATAAGTTTATGACGCTTAACATTTTGCTATAAGAAATAACCTTTATTTTGTCTCTTCTTTTAAACTACAACATTTACATTTAACTAAATTAAATTTTCAGTATTTTCTGCTAAAAAAATCTCTTTTCAAAAAGGTCGAAAAAGGAATGTTCAATAAACTTTCATGTCATTATTAATTCAATGTTCTAACTAATTTACAGAACAATCATGTGATTACGAGATTTTAATTTGAGGAAGAGATAACAAGTGTAATTAATCTAATTAATATTGCATATTTAAATTCTTATTTACTATTCTAGAAAAAAGGGGAAAATCGTTTGTTTCAAACAAACTTTAAATTGTGTAATTGTTGCTTAAAATAAATTTTTATATTTTTTATTGTCACTGGGAAAATAATTTCCTTCAACTTTTATGTTGTTGTATCTTATACAAATCTTTAATAGCCATTAACGAAGTGATCGTGAATGAGCGACACGTGAGTGAAGTAAATGAAAACATAAATTTAAAATCTTTGGCAACATTAAATATCCAAGAAGAAAAAAATATGAAATGAAAGAAAAGTTCAGAAATTTCAGTTTTTCTTTCATAAAATGTTGTTCAATTGTCTTTGTACATAGAAAAGCTTATTAATATGCGCCAAAAAATAATAATATGGAAAGGAAAGAGTCACAACTTTAATGCTTGTTCTAGCACGGCTTGATACAATAGTTGAAAGCAATTTGTTGAAAATGCACATAATTTTAATGCTGCAACGTGATGAGGCGAGAGCGAGTGAATAAAAAACCAATAATAACGACATGCGATATGAAAATTATGCATCCAATGTTGGAAGGGAATAGAATAACATAAAACACTTTTGTGCAAAGTTGTTAAAGTAGACAAAGTCAATTGGCATTTGCTACCACACATCATGAATTTCTATGAGTTTTATTTAAATAGTTAAGTTTGATCAGAGATCTTGCAGTTTCTATAAGTAAGTAAGATGGTGCAGTTTTAGGCTACCATTGCGAATCTTCGGTTGTTCAAACCCTGATGGTGGTTCATAGTGAAATTTCTCTTCTTTCCTATTCAGCAAAATAACATTTTTGAAATCCAACCCGACACCCTCATAAATAAAAAGAAATTTCAATTACTGTAGCACGTTTTTCGAACACCAGCTAAAATATTACTGAAATCATCTTCCTTAATCTGATCGGGAGTAACATAAGGGTCATTCATGAGTGTTTGTGTTGGATGAATTGGAAGTGAAGTTGCACCAATCACAGCATCAATTTTTGCCACCATTGGTTGAACGAGTGGCGTTGTCGAAGGCACTGTTGGACTCATCGCATAAGATTGATGATAATAATCAGGATTAGTGACGTAAAATGCTGTCGCAGGTGATGCTGTATTCGATGGAAGGGAATTCAAGGTTGGATGCGAATGTGGTGAAAAATGCGACGAAGGATGATAATAGATTGTATTACTCTGATAAGGATCATACTCGAAGCTATTGTATTTGTTCATGTTAGATTGCTGCTCGTTGATCTCATCTTGTTGTTGCTGTTGTTGTTGATGCTGCTGCTGTTGCTGTTGTTGTTGAATACTTTGATCTGAATAATTGATGTGATTCTTATATTGCGATAAATACGATTGATGATGATATGGAGACAATGCTGATGTCGTCGGTGATGACAACACTAATCGATTGTTATTGACGTTCTGGGTCATGTCACCGATCTTGTGATTATTTTTATTGTCTTGATTGCTATTATTATTCGTATCATTCTTGATTAATTTGTCATCGATATCATCACATTTTGACGACGTTTTGTCTTTATAATTTTTGAAGCTTTTACTCTCACTTTTGCTATTGTTCAACTCATTCATTTTGTTTGTCTTGTTATTGTTCTCACTACCATGCTTATTGTTATTGTTATCGTTACTTTTGTATTTTACATCATTACTGCTGCTGTTGTTACTCATAATCTGATTCGTTGCTAATGATGATGTCAATGATGATGTTGTTTGTGTGTTCATGTAGTGATGATGATGATGGTGACTAGATGTTGAGAGTATGTTGCTTGAACCGAGATTTTGATGATCTTGTGATGTCGGTAAAGGTGGGAAATAAGTCCCTGTTACAATATGTCCCTGATCCAACACACCGCGATTACTACACATCACATACATTCCATTACCCATTGCAGCTATTGTCGTAGATGGTGTTGATTGCGGCATGCCACCGTAATTTGATTTCTTCTCAATCAGATGATTCGCTGACGCATTTTGATCATCATACAAACGCTCGTTATTTCCATAATGACTGGAAGCATCATATCCACTCGTGTCATATCCATATCTGTTCTTATTAGTGTTATAATTATTTGCTGACGCAGGCAATGCTTGTTCGTAATCAATTTTTGACGTCGATGAATGAAGATTCTCACCCATGTCCATTGGACTTATCTCAGGTGTTGGAATGTCTTCCATTTTATAAGCATGCTTCTTGTTATGTCTATTATCGGGTGGACTTGGTGACGGTGTTGACTGGCCTGGTGACGTTATTGTGCTTCCATCGTTATAATACATGTTGTTGTAATTATATGGACTCATTCTCTCATATTGCACGTCAGACGACGATGATTGATTATGAGTCGATGGTGTTGACGACGTAGTTCCATTAGAGTTCGACATTAGTTGGACTCCGCTGTTTCCAGTGTTATTGTTCTTAATGCTATTGTTCGAAGTGTTGTTTGACGTGTTGTTAGCAGCTTGTGGACCCGCCCGTGGTTTTGTATGCTTTCTCCTTCTTGGACGATACTTATAATTAGGATGTTCCGTCATATGGATTACTCGTAAACGTTCAGCCTCTTCTACAAATGGTCGTCGATCTTGTGGTGTTAATGATCGCCACTTTTTACCTGTGAATGAAAAGTAAACGTAAAATAAATAAATCATCAATTTTCATTAGCTTACAAATTACTGTCGTCTTTAAACTTGAATTAATGTTCGCAGTTATACCACGTGAAATACTCAAACGAGATGAGAATAAATTGCAATTTCGGGCATCTTCGTTTCTTTCAATAAACGTTGTAAACAGAGTTGTTAAATGACAAGAGAAGTTTGTTACAAATAATTTTATTTATTAATCGATTTGAGTTTGAAAAATCTCTCAAATTATTCTCATCTGAACTTCTTTTGAAACATCTAACATCTCTGGCTCCTTTGTTTGAGTTTGAAATGTAAAAAAAATACGAAGCAAGCAAACGAGCTGCGCAGCAGCAAAAAGTCAAATGTAATGAAATAATGAAGAAATATGGGCATCCATCGCAGTAAAAAGCGTGTCTTTTGTTGAATTCAATTTTCCAATATTTTATCGTTTTCACGTCTCCTTATTTCTCTTTTTTTGCGCACAAAATCACATTATGTTTTGCTCCATTTTAAAAGAAGGAACTGAAATAAAAATGTGTTTTCTGTTTCTTTATTTAGATACTTTGAACATTCTCAATCATAATTCAATGCACTTATGAGATCCTCTCGTTATTTTTTTTTGTTGTGACCACAACAAGCAATATCGATGTCAACACTTAAAGAAATATTTATGTTTGTTGATGAATTTTGATTGTTCCATACACACGCTCTAGTTTCAGTTCATTTTTATGATTTTCGGGGAAAGATTTCAATGCTCGAACGTGGCCGTTTCACGTCATATTCTTAGAACGCGACTCTGCATCTCTAACAATCTTCTCCAAAAATGTATTCCATACTCATCAAGGTCGCATAATCGTTATATCACAGCGGCAGAGAAAAAAACATTAAAATAATTTGTAATATTCTAATGTCGTGTAGTAGTATTTTGACGAGGTCGAGTTATCTTATTGCTTGTAATCTCTTACGGTGAGCTTAGAAAAAAATTAAGCAAAGGCGTCATTACGAAGTACGAATGTGTATAGCTCTTTGACCTTTCAATCTTTTCAAACATCTTTCGAGTCATAATAAAGCTTTTTTGACTAACAAACAACGATTACCAGATACCAGAAAGATATTCTAAAGATTTTTTTATTTTATCTTTTAATGAACATCAGACTTGGCAAAGACGAAAAAAAGCGAAAAGTTTAAAGCGAGCATAATTTTATTTTTTGATAGAGCTAAGTTGTGTTCTTGTGGGCTGAATTTTGAGGACAGGAAATCATCAGAAATAACTACAAGAAATTATAATATGTAAGCAGACGTAATAATTGTACAAGAAGGAAGAGAAGAGGTAAAAAATATAATTTGGTCGCACCTTAAAAACAGTTGACGTTGATACGATGTTAAGAGCGTCACAGGTGATCAATAATATGTTTGCTAGGAGGGAGTCGTGAGCGCAGTTCGAAGAAGAAATTAAGGGCAATAACTCAAGCCTCTGATTGTTGTCAATGATACATCAGATTTGTTTTGAAATTTTTGAAAGGTTTATTTATATTTGTGACAATTCATTTCATTTGATCGATGAGGTTTTAGGAGTTTCAGAGTTAAGAAACGATTTAAATTTTATTTCATCCTACAAGATCACGCTTAAGAATTAATATCCGGAAATTTCATTTCATTCCATAAATTCAGATTTTTATCTACTTCAACACTTTAAATGTTCTTTAAAACTTCCGCAATGTTAAAATTAATTTACAAAAAACATTAAAACATTTTTTTTTTCGTTCGACCTGAAACTTGAGTAAATTTAAATAGTGAAGCAATTAACAATGTTTAGTATCGAGCAATGTTTTAAGAAAGATTCATGGTCGCCCGGCTCGCTCTATAAACTGTTTGGCTAAATATTCAAAACGAGTTGATCGTCAAGATTTATTCCAAATTTCCAACACTAAAATTTTACAAATGAGTGATTGCAGAGAGTGATCTAAAATTTGTTGTAGAAAGTATCACTGAACTCTTAGCAAAAAAGAAAAAGAAAATTAAAGAAACTTAAAATTATATTTATAGTTCCTCGACTAACGTTTCTCTGCCCGCACAACAATATTTCAAGAAAACTTGAAAATAAAAATTTAAAATCTGGACTGTGGGAATATTCCATGGGAACCTCTCATTGTTTCCCCTTCGTCCAATTTACTAAGCAAGTGGCAGTAGTCGTGCTTTATATATCAGCGAGGGTTAATACATGTACATTGTACATTGCAACACTCTACATTTAAAACTCCTTACGTGAAATCGTTTCATAAATTAATTGTAATTATGCTGATGTATTCATTCTTGTCGAGCATGAGCTTCATAATTTCACGAAACTTTTAAATATGAGAAAAACTTTGAAAACTCTACTTAACATCAAAAGAAAAAAGATTTTAAAAACCTAACTGGTTTTGAGTTTCACTTTGTTATCAACCGTAAAACAATCAATGTAGATAATTAAACGAGCAATCCAATTAAATGAATTATTTCCTTCCAATTGGAATTCAAAATGACCTCCCAAAGCGCAGCCAACTCGTGGACGAAAAGTATCATGCCATAAAGCACAATAATTGATAAAAGGCGCGTGGTCATGTTTATGGTGAGTGGTGATATGCATCAAGCATACATTATTATATTATTTTTTTTTCTTGCAGCTCAAAACTGCTTACATTCAATTACAGTAATGCACGATGGTTTTGGTTTCAATTTCAGTACGTGGCATTTTTCTTCTTCCTTTCTTTTCCATCAAAAATCATTACTTAAATACATTTCATATCAAACAGTAATTGCATCTTTAATTGTAATTATTATGAACCTTCCATTGTGAAGATTCTTACAAAAAAATCAACATTCACCGACCTTTAATGAAAACAGGAAAGAAATGAACACAAACAATAACAAAAGTCATATGAATTTAAGCTCAACTCATACTTCTGCAATTCATAAAAGTTAAAGTTTTGTGTTTTTAGTTTTTCAACCAAAACTTGTTATTACAGTGGGAAAACATAACGGAGCTTTTTCATAAAGATTAATTTAAATTCTACATTCTATTGTTTGTTTGGTATAAAAGGAATATTAATTATGGCGAGTAAGACCAGCACAGAGAAGTTCAAGTTGGTTTAATTTTGAGTGAAATATTGTGACACTTTATTGTTTGTGCATTATTCTTCTACTTTAGATATCAAACTTATGATGGAAATAAATTTTTTAATATCTGATTGTGAATTCTCTTTCTTCAATGCATAATTTCAATCAACAACAGTTGGCGCTTTATAAAAATATCACAAAATGATGTCTTTGACCCATGTTGTGATTGATATTCAAAGCATTAAACTTTCTTTCGTGAAATTATCATGTGCTTGAATGAAATACTCAAAATTTTATGTATGTTGAGGCACACGCTTCTTTCCGGAATATTATCGTGATGTTTAGAATATAAAACTACGAATTAAATGACGACACAAGAGAATGTTCAATCAATCTTCTTAAAGTCAACATGGTCGTGTAAAAATTTGAATTCATGAGCGTTTGTCGTGAAGCATTTTGAGGGTGGAGAAGGTGAAAAGAAGAAGTTAATGGATGAATAGAAAGATGTTTCGTATGATTTATGATTGATGTGAATTTATCGACATTCTTGAAATATTTTAGATAGAAATTAATTTTGGAATTCTTATAATTTCAGACGAATCCTTCAAAAGTTTTTAATCTTTTTATTTTCAAGGAAAACAGATTCATAAGGTTAACATTTTATTAAAAATTCCAAATTAAAAAGTTAAATTTTTTAAGATTAATTTGATTCGTAGTTGTAATAAAATTATGCATAAAAACCTCAAGTATAAATGTAATTTATATTTTATTTAAGCAACCGTTAATCTTTGTCGTCGAAAGACTTAGAAGTGAGACCTTCAAGTGTACTGCCAGAGACTTTCCGTAACTGCTACAAGTTCTACTAACGCGTACATCCATTTATACTCTGCTCATGTTTCTCCGCCTTAATATCTTTTTTTTCGCTAATTACAATCCAGAAATTAATTGGTGAATGATTCCGCAACAACGAAATGAAATTAACTTCGCTCTAACATATAATGGTTTAATTTTATCGGTCATAGTTCAGATTTTCCACAACTGCAACGAAATGTTTCTCGACATTGAATTGTTGACAGAGGTAAAAGAAAGAAAAACTTTTTCATGTTAAAGTTTGGACATTTTAAAAGGAATTGCATTTTAATTGACAATGTTGCTTTAATGTGAAATCAGTTCTAACTTACGCAACTAATCGTCAGTGATTTTGCTTTTCTAAGACGTTAATTTCGCTTCGAAAGAAGAAGAAAATAAATTAAATTTTCATGTTTGTTGCTTTTTCGCCGCTTCTCATTAAAATTTACTAAACGTTTCGCTCAGTTGATTGAAGGAAGGGATCGTCATCACATCCGGTTGAAAAAATTGTATTTACTTCATACTTGAAACTGTGCCTTCTATCAGCTCTCGTATGTTAGCAGCGACTTCAAATGTAGATTATTTTTCACTTTAAGTCTTGTGTTTTGCATATATCTACTTATACAGTAGAAGCTTCTTTTTTAATTTATGCCTTTTCGTCATTCATACACATACACACATGTTTTGGTGATGGGGAACGTAAGAAAACACTTCGATAATAAAACATTATTTTTCGTTCGCTGTTTTAGCTTTTCGAATAATAACAAAATTAAAAAAGCTATCTAAATGAAGCGCTTTAATGCATTCATAAAAAATGTTCCGTAATATTCAAATTATTTTACTTTTAGACTTCATTTCGGATGGAAATGAAAAATAGCAGCGAAAAAAAGCCTCGAAGATGTCAAATAGACCATGAACTGTTGTAAGATGCCTTCACTAAAAAAATCGTTTCGGGAAATCGTTTCTTCACTCATTTAAATGAAAACCGGGGAGATTGAATGCCAGTGTTTTTGACCTCACTCGTTTCCTTCCAATCTTTATTATTTTCTTTATGACTCTACGCCTCGCATGGTGCTCGATGATTTAAAGCGGAAAGTTTTAATTTCACATGGAAAAAGTGTCATTAATCAAAATGAGATTTAAGAAAAAAAAAAGAGCAAACTTTATACATGACTCGCTCGATTTAATGAAATTCCTTTTGTGGCGATCAATGTTACATACTTAGCAATACATTGACTACGTGTCTTTAAATCAACTAATCAGAAATTCCCTTATTTCCAGAATATGTATTCAAAATTCTATTAAACTTAGATGTCTTGCTTTCAATCCCATCCAATGAAGGGAAAAAAATGTCGTAAGCTAAAGTACTGTTCACTATTTCATACATTTAATGAAGCATTTTATGCATTGTTGAAAAATCTTTCCCGTACATTTTTTCCATTTTATTATCATCTTGATTTATGTTAAGTAGCTCTGGTTCACTTCTCTCTCTCACCCTCTTTCTCTCTTGGACACAGAACCCAACAAGATCATAAAATTTATCGGTGATTTTTTTCTTTCGTTTGCTTTTTTATGCATAACATTTTCTTGTTTCGGAAAAGAAGACAAGAAAAAGCAACATGCGGAGCGAGCGATGGTAAAGAGTGGTAGTGATATTTCCACATTAAGCATGTCCAACGCGATACCGAAATGGAGCCAATAGCTCCGTCTGTATGCTTTGCTTTTAAGTATCGATAGGTGGGGCCTTTTACGTTCATTGCGACTGTGAAAAATCACGACAGGCCAAAGCGAATACCGATGTGGAGAAGAAAAAAAACGAGCAGCTTTATAAATAAGTGAAACAAGACGAGGGAGAAAATTAAAGCAAAAAACAAAAAGCAAATATGTTTCAACAACTAAGAAAGAGATAAATCTAGTTTTAATTGGCTTTTTGATCGCTACTGTTATTATATTATTAATTCAACAAACGCGATATTCAAAATTTTTGTATTTTTGGACAAATGAACGCTTTGTAAATGAATTGTAGTGAAGAAATTGTAGTGAAACATGCTAATTATGAAATATTTGAAGACAGTGTTGTTAACTGTCTTGTTTGTCATTGACTTGTCATGTTAACATGAGATCTATTTAAGGATTAAACTATGCTAAATCCCTCTGGATTACAATAAACAAACATTAACGATTTAATGTCAAAAGCTTTCAATTTTACACAACTCTTAACATTGATCTATTTCGAATGAATGAATGCAACGAAGGTTAATTCTATTTATCGATTGAAACTTACCCAACATTTTACTGAGATCAGCATTGTGTAAATCAGGATTTTCATCTGCAAGTTTCTTTCGTTCCACTTTTGCCCACACCATGAAGGCTATGAAAGTTAAAAAATGAAAAGATTTGTTGAAATGTCGAAAAGTTTAAGCAAGAATTGTTCATATGATCTTACCATTCATGGGCCGTCGAATGCGTGCTTCCTTTATACTTTTCATGCTGCTGCCGGGACCAATTTTTGCGCCATATTGCTGACGTTGCATAATACTGTAGTTTGAAGCACAAAATTCGGTTTGGTACGGACTTAAATTTGTAGATCCATTAATCCCACCCACACCCCCGCAATTCCATTGCTGGTTATCGCCAAGCACATCTTGATGTGAAGTGATGATTGCTGATGGTAGGACTGTTGAATAACCGTATTGGTTAATTGACGAAGAACTCGATGTAAGCATCGAAGGTGAGTGTGGTTGGATGATTGAATTACTGACTGAAGATGGAGTCTGTTGTTGCGGGGATTGTGTGTGAACTTGGGATGATGGCGATGAATGAATTGGTGAACCGGATAATGGAATGTATTCATCATAACTTCTGTAATATGATTGAGGTGTGCTGAAATCGAGAAATTAAATTAAATAAACATTTCGCTTTTGTTGATGTGTTTTGCGGCTTTTCGATGATGACAAATCGATAACAAGAATATAAAAAATTGAAAGCTAAACTTTTGATCATCAATTCAAAGCACGTTTAGGACAAATGGCGTCTGAAAACTAATTGTGGAAACTTAACGAAATAATTTACACGATCGATGCTTCAGAATCTTAAATTATTAAATTTCTTTGAAAAGTCATTTGAAGTTTTCATGAATATTTGAAATTATTCATTCGGTGGTTTAGAAAATATTAATTTTTTATAAAGACAGCTTTAAATGATTCACAAAACGATCTTTCCGAATGTCAATGAATTTTTAATCTTTCAATCAAAATGCATTAATCAGCAAATGCAATACTTCCAAATAAAAAATCATTCACTAAAGTTAATGCAAATTTAATTTCATCTTATGCAAATCAACAATAAAATTGTTTTACTTCTTAAATTTATTTTGACAAGAATTTATTGCTGCAGTAACCGAGAATTGGAATGGCGAATTAATTTTAGCATTCTGGAAGTAGAACTCAGATTATTTTACTAATAATTCAAATGCGACACAATATTTCAAAGATTCTCGTGATATTTTCAATTTGCTTTTCAAAATCTATTTTAAACTTCAAAAAATTTTAATTATCGTTGGAATTTTAAGTTTTTTTAATTAAAATATGCAAGTTAGAAAACGTTTCAAGTTATGAATAAATTTAATTTGTTTTTTTTTGAAATATCTCAAGACAAATCGCACCGAAAAATCCTTCATTCTCAAATTCATTCATAAAGACCTCAAGAGAATGTCAATAATGAAACACAATTGTCATCAATTACAACTCATTAAAGTCTAAAAAAATTATGAGCAATCAATAATCGATATTAAAAGCTAATGCGCTTCTCTTGCCATAGAAAGGAGAGACAATGGATGTTTACTATATAGTAGCCGTTATGACAAATAGACAGTAGATTGTATCAACAAGTTAAAACAGCAACAGAAATTAAAATACAATAGGTTTCACTCTTTCTGCACTCGCCGAAAAAAAAAGAAATTAAAATGAAGAAAAAATATTTTTCTTCTTTGTCAGATTGTTTACTTTTTCCTTTATTTTTAAACTTGCACTCACATACTTGAATCACATGGCATAGCAGCCAAATCCGTTTATGAAAACAATAATAATTCGATTATGTAGGCAAGTGAATACACAAAACAAAACTTATTGTCTATTAACTTCAAGTGTGTGCACATTGGACGACGACACATATTTTAAGCAGCTTGAAGAGGGAAAAAGTGTTTTATTGAATGGAAAAATCGGGGCTGATTGTTTTGCGATTCTTTGATTATTATTGTGAACTTGAACTTCGCCGACAACTTCCTATTGTTGATGTCTGGGAGCATTTATCTTGAAGTGGGATTTCGTGAATGAAATGAATGGAATGTCAAGATGAGTGTCGTAAAACAAGTTTCATTTTGAGGAATTCAGATGCGGCTTTTTCTTACAACTGTCATAGAATTTTCTCAGCTTTTGACTTAACTGATCTCTTGTAACTGGAGTTTTGTAATTTGTCCATTTCATAACAATATGTGAAACAAAGTGGCAAGTAATAAATATTAGATTCTGCATTTGGTGCTTTTAGCTTCATAACATTTCATTGCGTTTTGATTATTAATTTCGAAAATGCATTGCTAAATCAAATATTAAATGTGCAATCAATTTGATAACAAGGAAAATTAATGACTTAAACGTGACATTGCACCAATTGAACGCTACACTTGCATTAATTTTTTTAATTAAGGAATAAAGTCATCGAATTAAAGTTTCATTGCAACTTTCATATTGTCAATGTTTGAAAGATTTTCATTGTGAAAGTCCTTTCGATATTATCCGTCTTAGAAAATTAATGTTGAAGTTTTATGCTGTACTTAATGATCTCGAATATTCAACTGACTTAAACATTTATTTAAAATAGAACTTCATATGATTCAGAATGTTTCTATAATTAAATTATAATAAATAAAAAATTAAACCTCAAACACCGACATTATAAAAACTTTAAATGAACTTTAATCAAATAGAAAACTGTTTGAAAGTTGATATTCTGAAATATTTAATTCACTTCAGAAGTTTTTCATAAGTTCACGGTGTTTAAAGTTTCAAACAATTTTCTTCCTTTCAAGATAATTTTGATCAATTATTTAATATACCAAAACAAAGTTCAAGAAGGAAAGCAAATTCATATTAAATTGTTCAGAAATTTGAAATTTCTCGAATTATCTCAACATTCAAATCTTCACAACTTTGCAATGTTTTCATTCATAGAAACTTCAAGTCTTTAAACAATTTAATGCAATATCACAAATTTCTTTTCAGATCTTCGTTTCGCTTTCTATAATCTCTTTCAAATATTAAAATTTGCAAAACGTTGTGTGATCAAAAATAAATTCAAACAACATTAAATTGAAATAACAAATTATCTTTAATTTCCTTCAAACTCCTCGATGCGTTAAGTCTTTTCTCATGAGTTTTGTTATTCACAAGAACTTCGCCCCGTAACCATGATATGTGCCGCTATTAAATATTCAACATGCTTTCACACAGTTTTGTTTCCTTTTAGATGCACTTCCTCAAAAATTGTTCTATTAATTTACATCCCTTTCACGTTGATTCCCCTCGCTTCCACATCATAAGACATTTCAATACTTCCGCTAGCATTTCACTTCGATTAACCATCATCATAAAAAATTTATATGTTTTATTACAAATGCTGACAATCGTCACTACCTGTAAGCATAATTAGCTGGCTCTGTTTCAATATCCATTACGGGATTCTCTAAGTAATAATTGACTTCCATTGGAGTTAATTTCATGAGTAATGTTTAACTAGCTGAAAAATCTTTTTTTTCCAAATTGTTTAATTGCAATATAAATTCTTCACTCTGTCACTGAGATATCCTTGAAGAGATTTCAATGCGACGGCATTTTTTGCATCTTAATTCTCTTGTCTTATATTTACTCTGCTTATAAATTACTTTACTATAATTCCACTTTTTCAAGCTAACAAAACTCTTCCATAAATTTAATTTCTCAAAAAAAATATCTTTGCACTTATTTACATAATTATTTCTTAACTTATCAAATATTTATCAAAATGAAATTCAAGCGATTAAAAGCACACGTATCCCGCTCGAGAGTCACTACGTAAATGAATTCTTCGACTGCAAAACTTGGAGCTAAGATGATCGAAACACAAAAGTAATGTAAAACCAGTTTAGTTGCGGTTGTGAGTCGACTCAACACACTTTATCATGTGCAGGTGTATTATGTGAAGTGAAACAACTATACCTTCGTTTTAAGTCATGTCTATTGGATATCAAGCTTGTGAAAACGAGACAAGAGAAGTCGGGTAAGAAAGAGACTATCAGCACTGTTTAAACTCTTCACATACACTTCAATATCTTAACTCAGTGAAATGTTGATTAAATTTTCACAACTCTTGCTTGTAAATCGCGATGAAGATTGCGAGAGGATTTTGCAAAAAAAAAACTTTTAGTTTTTGATTATTAATTAGCAAACTAATACTTAAGAGGTCTTTTATTGAGCAACACCAAAGATTTGTTAGTAGAGAGACGAGAAAACCAAGCGGCATATTTACCATTACTGTCTTGTGCCAAAGCAAATATTTTAACCGTGAGAAAATATTAATTATGCTGATAAAGTTCAACAATGGAGCATAAAATTAAGCAATATACATCCAGTGGCGTCAAACTGGATTTTTTTTACAGTTTTTTAGGTTGAGTTTTATGAAATGATTTGAATCTTCCTTTGAGCTTTGGTTGATCATTTCTAAAATAAAATTTTATTTCATTAATCATCGAGTGATAAATATTAATGAAAATGTATTCTAATTAAGAATTCTTTCTGTTTCAACAGGTGCCCAAGTTATTCTATGCGTTGTTAAGGATATTATTTAAACAAATCAAAGTTCAACTGTTCCCATAGCGAGAAAAGTTTTGTTTGTTCTATGGAATGAAATAAATTGAAAATATTTTTTCTCAATTTATTGTTGTGTAATTAAAATGCAATCAAAGGTAAAGCGAAAACTTTTGGCTGAATTAAAACAGTTGAAGATACGACAAAAATGTGTGGAGAAGAATATCACGTGGTCGATTAAGCTTAAAGATGTTGAAGACGATGAATTAGAGTTTCTGAAATCTGTTGAAAAAATGAAAACTCAATTTGAAAAAAATTACAAAGCCAATGTGAATGATGCAAAATCAACTGTGAAAGAATGTTTAACAAAAGTTCATCAATTTCAAAAGACGATTGCAAACTATGAAGAGGATTTATTAGCAGCACGACCTTCAGAACTTCTTAAAACTATGGCTGAGATCAACGTGCTTCTGTCTGAAAATCTTTACATTTGTAACAAGGAAATGGCATCGCTGAAGTTTCAAAGTGAACATTTTTAATGAATTTTAATTTGGTTAAATAAATTTTGCTTGTTTATATTCCTTTAAAAACTTTGTTGCTGTTTTTGAATTTAGTCTTAAGTAAGAAGTTACTGCTGGTACTTTTAACGTTTTGCTTTAAGATTATAAGATTTTAGTTAAATTCTTGGTTGTATGAAATTTCCTAATCAACAATCGAATCATTTTACACGTGTTCATGAAGTCCCCAGATTATTTAAACGTCGCTTTCGCTACATTATCCAGGTCGTTGACATGGAAACTGTTCATTCACTCATTAATTCGCAATAACGAGAGCACCTTACTAACGTTAACATGTAGCATTAAAAAAATTAATATATTAATGCAAAGCACTTTTTTCTTCTCTCTTATTTTTATATTTCTTGAAAACAATTGGAGGTTCTCATAGAAAAATTCTCACAGTCCAAATTCTTCATCGTGCTTGGGGGACGGCTTGTTTTTGAAATTATAACATTACATTACTTCTTCTTGAAAGAGATTGCATTACCAACCACATGTGATTGCTTAAAAATAATTAAGTTAGGAAATTTTGAAAGTAAATTTATGTACAAACATAAATCTTTGCAGGTTAATTACATTTTAATATTAACATGAAGAACACTTGAAATTTGCTTCTACAGCTGAAATCATAACCAGAAGAATCTTTCACTTCTTATAATTCAGCGTTCAACCAATACAAATGTGTGTAGACGATGGTAGCAAACAGTTGCTATCTTAGAACACGAAAATTACATTAAGCTTTAATATCAACTCTGAATATCTTCATTTCTCGTCTTATTCTCGCTGGCGTTCATGAGTAGTTTGCTGTAGGTAGAAACAGTTGATTGGAAAATTTGTTAAATTGAAAATAAACATTGATCGATCACAACTAAGTAAATAAGTGAATAAATAAAAAACGACTTGAGAGATTTATGCAAAGAAATAATCGCGACAGATTTGTATCGTAAATAACTTTGGAATAACACTTTCAAATTTTAATTGGATTAATGACCTTACTCATTACTCTTTTCACGGCATTTCCACATATCCCGATGCTTTATCGGGACAATCAAAGAAATTTATAATATTCAAGCAATTTATGTGCAGTGTGGCTGCTGAATGTTTTAGCACTCGGCAGTGCAATTTGAATAATTTTTCAATTGTTTTATACAGCCTAACAATTTTTCTATGTTGTCGATACGATATATCATGAATTTCCAACAAATTGCTTGCTTTACGATTATTTTTCTCCTCAGCAATAACGAACGTGTGTTTGTTAACTTTTTTCTATTAGATATTTATAAAAGATTCGAATTTGTTAAACATAAAACAAAACCTTTTTCAGAATAAGGAATATTTTACTTATTCAGATAAAAGTTGAAACATTGCAAACGAAAAATCTTCTTCTATTTATCGCAGAATGTTGATTGCTGCTTAATGAACATTATGTTGACAATTCACAATCAGTGATCATGAAATCGAGGTGAAACACTTTGAGATTTCATCATCAAAACAACATTGAGAATGTTACGCAATTCTCCAAAATTCACCTTAAAAAGTTATCAGTTACGCTTGATAAACATTGTCATAATCATTTGCTACATTAATTGCTGTTATATAAACCTCGAAAATGAAGAACAAAAAAGAATTAAAGTTTAGCTTCGACTTCTACGAAACTGTCACAACACCTTCAAAAGTCGAACATGAAAAGTGAAAATATTAGCCAAGCGTTTAATGCGCAAACTAAGGAGACTGATTTTCCAAAGCAACAAACTCGTTGCGCTCAACAAATTATTCTGGGTAATTGACATTGTAGTAGAAAATTGTCAATTATGCGTCGCACACATTTCGTAACTTACGAATGAGTTGTTGCAAACTTTTTCATGTTTATTTTCGTTTTCTAAATCATCAACATGATAAGCTTTCAATTTTCGCAAATGTAACAAAGCTTAACACATGAAAGAAGTCGCTGACATCCCTCAGTCATACTTAAAGTCTAACAAAAGATGAGCCGAACTGACTTATAATAAATACATATTTAGTCTGGCAATAAATTCAGGTCATTAAAATGACTCTGAAAGATAAATAAAATATGTAACACAAAAAACTGTCACCGCGGCGAAAAATTATTCTGAAAAGTCTTATGCTGTTGCAGTTCGTTATTTAGATTTTATTTTCTTTATGGATATTTTTCTTCTCGGCTCTTGAATACATTTCGCTTTGTATCAATTTATGTAAGAGCTCAAAAAGAAGGAAAAAAATTGAAAAGATTTCTTGATACTTAAGCTAACATCTTCCCATTCAGTTTGAGACTAAATTCGATAATAAGGTTCGTTGGAAATGAAGGGAAGAAGCTCGTTTGATGTCAACTGATACAAACATTGAAGGTAAGTGTAGAAGTGAACTTCCATTTTCATAAATATACAACACTGGCTAACGGATTGGCATAACGAATGTAAAATTATCGAGATTTTATCATGTGAATATAATTATGCTGTTAGATTCATAATTACTTAAGGCACCTTTAATTAGATGCAAGTTAATGAAATGTGTCTGAAAATTATAATTTTCTATTGTCTCATGAAGAGAAAATGATTTTATGTGATTATTTTCATCAAGAAAATGCAGAGATCCGTTAATTGCTACTGCGTTAAGTTCAAAGAACTTTTCTTTTAATTTGTTTTTAAAAATAAAGTCGAGTTCCATGTAGCACAAATTATCAGCTGCAAAGTTAAGTCGAGAAACTCGCCGCATTAGTTGAGAGAGCGCCCTTCACACGCTAAGTGCAATTGAAGTATCCAATCTTATCAACATTTCCATGATAACAACACTAAACGAGAAGCTGAAACGATGCAAACTTTTGTATTGCGATCGTAATCCAACTGCACTATTGCTGAACATCGAAAGGTTGACAAGCGCTGCAAGTTTTCAATTTACATCCAAACTAACGATATGTGTGTACATATTTTGTATAATCTTTTTTCGATAAATAAACGGTCGGTCACATAAAAAGAAGCTTCAATACCTTGCTGTTTGCCTCTCGACTCGATCTTTCGTTTTCCTTTTCGTTTTTACGATCGAAAGGAGGGAAGAGAAAGATTTTAACTTTTGTCTTTCTGCATTGTACTCGTTTCTTATTTAATGTTGCAGTTTACTTGGACTTCTGAATTCTATCCCAGAAAGTGATTCCGTTAAGTAGTTTTTAAACTGTATTTCAATAATTATTAATTTATAATTTTATGAAAGTTTACACAAGAAAACTTCAAGAAAATTTGTGTTAAAATAATTCTAAATGGGAAATTTATTTTCTTTTCTAGATAATGTTTGATAATAAAATAAGAAGTAGTAGATATTTATTCTCTCTTATGCTTCATACTTAACCGATTCTGCCTATTTAGATTTTTTTTCTCGTATTCGATCGCGGTTGCTGTCTGATTTATGCTTTTTGGCATGTAGTTTATGTTTTTGGTATCCGCGCGACTGTCATCTCCCTTCTGCTTCTTATTCATTTTATTATCTTTTTATTTATATTATAATACTGTTCACTTTTATTCAGAAGTTATGCACATTGGAGCAAGAAATTCTCGAAACATATCACTTTTTTTCTTTTCGTTTTCCCTTCGCCTTTTTTTTGATTTTTTTTTTTTTGTTTTGTTTCGCTTTCATCGCGCGAGCGGCAATCGAACCCTTTTATAACCGTTCCGGTGATCTTTGGTATTTCTCCGATGGCCTTTTTCATATTATTGATCATAGCGTAACTTTAAATTACGAGAGAAGAAAATAAAAAGTTTTTCCCTTTCGAACCTCGATCGATACACAATTAAAAACCGAGAGATTCCTTTCATGTGCCCATATAGGTTTGCAAAATACTTTTTCTTCAATCGCGTAATCTTCAACTTTACAAAGATTCTCCCATTGCTTTGAAGAAAAAGAAAATTCTCGGCAACTGCAGAGCGGCTCTTGATAATAAACAAGAACAGCTTCTACGTGAATATTCATTGCACTTTCATTTTTTTTCAACATCGCGCGATTTAAACTTTTCCAACAAAGATTTTATTGACAGTTTTCGACGATTTTGGATTTCAATGTGTATTTAAATTTTTAAGCGATAAACTCTTCTTGTTCCTTAAAAAAACGTCAAATTTTAGTCGCTGTTAAGAGAGCGAAGAGAATGAAGGAAAAGAAAATTTTAAAGTTTTTTTCTTCTTAGTTTTTTTCTTTCCTTTGTGTCATGTCTCGTGCCTTTCATCTAAAGAACTTCTTTCTTATGTTATTTTTATGCAATTCAAGAAACATATATTTTCTCTTGTATACGTTCGGTCTGCAAATGTCCAATTTAAAACTACGACTTGTATGTTATTGGCTATAGATTTTCATTCCGACTTTATTCTACTGAATTTTGTCGATGCTGTGCGTCAGTTCTTTAAAGACAGAAAGTTTTTTTTAATATTTCAGAAGTACCTAAATACAGATTGGATTGATTCAGAACTTCTATCAGTTGATTCATGAAGAAAAAAATTTGACTTTTAAGATCTTAAGTCAGATTAATATTAATAAAACTTTCTCTTATCTTTTTAAAGACATAAATAAATAAATATTGAATGAATGACAAGTTTTGTTGAGAAAATCCTTTTAGTCATTCGAAGATATTTCTTTTGTCCATGTGATTCTGACTGCGGCTCACCAGAAAGTTTCTATAGTAGTCATATTGCTTCTCCTTCTTGTCTCTTGCGTCTGTCGCGGTCTTTTCTTCTGCTGTTTTCCATGCTAAATGTGAATGCACAAAAAGATAAAAATTTACATATTTGAGACATTTTAAAGCGTTGTCGCTTTACTACGCGGAGACGCTATGTGTAGTCAGATTAAAACTTTTAAATGCACCGCGATGTCACAATGCGTTTGAGAGAAATGAAAAATTAAATGTTCAAAAATAAAAGGTTGAAAGGGATACAAAGACAAGGAACAATTCTTCAATGATGTGTCTGATGAATTGAATGCTGAAACCTTAACAAACAAAGTGATCTGAAAAGAAGAATTTTTCCTTTTGTCATACGCTAAATGTTTTTAAGTTTTTATAATACTTTATTGTCTTTTTTTGTCTTAATTGTTTTAAGTTTTTTCTGTTGTATTATTAATTAATTATCTCATCAACTCATATACTTTAATTAACACATTAAACAGCTTGTTCTCACCTTTTTTTTACTTATTTTTACTTTCCAACGTTTACGATCAATTAGCCTCAACCAACTTCTGTTGTTTATTGGTTTTTCTTTGATTCAATACAGATACATTAGTCAAGAAGCTTTTTATTATTATTTTTTCATGTTATTTATTATAGTAAAACCAGCATGAAATTAATCTATTCGATTTTATGGTTTTCATCTAAATTATTTATCAATAAATTATTATAACTAAATCTCGTGACTATTTCTTTCGTTTGTTGGATTTTGAAAGAATAAAAATTGCTAGCAATCAATGATTCATTCATTATAAATTGCAATATCTGCGCTACTGAATTAAGTTGGATAAATATTTGGTAGGAAAATGAAAACTTGCGATCTTTTAATTTAACACAATAAATATAAATATCTACATAGCTGTAGAAACATTCAAACGTTTGTGAATTGCATCATAAATACTTAATTTTCAATAAATTTTTTCATTCGTTTCAAATATCTTAAGAAATGTGAATAGTTTTCAGTTTTTTTTCTTACTTAGCTGATATAATTTTTCAAAATGGAAGACTTGTTTAATAGTCGTGTTTCTCGGTTACTCTTTTTTTTATTTAATCTCATTTATCTACATATTGTCGCTTTTGTGGATGCACTAAAACAGAAGCTTTCCAATGCAGCGAGATTCAGTCTAGCGATTGCTTTTAATATTCATTCTGAAAAACTCTCCCAAAAGATGAAAGAATATTCTCGAAAGGCTTCTGCTTTAGATACTAATTTTGTGTTCATTACAATTTGTAAATAATTTTGTTTCTCAAATATTTTTAACATCTAGGAATCAAGTTTATAATTTTTCATTTTGGAAGACAGTTGGATTATAATTAATCATGATTTCTTTTTAAATGTTTTAAGCTAAGTTAGTATGTAAATATCAAATTAACTTTGCGATAAACAATGTATTGTCGATATGTTGCATAAAACTCTGTTTAAATGCATAATTCGTTCACGCTATGATAAATATCTAATTGTAGTTGTAAACATTTTCTTACATATTTTGTGTTTTTTTCTTCTTTCTGTTTAGTTGGTAATTATCGTCCTTTCAAGAGTTTAATTAAATTACATTTTTCTTTTACTTTTCAACAGACACTGCTGAGAAAAATTGAATAAGTTTCATCAACATTCTGATAAAGAATTGAAGAAGAAGAAGTTGAAATTTATGGAAAAGATGGAAAACAAGAAAAACTTTCTCTTTTATCATGGAAAATTTCTTTTGAAGTTTTCAGAAAACTAAACAAAAGTTTCTTGTAAAAGTTAACAATTTTCATGAACGTTTAAATTAAAGGAAATTTCTGGTAAAAAATTAAATTTCATTTATGTTGATATCAATCTAAAGATCATTAATGTTCCAGTTCGGTTACTAATGAAACAAGAAGCATAATAAAACTAGACGCTTCTCAAGACGAGAATGAAAAATTTTAATAAAAATGTCTAACGAAAAATGGGACAAAAATTTGACCACTTGCGGTATTTCTTTTAAATCTTTACCGAAAATTTCCTTTTTGCCGTTTTTTTATAATTCTTGTTGTCCCTTCGCGGTTCACGGTTCCGATGATTCCAATCGCAAAATAACTTTGTATCATTTTGCGGTGCTTGTTTCGAGAAAATTTATCTTGTTTCTTATTCGACTGCAGCTTTCATTCCATCTAATTTGGTTTGTAAATTATTGTTTTGTTAATTTTGCTTTCTGTTAATTTGTTTTACTTTTATTCGGGAGCCAAAAAAAGTTGATCTTTCTTGCTTTGTGCAAGGCAAATGTTTATCGGCAAAATGGGTAAACAAGCAAAAAACGACAAAATCTCATGTTTCTTCTGCCTTTTTAAATATGTCGTTTAAATTTTTATTTCTTTTCGGAAAAAGAATCTTTAATTCTTGTTCCTTCGAAAATGTTTTTATGCGAAATACCGTTAGATGTTGTTCTCTCATTTGATTTTATTATCTCGGTTTAGTATAATTTGATTAAACTATTTATGTTGTGGATTAAGTCAATTTAAAATGCAACTAGCTTTTACTTTTGTATTGAAAAAGATTTCATTGTCGTAATTTAAAACGGCAAACCAATTTCAAATGCTTTTATGAGAGCATTGCCGGAATCGTACATTCCAACGAAACCAAATAGAAACCCAAGACCGATGATGAAATAATCATAAGCGACATCTTTCTGTTCCATCAAGTGTCGTTTAAGTTTCAAATGAAAATAACAAGGCCAAATGAAGCTTAACATGGTGCCCGTAAAACTTCCAATGAAGCCCATTAGGATTGAGAAATGTGGAATGAAGCAAGCCATCAGAACCGTGAACATAATTACACCCACGCGCCATCCAAGACCCCAAACTTTCAACTCACCATCCAATTCCCAAATCTTAGGAAAAATTGTCTTTGGTTTTCCACGGAAAAATGCTCGTTCAAGCAATTCACATGCAGCGAAGTAAGGCAGCGGATAACTGAGAACGGCTTTGATGACAAGACAAAAGTTGACGAGACCTTTGAAGCCAGCCGAATGAAGATTGTTTGTGATCACTTGCTGCGTATCGTTTTGAAAAGTTAAAAAGCAAATGTAACCGAAAATTGCTTTGAAAGCTGCTGCTGCAATATGCGACCAATCCAACATCCAATTGAACTTTGATGGGTCTGCCATGTTCCCTTCAAGTGTCGGCAAGAATATTTGTGACGTATAAGAGAAGACAATGACACCGAGTGAGATGGGAAAATTTTCAATGTCGATTGACCATCGAACTTTCGACCAACCCCAATCACCAATCTCCAGCAGACAATAACCGACAATGATTACATTGATGAAGAGATGAGACATTGTACACCAGAAACTTAATACAGAAACAGCATGTATTGACTTCAGGAATGCAAGTGGAAGAAGGAAAATTCCACAAAACATCATCCATGATCTGCAATGAATTTATTGTCATTTTAAACATTCAAAATATGTTTAATTAGTTACCTTGAATCCATGGCACCTTCAGGAAAAGTTCCAGCCATTAAATCACCACACACGACAACATATAAAATGCATGTCATGAGAAGTTCGATAATCTGAGCGATGCTGACAACACGAGCGCCAATTCTTTTGCCAAAGCAGACTTTCGCAATGGAAACATAACTGTCACGAACACGCATTGGTTCACCTGTTGCTGGATCGGGTTCGTACAAACATTGAACAAGAATCTAAAAGAGAAAAAAAGTTTTTACATCAAATCTTCATTTGTTGATTGAAATTCATACTTTTCCTGTATAACAACAGATGTGTGCGATGCCCACCATTGCAACAATGGCCCAATAACCACCACGCAATACAGCAAAAGGTAATGAAACAATGAACATTCCTTGAATAGCGTTTGTAACATTCCAAGCAGCTTGAATTTCGGTAATTTTTACTCCTGGCGGACCAGCTTCACCTTCACCACCAGCAAATGTGCTGTCACTGCCGAATGATCCAGTACTTGCTTGTCTGAAATATATTTGCGTGTGTTGAATAAAACGTCATTAGAAAATTTTCTTGATTATACCTTGCTGGGAATCCACCTTGCTGATAATTGTATTCACCTTGATTGAAGCCAGTTTCTTCGTATTGATAATCACTTTTTGTAGTTTGTTCATCGTATCCTAAGCCATTTGGGTTTCTAAAAGGATTCAATGGATTTAGTTCTGTTGGTCTTTGTTGGCCTTCGTCAACAGAATCAGCAAAAGTAACATTATGAGGGCGATGTGACGACCCATGTGAGATTTGCGATGAACCTCCATATTCTGAAGTTGGATCTTCGTATTGTTGCTGCTTTTGTCGATCAGGTAACGACTGTTTTGCTGTTTGCCATGCATCTTTAAGAACATTTCTTATCGGCGGTAATGGTGCGCTTTTGAGATTATTTAAAAATGCCATTTCGTTTTAAATCTCGATGATAATTATCAATTTTTTTTTTTTTCTTTTTCACTTAACACTATGGAAGACTTTATTTCGTCACTTTTTCAAACTTTTTTCTTATTTGGAAGACTTTCGTGATTTTTTTTCTACAATTTCTGAGATTTTCACATTTAAATCTCTTATCACATTGGCTTATGAGATATAATTGAACACTGAATGACCTTAATGCTAAAACATTTTACGACTTATTCAGCTATTGCTTCGTCTGATGAAAATTCAAATTGATTCTTTTTTTTCCTTTTAGGATAAATGAAATTGAGAGGAAAGATTTTGTGCTGATGAAAATTATCGATTGGTTTCCATTTTGGTGAAAAGCTTAAAGAAATTTTCACGATGTAAGATTTCGGAGTATTCCAATATCCTTCCGAGAACTTTTAGAATTAGGAAACTTGCAATCGTTTTATTGTGCAAATCAACAGAAATTTAATACTAATAAGATTTCAGTTCCACTTAATTTTAATTTATTTTAATCTAAGATGACTTTATGAATTTAGTGGTGAAACCGGAATGAAACGGAAACATCCTGGGGGATGCTGTGGGGGTAAAAAGCAGAGATGGGCAAATGTTCCGTTCAACTCGATTGACTGACTGACTGACATGTCAATGTCTTTCAGTCAGTCAGTCAGTCAGTCAAAATCGCGAACAAAAATATTCGCTTGTTGGGACACGTTCATATAAATGTTCCGCTCAAGTCGTTTGACTGACTGAGTGACAAGTCAATGTCTGTCAGTCAGTCAGTCAAATCCCAACTCTGGTAAAAAGAGATGAAAAGCTTCAAAGTTCTTATTTATATTTCATATTCAGGTCGTTTCACAAATTCAAATCCAAAAGTGGTGAAAAATTCTTACAACGAATTTTTTTTCCAAAACGTTCCGAAACATTGAAAATCTTGCGCATGCGCATATCGAAGAAAAAATTATTCAAATTTACAAATGCCGTTAAAAATTAAAACTTAATCTTTATTTAAAAATTGATATTAAACCAGAATATGTTTGTATTCCTAAATAAGATTATTATTGACTGTTTACAATTTGACATCGTCAAGTGAAGTTATTTCAGAATGTAGCTAGAAAAAAAAAAATAAATTTATGCAATTTATACTTGTGAAATGACAACTCACAGCTTCCGACACCTTCAACCAATGCATAGCCTTTCTATAAGAGTCGTTTTCAGACGGATTTTTGTCGTAATTCCAGTAAGTGAATTTATCAAACTTCCCCCCAAATTTCAACTCTCGCTCGGCATTCATTTGAAGTTTCTCATTTTCCCTTAGAACGAGTCCTTGCATGTTATCTGGCAAGTCTATCTCTATTCCTTTCAATGGATATCCACGTAGAGCATTGATTTGTACTAAAATGAAGTCGGATATAGTACAGCAATAATAATTTCATTCATTATTTATTCACTTACGACCATTCTCTATGCTTTTGTACGAATTGAAATATTCATCCACTTTTGTATTGGCATTGCCATCAATTGATGCAGGTATAAAATGAACATCAGCATCATTTTCGCTTTCTAAAGCATTTTTAGATATTTGTAGTCGAATAGACATGGATAAAAGAAGTTTTAAATTTAAAATGTTCTTTGATGTTTACAAAAATATTTGAAGTTCTGAGCAAGTTAACTGAACAAAACGAGCAACTTATTTCGCGCCAAATTTTGTATTTTAAAAATACGTTAAAATTCACTTGTGAAACTTAAAAATTCTTTAAAGAAGACTGTATGAAGAAGAATTGTTAAATTATGCAACATAAATAGTAGATATGTGGTAGAAGTTGTACAATAGAGAACATAGTCATGCTTACAAATAATTTCTTAAGTTTTTTTGAAAAGTATTGCTTTTTAGAAGCAATAGCAACGCTTATTACAGTTAGATATGTATATTTTCATGGAAAAATAATTTACTAACTCAGCAGGAAATATTAGAGAAACAATGAGAAACTCATTCTAAACCTAAAATTTTGAATGTAAGTTATTGAAATACAAATTCATACTTTAACAAATCCCATGCTTTTTATTCTATCAACATATGGTTGTTAAAAAGCAGACATCGTTATGCCACCACTTAAATAGTTAATCTCTGATGCTTTAAGCAGAATTAAACAGGCGATTTGCCTGCTTGCTATCGTGACGGGAATACAATAAAAATCCTTCGTAAAATACTTCCCACGCGATTTGATTTATATAGAAAAAGTGAAAAATTAAATGTTTAACATTTTCTAACACATTTTTATGTTAACGGATAACAATGCAGTGAAACAGATCTTTTGATCTCAAATGTGTTTAACAATTTCTACAAGAAAAGTTTCACATTCCCTTTCAGTATAAAAGTTTTTTTATTTTCAAAATTCAGCGCATAATTTTCTAGCTAGCTTTAAGCTATTTTTCTTCTAATGCACAGAAACAATATTGTAGGTGGCAAGATAAGAACGGAACAGGTTGCCAACAGTTGCTGACGCTTATACGAAGCTTTTTTCACTTATAACACGAGATAAGAGATTTCACTTTGAAGTTTAAAGAATAAAAAACACTGAAATTTCGAGAAGCTTTTGAAGATTTGAAGCTGAAAGAAGAAATGAATTTCCCCGCAAGTGTATCTGACAAAAAAAAATAAATAAATAAACATGAAAAAAAAATCTATTTGAAAAATAAAATGAAAGACTCAATTCCTTTTCTATTCATCACAATCATCAGAGATACAAGAAAATACAAAAGCTAAAAGTTGAAATTGTAGAATTTGTTTGCTTTGAAAATCTAACAAGCAACTTAAGGTTGGATACATCGCATTTTCTACTTCATATCCATTAAAGACAAAACATATACTCGAAGAATTCCAGTTTTAAAACTTAAGTGAAACGAAAGTCATGAAAATAAAAACAAGAGATAACATAAGAAAAAGCATTGCTGTAAAGTGAAAAGGTGTCAGTGTTTGATGCTTTAATGGAAAAATCAATTTCGTAGTGCAGTCATGAATGTTTCATAATGAAAGAATGGAAACATCTTCGTAACACTCTCATGACATTTGGTAGAGAATTTTGATATCAAACATGAAAAACATAGACGAGAATAAAAGTTTTAATTCGATAAAGACATTGATGTACACAGTTGAATTACTTACATCATGGGAGAATAAAAATAAAGTAGCAACAAATAAAAAATGAAAAAAAATTGAGCTTAAAGCTATTTTCGTAATATTTTTCGGTTTTATACATTTATTTTGAGACATTTATTGTGCTTGCGTTGTGCCACGCTATTCCTATCAGATGAATTCTGAAATGTTTGCTTGTTTTATTTTAATGCGATTTTATGACGTTTTTCGCTCATCATATATGAAGGGAAAGGCAAAGCTTTGGGGAAAAGCTGTCTTTTTAACCGTCGCGCGTATCACGTAATCTCTCGTTTTGTTTCCGTATTTTTTTTATATTTCCGCTTCTTTTTATTATGCCGGTTTAATTTGATGAGATTACAGCAACAAGCGATCTTTAGGGATTGATATAATAAAGAAATGGGGAAGAAACATTCCATTTGTCAACGATATTTGAGTGTAAATGCTCGTATTGTTGTGTTCAAATTGAATAAGTTTCATTAATAATTAATAAGGATTTACTGAAGAAACATGTCATCTGCCGAATCCATGATAAGAAGAATTCAAAGTGAAATTTTATTGTTGCTGCTTCATTTAAATGTCAAAGCTTTTCCAAGGCTTCTCATTCATTCCGGAAAATCCTTGTAAAAGAACAAACTAATCTCTCAATGGTCACCATAAAATATTGTATGGATGCATACTTTTTCTTTTTGTTTTTACCTAAAAGTTAATTAAATTTTTTCCGGTCTAGATCTGTTTCACTGTATAATCGAAAACTTTTTTCTCTCTGCGTAAATTCAATGTGAAAAGCCAGAAAAATGAAAGGAAGTTCTTTCTCAAAACTTTACAACTTATTCATTCGCTTTATCAACATTGTGGACGTCAACCCGTTTTTTCTCACTCTTTCCTATTTTCTTATTCGTTTGTTATGATGGCCATAGAAGCGCAGCAAAAATTTCTTTTATTTATATGTGTTCTGAAAGACTTGAGCTTCATTTCTGTCTGAATAATTTCTCCAAACTTCTTCACCAGTCCCTCCCTTGGTTCTTTTATGTTTGATTCTTTTTATTTTTACAGTTCATAGACAAAGTTTTTTTTACATGAAATTTGTGGGCAAATTTTTTCCATCTTTCATAAAAGTTTGAATGTAAAATCCGTGCATTAAAAAAATTCCACCTTCACTACGTCGAGAGAGAACGAAAAAAAGAAAAACTTTCTTTTAATTTTGAAAAGATTAAAAGGATGTTCTTTTTTTTCATTGATACTGCTTACCAACTATCTTCATCTAGAGAACCACACCAAATGAACATTTTAATCAAAGCCTTTTGCAGGTCGTTCTCGCCTTTCACTGGCAATCTTTGCAAAGCATGAAGTTCATAAATTTATTCCCGAGAAAAAAAGAATTTTTTTATTCATATTCTTTGTCTGCTTAAAAGATTTTTTCATGTTCTTTGTTTCCACCGCCGCCGAAGAGTTTTGCAATATGCAAGCAGGTAAGAAGGAAGATAAAAAAAAATGAAAAACGACACTAGGATCTATTTGAAGGAATTTGCATCGAAATACAATATTTAACTATAAAAATCTCTGGGGGAATCAAATCGAATATTGTAGCCTTAGGATCGAGTGAAACTGATTCTTTATGTATGCGGGGGCGGTGGCAACGGGGAAAAGGAGCAGAAAAAACGAACACACTTATCCAGATGTATAAAATTTATGTTGCCTTTTTATTACCATCGAAAGCAATAGAGAAGAAATCGAATAAATAGTGCTTGAAACTGCAGAAAAAGAGTTTTATGGGATTTTGGCTCCTTTGTACAAAAGATGAATGTAACATAAAACCTCAATAATATTAGGTGTATGATGTTTTCCTACAGTCCGTAAGTTTGCTTTTCCTATGTAATCTATGTAAGAGAGTCAGAGACGAAATTCAGTAAGCGATAGATTGTGAGTGGTTTTTGCATAATCACATGTTTTTCACATTTTATTTCTCCATACTTGAAACGTATAATCAGAGGGATGTTTATAAGAAGTCTGTCTACGGCTTTCTTCTATGTAGAATGAAAAATAACTGTCCTGATGTTATCGCAAGTGGTGTCTTGGGAATGCTCATATTTACGACCGACTTTTTGTTGTTGAAAATTTTCCTTGCATATTTTACAACAAATATTGATGTTCTGGTGATGGAAATGGATGCTCATGAATATGAAATCAAAAGCGACTTAGTTCAAATGTGGAAAGAGATTGTTGAGAAAGGTTATGTGAGTTGTAGGATTTGTGGAATGTATGATGTCGTGTTGATTTGCAAACAAATATTTTATGCAATTGTCGACGGTTATTGAACTAGAATTGACAATGAAAATATATTCTAATAGTTTATTATGAAGCTCTTGAACAAAGGTTAATATTCTCATTCGATGTTCATTATATTTTAGCAAGATGTATAATTAATTTGAAGAAATTTATTAATGAAGACAAGAAATATATATCAGCAGATATATTTAGATACTTTAATTTTAACATAAATAAATGAAGTCAAACTTTAATTTCATTAATAACTTTTATTATTAACGCTGACAGCAGATTAAGTTTATTGTTAAAATATGCTATGATGATGGCTGAGATCTGAAACTAAATGATAAACATTATTTTAATTCTAATGAAGTGGTAAATATTTTCCCGTTCGTTAATTAATTCACCAACTTTTTGAGATCTTCAAATTATCTAAGATAATAATTTGCGACATTTTCTAAACTTAAAGTGAACATTTCAATCAGTAACAAAACATCGACAAGAAGTTTTAAGTAGCAGTTAAGCTTATCTATGTTGAGCATTCCATTCAATTAAGTCACTTGACAATAGAAAATAAAATAAAACAAAAATCCTGATGAATAATTTAACATTCCCGAAACTTTTATGACATTATCACATTGGACTGAAGCAGTTTAAACATACATTTGAGGATGCCTCAATTCATTTCAATTCATTGCTGTATGAATTGCTTTCAAATATAAAAATCTCAACAATCCTCAATTGCTTTTGTTTGAGTGCTTTCATGTTCAGTGTTCCGCCATTGAAAAACACACGCTATACGTTAAACAACCTCAGATCGTTAATAAATCATAAACGATTTGATTCGTAACGTAAAAGCATTTTGTTTTACCGCAATATGCAATGCTCGTTTTCCTATCAGTCCGTGAGCATCGGAATATTTATAAATTATGGATTTGTTGCACGGTAATCACATGGTGTCGGATTTTTTTCTTTTTTGTTTTGTTATTTTGTTTCGGGGTAATTTGGCAAAGCAATTACGATCTAAATAGTTGCTGTCGTTCATATTTCAAGCTATAAACGATCTATAAAGTTGTAATAGCAGACTTTACACAATAATCTCCATATTGACGTCACATACTCAATCTATCATCGCTAAATCACTCGATTGTAAATCGTTGATGAAAATGTTTGAGTTAAGTCGAGAGATGGAAACATAATTCATATGTAGGACATCCAATCATTGAATAGACTGATATGTTGTTACAGGATGTTGAATTTATCCAAGCGATTTATTTTTGAAACTGTTGCTTCCTAAAAACACACAAAAGATTTCATGTCATGCTTAAATTATTTCGGAATTCAAGTCAAACATCTGAGTCATGTCTTCAGCTTGTCCAATGTTTATTTACATTTGAAGAGAATTTAAAAGAAAACTCAAAAGCAATCCTATATCAAAATAAATGAAAGGGACAACTGAATAATAAATAAACATCACCAAAAACATGTGTCGGCCTCAATCATTGCTTGATTAATTGACGTTTAAATTTATTTTCTCTTGTTTCATTCACACCGCAATGGTAGAACTAACAAATTTATATGCAAACGGAGTTCGTCATGTGGGGAAGGAAAAGTAATGGGTAAAAGTTGATTCGGTTCATAAAACTTTAAAAGGTGAAAAATTATCATTACAATGAACTTATTGAAATTTGTCAACAACGTTCTGTTGCTGGGCGACCATTGTTAATTCTACATTTCCTTTTTGCCTTCCAGTAATTTCCGGTGATCAGTTCGTTACATCTAGCATTGCTTTATATTATCGCAATGACCGGATGGACAATTTTAATTTCTCTATCAACAATGAAAATTAAACATTGGCCAGATTTGCATGTTCGAAATGTCATTAGCAATGAGTTGATGCTAAGCCAATTTAAATCCTTCTTCTCTTGGCATAGTTAATCCACTTTATTATTGCTTGTTCTCTCTTTCCTTTTCATCTCTTCACTCTTTTCATGTTCAGATTATTGCAGTTACACAATCGTTTCACCATTGAAGCGAGATTTTCATTTTAACAAAAAAGAAGAAAAAAGTTTTATTCAACGAAAATCTGAAAACTTGGAATTAATTCAAAAGAGAAAGAAAAAAAGAAATGGAAGAATTGTGACATTAATTCGACAAACTATGTGAAGCAAGTTATACTTCCTGGCCTTTGAAGCTTGCTTCCGATAAAATTGAAGCCCTTCGAGAACTCCATCAAAACATCAATGCAAAGAGTATCAGTTACATACTGAAGACTCCCTTGTGTAATGAAGCGATACAGAAAACTTTTCAAGAGTTTTAAGGATAAGCTTCAGTGGATAAGAAAAGAAAATAAAGCTTTAGTTAGTTGATACAAGCAATAGTGCTTGAGAATGTTTTCCAGTGCCAGCAAGTTTTCTGCGCTCCAATTGGAGATAAAAAAAGGAATAAATGAAATTGTTGAAAAAAGTTCAGTAAGAATTGTTGTGCTTAGAATTCAGCTCAATGAGTTGAAGATACTTACAGTTGGTGACTAGAGTTGACGTGACTGTTTTAAACGAAATCAATTTCTTTAAAATAAAAGTTGTTGAGCTTCAATACATTTGATATCGGGAAAATTAAATTATGTGCTTTAAATTTAGTTCAAATAAAGTTTTCAAAAGTTGGAGAAAGAAAAGCTTCTTAACATCGAACTTTTATTACGAAAATATTCGCTAAAGCTTTTTTGTTGTTTATCGTAGATAGTGATGAAGATTTCGTCCTCAAACTTTTGTTTCAAGAGACTCATAATGTTTATTCTTGCATTTTATTTCTTACCTTCTTCGTTTCGCCTACCAAAACTAAGTCAATTAAAAGTCTTAAGGGAATCGATAAAAGTGAATGAAAAAGAAAAGTTCTGCTTAATGGAGAAGAAGAAATGCAAAGCTAAGCATTTGAATACTTGCACGCTGTTGTAGAGTTGTACAGCAATGTTTACTTAACTTCATATTTTTCTTCTGTTAAGCTCACAAAATTGCAAAAAAATGTTGAAAATCTAAAGCGGAAAATTCTTTTTTATTTAAAAAAATATTTATCTACCATTTTCTACGAGTTGAAGAAAGCTAATGATTGTTATCAATGGATTGAATATCAAGAAAAGAAATGGAAAAAAATTGAGGAAAAAGTTTGCAGTTGGCGTTTTATCGTTTTTGTTGAAGCTAGAATGGATGTAATACCCGAAGTCAAATCATAATAATGAACATTATTTGTTATTACAAAAGTCATTATCGCATTTTTTTATTGCAACGATTTTCTTCTCCCTTCGCCTTTTTATTCTTAAAAATTTTCTATTCTTTTCGTTTTGAGGCGTTGTTCTCCTCGCTTGACTTTGCTCGAAAGCTTTGTGAATTTATTTTACCATCAATTTTTCTTTTTATGGGCGTGCAGAAGCGTGGTAATATAAATGACATCTGATGCCGTATTCTGATACTTTAATTAACTAAAAAGAAATATCAATTATGTCTCAAGCGCTAAAGTGCTGCTCCACCTACACAATTTAACGGATGGTTTTAGATTGGATTGCAGAACCTTTTAAACGAATATATTTTGCCCTTTCTTTTTATTTATCTAGGTGAAGTTAAATCTTTCCACATTCAGTTTACTGTCGAAGAACTTTATGGCGAAAGATCAGACGTCGACTTTTTATGATTATTTACTCTTATAACTCTTTCACTTGATTTTATTTGCCAGCAAGTTTCACTTTGAAGAACAGTAAAATTTGCACGTTTGTGGAATAGAATAAAGTTTCGAAAAGAAATGCTCTCAATAAGATTTCAGAATGAGATTAAAGCAAATCTAGATGAATATAAAACTATGTAAGTCAGCTGGAAAATTCTTTGAAGAATACTCAGAAGTATCAAAATTTACTTATTGCAGCTTGAAAGAAGTTAAATTTATTTGATAAGTGCACTTAACTTTTCTCTCTTGGTCATTCGCTTTTCCCAACTTTCATGTGTTATCAGTCGAAAATAATTCGATAAATAACAGACAGACGAATAAATATAAAATTACGGAAGCAAACCAATTAAAATCACTTTCCACATTCGCCTTCTGATAGGAAACAGCAAAATTCTCTTCCATTATTTATTGCATCATAAGCGTAATACAAAAAAGTCGGAGTTGGAATTATATGATTTATAAGTGCATTGTTCAGATCACAATCTATTTACCTTTTTACGGTTACGACTCAGCACGGCAGCTTAGCAACGGGAAATGGCCGAAAGTCGGAACGAAGAAGAAATGAAGACAAAAAAAAACATAAAAAGAGATTAAAAATGTTATTTTTCCAATGGAAAATTATTCGTTTTCTTTCTTATATCATGGCTGGGATTGCTTCTGTTTTGTTCGTTTGATTCTTTTTTCTTCCTTCTTTCTAGTTTTGAAAATAACCAAACATAAATGTGAGTAAGAGACTAGCTTCTATCTCAAGGATCATTTTAATTAAACTCATAAAATTTTATGATTTAATTTCCATTATATTTGAACGTGGAGTCGTCGCTGAGGTTATTTTAAAAGTTTCGTATATCTGCTTGATTTGATTTTTTTCTTTCTCTCTTGTTGCTTAAGTTGATTTAAAAAAAATTCTTTTTTATGTGCAAATATCTGTGTAAGTATTTTTTAAAACACAAACTTTTCAATCGAACTTGCAAACTTTTATTTTAACAGAACATTAACATAAGAAAGCATCGAAATGTTACAGAACTTCAAGAAACTTCCAATGTCCCTTAGAAGTTAGAACGATAAGACGAAAAAATGCGATATTAAAAGAATTAAAGTTAAATGCATTTGTTTTTGCCATTTCTCCGTGAAAGAAATCGAAAGAAAAAGCATTAAAACGAATTGAAAATAATAATTTGCTCTAACAATTTCAAAAGGCAATTTGTAAGGAAATCAAAGAAATGGAATTTACGCTATCAAATCTGATTTCATGAATTGAGTTTACTCGCAATTTATTGAATGAAAGAAAATCTCTTCCGCATCGAGAAGTTTGAAGGAAACGTGAGAATAATTAAATTTTATGATTTTAAATGTGTTAAACTTTTCTTGCTTAAGTTTTTGTTATGAAGTTCAATTAGTTTTCATAAGTAAATTATAATCTTTAATTAGAGTTTGCCGAGTGCATTAAGCTGTGATCTTGGCACTGTTAAAGACTTACTCATAAAGAAAGCTCTCGAGACTCAAAGCTTTCTTAAACTTTTAAATTTACACTCATAGAAATTTTGCTTTGAACTCCACTAGAACGTGAAATTTCAGTCTCTCTGAACTATAATAAAAAATAGAATTATGAGCACGAGTTGGAGTTAAAAGAGCAAAGCTTTATGAGAAGTTAAATAAATGAAATTGCGGGAAAAAATTTCATTTTGTTATTTGCTTCTTCTTTTTTTTTCATTAATGAACAGAGAAATGATTTTCATGTATACATATGTCAACGAAGGCTTCCGTATGACAATTAAAAACATTCCTATGACATCTGGATTGGAAATACAATGTTTACCATGCCAAAGGCCATTCCAAAGCATTCCACAAAAGGAAGGTTCGTCCTCAATAATTCCGCTCACTCATCGCTTTGTGATTTAATTATAAAGAATATGAAATTCTGCATGGTTTTTCATGATTGAAATGTTGCTTCATCACTATGCACGGTTGCTCTTGTCTTTTATTGATAATGGGAATGAGAAATGTAAAAAAGAGAAACATAATAACAATTTTCAATCGCTATTCAGTTCTGAAAACTGTAAAAATCGTGCAACTTTTTTTTGTGTTAATATTTGAATTGATTTTTTTAATGGCACAACTTGTTTGATAAATCGTGAAAAATTTGTGATCATATACAACCCTGTAATGTGTTTTGCATAAATTGAAATCGTCAATGTGCAATTTTTGTTCGACTTCCGTTTTCAAATAGCGCCGTTCATAGCGTGGCGTGTTGGCGGCGACAATTTGTAAAAAAAAAACAGAGTCAAAGTGGAAAAAGTACTGAATGTTGAAAGCAATCAATGTTGTGGAAATTTCTGGTGGAAAAGTTTAAAAATGATTTGTTTGCGCAACAAACATTTATTTGCTCTTCGTCTCTTGTTCGCTGTTTTCAACGACGTGCAGTAGCAGTAAAAGCAACAGCAGTTGGTGCACCCAAGAGATTTACCCGTTCGGTTGAAAAAGTTGTTTTTTTTCACTTCTTTTTAAAATTCGAATGGAATAAGTTGATGGTAATTTATCGAGTAATTTTTCATTCGAACATTTTGAGTGATTATATTTCATGTTTAAGTATTTTCATGAGAATTATGAGTAGATTTCTATTTTTCTTGCAATGTCGTTTGTTATGTTTTGGCAGAAAATATCAATAATATGAATTATTTTATGCTTCACATTTTTGTATTTTCTTCGTTTCGATTCAACTTATAACTGAGGAGCCATTTCTGACGACCTAAATATCTTCTTTTCTTCCTTCACAGAAATTTGTTAAAAAATTTGTTTTCTTCTCCCAAGACAAAACTGACAAAACTGTTTGTAAATTGTCGTTAAATCTTTAATGTCTTTTGACAGTCCCAACAGGAATCTAAAATGAGAAAGAAAAAAAAATCTCAACACATTTGAACTTTGTTGTCTTTAGTCAGAAGGCGGTGTTAGATCATGTAGCATATTTCTCTCGAGACCTGGAAAGTAAAATAAATAAAGAAAAAAGTTGAAAAGTGCGTAACGACTTGAGTGAATAAGCCCGCGAATAAAAGAAAAGTTTATTTGTTTTTATTGGAACAAAGTCAAAGCTAGTCAAAGTACAATTTAAACTTTTCTTTTTTATAGATGACTACACTTCTGAGGTTTCATTTTTTAGGTTTTTTCTTTTTTACGTCATCTTATCAAAAGCTTCATACGCGAAACTGTCGAGAGAAGGAAGGAAGAATAAACATTTCTAAGTCTACACCCTTTAGAACGATTTTTAATATTTTTCCTTTTTCAATTTCAATATAAATTCACAAATCTTTTCGAACCTCATCCTCGTGAAAAAGTAATATCTGCAAAAAAGAAACTTTTCCTGAAAGGATTCAACAAATCCACCGGATAAAAGAGATTTTCTTTCATATGTGGCATATAATTGAACGAAATAGATCAGCGAACCGATAAAGTACTTTTATTTGAAGATGAAAATGTAGTTACGAATTTTCTTTGATTCTTTTCATAAGAAAACCTCAAGTGTAAGGAAAATCTCAGAGGAAGAAGCGGTAAAGATTAAATTCAAAGACGAATCTCGTTTCGGCAGACTACAAGAAATGTAACCTTTGGCTTTTTATTTGTAACATGAAGTTATGAAGCGTAATTATTAAGATTGAGGTTTAGGAAACTTGGCTTGTGTTCAAAGTCTAATTATAGATTATCAAAATTGTTTTCTAGAACTTTGAGCTTTGACTCCATTTCTAACTTACTTTTATGTGTACTTAAATATTAAATATTATTAAGTTTCAACATCAACCTAATGCGGTGTTCATAAATTGCTTGAAAATTTAAATTTCAATCATTGCTTGGCAACACAACTAACTAACTAACGTTAAATATTGCTACTTCCTCCAAGCTCAATTTCTTTCATTGAATGTTATGCATGCAATTTTATGAAATATGAAACTCTTTCATGCTGCCCAAAAACTTTATAAAAGGTTATTGGGAAATAGTTTGGAGCTGTAATTAAACTTTCGGTTTAATGCAATAAAACCATGCAAACATTCAATTTCGTGCTTTCATCACTGTCACAGGCATGATCAACAGTAGCATTAGATTTTCCATCAATTTTCTGCAAAAGCAACACGTTTTATGAGTTTTCTGAAACATAAGCACACAAAATCCAATAAAAACAAATGCGAATGAACAATGCAATTCAATCCACGAAGCAATTTATTTATTTTGGTATTCAATGGAGGAACTGTTGAGTTCCTTAATGACTTTAATGTTTAAGTAGTACGGAGAAGGGGGAAACAGCAACATGAGCAAGAGAATAAATATTTTTCATTCTCCTGACAATTGAAAATCACTCAAACATTGTCGGTCCTCGAAATCAACATCGGAATTTAATTTGAAACGATCCACAAAATTCCAAGCTTAAAACCAACTTTTATTGATACATTTTGCATTGCCAAATTAAATGGCCATTTAATAAAAATAAAAAAAAGTTCAAGAATAATTTTCATTGCAAAGTTTTCTCTTACGCACAAACGATTTACTTAAATTATGAATGACTTTTTGAGATTTTTTCTTATATTCGTCTGCTTTGCCGTTGGCAAACTATGAAACAAACTCATATAAAAATGTTCTTTGCAAAATATCTTTTCACTGAAAATGGATCCTACGCTGGCTTTTTGTTTCATAAAAAGAATGAAAGCAAATAAAAATTGGTTCGTTTCCTTATTTGCGTTCGTTTTTTTGGAACTCTGGGAGTTACTTGTCGACTTTAAGCTGCATTAACTTGATTCTCACATATTTGAGCAAAGAAATTTCATTTTAATTTATGTTGGAGCCATTTGTTGACGCTAATTTATTGTCTGTTTTTAAGTGAAATTTGTCACACTTACGCTCATTGCTATGAGCATGAAATGTTTGAGAAATTATGGATGTAAATAGATAAGCTGAGAAAATATGGAGATGGAATTCAAATGAATCTCGAGAAATTCCTTCAGTCTCTTTGACCTTCACTGTTGATTTCCTAATTCAATTTTATTGATTATTTTCACTTCCTGTTTTTCCTCCGCCTTCGAAATGAATGACTTGTTAACTGAAACATTTTTGGGTGGTAATAAAAACGTACGAAATTCGACTTTTATTGGCACGTATTGGCGTAAATTTATGTTTCATGACTTTGAAATTTATCGCCCTTTTTCGTAGATCTTCCTCAATGTTACACTGAACGAACTTATTTTACGGCCGTCTATTAATCGAAGCTTCATATTCATTTAAGATATCTGAGGGGTATTTAATGGGAACTTAATTTTATCATTATTAACTTGTTGTATTGGAGAAAATTGTTTCATTATTGCTGTGGTCGTCGTTCAGAGCAAAAGATATAAAATAAGTTATAAGATTTTTATTGCCAGATATCTATTTATATCTTTTTCTTTGTTTCTTGGTCGATACTTTCACAAAAGATTACAAACATTTTAGCACATGACTGATGAGAATAGAATGTAAAGTAACTTCTGAAGGAGTGCAGAAGCATTTTAGTTGATATTTAATGAGGAAAAGTCATGCTGGGAACTTGTTGGCACTACATTCACATTTCGAAGCGACAGGCAGTGACTGCTTGTACTAATTGCACTTTCAATGCTTCCCATAATGAACGAGTTGCTACCACACGGTAGAAACGACGACGATAATGGCAAAGCACCATTAGCAGTCAATTATCCCATAAATATATTGAAAAGCTTGGAGTCTTTACAGCCAAGTACGATTATTTGCATCATTGATAGATTTTAAATTCACAAAGTACTTATGTAGTACGGATGGCATGAATCGAGATTACGTTTTATATGTATTTTTTTTGTATTTCAATTTATGCAGTTTCGCTTCGTGATTTTCAATGCAAATGACAACTCCACGCCATTATCTCCGTTTGGTTTCGTTTAGCAATAGCAAATTTATTTATGGATTTAACTGCAAAGTTTCATGATAAAAGAGAAAAGATTTCTATTGAGTTTAATGCAAATACATTTTCTGATAAATTCACTGTGGAAAATAATTTATTCTCAATCCGTCTTTTAATTCTTGATGAACTGAATCTTCTGCTTTAGCAGCCTTGATAAGCAACAACGAGAATTAAAAGCAGAAAAAAGAAAGGAAATTTCAAGCAATGAAATGAAAAACGTCCACAAAATGCATCTCCCATAGATGTTTGAAACTTTTATTTGCAATCAGACATGGAGTGGTTGAGACAAGAAAAGAAAAGACGAACGGAAATGTTTTAGACAACAAACTTAGCAATTTTGTGGTTGAACGAGTTAACAGAGTATTAATAAGTACTCTTGAGGCTTATGTTGTGTTGGGAGTTCTTTAAGTTGAATTTGATCCTTCCATGTTTAACAAAGAAGTTAAAGAAAAAGAGAAACTTATACTTAATAATTTAAACGACTTTTAAGAAAGCTCCTTTATGCATCTTCTTACAAAAAGAGGATTTCTACTATTTTCATCTCATATTAACCAACCTTTAGAAAGGTTTCTTTAGACGCTTATGAAACGTTTACGTACGCATTCTTAAAAGGAAGTCTTGGTCTGAATAGAAAGAAACATTTTAGGGATATAAATAAAAAAGCTTTTTATTTCATTCTGATGATCATTATAATTGTTCTGCCTTGCCATCCTGAACTTCCTGTTTTGAGTCTTCTTCTTTTCTTTTCCTTTTTTGTTGTTGTTCTTCCTGAGCTTATAAAATTTGACCTTTTTTTCGTCAAATGCCTCGAAGTTATTGTGTAACACTGTTAATGGAAAGGATGAAACGTTATGAAGTTTGAAAGTGGCTCAAGAGAAGATTTTCTTTTAGTCCCGTGGCAGAACATTTGTTGCTTGGGAAACGGAGGAAAGTTTCCTTCTTTTCGAGATATTTTCTATTGGAGATTCTTGTTACACTTTTAATATGACCTTAAAGCGATTGAGATGAAGCTTTTCCCAATTAGTTGCAATTTTTTATTCTTCGCATATTTCACTTCACGTTTAGAGTTTCCCATCAATTAAGAATGAAATATAATAATTTAAAACATTAATTTATTTCTGCGTGTGGTTTTTACATAAAATTAACATTATTTTTGTAAGCGAGAGAAGAGATTTAATCATTAAAAGCGTGGCTCTGATAATTTTTATAAATTTATCAGCGATTTTATTTATGGCGAAATCCACGTAATTACTGAACAGCTTCTGATGGCTTCATTGATAAAATATTTTTATCTAAATCATTATCTTAATTGGAACTAAATTGCGAATGAAATTTTTAATTTATTTGCATATCAAATTAGTAAGAGAAACATTTAAATAAACATTTTGAACTGATCGAAATGTGAAGTTAAATTTTTAAATTAATCAACTTGAGTGAAGTCAATTTTGAGGAGGATTACAAATTGTTAAATTTCGTATTGAACATAAAATAATCAATTAAAATATTTATGTTGATTTTATGCGCAAATTGAGTGAATATGTTTGTTTGACTTTAGCTCACATTTGAAACTTTTTCGTGCATCTAATTGAATCACTGATCAAATTTAAAAGTCTCAAAATGTTTTTCCACCTTTTTTATTACTTAAACGAATGAAAAATCAATCCTAATGTTCGTTCATGCATTTTATTTTGTATATTGACGACGTTACATTTTAATTTGAGTTAAGTCGAGAGTTTAGTCATAAATTTTCAATCTCAAATTGAACGAGCGTCCCCAAACGATAGCAATAAGACGGAAAAGAAGAAAAAACTCAATTTATGAAACTGATTTCCAAATGGAATTCAGAATCATGTTGTTTGATTTTTCAAACACTTACTCAGCTGACAAAATAAAGACACACGATAAGTGTAACTCATTACATATTTCATTCACGTAAAGGAAACTGCTGTTTACAGCTCTCGAGAACGGGGGGAAAAATCATTTCTTGTGAGAGAAATATTTGTATCGGAAGGAAATTATATCATTCGATTGGAAGCAAAATGTTTTGCGAGCGTGTTCTTCTATTCAACGAAACTCAAGAAGGGAAAAGAATTGAAAGGTAGAAAGTGGTGCAATTTCCTTTTTACAGAATAATATTATTCTTTGATCATAAAAAGGGTAAAACGTTGGCATTTACTATTAAGCCTCGACATTGTTTAGATAAAGGACAAAGCATAAAATTTTTTTTTGCTTCAAGATATTTTTGATGAAAAATCAAATGTAGAAACTGGAAAAGAAAAGCCGTCCGAGAAAGAAACAGTAAAATATTTATCTCTATCATGTCAACAGTTTTTCTTTTTCTTCATGAATATCACGGCTGAGAAATCGGACAATCAAAATATAGAAAATTTCGTAGCAGAAAGAGCGTTTTGATATAAACTCTCGTTAAAGATAAATATGGCATGGAACATGCGCTATATAGCAAAACTCGTCAAGCTTATTGCCTCATGTCAAATATGTGAAGCGTTTTAGACATTTGTTGAGATTATTTGAATATTTGGAATTCGATGAATATCTTATGCCTTACTTGTCTTCTTCTTCTTCTTATAAAATTATATTGACAAGTTTGAGAATTCATGGAATTTTCCTCCTAAGGATATTTGAGAATTGATATTGGTTGTTGTCTTGAATGCTTTGATTGACAAAATTAATCTAGTTTAGATTTAGATTTCTTAAGATATTATGAAGCGAAATAATTTACATAAAATCTCTTTCAAAGGTAACTTTTCAATACTGCTAATTTGATCTATTTACATCTTTGCAGATCTTACTATGAATAAGTATTAAATATTTTATCGAATGCTTCCAAAAATTTGTTTCGATATGATGACGGTTATGAGTTCCACAAAAGATACTATTTCAAAATATTTCAAGAAAGCTTGTTACTAATGCCTACCAAGTGCTTTTTTTCTGACAAACCAATATTACAAGATAATTATCTAATTGGTAACATGATACATTTTATTTTTAAGGCATCCTTAAGAGCAGCCTAAGAATAATTCGGTTGCAAATAAAAAGGTTGAAGGATGAATTTAATTTCAAGCTTTCTTTCTCAAGTATCCCAAGGAGTTTATTTTGATCATTCTCTTAATCTCGTACAAGTTGCTTGTTCGCTGAAGAACTTTTTCATTTCTATATTTAATTTCTACAAAATTGTAGACACAGAAACAAGACTTCTTGTTATATTTCATTCAATTGCCTTGAAATTTTGATGAAAATTCCTAGGTAATTGAGTGAACAACGACGCAGTTTCCGTGTGCTTCAAAAACTACTATAGAACTGGGAAGTGAAACCTTGCAGAAATGCTAAACGAAATGGAAAATTGCAGATCCTTAGAGATGATTTTTTGGTGCTTCCTTTGTGAAAAATAATCGAGTAGAAAGGAAAATGGTTAGCAACGCACTTTCAAGCAGAAATAAGTGTAAGTTCTTAAACAGAAAAAAGGAAACTTGAAATTCATACAATTTCAACATTTCAGTCATTATTTGGGGAAGGAAAATAAATTCAAAGAAAGTAATTTTAGGTTTCTCGAATAAGACCACAAAATTGGAAATGGAAACTTAATCAATTTCGATTGAAATTGAGTAAGAAGACAGAATTTCAAGTATTTTAATGAATCTGTAATAGGATCGGAAAGCTTTTCCTCGAAAATCTCATTCAATAATCCTAAAGCAATTAATCAGATGGCCTGATAGGATGATTAAAATGAACATGTAAGTTTATTTATTCAATTACATTTATTGCGGTCAAAGTGCTCTCAGTTTTTTTTTTCAGTTTTATCGAACTTTCAAACCATGATCAGTAAATTGAATTTATTAAATTCGGTTGAACTTTACTGAATTTAAAACAAATCAATTGTAGCAAAGAAAATCCTTGACATTACATTAATCAATTTGTGTGAGTATTATTTGAGCAATCTTGAAAATAAATCAAGCAGATAAATAAGTATCAAAATATTTACTTTTACATTATCGAAATGAGTTCTCTCTTTCTAAAACAATTAGATATGAATAAAAATCGATTTTTTTATTTATTTTACTGTTTTGATTTGAGCTTTGTTTTCGAGCTATTTCGAGACGAGTTTTGAAGACTGAGTTAAGAATAAAATTGTTAGGTTTATTTTTCGGTTCTGGAATGAAGAGATATAATATTGATGAGGATTACCCCATTGGGAACGGCATCAATATGAATGAAGAAAGAATGGAACGATGGATTGATTGATTAACTTGCAGATGCAGACAAACATATATTTGAATAATCTGCATTCTAAGAACTAAATTTCATTCCTTTCAAATATTGTCTTGCAAGCAACTACTTGACAAATCTTAGCACAATTTACACTCCCATGTCTTGTCATGCTTGACATAAAATCTATATTAAATATGTTCCCATTAATGACTACAGCAGTAGTTGTAGTTTTCTGTTTTGTTCAACTACTTCAGAAAAAGCTTCTATTTCATTCTGAGAAAACTTCACTTTATGTTGACGTCAGAGCATTCTTTATTGCATGTTGTATTGTATGCTGACTTGCTTGTATCTAAATGAAAAAATGAAATTGAAAATCAGATTTCATTATAAATTCTATTTCAGAAATAGGAAGGAAATTAATTTGACGATTAATTTTAAAATTGTGATAAGCATTTAAGCGCCTTTCCGCTTATTAATTGGAGACTGATAAGATTATTTATTATCACCTGAATAAAGTTTCATAGAATCACAAAACAAATTCATTACAGTAGAAAAGTTGTTCAGTCGTTTTCTGGAAAACAATGTCGTCAGCTTTTAGTTACAATGAATTTTCTGTTTCATTTCACTAACAATTATAAAAGTAACTTTGTAAATATGTATCAACATTATTCAGTGATCAAGTTTTAATTGTTTTTAAATTCTTTGAATTTATCGAGTCAAAAAAAACTTTTCCAACCGTGAATATTTGTTTCATAATCAATGTTCAATAATTATTAAGCTTTGAAACCACAGAGCATGTTTCGATTTTTTGATATTGCTTTTGAACATCAAACAAATATTTATTAATTAAATTACCTTCAGATATTTGCATAAATTTAATTTTGGTGGATAAATTGCAAATAAAAATAAAATTTTCTTTAACCAAAGAAATGTTTTGATTTTAGAATCAAAAGTTAATGTTTAACAAGCAAACAAATGGGTTATGTTGATATTCTCGCTTATTGATTATGAGCGTTTGTTTCCAGGTATGAGATACATAATTATTGACTTTACTCATTAAATGATTAAAACAAATTAGGAACTTAATGATTCATTAATATGTGCCTCATTGTAGTTTGTTTCTAAATATTTATTCAATTGCTATAATAAGCAATGCATAATCTTCTTAATAAATAAACAATTACGAAGAAAAAAACTCTAAAGCCTGATAAGTTTATTTTTTTACTACTTTCCTTTAACAAAAGGTTGACTAGAAGACGCAATCAATTTGTGAAATAAAAGGAAGCATGAATACTGGAAAAGCATTTTATTCTGTTCTTTTTCTTATGTCTCCGTTGAGACTTTGTCAGCCTATTTATTGATCTCTTGACTACGATGTGTACGCTCTAAAAATACTGATGACATCGAAGAAAAATAGAAACTCAGGGCTGTTAAAGCTGATTGCTGTTACTGTAATCCAACTTGTGTATTTATTTATCTTTATCGACTCTACTTGTTCCGACCTCACTCCTTTCTTTGATAAGATATCTTGAAATGAGGGGGAAAAAAGAACCATTTCGATGTGTGTTTCATGTCAGTAATCCAAACACATCGCTATGGTCGCAATAAAAACAAGTGGTTCACTTTGAAATTGAATCATTCTACTTCGTGACTTTAAACTTTCAAAATGGGTAAGAGAGTGAGTTAATTGAATTTTCCGGTTCGATATCAAATTGGTAATTTTATGTTAGTACTGAAATGGGTAAAAGGAAACGCTCGAAGCCGAATGAGCAATAAAGCACTGTTGGGTGGAAAAGATAGTGACGGCGCATCCATCTACGTCGGTCGTGCATTCCACCAGGGAGTTTGGCTGCCAGCAAAATTTATTCCATCGAAAAACGCTTGTTACGTGCGTAAGTGTAAACCAAACCTGAACGGAAAGCATCTTCACCTTTGTTTTATGTTTTCTTGTGAAACTTTTTAACGACTTTAGCTTATAATGGAAAGGAAGTGTTTGTGCAAGACTTCGAAGTATTAGAAGCCAAAGAAAATAAATTCTCGTGGGAACCGGCAAGCGATGGAAGAATTGCCACTGGCGCTGTCTCGACAGGGCGTGATGGAAATGATGAAATTTACATTGGACGCGCTCCATATCAAGGCTCAATGACTGTTGGAAAGGTGCAAAGAGTATCAAAATATTTGCGGTTTCCCATTATCAACATTTTATCTCGTTTAAGATTCATCCCTCTCACCGCTGTATTTATTTACCCTACGGTGGAAATGAAGTTCGCCTTACTCACTACGAAGTGCTTGTGTATAAGAGACCCTCTCGTGAGTTACTTTGTTGCTGTTTAGATTTCTGCTTAGGAATTGTTGAAGATGTGGCTGACAATTCGAGACGATAATTCTTGGAATTGCTTTCGGAATTCTTAGAAATAAGTCAAATTTTCAATCAATTTTAATTGGAATGCTTAGAAACCATTTCTGCGAAATGAAATTCTTCGATTCATTAGTTGAATCAAAATTAACAAGAATCTTTTAAACTTCAGGAAGTTGAAATTAATTTAAGAATAAATTCAACAATTCTCATTATCAGAAATCTTCTTTGAAATTTTATCAATTTTCTTTAAAATTCTCAAACCCTGGAAAAGAAAATTAAACTTTGCATTTATTATTAAAAAACTTTAGTTCAATGGATGTCAACAAATTCTCATTCTCCACTACCTCGTAACGCAGTTCTCGGTGGTCGTGATACCGATGGCGCAGAAATCTTCGTAGGACGAGCATCTCACGCTGGTGACGTTATGCCTTGCAAAGTTATTCCCAGCAAGAGAGTTGCTTATGTTTCATATAATGGCTCGGAAGTTTCAATGCACAATTTTGAAGTCTTGGTGGGAAGTAATGCAAAGTGGAAGAAAGCAAGAGATGGAAAAGTCCCCAAGGGAGCGTTTCCAGGTGGATCAAGTAGTGGTGAAGTTCTTTATATTGGTAGAGCAAACCATAATCGTAGTACAACTGTTGGAAAACTTCATCCTAGTCATGGATGTGTTTACATTCCTTATGGCGGCAAAGAACATTCATTCAGAGAGTACGAAGTTCTAACCGGATATTGAAATGTTTGAAACATTTGTGACAACTTTCATTTGAAAATTATTTTTACCAGAAATTAAAATGTGGACAATTTGATTTCAATAAAATTCTATAAATGTTTTGCTAATTAAAAGCTGGAGGCATTTTTTCTGCATGGTAATGTCACGTCCATGATTAAACAACTGATAATTTTCTGGCCACAGTGGTCTGTTGCTGGTGGCAGCATTTTATTGTCAATTTTAAAATAATAATCATTAGCGACATTTTTCAGGATTAAAATGGTTTTCTGTGGTCACCTGCACATGAGACTACAAGTGTAGTTCCTCGTTTTCAAATAAATTCATGCATGTTTTCAAGCAACTTTTTGTGGTGGAAAAAGTTTTCACAGAACTCGACAGAGTTGAATTTTAAAGCAAATAAAGTTTATGAAAACTCTCAGTCATGGTTTGAAGCTGATTTCGGGAAAGTTTTTAAATCAAAAATTTAATTCAATTATTTGTGCACATCTCGCTCCAGGTAGTTGAGTGTTTTTGATTTTATTTCGATAAATTTATCAATTTCAATTTTCAAAATACTGCAAAATAAATTCATTGATGCACATTTTGAAGTTGAATTCTTATCAATAAGAGGGTCAATAAAATTTATTTTGAATCGAAATTGCGACTATAGATAACATGAAAAAAAAAATCGATTTTGGAAAGGTGTGATAATGTTGTTAACACATTAAATTTTATGGTCAACACATTGTGGTAATCAAAATTTGCGATTCACCTTGAAAAAGCTGCGAACAAGAAAATCTCTCAGTGCTTTTGGTCTTGTGCAATGATGAAAATATTAATAAATTTGGTTGCTATTAAATCCAGAGACTAATTGGAAAGTTATGCAAAGCAGCTAGAAATGATTAAATATGGTAATGTTTCAACATAAAACATGAATGATAAACGAATGCAAATAAGCAGCGCTTTAGTTAGAACACTCACAGCCAACTTCATTTAATATGTAAATTAATTAACTGGAGAGTTTATTGCTCATTAGACAACTCGTAGCGAACATTTAATTAATTATAGCCATATAGATGGTTTATTGATTCTCGTTAGTCATATTTTCTTTTTATTATTTGCTTTTATTTAATATTTGGTCATATCGTAAGTTTATTTTTGTAATTAATGGATCATCATGATCTGTAGAGTTGTTTCATTGCTCAATTTACCTGAAAAATGTTTGTAATTTGTCTGTTATTTTCCAACTTTTTTTCCTCCGAACATCAGCTTTTATGTTTTACATAACTTTAAAGAGTGAACAAAATCGAGCAAGTACAAAGTTGATGAAGTCAAGTGAACCGAAAGTACATGAATTTTTCATAGGAATAAAAATACTCGTGCAAGATTGGGCTGTTTGTCGTATCATGTCACATTTTATTCATTCATCTTCGATGTCTACAGAAGCAGAACATCATTATCGAATCAATACGAAAATTGTGAACATTGTGACATTGGAAAACAAACCACTCAAGCGAATACAAAGTTTTTCTTCTTCTTATTTTGCTGTACTTTGGAGAAGTTCAAAACTTTAACCTTTTTTATTTATTCGCAAAACTTTATCTGCTTTAAAAACTTAAATTAAATTTGCATCTGCTTAACAAGTTTATAGCTTTTTTCTCTATTCTATTAAAAGCTTTTCCCCCGCGTAATCTGTTTGATATAAAAAAAGCTTTGAATTCAATTTTTTTTGTTCTTTCAATTATTTTGCTTCATTGCTTCTCGAGGGAAAAATGTTTTTATTTGCGCAACCTAAACTGCCCAAAGCGAGTAAACAAACTCGAAAAAAAATTGTTGACAGCACAAAGAGGGAAGGAAAATGAAGCCAATTAAAGGCTGACAAAGTTTTAAACGATGTAAAGAAATCAATCTACTCTCGATCAGACGAATCGAGAATGTTGTTGATGCTTTTAATATTTTTTGTGCTCCAAGGCTCAAGGGGATCAGGTGGTGATTGCACCCCACCATCAACAGCAACCTTTTCCTTTATGTGTCGTGAGATTTCAATTGATGCAATTGGTGCAGACTTTCCACGTCGCTGTTTAGACGAATCGTCATCTTTTGACTCTTCGGGCGATACCCTAAGAATAGAAAAGCGTTCGTTTGAACTTATGACATGAATAGATACTCATAATGATATTTATTACTTGTTGTTTCTTCCTGTTCGATAGACTTTCTTATATTTCTTCTTTGATCTTGCATGCTCGGATGTTGATTCGCTGTCAGCAGAGCTTTTACTTATGAGAAATGAGAATCAGGATAAATTTAAACATTACGTGACAAAACAACATCATCGGATAAACTTAAGACGGTCACTAGAAATTCGTGACAGAATTTTTTAAAGCATAAACAAGAATGGACGCTTTTGTTTTATCGTTGAAAGGAACTGTGTACATAAATTTAATGCTAACAAATAAAGTTTATTATGATGATCTTGACGACAGGAATCAAAAATGATATTCGTACGACAAAAAATGTGGAAAAACCGTGATAAAGTCTCATTAGGATGCATGTCACCTACCGATTCAAGTGTAGCATTTCCATCTTCCGCTTAACATCCTCAACAGTGACAATTTCATCGTCGTCATCGCCCGTCTTTAATCTGTCACCATCATAGATCCAATTAATTATGGAATTTTCGTCTCCATTCTGTTGCGTGATATAAGTTAATCATTTCAAATATAAGCTTATCATAGTTGGTTGGTTGAGTTAAAGGGAATAGTTTGCATGCGGAAATAGAGGGAAAGTGAAGAAAAGGGTGGCACAACTTCAAGTAATGTTGATAGCATCTATGCTTGGTTCATGAAGTAAATAGAGAAGTTTCATTTCATATTTCTATGAAATTTTCTTTCTTTATCTTCATCATAATCATGAAGAAAGAAAGAACGAAGGAAAGTCCTTGTCGTATATGTTTGAACAGCTTTGACGTCAATCATAAGTTTGAAATTATTTTGTAAAGGAAATTAAATGTTCAATGTTAGAAAATTTTCGAGCAAACAAATTTCAAAACATGAAATTATAAAAATAAGTTTCACTTTAATGATATTTTTTACGAACTGAAATCATCAAAGTTTGTGAAAAATTTCATTTTGAACTTCTGTATTGTAATCAAATGCAATTTCTTTATGTCTCATATACTTGGAAGTTTTCCCTAATTCTCCACTTCATATGCAGCAAGTATCAAAACCTTACTTAGAAGATTACATGAAATATTTAATAAATGAAAGTTTCATAGTCATCACTTTACCTCAATGTCTTCCCATGCTAAGTTACACAACGGATGTTCATCGCTTTTTCTCTTGTCAGTTGCCGACGTTCTTGTCGCAGCTGACTTTGCTCGTCGTACGAGCGATATTTTTCCAAGCACCGGTTTCTCCACTGCATCACTGTCATCTGTGTCATCTAATGCTTCGAGTGTTTTCAAAAATTCGGCTTCTTTCACCGGATCTACAATCTCCTTAGGATTTTGGAACAAACTTATGCCTTGTTCGAGCGTATTTGACTTCATTAAATCTTGCTTCCTTTGCTGTTGTAACTGATTATACAGGTCCGTGCTTTTGACTTCCAGCACGTAATCTAAGCACGAAGAGTCTTCAGCTAATGACTTAACATTCCGCAAAAACTCAACTTCGTCATCAATCAAAATGACTTCAGATAAAAGTATCAAGTCACGGAGCGGATCGTTGAACGTTTTCTCTGGAATGCCTTTTGCGGGTGTTGTTGTTGCGGTAGGGGCTTTTGACTGAGTTGTAGACGAAGGCGTCGCTTTGCCGGTGGTTTTGATTTGAACCTTGTCACTCGTCGGAGGTTGCGTGACGCTTGATGGTTCACTTGTGACGATGTCTGTGACAGTAGAGTAGTCAGGTGGTGGTGTTTGTTGCGGTTCAACTGTAATCGGTGTTGTTGTTGATGTTGATGTCATTTGAACAACCGTTGTGTTTCGTGTTGGATCGGATTCTATCATCACGATATCTTGAGCGAAAGACATTTGATCTAAAGCTGCTGTCAATCCAAAAGGATCTTCCTCTTCAATATGCTTCTTCCTTTTGATATCATAAAACGGAAGGCGTAAACAGATTAGGCATAACAGAAATGGAATTAATTGAAATTGATTACACGATAGCTTACGTACTTTTTTGATACTTTTTTTGGACTTGTTATGGACGCTCGACCCCACATTAAACGCCTCATTTCCTCGCCCGTCATGCCACGTTTCTTTAGCTCACCAAGTGTCGTTTTCAGAACCCATTTCCAATTGCTGACAGCTCCTTTACGTTGTTTTGCTCTTGTTTTGCTTTTTGATTTAATCACCATTACGCCTCGTTGTTCAAAACGCGGATCATCGGAAGGTCCCAAACCAATGGAATATTCTTCGAGATATTTCTGTGCGTCGGTCTGTGGAATGGCGCGCTCAAGTGTGACGACAATCTTTGCCCATTGTTTCATGAACTCCTTCTCGGATTGTTCAATGACGTACGCGTAAGTATTGCCTATAAATAAACTCAATTGAGCGTAAGATTGAAAGGAGCCATTTGGATATCACATGTGCAATAAATTTTTGATAATTCTCTAATAATTGAGGAAAGAGTTTAGCACATGTAAGTTCCAAATCGTTCCTAAGATCGGCACAACGAATGCCGATTGACAGAATCAAAATTACCCATCATAGCAATCAACTGTTGAGTGAAATTGAAACGATGAAAGATTAATAAACATGAAGCGTTAATAAATATCGGAAAGCTTACCATGTTGAGCAGTAGAATGGGTACGAAAATCATGAAAATGATGAAGACCGTTTTTGCCAAGTTGGGGTATGAGATGTCGTTCAGTTGAGCGTACTGAAGCGTGGATAAATTTTCATTTTTCCCCCGAGACGATGAGAAAGTCACGAAATCAATAAATAAAATTAAGGTTCAAATGAAAAGTCTTATTGGATGAAACAAAGCAGAGTTAGTCAGTCAACTTACATCATAATCACCAAGTGTTGTTTGAAACAAACCCATCCATGTACTTGCGTATGTTCCGTAAGGTGTTTCATCGACATTTTCGTGTCCTTTATAAAGGAAGAAGTATGCTTGGGAGAATCCAAACAAAACGATGATATAAATGATGGAAAAGGTAAACATGTCGCCAGTAATCATAGAATAAATCATTGTGACGAAGGGTCCAGTCAATCGGATGGCACTTTGTGGAAATTAAAGATAAACAGATCAGATTTTCCACAACGATTTTAAAAGTGAATTGACAAGTGTGGTTAGTGGTGAGGAAAAAGGGGAGAAAATCAAGAAGAGAAAAACCTTTCAGTGTCGTCCGAATGTAAGCGCATTTCCAAACATCTGTGAAAATGATTTGAATTTCTATCGAAGTTTGAATTATTCAGAGGCACTTGACAAATGGACCGACACATCATCAAATCAACTCCGCTTGCTGAGCTAAACATAAACCGTGCTTGCTTAAAAAAAGGGATTCTTAAAATAAATCATGTCACGTTCAATTTGTTTTTTTTTTCTCTTCTTCCTTTTGTGTATTTGAATATGTAAGAAAACATTGAACAAATGTTGCGTTTTCCCATACCAAATTGAGTGTGACATGATTTATGCATTGTGACGAGATTTGCTTCTTTTCACTTGTCTAGTTTTTCATTTTGTTTTCACTCCCCCCCACATCTCCATTACGAAGTTAAATGCTTAGTAATTACTGACCCAGCGAAGAACATCAGCAAAAACCAACTGCCGGGAACAGCAAAACATAAAAGTCGGTCTTCGAGTATATCATCACCCATGATACGACATGGTATACATGACAGAATCAGCAAGTTAGAAACAAGAAAAATGGCTTTAGCAGGTGCTTGTTTCAATTGCTTTAAAAATGCTTTCAATCCTTGGTTTTTAAGTTCATCGCCTTGTTGGAAAACCACGAAACTTATGACGCCAGCTATTGTCGCACATTCACAACAATAACGAATGATTGTTTGTACATCCAGACCTTCTTCCATGACAAGAGCTTCAGAGGCAAGTTCATCATCTCCACTGACATCATCATCATCATCATCATCATCATCTTTATGTGATTGTTTAGTACGAGACGGCCTCGTGTACACCGAAATTGACATGAAAAACAAATGAATGAAGAGAATAAGAAGACGTTTCAGAAACTGATGTTGTGCAAAAGTTTTCCATTTTTCTTCCAATAAACGCTCAATGATACCTCCGTCGAGCATATCCAAATGCTCTGGCTTGGTTCCATTTAAAATTATAATGAGAGCAGCGTTCCAATCTAGATAAAAGAAAAGTTTTTTTTTGTTTGGAATTTCAATTTGTAATCAATATGCGAGAGTGCTTTCCGATGTGCTTAACGATTCTATGCTGCAAACATCAGGTAAAAGAAAACGAATGTTCAGATTCTCAACGTTATAGATAATCTTAAAATGAAGAAAGCCACTTTGACAGTTTATTGAAAGATTGTCGCACGCTGTTGTAAGGAGCTTGCTTGTTGGGCATGGATGATTCTTCTTTTCTTTCTTTAGAAAAGTTTAAAGGAAAAGTTAAGAAAGATGCTCAAAGGTTGATTATGAATAAAGAATAACAAAAAAGTAAAGAAGAAGAAAGTTCAATGAAAGCATTTCTCTTGAGATCATAAAGTTTCATCTTAACCTGATGATTTGATAACATCATCTTTTCTTTATGTAAAGGCTGACTATGAATTCATAAGCAGAGAGAAGATTTCTAACTGCAAGCTTTTCAGTAAATTGGTAGCTAATTTAAAAAGTTTTTCAAATTTAAAGTGTTTGAAAATGAAATTTATTAGACATTTGTAATGGAAAAGTTCTCGGGCAATTTTCATACCGACAGAAAACACAATTGAGTGTCATAGTCAGCCTTCATCAACACTCTCTCTTGTTGCTTCTATATTATTTTTCAATATTTTTCTTACTTGTGCTACCATCTGGCATGAGAGTGTCTAATGCGTTAAGCGGATAAGCAGAGCATGTAATGTTGCTATATCTCCAAAACTCACGACAACTTAATTCCAACATTTCGCGAAAGACTTCCGATCGACCGAGTTTACATGCTAATGTGAGTGGTGTGAGACCGGCCTTGTTTACGATGCCATTCTTAGCGGGAAGCTTTGGATGCCTAGGGAGACAAACAATATGAAATTTCATAAATATTATCATCATAAAAATGTAATCACAACCTTAGAGCATAACCGAACATATCCAATTTATCGCCAACAACTACCATATGAAGAATCATATTACCAAAGGAATCTTGTGCGTCGGGATCAGCGCCGACCTCCAACAATAAATTATACACCGATTCATTGTTAACGCATGCTGCCCAAGCTAACGGATATTCTCCTAAGTAAGCAAGACCTTCATAATCTGTGTTCTTGACTGGAGTATTACTTTGTTGATCTTTCGGAAGAAAGAAACGACCAATAGCACGTTGATGAACATCAGCACCAGCATCAATCAAATCATTTACGAGTTCATTGTTAGAATAAGCAATAGCTAAATGTAAAGCACTTGCTCCCAAATATTCTTCGCCTTCCATCACGTCTAAAGCGAGCTCGGGAAACACTCGAATAAGCAAACGGGCCAACCTTTAACGAATGAAAAAATAAATAAAAATTAAGTGAAAATCGATAGTTTTTGCTATTTTCTTTTTTTGTTTGCTTTTTTTTCCTGGTCAAGGATAAATATTTGAAAAAGTAGAGCGAATTATTCTTACTTCGTGTGCACTTTTGTATCGCATAAAATAAGAACGTGAAGTAGGCTTTCACCTAACGCGCCACGATATTGCATCTGCCAACACGCTTTATGATCGGTCCACTTGCCAAGAGGGTCATGTGATGAAAGAGAAGCTTCGATGGGAATGGAAACTTCAGCATTTTCCATATATTTCCATCTTAAATATTCAGCACGATTTATGATTTGACCCTTGCCACCTTTATACATGAACACGCCAAACTGCTCGCGAATTAATTCTTCCACAGCATGTTGGCCGCCAATGTTGAAGGCATCAATTAAGTCACCACCTGGAGTGAAGAAGGTTTTTGAGAGTTTTTTAATTAAATTCACATGACGTGTTTAGAGCATGAAGCTAAAAATGTTCATTTTGGTGGAAAAGTAATTATGTAATTCAACTACAAACCTAATTTATAATTTGCCAACTTATAGAGAAGAACTTTGTTATTAGGCGAACATGATTCGGATATGACTTGATCTAAAATAGCTCCACCTTGTGGTACGTGCTTCTTCTTCCGAAAACCTTTACAATTAAATAAATTGAATTTCATCTTAACGAGAGGTTACTCCAAAAAGATGCCTTTTCCTCCTTTAAGCACTTCACTTGAGGCACTGGAAAATTTTCAATTTCCCAATGAAATGAATGTGTTTAGTGTTTGATCGATAGCACCCATAGGAACGGTAATTCGCCCGGAAAGCTTATGAACTACTGTTTTACCCTTCGTAGAACCGTCCTAGCGACGTATTGAACAATCAAGCGTGATAAATCACTTGTTGCTACCTGCTTTGGCCACAAGAGATTCAGCTGTGGGAATTGTAAAGATAACAAGAAGAAATGTCAGTATTTAATTTAATATTTAATCCATCTTGGTAGTACATTTACATTTAACATCATCTCCTTGTAGCAATTGCTAGCCACTGCTTTTAGTCGTTAACTTAAGAAATAATGACCTTTTTGAAATAATTTCATGATACTTTTTCGAAACTTTTTTATGAAGCCACAATTTCCACCTCACAGCCATTCCCACCTTCAGTCATTTTGTCGGAGGTGAAAAGGTGCCAACCATTAAATTATAATTTTTATGACGCCCTTTTGTTCAATTTTTAACATTCCCACGAAGTTAAAAGCGAAGATGAAAGTAAAAATGAAAGTGGAAGACAAAGTGCCGGAAAGGTCAAAGAGTGCTTGCTGTTGCTTCTGCTACTACTTGTTAAAGCTCTCATACAATTGCTTTCGAAAGCGTGTAGAAAAATTACAATCGTTAACACATATGGAGACATTTAAACGTGTTATCATTTGCTAGAAGCTCTTACTTTATGCCTTACTCAATGCTTTTTTTCCCATTCGAAGCTAAAACGTGTACAATATTATTTTTTTCTTTGGTAATTTGACAAATTGCAGTCATTTATAAAATTACTTGGGTAAAAATTAATCAGGAGATGAATTGAAAACTTTGCTTTCTCTACATGAGGAGAAGATTTTCTTATTATTCGAGAGCTTCTGGAACGAACTTTTTCTATGACTTGATGAGCTCTTTTATAAAATGAAAATGAAAAGTCAGAAACGGTTTCAACAAGCTGAATTATTGGATTTAATGTTGAGATTATATGAAAAGAAAAAGAAGATTGGAAAGATTCATTTATGATGAAAAATTTATTACGCAGATGTACTAAACCTTGTGGACACGACACGTTATTGTCTTTATCTGAAGCAACTGTGGAAATTTACTTGGCATTCATGAGCGTAAAATTCTTTTAAAAATATTTGTTCATCTGTCTTGTTGAAGTTTCTATTTGTATCACAATTTTTTTTGTTGCTGTTGAATGCAAGTGCAGGAATTCTTTGGCTTTAAAATCTGAGCACACATGTTGTTCGTTCAAAGTAAAGCAAACTTCTCTCTTGGTATTTGCTTGCACAACTTAAGTTATGTTTCACTTTCTAGTAAATTTTTCAAATATTTCTTTTCCTTTGTGATTTTGTATTTTCCATACCGCAGTTTTTCACTCCATTTAATGCGATTTATGAAAGTAAGGAAATATTTTTAAATATTTCAGCTTAGAATTAATGAAGTCGACCAACTCTGTGAAATTTTCGATTGAATTAATCTGAGTGAAAGAAAAGGAAATTCAGCTCTAATAAAGCTTCAAACAATAACAAAAATGTTGAAAAGCTTTACTTCATGACTCAATCCAGATTAAAGAAGATTCTTTGCTACAGGTTATATTGATGAGTTTTCTGAAAATTTCCATATTCTAATTTCAGGCGCTTTGGTAAATTCGACAGAAATTATTTGCTTATAAACTACACAACTCTCAAATTGCTTTCTTGATGTGGATGGCGATGGAGTCTCGTTGTCGATGAAAGACGAAATTCATCATTTCTTTTTTTATTCGTAAACCCAATTTGCATTAAAATCTAATTTTCGTTTTTTTTTTCGGTTTTTTTGTTTCCATCATTCTTTCGTCTCTCAAAATTATTCACATCAACTCCTTTACGAGACCTCCTATCATCAAGAACTTCTTGCTTTGAATGGGAAGAAAGACGAAAAAAGGTTTTTATTTTTTTTGAAACAGAAGATTAAGGAAGCAGATCTTCCTTTTAAAGGCATTAAAAACAATATTGAACTGGAACAAAAAAAAAGGACGAGAAGAAAAAGGAAAGAAAAACTATTTATAATAAAGAAGAAAAGGAGAAAATAATGCGTTTGGTAAAGGAAGTGAAGAGAGAAATAAAGAGGAAAAACTAAATAAAAGAAAAGGCACCTGAATTTAAATCATTTCTTATACCTTTTCCTTCTCCCCTTTCACCTTCATTCGATATTCACATCAAAAACGTTATCAACTCATACGTATGCTTTTTTTCTATCATTTTCCACATCCTCTGTCTCTCTTCATACGACGACAGAATGACACGGCCTCAACCACGATGAAGCAAAAACTCGTGAAAAGCACAAGAATGAAGGGAGGGAAACATTTTAATAAAAAATAAATAAAATATTTGAGTATTCAGACAGGTGATGAAACCTTATACAACGAAAAAGATTACCGTTGAATTTGTTAGATTTACTCAGCGAAGAAAACAGAAATCTTCTTTCTTTTCGCATTTATCTTCTGATTTCTTTCTTTTTCTTTTTTATTTTCCTCTTCTATCTGAACCTACTCCAGTTACTTCATACGTTAAGTTAAAAATTATTCCACAATTTCCGTTCGCTATACAATCGAAAAACCCCAATTTCCTGAGACTGTCGACATACATAGCTTCGTAGAAAGTGAAGCACTATTTTCTCTGCTCGAGTAATCTTTTTGGTAAATTCAGATTCTGAACTATTCGTGATAGAAGCCTATGAATTTTTCGATGTGAAAAGATATAGGAATGGAATAAATCTCACATTCAATTGTACGAAGGCGAACGAAAGGAAAAATAAAAACTGAGATCAAGACACATCCACATCCTTGAAAATAGATAAACAAAATTCTCATTTTTACATTCGCATTGAAAGCATTTGGAACGATTGAAAGAACACATACATATTGACTGACGTCTTTTCGAAAGGTGCTTGAATTTAATGAGACGAAAGCTCTTTAAGACGAAGCTTTCAAATTTTGTATTTTACGAGAACTTTTGAAATAGATTTTTGATCTCTGTAGAGGTTTTTGAACTCACTCGAAAAATGGAATTTTCTTTTAAAGTATCCAAAGGATTTGACGACTTAATGCTTGAATGCTAACAGAAAGCATATTTCACTGTACAAATATTAAACCTGAACTTTTACTTTAATGTTCAAACTGAAAGCTACATCTGAAAACAAATAAAAATCAAATTCAATCTTCTGTTCTAAAACACTTTGATTTTATTATCAATTTTAAAGACTTTTACTTCACTTTCTTCTCTTCCATTTTACAAAATAATTACAACTCGAATTTCAAAACTTACATTCTAAAAATCTAATTTACAAAAATGTTTTCTTTATTTTTATTCATTTTCATTACGTTTACATGTAATTGCATGCAATATTTTATCACCGGCGGTTCGCTTTACGCCTTTTCCAAACATTAGTGAAGGTGTTAGTTACGTTTTAACATCTTTTTAAATTTCAATTACAATGATTACAAAAAAGAATTTTCTTCTTATTAATTTTCTCTTTATACTTTTAACTTTCATTACACATAGTGTTGCTAAACGTTTAAACTAGGTAAGTTTAGTGATATCGGATTCTTTTCTCCCATTTACGTCGTTTAAATGCTGTTAGCTTAATGCAATTATCTCATAATTTTTCTCATAATTTCATTTAAAATAAAGGAAAGCAGGGAAGGAAGTGAACGAGAAAATGTTTTCTTCTCGTGTCATCTTTCAACAACATCAGTCAAAAAGATTTCCAATCTTAGCTCATTTAAACTTTAGTGCGCCTTTTATGCATAAATAACATAATTAAATGATAGATGTCGTCTTAAAGATGCATTACGTGAACGGGTCACCTTTTAAGGATCATAAAAGCCACTAAAATGTTTACGAACATTAAATATTTATCGATGCTTGATGACACTGTAGCGTATGATATCGAGCTCATTACGTATTCCAAGTCTTCCATGCTAATCTCATAACTTCTGGTGTAAAATTGATGAATATCACTCACCTAGATAGCAAAATAAACAGAATAAAATTGAGGAAAATTCAATAAGAATTGAAAGATTATGCAATGCACATAGAGAAAGCAATGTCGGAAACGAGAAATTATGTTAAAAGCAACTTAGTTTTCGACATAAACAACATGAAGTGCATAAAGTAAATTTTCACTCGAACCGTTTTTAGTTTTGCAAACTAAATATTACAGAACATTTTATGAAACTTCTATTTTCCGTTCTTATCATGGCTAATTTTAACAAAGCCCTTGCCGATGTTTGGAGCTTTGGTTGTGAAAGCAAACCACTTTTTATTCTCGACTCTTAGCATTGATGTTAAGTCCAAGCATGCTCTAAATATAATTTCATTTTAAACAATAAAGCAAACTGAATTATCTACGTTCACTTTTTGGAAGTATATCTACCAGCAACATGAAATTATCTCGAGTATAATTGCAACGAAAATATTTACAATGTTAAGAATGTTTGAAGCTCCGTTTTTTTTCGGGGGGTGATAAAAAGTTTTTCACGCGATAAACTTCCTTCTTCACACCACCCTCACATTTTCATGTATGCATAATTTACATCGAATGATATATTGCTGAGTTTGAAAATTTAATTAAGTTTATTGTTTGTAAATTTTCATGTAATTTATTACATTCGCCGTTTCAAACCACTTGACTAAATTTGATATTCAACGAATTGTTGTTGAATTAAGTTTTCTTTCTCTCTCTTGATTAACGTATTTATTTCTGGTTATCGATCGTTGAGAGAAAATTTCTCGTTATAATTCGCTTCTACCTACATAAGCGCAATACGGATTCAAGTCGCAGATTGCAAGCAGCATCATGCGATACCCTGAGAAATTAATAGATGTTTCCGTTCTCATTTCTCAACACCCCATGTTTATACTTCACGAAATACCTTCTTACATAAACGAGAAATTTTCTGCTTTCTTTTCTTTTTATTTACCTCGTTCCAACCATACAAATTCTTCGCTTGCACCATCACCTCGTAGACGGAATTATGCTCTAATGCAATTATGATATATGACATGACAAAATGTCTTGAGTCATAACGTTGAACGGATGGATGCAGGATCTGATCATGCCATTTGCCGGGATGCTGATATGTCTCATTCATCTACCATGATAAAAAGGAAAAATGTGAAGAAATCTTGTCATGAAACGAGCTGAGACTCACGAAATTTCCAACCATCACTTACCATGAGTTTTCTATAGAGCAGCTTTATTTCCTCAAGCAACGGAATTGATTCGATTTTAAATGTGAGATTATATCGGTCTAAATGGCCAGAGTATGTGGGTGACAAAAATTCCGCAGGCCCAGGTCGTCCTGAAACTTCGATGTATTTTTTCGTTCGTCCCAGAGAATTGTCAGCGACACAACTTTGTTAAACAACACCATGAAAGAGAAATAGAAAAAAGAAGAAATTAACATGATTAATAGCTTAGAGCTTAGCTATTTAATTCACAAACAACTAGCTGATTGATGTGCATGAAAGAGACGCAGGTTGATTGATCAAATCGTTCAAATTTACTTCGGAGACCAAAAATAATTAATTCAATACAACGAACATTAATTTAAATGTTATTTTCTTAATTAGATTTCACGTGTTCATGTTTCAAGTATTTTTTTCATGATCAATTACGGGTTTTTAGTGACGTGTCAACAACGTGCTATTAAAGTAATTCCCTCACCTGTAATTTCCAAAATCCGTCGTATGGAAATTTGTTACATTCAAAATATATTTTTCTCCTTTTGTGTACATTGTACGACGATCAGTAGGATCCAACAAAAAAGAATTCTGATACCACATCATCTAGTTGAAAGAAAGAAAATTATTTTTTAATGATTAATTTATGAATATTTCAGGATACACATAGAAACGTAATTACAAACTCACTTCTGAATTTACATCACCATGCAGAGTACACGCTAATTGGATATCACATCCTTCAGCCGCATGAATCCACGTTTTTTCGACAGAAATGTCAGGTGGAGCTAGAGACAATAACAAGTGAGAGGAAAATTAATTTCAGCGTAAAGAAAATGTTTGCTTTAACTTTTTAATTATCAGTCGGATTACGTGATTCACTTGATTCACTTGCTTGAGGGTGAATGAAGAGTCTAAATTTATAAAATGCTTAAATTTTGCCTCTCGTACCAACTTGTGTACCATAATTATGGTAAACCTTCTCGTGTACTTTAATATGAATGTGTAAAGGGAAATAAGTAGAACTTTTACTTTTATTTTTCTTCCTTTTTTGTTTTTGTTTCTACGTCAAGCTTTTCTCCCTAATTTTTCTACAAGCAATTAAAAGCATATTACTGGAATTAATTTACTGGTTTTAGCAAGCTTCTGCCATTTATTTAATCCTTAATTTTCTCGCTAATGATCTCGCAATAAGTCAGCTTTAGTTAATGTTGCGTTTGAAAGTCGAAAGCTTCACTACGAATGAAAAATATTAAAACGTTTTTCACATTCGAACGTACTTCGTATTAAAATATCATAAAACCTGCTTTATTCTCAAACGAGACCCATTAAGAATCATAAATGGAAATTCATTTCCCATTCGAATCCGGTTTTTAAATAGAAAGAAAACATTTGTAGTAAGAAAAATGTTATTCGTGACAGTCTAATGCATTTTTTTATGATTCAAACTGACTGTCGTGAGTTGCTGAATGTTTGCATAGAAAATCGTGATATTCTCCTTTTTTTATCATTCAATCTAAGGTGGATAGGGTTGTTAATAGCTTCATATGACGATGTTTTATTTTATTGTTTGAAATTTTATGAACTCTATTCCGTTTAAATAAATTCACTGAATCTATGAACAGCTCTGCTTAGTCGAATATAAGAATTTTTTCGTGAATGTAAGAATTTTTCTTATGTATGCATAGTACATGATGATTCGTCGCTGAAAAGAGTTCCATGAATCGATATAACAGAAACATAAAATATGAAACATACATTCGCCATTAATTTTCGTTTGTTATGTTTACGCGCAGAGACGACAACTTTCTTCATTCGTTTGAAACTAGTAACATCATAAATAAAAATAGTTTATCAGGACTTACATAAAACTGTTAGCTCGATATCGGCGTAAACTGCTTCTCTCACTCCATTATCAGCCATACATTGGTAAGTGCCTGCATGACTCCGATCCACCCTCTCGAGTACTAATGTTGAACTTTCACTTAAGTGGTATTGAGTATGTGAATTCTATGTTGTTTCATATTGCGTGGATATTTGAAACATGAGTAAAGCACAACAAGAACAGAAAGTTAATAAATTTTAAAATCAGTTGTAAAATGTGATGTGAACATGTACAAGCTTCTTTTGGCATAAGACATTAAAGTTTATGAATAATAAATAACATAATGCATGTATTTTACTACAGTCACGTTTCTTAGTTCACTTCGCAAACCTGGCACTTATCAACAGGATGAATAAAATAAAATGCTAGTAAACATTTTAGTCAAGTCAAGCGAGGCTCGACTATATAATTTCAATGTTGAAGTTTCTTGTTCATTTAAAATACTGAAGGAAAATTGAAAATGAATTTTTTAACATGGCATGCTTGTTAATTGGGTTCGATGAGAAGAGAGAATGGAAGTAAAAAAGGAAATCTGTTGTTTTTCACACCTTTTTATGCCAATAAAGATTGGGGACGGGATTGCCAGAGGCTTTACATTCAAGCGTCACAGAACTGCCTTTTCTTGCTGTTATTTGACCATTTTGAGGCACTGGACGTACTGAAGGTGGCACTAAAATCTCCACGGTATGAACTTGGTCTCTTGCTTCTTGATCTCCAATCTGACACACGTAATCTCCCGCGTCTTGTATTCTTACATTTCCAATTTGAAGATTGTAGCCATCAACCAACTTGAAACGTGTATCCCTCGTGACCATTAAACTTGCAGCTGTGAGAACCGACGTCCCTCGACGCCATAAAAGAATGTAAGATCCTATAATAGGGATTTAGAAAGCGTTTTGTGAATGTTCTCTATTGAAGCTTATGAAACTATTTTTCGCTTCTCATGCTTCATGAGAGAAAAAATGTACAAGGGATTTGCTTAACATTTTATGTAAGCTTTGATATACTAGGATGAGGGAACCTACAGCGCTATGGATTAAAACCTACAAGTTTATCCATCACTTTAGCTTCCTTAACCCTCTTTACATAAAACTACTTAGTGTTCGGAAAAATTAACTTTTTTGGTGGTTTTGAACTTTTTCTTCATAAAAATTTAAATCTCAACAATTTTTTAATATGAAATCTTTAAATTCATTTGTTAATAGCGAGTCAAAATGTCAACATCATTCAACTTGAAGGTAACAATTCCGAACACTATATTTGAGAAACAAAGTCGTAAGGAACTCTTACAATTCTCTTCAAATTGATTGGAGATTTCGGTTGGCAAAGAAAGCTACAATAATCTTTGAATAAAGGAAAAAAGACAGCAACTGACCTAAATCCTTTACTTTGCATGGCAGAATGATTGTATCGCCGATCACAGCTTTATACAAATGTCCTCGTGTGATGAACTTTGGTGCGGGTGTTGGACCGATACTAACAATCGGTTCAATTGTGTTCTGACATAATCCTATCGGAAATATAATAAAAAATAATTGAGTTACTTTAATCAATTTCAAAATGATTTGAAATGTAATCAATAAATGCCTTTTTGATTTACTTTTCTCTTCTATTTAATGATTTTGATTCATTAGATGAACATAAATTATTCCATCAATTATGAATGTGAAAACGTCGTTAAATTTTCCGTCATTTTGTAGCTAAAATATATATTTAGCACTCCTTGTCATTAAAAGCATTTCCCTCGCGCATTTAATTATAATGGAAACACTTTAGCATAAATATATGTTATTAATAATCTTGCATTCAAAAGCTTGACATATCATGATTGAAAATGATCAAATTATGATTTTAATGAAAATATTTTGCCTCGTACTTTAATAAAAGTCAGCCATTGCACTCATTCTGTATTCATTTTGTAAGAATATTTAATCATCTCTTCTTCTTTTCGCTTTGTATGTCTGTTGGCATTTTGGACTTTCTACAGTTAAGGTTCTTAATCTTTCTATTTATCTGCCTCAACACTGGCATTTTTTTTCTTTTCGTAAGCCAAAGTTTCCATTTTTAGATTTTAACGTTGTTACACAAAAGGCAGAATGCTTAAACATTAACAAGATTCAAAGCAATTCGCAGAGTCATAGTAATTTTTCACTACTTTTCTTCGCTTTCTCATTTCGCCACTCTCGTCTTTATTCACCCTTTTAATAAATGATTTTGCCAGTAATTGCTTTAGTTCTTTTTTTTTTCGCCCATTTCTTGCTTTCATTGTTAAGCATTCGTAAATACGAACAGCAGCCGTTGAACTAAATGATTTTTGATTGGAATTAAATTATACTCAAGAAATAATTATGTGTGCTTTTTACCCTCGCATTTATTGTTCATGTTCGCTTGGATACTGTAATTTTCCGAATACTTAATAATTCAATATCAACTTTCCTTTCAAAGATCTTGGTTCGAAGAACTTTTAATGATTCACAACTTCAATCAATGAACTGAACCGTCTTCATTTTTAATGAATAGATAATGTGGGAGAATAAATTTTTACCTCTCAGATAACTGCTTTAAATATATTTAATGCAAATGAGTTAGAGTTGTGGCACTGCTTCAAAAAAGTCCAAGATAACATTTCTTAGCTTTCATTCTTTGCTGCTTCAACTAATATCAATTAAAATTATTCAAAGCTTCGTTGTCGGTAATCAGTGTCGAGAAATATTCTTTGAGAAATGTCTTATCAACATTCATTTGCATTTTGTAATGTAGAAGGGAGGCTCTGACTAAGGAGCTCATAAGGAAATCTACTTTCTTTGTCTTCTCCCCTTCCCTAAACTGCTGTCATAGTACAGTTCCTTATGATGAAAAACAGAGAGTCGGGATTCGCCTAATTTCATTGCCTCAAAGAGATTGGGGAGACAAGAACAAGAACAAAATAAAAAAGAACGGAAAAGAAAGGAAAAAAAGTAATTCTTTCTGTTCCATGAGACAATTAAAACTTTGTTAATGCTAGCGCGAAGAAAGAATAGGAAGAGAAATGAACTGACAAAAAAAAGGAAAGTACAAGTACTATTTTATCAAGACGAAAATATGGAATAAGAAACAAAGAAAAAAAGGAAATATTGCGTTATGTACTCTAACGATGAAGAGAAGTAGAATGGCGATACAGATAAAAAATTAATTTTGAATTCCGCTTCACTGTCCGCTTTCGAAAGTAAAGTGAAAGGCAAGGGCATAGTCTAACAATCTTCAACCGAAAAAAAATGTTATTCTGTTATCCATTTCCCAAGCACCAGTTCTACGTCGAACAAATTACAGTCGTGGAATTTCCTCGGGTAACATAAAAGAAAATTACACACAAAGTGAATGCGAAAAGGAAGGAGGGAGAAAGCGAGATATAAAAAACAATTCAAAATGATGAAAACAAAAAGATAAGAAGGCATTAAATTAAAATACTTTTGCTTTGCGTATATATAGTAATTTGTATCTGGGGCTGGGATTTAATCACACGAACCAGTCGCATTTCAAAGCATTTTTGAGTTTATTTGTTGTGTGAATTTTTTTTAAGAGAAGAGTAAATCTATGTAAACATAAATCATGTCAGGGTCTAAGAGCTTAACATGAACAGAGGCTTTCATTATAAATATATGCAAATAAACAAACAGCGGATATCGCAGCTCGATAATCCTCTTCCGCTAAACGGAATGAAATGAACATAAAAGCATGAAAAAGGCAATATCGTTTACTTACCGTATTCCTCAATGCAAATCAACAGGAATATTATGAATTCTCTAGGAAAATTCATTTTTGATTACGGGTCTGTAATGAATAAAAAGCTTAAAAGTTTTGGAATTAAGAATTATGCTCAAGTCAAGAACTTATTGAAGTGGATTAGTGCACTTCCTTTCATAATTGTGAAGGGTTTTCAAATAAAATTTTAATGATTTATTCAAAAGAATATTTTTGTTCGAGATAAATTTATTTCATTAAAATTTAATTAAGATTTATTTTTCTTTTAAAATATGTAAAATAACTAAGAACATGAATGAATGAATGATTTCTTGAGTTTACCATTGAAATCACTTCAATAAGCTCGAACTCAATAACATTTGATTTAAAATTCATTATCGTGATTCTGAATAGCTTTTTAACTCTCTCCTACATTAAATATAATATCAACAAAATTATGAACCCATTCAATCAAATGAAATAAAAAATTCAGATTTTATTGAATTTTAATCATCTTTATCAACATTCAATCTTAGAAATTCAGCGATGAGTAATGAGAATAATCTTTTATTCAATTCTTTTAAATCAGCATTGACTTGAATCTCATTGAAAGCCTAATTAAAATTTTATTAAGAATCAAACTTTTAAATTTTCATTCATTGGATGAGAAATGATTTGATTTAATTTCTTAAAATTTCAAAAGAAAAGTTTTAATCGAATTTAGAAGGAATGATAAAGAAAGACGAGAAATGTAGGAAAGGGAAATCTATCATATTTATGTATAATCATAGCTAAGATTATAACCCATAATGAAGTCATTATTTTCAATTAGCGGAAGGTTCTCGCTTGACGCTTCTTATTATTCAAAAGTCGTTGAAAGTAATTTAAAGCGGAAAACTTTACTTTCATTAGTCTCGTCGTCATTCAACTCAACCAAACGCTTCATGAAACTATCAAGTTTCCATTTCCATCTATCATCATCATCATCATTACCATCATCGTGATACTCTCGAGCACCAATTTCCAATCTCGCTGTATCATTTCATATCAAATGATGTTCTGAAATAGAACGCTTTAACGATGTCAAGCAGAAAAACCAAAGCGTGAACCGCCCTTTAAAAGAAAACGATCCCTTGACTTCGAGAGTAGACGAAAGCGTATTAAATAATCGCTTTTTGAATAAATAGATCCACTTTGATACACATGCTCATGTTGAAAATTATCTCATGTGTACGGAAGAAGCACGAAACCATATAACGTATCACGTATAATATATTTAAAGTCCCACCAGGATTGTTAAGTCGATGAGGTTTCAGATAAAATATAATCTTCAAGCTCAGTAACGACAATCGTTTGACGAATTTAAACATCTCATAAAAATGATAAAATTGTATGAAAATATTTATGCTAAGAAAGGGAAAATAATTCACGAATAAATTTTAATAAATTTTCATTGTATCCCACAATCAATTATGTAATTAGATAAACAATTTTAGACTGTCTGAATCTGAGCTATCATATTTATTTCTAGCTGTTGTTTTTATCGCAAATTACTGTTCATCATACCAGTCAAGGGACCTGTCAAAAATGAAAAATTCAATCAAATTACAAACCTGATTGCCTCATTCCATGTCTTCATCTATGAAAAAAAATTCTCTAGTGTCTCACTCACTCCCCATTTGCTGGTTTTATGCTTGTTTAAATTTCATATATTTTTAAATATTTTTTATTCGCCCTTTTTTTGACGGTAAACTTACACGCACATACGCATTTTGTGTGTAGATATACAAAAGAAGGATAAGGAAAGGCAAAATTATTCATATTGCGTAACTGGCATACGATTGGCATGCGATCCACTCTAAAATCTCTTTAAGCTACTCGTCGAATGATCACGAGAAGGGTTTCGTATCAATTCTGGGTCAAAGCAGCTCAGTGCAGTTTCATCGCTTTCACTTAAAGCGCGATGATTTTCGAGGGAAAAAGAGAATTTATAAACATATTGAAATTTAATATTTTAAATCTGCTTTCAAGCAAATATGTTTGAATATTATCGAAATATTATCTGAGATCTGCAGATATGAATGTTCTATTTTTCATCCCCCAATTTAGCAAACATTTGAAATTTACGATTATAAAGCATTAAAGTTATGAGAGATTTTATGCATGATGAAGCTATTCACACTTTGTGTGATCCTCAAACTGACATGCCAGAGAAAATTATGAAATTACCTTTTTACTAAAGGCGAACATCATCACTTTTATGTGAAGGCCAAAAACGAGACGAAAAACTTTCACGAATACTCGCTTGTTAAAACATAAGTTTAGATTTTAATTAATGTTAATCTATTTTCCCAAGCAACCCTAATCTCATCATAAATTAAACAAAACATTTTCATCAACCTTTTTGCGAGATGCTTTCTCCCTTCGTTTTCTTTCTTTCTCTCTGTTGTTGTACGTTCGAGTCGGTGAGGGCGGTTCGATGCAAAGACATATATTATGCCATCCAAGAACAACCTTAAAACTTAACGTCTCTACCCCAGAAACCGGTGGCTTGATCCGCATAATTTTATTTCTCAACTCAGAGGGTAGCGCTGGTTGTTTGCACAACGAAGAACTTTCAACTTCGTGCCGCTCGCTTTTCTGCATAAATATGTGACAGGAAATAACTCTTTCTCAAAACGAAACCCCAGACAGTGTTTTTCGGCTTTTTTTTCATATCTCAGAACAAATTCCCGGCGACAAATTATACAAAACTCAGTTCATTACTTTTCTTGTTTTTCTACTTCTTCTAAGTATCTCGAAAAGATTTAACAAGAAGCTTTGGAAAGGACGCTCAATTAAATCGCTATAGAAAAAAAATGTAAAACCTGCAATCATATTCGCATCATGAAAGCTCGAGAATTTCACTGAATTCCATCACAAAATCCACTTTGAAGCAATTTTATTGCACTGATCCAAACTCAATGAAATGTAATTAAATATCTAGAATTGCTGAACAATGAAAAAGAGAATAGAAAACAAAATTGAATCCTCCAAAGCATTATCTGTTGTTAATTTTCCTCTCTTTTTTTGAAACAAGAAGATAATACGAAACTTTTCCATTTGTACAACAAGGAATCAAATTAATGAAGGATAGATATAGAATGGAGAGTGGAAAAAAATGTTAAAAAGTCAAGACACAAGTATTTCTTTTAACTTTGCCCGGATATTAAAGTTCTCGTCTCCTTTTTCCTTATGAACAGTTAGGAGGAAAAAAGAACTTTCTGTCATAAGCAGGGCTCTCGTTTTAAAAGGAAAAAACACATTAAGACTGTCTTGTCGCAACTTTGTGATTCAAAGCTCAGATAAGCTTCGCAGAAAATTTCAATAGTACGTTTTTCCCTAAGAATTTATTCGCAGATTCATAAAAGCTTGGAAACCTTTTCAATTTTGAGTTATTTGAATTGAAACTGGCCAACAAATATTCTCGAAATAAACTGTAAACATTTAAACAAAAACCCCTCCTGATTAAATGTAAGATTAAATATTTCCTTCCTTTTTCTATTTATGTCAGATGTTTGCTAAGAATTTTACATTTCTCTTCGATAATCTTTCAAATTATGCTTACAGATATCTTGAATATAAATAAACCTACATTTTCTGCTTTCCTTTTGTTGTTCGTCTTTGAGTCTTTTCAAAAGGATTTTTTCCTAACAAGTGAGTTTGCAAATTTATTCAAATTTTCACATGTGCACGAAAGAATTTCCATTTTCATCAGCTTACAAATTCATTTCATTCTAAACAATTCCACTTCAAAGTTCTATATTAAAACAAGGCTCATTGTGATGTGAAGTAAAACAAGTAGAAAGTAAACTCACCAGCTTAGTTGCTTTATCTGAAATCCAGGAGAATTTTTCTTCAAACGCGTTTAAGCATATCCGCTATAGCTTTTGCATGTGAATCTTCTCAGATGTGAATCAACAGACGAGAAAGTATAAAAAGTTTGTCTTCGATATCTCAACAACATTCACCGAGACATATCATCACAAATTAAATTATACCTAGCACCAAATAATTTTGAATTATGAGTCAAGAACATGAAAATGAGTATTTAAATGTTAATTAACGAGCACGACAAAAGCTCTTGTCTCTAGGGCTGGAGAAAATTGTATATGTCAGCACAAGTATAAGTTAACTTTTCTCGGGGACGGATCTTTTTTTTAATAATCGTATTTTCATTCTTCTTTATTATTATTATTATTATTTTATAATGCTGCTTTCCGTTGACTAATCACAATTTTCTGTTTTTGTAAAAGAAACAGCATGAGATTTTACCTCCGTCAATGAAAGTGCTGAAACAATTTTCACATGTCCCACAACTTAGAGTTTATTTAAAGAAGAAGTGGAGAAGGAGAGAAAGAGTGAGAGAGAAGGAGCCTGAAGATTGAAGAGCTTCCCGGGCTTTTCAATTGCCGGCTCACCAGCACATTTAATATGTATCGTGATGGCAAATGCGATATAAATTATTACATTTGATGTGGTTTTAATGGCATTTCCTTTCTCTCATAATGTGAAGAAGAATTCTACAAATGTGTCACAGCAAGTATTTTTCACTTATTTTTCCCAAAGAAATTCTCTCGCTCCACTTCGAAATTAATTTTCTGGTTCTTGCGGTATACGAGGGGAAAACTTTTTTTTCTTCCTTTCACTTCACTTTCTTTTTTTGTCATGAATGAACTGTTTAAAAGTTTGACATGGTTGATTGTTATAATAACACTTACAGTTTATTTCACATTTTTCTTAAGTGAAGAGAAGTTGATCCAAAACGCGACAATTATTTATCAAAAAATAAACCATTTTTCATTCGAAAGCCTCCGATAAATAAATAACCTTGAATAAATATTATGAGAACGATGTATCTTTTTCACTCAATGAAACACGAATTGGTGCTGCGACGTGAAATAAATTTTCCCCAACTGGGAACTGAGCAGCGAGTATCCCTTTCACAAAATACAATTGTCGCTGTTTAAGGACAAATGAAAGAAATAATCCAGGAAATCAATTTCAGATGGCTAAACGCAAAGCCGTGGAAATTTTCTTTTTCTTTTCTAGATACTTTATTTATTCAAGACGCTTATGAATCTTTTGCCTTTATGCCACTCACGACATTATTCGGTTTAAGCGAACAACAAACGACTGAAGAAAATTCTTACAATGAACTCTCATTTATACGATATTTAATAAATGAAAAATAAAAGAAAATTTTTGCTTTGATGTTTTGATTCTCTTCAAGGAGAGCGCATGGTCGGTGCCAGAAAAAGAGAATGAATTGTACAAGGATGAACTCGTGGCTGTAAACAAGCGCATGTCTTCATCATTCTTCAGAAGCTACACTTTGTTTTCATTTAATGATGTTGAATGAAAAGTTTTTAAATCATGCTTTCTTCTCTCAAACTTGTTACAGTCAAAAGAATGGAGTGAAATACTAAAAAGATTCATTCAAGACAGTGATAATTGTGCTGTAGAATTTAATCACATGTAATGACGACATCAGACAACGAAAACAAAGTGTGCATGTATGTATGAAAGCTGGTATCAAATTTAATTAAAACAATATCAAAGAACATTCACATGAAAGGGTTTTTTATGTCCTCAAGCGATGCTTTTTTAAAGATACTGAAGATTTCACAATAGCATTCAACATTCAACAAAGAATAAAAAGGAGGAAATCAATGAAAATCATCATTTTCACGTAGTAGATAAGAAAATGAAATGAAAATGTGGAGAAAGTGATCTGTCGTATGAATTTATCCTCAACTTATCATTTCCACTCTCAAAGAACCATCGAGTGAAAAAAAAAAGACGAGAAGAGAAGAAAAGAAGAAAAGGAAAATTGTCGTTTATTTAATAATAAAATATGTAATAATATATTAATAGAAGCGACGAGTAAGGGAAGATAAGGGTAAAATGTATGATGCTGTGCGGCATGACTGAAAGGGATTGAATGCTGCCTCTGCTTTTTCTACAAGTGATGGCTGAAATGAAGGAAAATCAAGGAGATGTAGGACACTCTTATAGAGTTTAATTCCTTTTCATTTCTTTCTTTTTATATTATTGAATTTTGTCAGATTTTCACGTCATTGCTGGGAGACACAGTTAAAGCATGTTCAGAGTGGTTGTTCAAGAATGAAAAGACGTGATGAGATAACGTGAATGGTTGAATAAAAGTCAGATTTTGTTCTCAGCTCTTCTTCACAAGAAGCTTCATGCATTAAAAGGACGATAAACATCGAAGTTTACTTTCTTCCGTTTCGTTCGCCTTTTGATTTCCACTCCGTTCAATGAATGGTAAAGATGTAAGGATATTTAGCAATGAAGAAATAAAATCAAATTAAATTGACTTTTGGCTGGCGGTTGAAAAATATTAAAGTAAAAGTAATTTTTGAGGGAATTTGAAAGGAAAAAATCAATTCACATGACTAAGCACAAAAAGAAAAAAGAAAGAAGAAGGAAAAGAAAACTTTCATTTATTTCACTGATGGTTTAAATTTAATTTCTCATCCCTTTCGCTTCGTTTTCTTTTCTCGTCAACTGACAAAACGTTTAAAAAGAAATGAGATTATTACAAAGCAGAAGCAGACAAAACGCGGACGACGAATGGTTGAGGGGTGTAAAAGTTATTTTAGCATTAATAAATAGCTTCCTTATTTTCCTCATTTCCTTGGATCAATATTTGCTTTTTGATCATCAATACAATCAAAATATTATTCGGCAGAGATTTTCCCTCAATGTCTAAATCTTAAATTGAAATTTTCGAAAGTTTTCGAGGGGATTTTATCTCTTTACTTATCTTATTGTGTTCATGCTTGACGAAGTTTAAATCTCTTTTCCACTTCAAATTGGTGTAATTTAAATTTTATTGAGTTTTCCTTTAAAACATCTTTTTCATATGATTGCTAATGACAGTGCGTGCTTTAATATAGTTTTGAATGAAACATTTTACTTTTTTTGGTATTTTTATGTTCGCTATGGGACAATGAAATAAAGCAGCATTACTTTTAATTAACAGAATGAACCGTCGGTCGGGTCTTTTAATTTGCATATTGTTAGTAGAATGAAGTGACTGATAATCTTAATTTCGTCTATTTTATGCATCACATGAAATGTGTAGACGGGTTGACAAGAATATTAGACTACACAACACTACACCGCATACATATAAGTTTCACAACATGAAATATAAATATCACATGTTCATAAATCATGCCTGACTGCAAAAAATAAAGAGCTAAAGTTCTGTAAAAATTCAATTATAACAATGTTTTACAGCTTTACGACACTTAATGAATCAAATAAACGCACATAAGGGAATCAATTAAAGGCTTCAGTCGCGAGTGACTCTAATTGCTTTTGAATAATGGAAAGCATGTTTCTAAGCCGTCTACGGAAACTTGTTTACTTGTTTGTTCACCGATCAAATTTCTTATAATTATATTGAAAGATTACAGCAAACACGCTGTGACTATGTACAGAACCGTGTTATTAGATATTGTTGATTGGCTAGTGGCTTTCATGATACGTAGCGTCTAACATGAGTGCGAATACTTAATTGATTATTTGCGTGATTTTATTCTATTTAACTCTACGCTCATGTTTATTAATTATAGTCGCTTCAATTTCAATTATTTTTCTGGCGCTGCTACGTTTGTTACTTCGTAACGCGTATGGAAATTCATGCAAATTTATTCAACTTTTCTTCTTTTGCCCTAAACAGTTTTTATTTTCTTTCGTCGTGAAGATTTTCCCAGATACATAACAATTTGCTTAATTGAAAAGTCACACGTGATTCAGGTGTGGAGTGTTTCGGGTTTTGGGTCGATTGAACTTGATTCGACCCTTTAATGAAGCATGAAAATCTATCAATGATTAGCTTCGATAAAGGATAATTTCTTCCATATTTAAAGCAAAGTAAATTGAAAATGTAACAAATTATCGTTTTTTGTCATTTGAATCATTTTCAGTTGTTAACTTTTATAAGAAAATTGCATAGTCCATTGAACATTGAATGTAATGCTTTAATTTAGTCGTTCAGAAACTGACACCTCATCGTACATCTTCAACTTTATCATTAACGACTGACTAGACGAATGCGAGAGAGCGAAAGCTATAAATAAGAGAAGGAATTTTAAACTGTGACCAACTCGTGCCATAAAACTCTGTGCTCCCCGACACTTTTTTACATTTCTCACAGTACGAATCAGTGAGACTGAGAGGATGCGAAAGTTTCGGAAGAGGGTGAAACTTCTATGTCAAAAATTTACTAACATTGAGCATTAGTCTCAATCGTGCTGCCCGCTATTGAAGTTGAATAAACATTTTGGTTACGGAAGTCGTTAGAAAATTTAACTACCAACCATTGTTAAAATAATATTTCAGTTTCAGTTTGTGTAGTGATTTCATATCTGGCGGGAAAAAAGATTCTAAGCCAATGCAACCATAAATGTGGGTAGAAAAAAAATATTGTGTTAAGTAGATATCTGAAAATGAAATTAAATAATGTGTGTTTGTATAGTCTGTGTGGTTTGGGGAAAGATTTTTGAGTAAATTAATAAATTTTCCGTAGTGAAACAAGCCTCTAATTAGAGAAACATGTGAATCGGTTTTCAAACCATTATAAAATTAGCGAAGATGAAGCTTTTAACCCTTTTCATACAACCATTTGTTTATTATTTAAACTTTCGTTGAAAACCATGTTGATGTAGCTAATATTCGTAATTACAATTACATGTTGAACTTTGACTACAGAGTTCTTATATCTGTTGCTGTTCAAATATTTACTTTAAAGCACAAACATTTGACTTAAAGCATTCATTTCCCTTTCTGTCATTTAATTAACATTTCTCTTTCATAAATATTTGAGCTGGTGAGTTAGCATGTCGACCTCAACCACAAACTCTCTTAGAACCGTGTTTTGGCTTTTAATGAATATTTCTCATTAATTTAACAAGTGTTAATTGAAAATGTTTTATATATATTTATCAAAAATACTAGATAATTGATTTAAATTACCGAGTGAAAATCTCCCACATCATTGTGGTAATGATTTTTTTTAAATTAATTTGAAGATCGTTAAGTGTTTGCTTTGATTTATTTATAAAACACTTAACGTTGATAAACTCTAAGTCATGACCCCATGATGATTCTCGTTTCTGCTTACACAAGCTTTTTCTTCTCGTTTTGAAACCCGCATTGGGGCTTTTTAGTGTCTCCTCTCTAATTTGTTAGCTCAATGCGACAAATTTAGGGGGGGAACGGGGAAGGAAATGAAGAGAAACGATAAAAGGTGATAAAGACCGAGAAATTATTTTATGGTTCATTTGACTTTTTGAAACGACACAATGTATAAGCATTTCAATTTATGTTCGAACGAAGCCTCTGTTTTCGCCTTTGTTTTCGTTCTATCTTCACTTGCTTTAAAAAGCAGTTAACAATGACTGACTTTTGTGCATATCGCTCAGTGCCATGGGGACAGAAATTTTATGAATTGAAATAAAAGTTCTTCATTAAAATTTGAGTTTTCTCTCGCCTTTTTTTATCGCCTCCAGACTTTGATTATATGTACTGAGGGGGGCAATAAAATGAATGGCAAGACAGCTTTCTTAAGGCACGAAAAGCGAGCTTAATTGGGGACTTCGCAGCAATTAACAAGAACAATTTTTTTGAGCGACTAATATAAATTTAATTCAATTTTAGTCAGTTGAATTTAGCAGAACCATCGCTGGAAGGGTTCATATTTAACACCAGTTGAAATCCTTTCATTCGATGAAATGACAATAAGTAACAAAGTTTCTAATTACGAGAATAATTACAGTGCTTTTGTCTTCTGAGTCTTCTAATGAGCAAATTACTAAATGCCTTTGAGGCTTTTAAATTTTAATTTCAAAAAATTTCCCCATCAAAACTTTCAAATAGGAAATTAATGGAAGTTGAAGCATAAAGTTAAGTTGAAACAATTCTGATGATTCATAATATATTTAAGTATTTAACAAGATGTTTATGAGTTGAAATTTGTGTTTTTCCAAACATGCGACACGAAATTAGCTTCACTACATTCATCGCCACTAATGTCGTCTTTATTTTTCATTGTCAAATAGCTGTGACCGATTGTCATGACAATTTATTTGCCGGTAAACTAAATACAAGAAAGGGAAGGTAGTGAAAGGCGGGAAAATCATTACGACTTTTAACACCTTTTGCAAGGGACATTTATCATTTTATTTTACACATCTAGTGCCCGGGGTTGATCTGGAACAAATTAATTCAGTGATAAATGATTGTGAACAAACATCAGTTGAGCTTTTATCTGCACACCATCTTGTGTAAGGCCTTCATCTGATGTTGAAAAACAAGATTGTTGAAAAAAAAGCGAAAAATGGTTACATTCTCATACTTTAATCATAGAATTTCTTCAACCCACAAAACCAAAATGTTCTTGTTTAGATACTTAAATGATTTATGTTTTGTTGCTTAACATTTCAAGACGTGAAGAGATAAAAATAATTTTTATTTCATGAAAGTATGATGAGAATCCTTGAGGGAATTAATAAATGTTTAAACGTTTTAAGAAAATTTTGATTTATTTGTTGCATAAATATTTATTTGTTTATTTCACAATTTCCCATAAACTTTTTTATTGAATTTTAGAAGTATCATAAGGTTGGAAATTTCAACTTTTCTCGTATATTTCCTCGAGATATTTGTTTGCTTAAAACTTAAGATTTAATTTATTTCTCTTCTAATGTGACGTCCAAAGCTCAAAAGTATTCAACTTGTAACCGGCTTCATTGTCATTCAACGTTCCTTCGTAATCTTGAACAGGATGTTGATAATTTTCTTTTGAAATTCCTCTTCTAACTTTCTTGTTTCCTCTTAGTTTACTAACTGGAAATATGTTTAAAGTTTCAAGTAGGTTTGTCTTCATCTATTTAAATGTCCATTGAAAAAAGAGACGAGAAAATTTTCCAATGATTAAACTTGAAATGTTGTTTTGGTAATGTTAGTCTAACATTTATTATAATTAATTATTTATGTGGCATGTTTTATCCGAATATCTTAATACATTGAAATAAATATTGTTCTCATCTTTTCATTTCATTTCAGAAGCTGTCACAAAGAGAGAAAGAAAATGGAAACGATTTGGTGCTCAGTTCTGATGTTTTTATTGTTAATTATACGAAAAAATGGTGAGGATAGGATTTTGACATTCAATTTACGTAATTAATTCGCTCTTTTTTTTGTGTGGTAAAAAGCGTAAGATTTATTGCGAGAACGCGCTTTATCAGTAGATTTGCTTCAACGGAAGTATTTATGTATGATTGAATGAGTTTAACTTAATTGGTTATCATTTATTTATCGAGGAACATTTAGTGCTTGTGAAATCAGTTTTCGTGTCTTTCGCTTAGAAGACGTTATTCGACTTCGAGAAAGATTATGAAAATTAATGGGTGTTATCGTTAAGCACTTCCAAGGCTACGCTTCAGAATTTGAACTCGTTTCTTGCTTCATAGAAAATCACTTTGGGAAAATTAAATTTAAAGAAAGAAAAAAAAAGCGGCCGCATATTTCTTGATAGAATAACATCTCAGATTAAACTCCTTTTATCTGTCATTTGCCAACAACAAACCAAACCACAGATGTAACATTTTTACTCACAAGAAACGCAGAAATCCATTTATGTGACAATTTCACTCAATGATTGATTGAAGACTTCTATCTGATTATTGATATTTTTTTCATTTCTTTCTCTCATCTTGCTTTTACACATCACGCTAAAGCTTTTGCTTTGACACGTGAGCGTGAAATTGTATGAAAGCGTAGAGATTGGATGGAGAAGACGACAGTAATATGTATTATTGAAAATTGAAGAAAAAAACGAATAAGAAAAAGTAGAGAAAAAGAACAGAAAGTGATGCAAATTTAATAGAATGAAGTGTGGGAAAAGCATAGTCAAAGAAGCGTGTCCTGATGGCATGACGACAGACATTTCGATCATGTTTTACCTCCTAACTACGTAATCGCGTTTCATTTCTTTTTGCTTAAAATTCTCCTGGTGCTTCTTTTCAAAATTCAAAATGTAAAGAAATGAAATATTTATTGAAGTGGCGTCTTATTAAATTAGGGTTTGTTTCAGCCACTCTCAACATAAATATCAACATCGATAAATTTAATGTCATTGCTACTGACGATTACAGAAGTTTTTATTTCTGATAATAAACAATGGGGACAAAAAGTGACAAAATAAAGTCTCAGCAGATGAATGCCATTATTTAATTCGACCTTTATCAATTCATCCTTTTTCTTTCCCTTTCGGACTTAATTTGAAATAGAAAGCGAAATTTAAATAATTTTCCATTTTTCTTTTGTTCGCATTTCTTTGAAACCAAAAGTTTTTCGCAATGATCCGTAAATTCCTTTTCAGCTTATTGGATAGAAAATATCGACTTGAATTATGACCCACAGACTTTGTAATTATAACAACATAAAATAAATATTTTCTTGGCCTTAAGCAATTATTAAACCATTTCCTTTCGTATCGAAATTCCCCGAGAGTAAGACGTTTGTTTGTTGAAAATTTCAGTTCATGTTCTTTTAAGAAATTTATATTGGGGGTAGAAAACAGTTGGAACGACAGTTTATATTTTATGCGTTAATTAGTTGACTTCCGCCATATGCTACACTGCGTACTCATCGATGTGAATGAAAGTGAAAGAAATGGATGAATTACTTATGTAGCACGTAAAGCTTTCCACTGTGAGAACTTGAAAAGGAATTTCTTGTAACGCAAATTTAATTGTTGCTAAGCTTTTCAAGCATGTCTCTAAGCTTTTGCTGGGTTTCGAAAGACAATTGTCTCGCAAGCATTCTAACAAGCATAATAAATTGGATTGTCACTCATTCACTTCTTTATAATTCTAGATTCGTTCCTTAGTCTATCTATTCAAACATTGTTTCATTTATTATACAAAAACATAACATAATGTATTTTCAAAATACTTCTTACTTATCTATTTATCTGCTTATTATTTATTCAATTTTTGAAAAATTACTTCCTTTCAAATTGTCTTCTTCTCTTCGTCGAGAATTTACGATCGAAAGATAACTAAGCTGACTCCTTTTCACTTAACTTTTGACAAAAGAGTGTGAAACGTAAATGAATAGTGAAAAATCATAAATTGATTATTTGCGTGACTGAATGCAATTTGTTGGTTGAATATTTTGTTTTGTTTCTTTTTTCTTCTCCCTTTCGTTTTTTCGTTCGTTGTATAATATTTAATTACACATTTTCTCCATTATGGTTAGAAGCTTTGAATGTTGTTGCTTCAATCTTGCTGGCGATTGAATGAATGAAAATTTTAACAAAAGCCACAACACGATATAAATTTTGAATGAAAATGCAATAAGACAACATAAATCTATTAAATAAATGTTTTAGCCTTTAGATATCTGTCCTCCCACCAATTTCTCTCCTTCACCCCGTTTTCAGTTTGTTCGTTTAGTAAAATTATCGTCAAGGAAAGTTGTAATAACGATACAAATATTTAGTTCCACTTTGTCCAAAGAACTATTTGTAAAAGCGTGGAAAATGTTTTGACCATTGAATGAGAAATGTTAAGCCTATTCTGACTAATGTTTACGGCATGTTGTAGCTCGTGTTGGTTAGAAAATAATTCTTTCTCATCCAACCAACTATTCAACTTGTTATTCTCATTTTTATTTTCACACAAAACTTTAGGTTTGTGTCAGAACTTTGCTGAGAGCGTCAACACTAGATACGATGTCGAGTCGAATGAACCGCAGTTTATAACGAAGGGTCATTTATATCGGGCAGTTGTAGGCGATACTATCGTTCTACCATGTAAAGTAAAAAATCTTGGTTCATATATTTTGCTTTGGCGACGCAGCGCAGCTGTTCTGACGGCAGCAAATTTTATGGTCACAAGAGACGTACGTTTGACAATGGTTGATGGCTTCAACTTGCAAATATCGAGTGTTAAAATATCGGATGCGGGAGACTATGTTTGCCAAATTGGTGGTCAGGAACCTAAAGACCAGATTCATACATTAGAAATTCTCGTGCCTCCGACAATTCGCACGATACCGGATCATGGACTTGTGTCTGCAAAACAAGGGAGTACAGTTCATCTCGAATGTAAAACATCAGGAAATCCCGTGCCGATGATTCATTGGTTCAGAAAGGTGAGAGATTAAATATTCAAAAGCTCAAGAGCATCTCTCGAATATCTCGTGTCATCAAATCTCGAGAATAAATATGAAATGAAATGAACATAAACTCAGCGAATGAGTGGAATTTCGCAGTAAAAACTTAACGATGACAGAAAGTTCATTCATAAGTGTTGATGATGAATTCACTTTTGATTATCATTCATCAGTTTTAATTTTCATTCGCTCTTTTCCGACTTCCCAACTGTGTAATTAAAAAAAAAAGTTCTTTTTGTCGGAAAGGAAAACTAATTAAATTTTCAATTTGTTCAACTACTTTTTTTTGTATTGTTCTTTTTGAAAGCACTCATCAATGCCGCTTGGGGAAGGTGCATTGTTAACATTAGAGCAAGTGGGTCGACAACATGCTGGAACGTATCAATGCAAGGCGGAAAATGGAGTTCGAGATGCAGTTTATGGAGAAATCATATTAAAAGTCCTATGTAATGAAAATGTTGAATGCTGAATGCACTTAAAAAACAGCTCTCATAAAACTTGAATGAATAATTTAAAAGGAAAAAGAAATGAAAATGAAATAAATTCTCGCATCATCAGCTCTTTTTTTTCCACGTTTTTATTTCTATGAAAAAACCATCTCAGTGAATTCTAACATATTTTATTCGTTCCGGAATCTAAAATTCCCTGTTCAAGTGAAAAGTTTTCACCATTTTTCATTTTTTGTTTCTCTCGTTTTATTGACCGAGCAACTAATAAAATTTCCCTTGTCTGTTTCTTCTCGTTTCAATGCCTCGTCGCCCAGAGAACAAGTTAAAATTTTTTTTTCCTTACCCTTTTTACGTCCTGTTGGTTTTGCTTATGTGGTCAGTAAGGCACTCACAGAGGACCATCCAGTTTGATGATGTGGTCATACACATAAAAGTTTCTGTGTCGACTCCTTGTTGATGACAAAATAAATTGGAAAACTATATCCTCTCTCCATTCATTTCCATCTTATACCTACACTTTACCTTTATATATATGAGAACTGTAATCTATTTAATACTTATGGTTCTCTTTCGCATAATTTTTAAATGTTTTCCTCTTTTTATGTTTCGAATTTATTTCAAAGCACCACCGGACATTACTGTTGAAAAGGCTTGGGTTCATGCTGCTGAAGGATGTGACGTTGAACTCATTTGTACATTGCACAGTGATGCAAATTCTGATGTAAGCTAAATTGCATTTTCAAGGCTTTGATTGCAAATTTAATTCAATGTTTTACATTTATTTTTTGTGGCTTTCGTAAGATTTAAAAGCTTTTTCATTCCCTTGTGATTTGATAGATAAACAAACTTTACTTTTAGTTTACCTAAGGGAAGACCAGAGAAACTAATCAGATTAGTCTATTAAATAAAATAACTTTTCAAGTCAATCAAAAGTTTATCGTGTGTGCAATTATTTCCTTCCCATATGGCTTGTTTAGAGAATCTTCAACAAATTCAAAGTGGTTAAAGATAGAAAAAGTTTCATCCAATTCAATTTTCTCATCAACCTTTTAACTAGACACCTCGTCTTATGGAAAAAAAAGAAAAATAACTAGGGTTCGTAAATTTTCCAGCAGCTGGCCAACGCTGGTTGAGGCCAGCAGTGGGCCAGCATGCTGGCCAGCTTTCAAGAATTTTTTTTCCATATAAAATTGACATTTTAATTCCACGCGCCCCGTTGGTCTAAAGATGTTCTAAAGTAAGTTAAAGTCATTTTAGTAGGCGATGCAATCTAAACCACACAAATCTGCGGCGTAATAATGTTGCAGTCATCCTATCAAAGGCTTTTAGATTAATTTAAATCAAAACTTAGAATTTTTATTTCAAGTTTAAAATCATATTTATCACTGGTAAAGCTAAGTAGATACGTATAACCACGTCTTNAAAGTGGTTAAAGATAGAAAAAGTTTCATCCAATTCAATTTTCTCATCAACCTTTTAACTAGACACCTCGTCTTATGGAAAAAAAAGAAAAATAACGAAGATAAGTCTTTCTAAAGTCAAATAAAGTAACAAACTTGAAGTTCATTATGGTCAAGGAAAACCAGAAAAGCTTTTGAGCGATTTTTTATGTTGTCGAGAGCTTAATACAACTTTTCTTTGTTTCTTTCATTCTCTGTGGAACGTTCGAGTTTCTTAATTAACGTTTTTTTGATGAGATTTTTTTTTGTGAATATTCAACTTCACTTGAAAGTTTAATTTGAACCATGAAATGAAAAAGTAAAAATTGTTGAGGGAACTTTATTTAAATAAATTTAGTTATGTTTATGTTTATGCTTTTATGTTACATTCAAAACATTTCTCAATAATTGTGACATGAAAGCAGCACCGTCACACTCATGGAAAGTTTTAATGTAAAAAGAAGCAACCTTTAAACAAACTTTCGACAAGATACATGTCGACAAAAATGTTTTCAAATCGTGTTTTTGTTTCTCTTTGTTGTAAGGGGCGAAAAGTTTGATAATTTATGTGAAAGTCTAACAAGAATAGAAACAGAAAAAAAACGAAATTTAAACATTGAAAGTTTGTATAAACAAATCTTTTTTGTCAGTGGCTTCGAAGGTATATTTATGTAGGCGTAGAAAGAGACAATTTAAAAGCTGTTGCTTGACTTGTTCACCGCTAACACGCATCAGTGAAGCTTAACATTTTCTGTTAAATTTTTATAATTTTAAACTCATGATATAATAATAAATCGTTTTCGTATTTCTCGTTTTCACAGTTAATATGGTATCAAAACTCATTTATGTTGGAGCCGACAGATCGTCGATCAATTTTCACAAAAGGCAACAAAAACTTTTTGAGAATCCAACATTTCAACAAGAACGATTTCGGCAACTACAGGTTTGAATTTCTCTATGCTTTTTTATGTCAATAAATCATCTTCTTTATAAAGAGAGTATGAATGTGTGTTGTTGTTTGGTTCACTTTGCTTGCAAGCTATAAAAAGTGAGAAATCAAATTGATTGTTGTGTATTGGAGATAAATTATCTGATTCCACATAATTAATTGACGATGAATCAGGGGCGGCTGACGGAGATTGTCGAGCTTTCGCCTCATTAATCAGTTTGATTAACTATTTTTATATTTCCTGTCTTTTGTCTCTTCTTTTTCTCTCCCGTCGTCTCGTTTTTCAATTTGGCAAAAAAAATAAAAGTTGTGTGGCTGACAATTCCCTAGGCCGCACAAAGAAGTACATTGAAGTGTCGGGACGTCCAGGGCCAACAGTCTTCTTGTCAACACAGTACAGCAATCATTTGGATCGCTACAACTTAACTTTCAAAATTGAATCACTTTCGGAACTTGATGAAATAAAGCTGTTGTATCGAAAATTGATGGTAATGTGTTCTGGCTGCTTTTTTTTCCTTTCCTTTCATTCATTCTTTTTTTGTCAATCGACATTTATCATTTCGCCAGCATCGTTTATTAATGGATTTCTATACCATTTACTTTATCAACTTTTCCTTTCCCTCACTACCACAACTAGATGAACGAAACTTATCAGAAACCGGGGAAATGGGACGAACTGATTCTCTATCCATCAGTATTGCGCTATGATTCACGCCACTTTGTCATGTCATATATCATTAGGCAGTTAGAGCATAATTCCGTTTATGAGGTGATGGTTCAAGCGAAGAATCGCTACGGGTGGAATGAGGTGAGCCAAAGAGTAAAAAAGTTTTTCATTTATTTCGCTCTATCATTTCCTTACCTCTCGCAATTAATTCGAAAAGGAAAGAAAAAAAGTTTTTCTTGCTTTTTCACTTTCACCTCCGTGTTTTCTTGCGATATGCGAGAAACGATTTATGTTCTGTTAGGAAATTTATTAAGTGCATAAATAATTCAAAAATTCTTTTCTTTTAAGCATGTTAGACATGAGTCGAAAAGTTAACGGGTGAAAAGAATGAAAGTTTTGCTTTAACATGCTAGACTTAACTTTTAATTAATTATTGATACACTTCTTGATGAGGTTTAAAAGTTTATCAAAGTAAATGCTACATAAATAAATGTTAATAAATGTTCAGATAATTCATGGAATTTTCCAAGTTAAAATCTCCAAACGTTCAATCATTTAGGACTTCCTAGAAGAAATATGTGCATTGAACCAATATTGAATTGAAGCTTCCAATGACGATAATTCAACATTGCAATGAATGTTGTTACTTAAAACCAAATGATTCGAGATTTCTCAGTAAAAATATATTTAAATAAGGAATCGATCCACATAATCTGTTGAATACTCCTTTAAATATCTTCAACGATTCGTTTTCGTTCACTTACCTAATGCAGATCAATGGAAAATGTTTGTATGTTGAACAATGAAAGCATACATGAAGGAAAAGAAAGAAATTTTCATGCATCTTTTACCAGCTTTAAGCTTTTGCTTACATCAGCAAACGATTTTATATTCGATGTTGAAATAACCTAAAGCTTTTGTTTATTTTTCTTTTGTCTTCTGTTTAACATGTTAACAAATATTCTATTGTGGAGCTTAAAATGTAGACAGTTGCCTTACCAATCCGTCAGTTCATATTTTTGTTTATTGCGAGGGTTTGTTAATCGTGTGAAAATTCCACTTCAAGGCAAAATTCAGCATTGTGGATTTAATCGTTACAATAACCGACCATGCTTGATTTCTCTCATTTCCCATTTAGGTCAGCGATATTCATCAGTTCCACACTAGAAATTACGGATATCGATTTGAAGACAACGATTTAGGCATAAGCTCGATATCACTCTCAAGTAAAGCAATCAATATTGAACCCTTAACGTCTAGACATTTTCTACTCATTTTTGGAATTCTTCTTCATGTGATAATAAAAGCTTAGATTCTTTTTCAATGTGCTTTTAGTGAAAATTTTGTGTAATAAATGATATCAGAAAAACTTAACAAAAAACATTTTTACTTGCTGGAAATTGTGAAATTTTTATGCTTACAGCTTTTGTTTAATCGCAACTATTATATCTTGAAAGTTATGATCTGAAATTCTTTTTCAGCATATCCATTTAATGAAAATACATAGCTTTCAGTTTAAGGTTCAAATAACAATACAAAAAGACTTTTCTTCGTTTAACATCTCCCATAATCATAATGCAATCATTAAAATGAGAGTCTAGAGTCATGACTGTAAAGTTTATTTTACAATTTCGCAATCATGCTGCCTGTAGCTTCCACATCGCTAAGCAGCTTTATCTGTCTGATTATTTTCACACATATTGGTGGATTATTTTAATCAATGATGAAAAGAGAAAACATTTTAATTACAAAACCATTTCTATTCGTCCTTTTATTTATTTTAATGGAAATCAATTGAAAGATATGTAAGTTAAGCTTCTAAACAATCTCTGATAGTGCTGATATTTAATTAAATTCTGATTTCATTTATAATTTAAAATGTTTTCATTATTTCTTTGTGAAATGTAGAGTGAAAATACAAAATGCACAAATACAATTTAAATTTAGCATAATTTATGGAATTAGCAGCGATCTAAATTATATGGTAAATATCTACGTTCACGTAATTGGATCAATCGCTCTTGCAGTTATTTTCAAAGTAGGTAATTATCTTATCTTTATCTCCCAATTGTATTTGATTACAGAAATTTTTTCCTATTTCACTTATTTTCGCATTAATTCGACTTGAAACAGATACTTTTGCCATTTCATTCTGAATATCAAACTTAACCGATTAAGAGCGAATGAACAAAGAAGCTTTGCATGTTTGTTGATCCAATAATCATCAAATTAACATTGCCAGTTGATAGCATAAACGTTTGTGTCATGCGAGGATAATTCTCTTCACACTATCAAATGATAATAAGTAGGGAAAACCCTCTGCTTTGATATGTAATTGAAGTTCGAAAATTTCAACTTAGTCATTGAATAAGAAAACAATTTCATTGTTGTATTGAGATGTCTGAGTGGATAGAAGAACTCTCAGGTCTCTTCAATGATCAGATATCATCAATTCAATTCAATGGTTTCAACAGAAATTATTTCGGGTAAAAATGTTTTATCGATTATAGAATCTTCCCAATGAGTGATCTTGATGTTTTTCAGTTTATAATTTAATTTATATTACAAAAGATTTTTCCCAGGCATTTAAACTTTTAGAAAATTGAAAAAGAAAAATTAGCGTCGCTTCAATGAAGACGTTACGGGCTGAGACATAAATGAAGGCTTTAAGCGAAGTGCAAAGCAACGAAGCGTGAAAAAAGTGTCAAATGGCTTTAAAAGTTTTAAAATTTTATTTCCACAAAGACGCAAAATTGCTTCTCCTTTCTTGTTTAGCTCAATGCTGAAGCAGTTTTCCAATCTCTTTGCAAGGATCTCGTTTTCAAAGAGTCGTGCCAACCTTTTTCTTCTTTCTTCCTCTTTTTACACATTTCAAGATGAGAAAAATATTCAAAAAGGAGAAAGTTTTTCTCCCTTTTTACCGTAAAGTGTAATGAAATAAAACATAAAATTGTTTTTATCATGAGATTTTTGAAGTGAAAGCACTCAAAGCGAAACGAGATTTCCGAAACACTCGAAATATTTATGGGCTTGCTGTCGTTTGAGTGCTCTTTACCGTTACTATCAGTTATTAAGATTTGTTGTAAGAGATATTTTCAAAACAAGTCCTTTAACTCATTTCTCAATTGTAATCCATAAGAAATTCTTTTGAATGTGATGAGACTTGTGAAATTCCAAACAATCATCAAGAATAATAAAAATACTTTAAATAAAATTTATTTCATAAGCAAATATCAAAATTCTTTAATGTTTTTCAACCGTTGAACATTCTAGCACGTGGTTTGTTTAAATATGAAATTATTGTTGTGATCAAGAATATCCCTTTGTGGAAGGTGGAAGATTGAAAGGGGAAATTCAATGGAAGTTACAAATAAGAGAGGGAAGTTCGTTGGAAATGTTCAAGTTGATGGGAAAGAAGAGAACATTTCATTGGAAATATCCCTTAAATTTAGTACAGATTGGAAAATAAATTAGAAGAGCAGGAAAACTTTTAAAATACGGGGGGCAATTTGCTTCATTGGTCTAAGTGACTAAACCACGGTTTTGTNAAATTATTGTTGTAATCAAGAATATCCCTTTGTGGAAGGTGGAAGATTGAAAGGGGAAGTTCAATGGAACTTAAAAATAAGAGAGGGAAGAACATTGGAAATGTTCAAGTTGATGGGAAAGAAGAGAACATTTCATTGGAAATATCCCTTAAATTTAGTACAGATTGGAAAATAAATTAAAACTTCTAAAATCCTTTCTCAATGTTTTGAATTATTGATGGTTTAGTTTGCGTACTTTCTGTATATTTTATGAACCCTTCGTAAATTAAAAGTAAACTTCCTGAAATATGAATTTAAATTATTTCTATGTTTGCTTCTTTCAGTATTTAGTTAAATGTTTATTACAGGAAATTAATGAATTTGTTAATATTGTATTATGTTTCTAAAAATATCATTTCGTTATACATTGAGGATTTAAAGACTGTTTTAAACATAAATTCTCTCTTTCTCTTTTCAGGGAAATTTGAATTCTGTGTAAGGGATAAATATTTTATTCCAATGAAGAAAATTCGGGAAATGTTCAAGGAAATAACAGCGTTTCAGTTTTTATACGGAAATAGGAAATATCCCTCGACAGAACAAAACAAATTCTGCAGAAATATTCCAAACATTCATTTTTGTGACTGTACCGACACTCTCGCGCTAGTATATAAATAATAACTTGTACCAAGTTGCAATAATGAAATGCAACATTTTGACAACAAATTATTTAATCACTTAGATAGATATTTGCTAAAAGCCTTTTTTGTAATGAATATTTACATGTGTATATGCCAAGAGGATAATCAGTATTCAAGTCTGAAAAATACATTGTGATTTAATTACAACGTGTTTGTTTCTGTGTTCAGAAAGTTTTCCCAATTAAACTTACAAATAACGTGATTAAGAGAAAAATGTCGTTTGAATGGTGCTTGATCAACAATATTAATTCTACAGAAATCCTAGGACAATTCATTGTAATAAATGATAAATTTTTGTAATGAGAAATTTAATACAGTGGAACTTTGATAAGATGATTTCTCAAAGGGGACAGAAAAATATCAGCTTATCAAGGATATTAGTTTATTGAGGCATCAGCTAGTCAAAGTTCCACTGTACCTTTGCTAAATATTGAATTTTAAATAAAATGAATGTCATTAAAATTTGCATCCAAATATATAGTCAAAAAATTCTACTCATATTTCGAAGAAGTTTAGAAGTTTTGTTTTCTAATTCATTTGAATAAACTTTCAACTTTAATATTGAAAAATATTAATATTGACGACAAAGCCACGTCTACTATATTTAATAAAATTTCTTGATCACCATAAAAGCTTTTAACTCGATTATCAATTTCAACGCAACATTTTTCTCCACCTCTGCAATCTGGGTCATCCTAACTAATAATAATTTCATATTTGATGCAATTTGCAGACTGCATTGAAATGTTTTCTGACCATAGGACCTTATACAACAAGTTTCTCCTGGATCACATTCATGATTTCTTGAATTTGACGTCATGACGGACAAACTCATGTACTGCCACCTACATAAAAAATATTTATAAATTAATTAGTTAACTATCTATTACAATGATGACTTAGATAGACAAATTCATATAAAATACATTCTTGCATATAGACAATGAAACTGAATTAGTGGAATTACTATTCAATTAATATGCGAGGGTCTTAGCAACAATATCAACAACGTTTTCAACATTGTTGATGCGTTTCATTACAAAACTAAATAAATAAAACCCTTGATGATTATTATTATTTGATTGCATAACCGATTGAGTTCTACTAATGATTCATGACTCATGAAATTTCACGTTTAAAAGGAAAAGCTTATATAAAAATAAACGTAAACCGATGACTTAGCTTTTCTTATAATTTTTCCCTGTCTCACGTTTTCACGGAAAATTTATTTTTGTTTTTTCTCACCCATAAATGAGCAAATGTCAAGGTAAACGTGTGTTTTCCAAAGTGCTGTTAATTAAGAGTGACGACTCAATTCCCTTAAAATGCGATGGTTGTTTGAAAAACTTACATTTGATTGCGGAAAACATTTTTTCATGTTGTAATTTATGACACCAAAATTTATTTTAACTTTTCACACCTTCTTTCGATAACTTCCTTCAACCTAGCTTTTACTATGATTAATGATGTTTACGATTTTGATTGGAATAAGAAAAATCACTTGATAAATGTGCTGACGAAACGTGTTCATTTTAATGTCAAACTGATAATTTGCTGACGAGAAGTTTAACGATGTAGCGAATTATTTTGTGTTAATTGAATTGTAACGTTAAGCTCGTAAATTTCATATTAATGTTGTTTCGAGACATGGTAGCACGAGAATCGTGAGAATATTATAAATTAAAATTAAAATTTAATTACTCGCTATATGTGAAATTTTTTTTAAGTTTATTGTGAAAATTGGCAATTTCCATCCCATTGATAAATCATTAAAATGGAGATGCATGAAAAATTGTTGAAACAATATTTTAAATGTTATTTATCACGCATTGAAATGTTGACCTGAAAAAATGAAATATTGGTCATTGATGTGAATGGAAAAATTGTGAAAACAAATTGAAGTAATCAAAGTATAAATAATTAGGCTTTGAATCTGAACTCATAGGGAATTCCTCGAACTCTGCATGCATTAAATCACAGCATTTGACATATAAAAAATCTCAACATCACATCAAGTAACATAATAAAAATCTTACCAGGAATGATTTTTCCTTTTTCCACCTCTTTCAAATTAATTAAACTTTTTTCATCAATCCAGGCAAAGTAAAATATGCCAAAAAGAAGAAAGAAAAAGAAAACAATATCCTGAAAAATCTTTGAACAAACGAGAAACTTTTTGATGTTTTCTTAATGTATGCTAATTATTCTCATCTTTGTACATCATCGTTGCGATGTGAACATGTTCAGAACCTTCTCAACGTTTCTCGTATGTGCTCAAATCAACTACTTGCTATGCTCTTTGTTTTCCAGGAAACAAATTAATTTTATCGGATGTGAAAAGCCATAACATTCAAGACTTCACGAGCGAGTCGAAAAAAAGAACAAAAGAGCAAACGTCTGAGATGGAAGAAGTTGAATATGAAAAGGTTTTGATATAGAAAGAAAAAATTTCATTTCATCTCGCAACTCAACTGTTTTGTGAATGCTGTTGACATTACTTCTGTAAATAATAAATTATTTTCTGTTTGTTAAGTTTGATGGTGAAAGGTAAACAGCTTGTTTTCATGGCAGCAAAACCTTGAATTAAGAGACACGCATTTGCCACAGTCGGCGGCTTTAATTTCATTATGGGCAGGAGGAAACAGACGGGAAGGATATTTTATTCCTTTTTCCTTGTGGACTTCTGGCTGAACTATTTAATTAATGATATCGAACATGAACAGAAGTGTCAGCAACAGAATTAATTGAACTAAACGTGATATTTATTGAATATTGTTTTCAACATGAAAGTCCTTGAATAAATCGTTGTCTGTTATCATTACGCTTTAGAAAATTTCTCTTACTTAAAACAATTGAAAGCATTTATTTTCATACCTCGCTGATTATTCCTTTTTAAAGATAATAAATTTCAATCGGTAATTTATTTAAGAGTTGAGAATGAAACGTGACACTTTTCAATTCTTGTTTTGTGATTGATTCAATTTATGTTTTCAGGTAATGATGACTTTCTTTGAATAACTTGTGATGCTGAACTATTTATTGAGAAATTGTGACTTGAATGTCGGATGCTTCGTGCTTGAGAAAATCAATCATTCAATTGGATTCTTCTAGGAATTCTTCATCAAACTTGATTCCTTTTTGCTTTATTAAATTCTTATATAAAACTGAACAAGGCAAACTTCATATCATCACACTTATTATCTAGTATAAAATTTAATTTTAATCCATCATCACATTACTTCATTAAAATATTTTAAATTCATTAAGCTTATAACTCACTTCTGCGGTACTTTCAATTTGCATAAAGTTTCATCTGTAATGTCAAACTCTTCGTGTTGATGTAAATCAACTCCAACCTCCTTCTTGTTATTGCAATGAGATCCCTTTAAGTGGATAATCCTATGAAAATTTATTTCACAAAAGAGAAAATAATCTAATAAACTTCAAGTTCACAAGCACTCATGAAACATCTTCAGCAGACGTTCTTGACTTGAAATCTTTTTTTACTAGCTTTACTCTATGGAAAGAATTGTGTTTTGCCTTGCTATCAAAACAAACAAGGCCTTCAGGCTCAACCAGTGTTTTCAACTAGAAATATTAAACCCGTCGAAAAAGAAAAAAAAATATTCAAGATGACGAAAAGTGAGATGCGAGAGGGAAACAACATTTTAAGGAGCATTCTTTTTGACTACAATGCGAAAATAATTTAAATGTTGTATGAAGAATAATGACAACGAAAGAAACCAGAGGTTCATGTAACATGAAAACCATTTTATTGGGTAAGACAAACTGCTAAGTGCATTATTAAGAGCGAAGAAAGCGATGAAAGGACTTCAAAGAATTTTATTTCATTTAAACTTTTCAACTCAACGATTTTTATCTTTATCGCTTGGATATAAACACCAGAATTTCATTTTATCCTTTTTCTGTCATATTTCAACCTTATATTTGGTATATTTGTGAATGTTCTTTTATCTTTAAGCAAATACGAAGACAATGAGGTTTAAACTTCATTCATAGTAGTGAAGAAGTGGTTTCTTTTTCTGCTGCTTAAATTTATTAGATATTATGAAGATTTCAATTGGATTTAAACACCATCAATTAAAAGGGAAACTGATGAGATTAACACTCTCCAGTGGATCTCATTTATATTTATTTAACCTAATATGATCTGATAAAATTATTTTTTCAGATTTAATGATCTAACTAAGATGCTTATTTGCTCAGCAGTAATAGGTACTTATTAATTATTTAAATCTCTTTGAAGGCTGCAGAAAATAATTGACAAAGTGGGAATTTTGAATGTGAAGCAGATAAAAAAAACATAGAAACTTGTCTTGAAGTGTTGTGCAAGATTTTGGGTTGTACAAGAAACTTTTACCAGTTTAGGGACGAAGAAACTTCCACAGAAAACTTTAAAAGGAACAAGTACAAGTGGAAATTCTTTCAATCCATTGAAAGATGTTATTAAAAATTTCTATGAATTCAATTTCTTCGCATTCTATTCACAAAGTCCTATTAAACATGTTGAAATTTATGCATAATTTTTATAACGATATTTTCTCGAAAATATTAACTTTAATCACACTTTAAATATACGTGTGTGCTAATCAACATTTCTAATTTAAAGTTTAATTATTCATTTACCACTGCATGTTGTTAAAACAATGTAATTTTTATGCATTGCTTTAATTTCTAAATGGAATCATTTTTCCTTCAATAATTTCCTGTTTTCTTTTCCTTTTGTGGTTGCAGAACATTTTAGAAAGCAATCGTCCAAATAATTTGACATTTCGATTTATGAATTTCGATTTCAAAATTATTTCCATGATGAAAATGCCTGAACTGATTGCAAGGCCTAAAAAAAGATTTGAGAACGCTCCATCCAAGTGTTCAATTGTCAATGCAATTCTTGGAGTTTCTTCTTCATCTTCATCGTCATCATCTGCTAAAGCCAATTCTAGTTGTTCAATGTCTGAACCAAACTTTTTTCGAAATCTTTTCAACTTCTTAATCGATTCAATAATTGTCATATTGTAATAAAAATCTTTGAAAAGCTTACTCATGTATCCCATGTCGCGAAGTGAAGCAATTATTTTATTAATTCGATGTTGTAATGGAAATCCTCGTTCAAAAATCATCTCCAATTGGTTCGAGAAAATTGATTTTGAAAGACCAAACACTGAATTTCTATATTTGTTACTTCTAACATAAAGTTGACTGATTAACAAAGCTTGTTCGCCTTTCATGACTCGCTTTAGACTTTTGGTTGACGGCCTGAAAAAATAAATTAAAAACCATTTGAACAAATGAAAATTTCATACAAATTCACCGAAAAGTTTCTGAGTAATTATAACGATGAGAGATCATCCGGTCAAATTCATCATCATTCTCGAACCAATCTTGATTCTCCAACCGTCCACCAATCGGAATTTCACTTTCCAATAACTCTTCAATGGTTTCTATTTGATAATCATAGGGAGGACTAGTGAAGACAGTGATAAGCTTTGAAGTGTAAATTGCGTTAAGTGTGAGAGCATAAAGGGAAAGAATTATAAATAACAAACGTAGAGGGTTTGAGTTTGGACGATTATTGGTGGAAACTCCCAAGGAAAGTGCTAAGACATTAAGATATGTCAAAACTATCTGTTTGTGCGCTTTTGACTCACTCGACATTCTTCCCAGTAAATACCAAGAAATCCATGAAACCAGCACCACAATTGAGAAGGCGACCCAAGTTCGAAATTTAAATATTATTATCAAACTTTTCCATCTCGGTGCGAAACTTGCTTTCTTAACATAAAATGTGTAATAATCTTGAAGATAAAATTCAGTAGCTTCAAATTCAGCATGAACTTCGTGGTCAGGGAAAAAACCTCCAGCAATAATGTCACATTCTCCGTTACGAACTTGACCAAGTAGATTGCTCCATGTGCCATCATCCATTCGTTCACCTCGACCTAACTTACTGCAAAATATGTCAACTTTGTATCCCATTTCTTTCATCACAAGCTGCAGAATATCAATTTCTAATCCATCGTGACACCCTTCATTTACAAATGGTTCTTGCACTCTTGCACAAAATTTGTATACACGATCGTTGATTGTTGAAGGAATTTTGGGTGTTTGTAAAACTTCTTTTGTTGAATTTTCATCTTCAAATTTTCCATTCGCACATTTTCCGATGTTTAAAATTTTCATTTCACCGCAGTCGGTTTTATTTTCATGATAAGGATTTCCCGTATAAATATCATAAGCAAAGGCGTCGCTTGCATAAAGTAATACGACATCAAGCGCTCGATGCTCTTTAAACATTTTAATTAAAAAATATGATGCAATCTCTTCACCGCCATTTCTTTGGGATGGATTATTAATGAAAAGAATAAATTTTGCTATCTCGTTGAATGATGGTGATGTTGTAAGTGCATCTAGACTTTGATTTAACTGAAAATTTAAGATTTTTATTACTTAAGTTAAGTAAAATGGTTCTGAAAATTTTATTATGAAAAGGTTTGAGATTATTTGTTGTAAATGGGTTTGAGGGTATCAGGTAGATTCGTTCTTCTTCTTCATAGTTAAAATATTAACTAGAAGGAAAATTTACTTACAGTCTCAGCATTATCTGCAATTATAATATAAACATTCGTCAATACGATGTCTTTACGAGTGATTCCTTTAGCAAAATGCGATAAAACTTTTAATTGAAAATGTTTTCCTTTTTCATCTCGATTTATAATGCGATCGTGTAAGTCACGCAGATATGCAATTTCTATTTCCGTTGCGAGATTTGTCATATTTGTTGTATGAAAAACAGCAAGATTCTCAACTTGGTGTGAAAATTGAGTCCAAAAGTATTCACGCTCAACTTGTTTGATGCAATTGATTCCTCCAATTGCTTCACCTTCGAAATGAATAAAATTTTTATATAAAATTTCTTAAAATTTAGACACTATTAGCACGTAACCAGACCTTTCTCAATATCTCGTAAGTATGTTTCACAATTAATACGATTAAATAATAAATTTAACATAAAAACACAAGAAATCAGGAACATTTTCAACTTTCAAAGGATTAATTTCAAACTAAACTTAACCGCATAGAATTGTGCATGCTCAACTATGAATAGAAATTGAATTTCTTAATTGGATTCATAAGCAAATAGAAATTCTGTCATAAGTGTGCAAAACCATGCAATTTAACGATGATAAATATGTCATTGGCTTTTTTCATTACCTCGTGCAAGACCTCGTGTTAGTTTTGTGCTAAGCAAACATTAATTTGTTGTGAAATATTTCTCATAACGAACTTTAAGGAACCTTTGACAGTCGTTTTTATTCACGCTTTAAAGTTTCTCTTTGCTTTCCTCAACACCTTTTAAAAGATGAATATAAATCAGTTCAGGGAATGTCTAGATTTGCTGAGTTACAGTGGATTCACATTAACTGAAATGGAATCTGCACGCATTGAGAATTCTTTAATTATCCTTCAAAATGAATATAAACTTTGCGATATTTTCTTCTTGGCTCGAATTGAAACAACTGGTGTTGGCTACTATTACATCGCTTTCGGATACATCAAAGATATTCTGAAGGATCAACAATTCTTTTATAGCACGAATGGATATGAGTGGTTCGTTCTACCACGAGTGAAACCAAAACGAATTGAAATTGCCAAGAAAATCAAAAGTTATTTCCAAGGCGATCCAGCTCATGTTGATTTTGCTTGCTTAGTGAGAAATAATTTCGATTTTGTGTAGATGAATAATTAAAAAAATTTGTTGAATTTCCAGGATCCTAGAGAATTTGTAATTGAAGATGATGGATCTGTCATCCCATGTCATCGCTCGTTAAAGAAAATCAAAGAAGAAGACCGTTTGTCATGCTTCGTTGCAAGATTAATTCACGATTCTGCTGTTTTACCTCGCGGAGTTCTTTACCGACAGGTCACTCAGTGCATTACATTCAATCCTTGTTTTCGTGGTTTGAGTCGCCTTGAAGCTGAAAATTTAAAGAATTTTCAACATTTCCGCACACCTATTAACGGATGCAATCAAAATTTGCTGAAGAGAGAAGATTACAATTATCAAACAGATTTCTTTGATACTATCGATGATGACAATTCTTTTTCTGCGAAGATTAATGACCGCAATATTGGCTTAATTCGGTCATTGAAATATCCTGGAATGATCTCATTTCATAAATTGAATTCTATGTATCAAGGATTCGTTTATTTAGGGAATGGACAAGAGAATTTAGACTGGCAATTTATGATTCCTATTTAAACCTGAGCTTATCAAAAAAACACTCTTCAAGGTTGAATGAGAAGAAAAATATTAAAATTTATTGTGGAATTCTTCGAATATAAT